CAGGCATATTTTAGTTGGACCTCATGATTAAATGTGAAATATCTTCTGTATTAGATACAGAGGATACCATTTTTGGTTTGTTTGAAATGTCCATCAGTGAAATGCACAACATGCTGCCTGTTCCCTATGAGCTGATGCGACTCTCACTGCATGGAGCTATGCTCTCCAAGCCTCGTTTTCGATCCAAGATGGCGAAAGTGTGAAAAAGGTCAAATTGAGTCGCACTCGCATCACCATTCCTAGACCACTTCCACGAGACATAAACACACATTTCTAATGGAGTTCAAATGCGTGATGTATGATGTGACCGGTCATGGTAGTTAATATGGATATATTTTACGTCTCCTTCGGACAGATTTAATTAAAGAGCCGAGGGAACTCAAGTCATTGAATGTCTTTTCAAGCCTTTCCGTAAGCCAGATCGATTTTACCAAGATGATTTCTTTTGAGAATCACAGTTAATAGTTTTTAAAAAGTCCATATTTCCCTGGAGTAATGTGTGCATTTTAATTGACAACTCAGCAAATGGATCGAAATTGTTCACTAACGTCTTTAACTAAAAATATGACTTTCGAAGAGTTACGAGAATCAGTATCGAATTGTGGCCTCGTATCCTACTGGTGGGTGGTCTCCCTTAAATTAAGCATTGCATGCTTGATTGGCTTCAGTTATCAATACATTCCACTTCATCCAGCAATTTGTATCTAGTTCAATCTGACAGGAACTGTTTATTCTCAAAAAGCCAAATTATTCGAGGCGTTTTCTCCCATGAGTACTCTGTAGCCCCTTGGTGCCACACCTTTCTATGCAGCCACCTTCATATGGATCGTATATATGTGTATGATTACTGACACATTTTGCTTTTAACCATACTTCAGAGTAAGAGCAAGTTGCAACGATTATGCTCAGGTAAAATACGAGAATTATTTTTCATCTGCATAAGATTTAGCATCTACCCGAGGATAGGGAGTTAACTGACTATAAAAGTCCAGCTCGATCGTAGTGCACCAGTGGCTATTACGAGTTATGTCCCTTCTATGCCCCTCCTATTGACCAATCAGATTCCACCTCTCATATCATTTGCATTTGCGTCAAACAAAATGGCGGCGCCCTGTCAAGACGATGTGATCTATAATCAAAATCTATCTTGTAATAAAAGAAATTACGAACCGGATGTCGATTTCGTTACGCGATTTTGTCTATGCATAAACTCGTTTGTCCAACTAAACTATTACTTCATAATTCCAGCCTAATTCGTCAAGGTTGGAAACTGGACTTATACATATGATGAAAGATGTAAAGATGACACCCGAGATCAATGCTGCATGGTCGTAAGAGGCGACTTCAATATAGATTTATTCAGAATGTGAGCCACGCACTCCATATTTCTCAGTACAAATATAGTAGAACACGGATATAACGATCACGGATATAGCGAACAAACGGATACAACGAACTGTTAAAAAATCCCCGCATTATCTCCAATATAATATCATTTAAAATGTACGTATATAACGAACTCTCTACAGCGAACTGATATCTGATCTCAGGAACACAGTAAATATAACGCGTAGCCCCTATATGTAAGTAGAGACCACAGGAACTCGTTGTTGGTCAGTATATATAACATGTAGCCCCCATATGTAAGCATAGACCACAGGAACTCGTTATTGGTCAGTAAATAAAACATTTACCCTCAATATGTAAGTAGAGATCTCAGGAACTCAGTAAAATATAACGCCCCTATATGTAAGTACAGACCACAGGAACTCGTCATTGGTCAGTAAATATAACATGTAGGCCCCATATGTAAGCAGAGACCACAGGAACTCGTTATTGGTCAGTAAATAAAATACGTGGCCCCCATATGTGAGCAGAGACCACAGGAACACGGTATTGGTCAGTGAATAAAACATGTAGGCCCCATATGTAAGCAGAGACCACAGAAACTCGGTATTGGTCAGTGAATAAAACATGTAGTCCCGATATGTATGCAGAGACCACGGGAACTCGTTATTGGTCAGTAAATTAAACATGTAGCCCCCATATGTAAGCATAGACCACATGAACTCGTTATTGGTCAGTAAATAGAACATGTGGCCCCCATATGTAAGCAGAGACCACAGGAACTCGTTATTGGTCAGTAAATAAAATACGTAGCCCCCATATGTAAGCAGAGACCACAGGAACTGGTTATTGGTCAGAAAATAAAACGTGTAGCCCCCATATGGAAGCAGAGGCCACAGGAACTCGTTATTGGTCAGTAAATAAAACATGTAGCCCCTATATGGAAGCATAGACAACAGGAACTCGTTATTGGTCAGTAAATAAAACATGTAGGCCCCATATGTAAGCAGAGACCACAGGTACTTGTTATTGGTCAGTAAATAAAATACGTAGCCCCCATATGTAAGCAGAGACAACAAGAACTCGTTATTGGTCAGTGAAAAAAACATGTAGCCCCCATATGTAAGCAGAGACCACAGGAACTCGGTATTTGTCAGTGAATAAAACATGTAGCCCCCATATGTAAGCAGAGACCACAGGAACTCGTTAGTGGTCAGTGAATAAAACGTGTAGCCCCCATATGGAAGCAGAGACCACAGGAACTCGTTATTGGTCAGTGAATAAAACATGTAGCCCCCATGTGTAAGCAGAGACCACGGGAACTCGTTATTGGTCAATAAATAAAACGTGTAGCCCCCATATGTAAGCATAGACCACATGAACTCGTTATTGGTCAGTAAATAAAACATGTAGCCCCCATATGTAAGCATTGACCACAGGAACTCGTTATTGGTCAGTAAATAGAACACGTCGCCCCCATATGTAAACAGAGACCACAGGAACTCGGTATTGGTCAGTGAATAAAACATGTAGCCCCCATATGTAAGCAGAGACCATGGGAACTCGTTATTTGTCAGTAAATAAAACATGTAGCCCCCATATGTAAGCAGAGACCACAGGAACTCGTTATTGGTCAATAAATAAAACGTGTAGCCCCCATATGTAAGCAGAGACCACAGGAACTCGGTATTGGTCAGTGAATAAAACATGTAGCCCCCATATGTAAGCAGAGACCACAGGAACTCGTTATTGATCAGTAAATAAAACGTGTAGCCCCCATATATAAGCAGAGACCACAGGAACTCGGTATTGGTCAGTGAATAAAACATGTAGCCCCCATATGTGAGCAGAGACCACAGGAACACGGTATTGGTCAGTGAATAAAACATGTAGGCCCCATATGTAAGCAGAGACCACAGAAACTCGGTATTGGTCAGTGAATAAAACATGTAGTCCCGATATGTATGCAGAGACCACGGGAACTCGTTATTGGTCAGTAAATTAAACATGTAGCCCCCATATGTAAGCATAGACCACATGAACTCGTTATTGGTCAGTAAATAGAACATGTGGCCCCCATATGTAAGCAGAGACCACAGGAACTCGTTATTGGTCAGTAAATAAAATACGTAGCCCCCATATGTAAGCAGAGACCACAGGAACTGGTTATTGGTCAGAAAATAAAACGTGTAGCCCCCATATGGAAGCAGAGGCCACAGGAACTCGTTATTGGTCAGTAAATAAAACATGTAGCCCCTATATGGAAGCATAGACAACAGGAACTCGTTATTGGTCAGTAAATAAAACATGTAGGCCCCATATGTAAGCAGAGACCACAGGTACTTGTTATTGGTCAGTAAATAAAATACGTAGCCCCCATATGTAAGCAGAGACAACAAGAACTCGTTATTGGTCAGTGAAAAAAACATGTAGCCCCCATATGTAAGCAGAGACCACAGGAACTCGGTATTTGTCAGTGAATAAAACATGTAGCCCCCATATGTAAGCAGAGACCACAGGAACTCGTTAGTGGTCAGTGAATAAAACGTGTAGCCCCCATATGGAAGCAGAGACCACAGGAACTCGTTATTGGTCAGTGAATAAAACATGTAGCCCCCATGTGTAAGCAGAGACCACGGGAACTCGTTATTGGTCAATAAATAAAACGTGTAGCCCCCATATGTAAGCATAGACCACATGAACTCGTTATTGGTCAGTAAATAAAACATGTAGCCCCCATATGTAAGCATTGACCACAGGAACTCGTTATTGGTCAGTAAATAGAACACGTCGCCCCCATATGTAAACAGAGACCACAGGATCTCGGTATTGGTCAGTGAATAAAACATGTAGCCCCCATATGTAAGCAGAGACCATGGGAACTCGTTATTTGTCAGTAAATAAAACATGTAGCCCCCATATATAAGCAGAGACCACAGGAACTCGGTATTGGTCAGTGAATAAAACATGTAGCCCCCATATGTAAGCAGAGACCACAGGAACTCGTTATTGGTCAATAAATAAAACGTGTAGCCCCCATATGTAAGCAGAGACCACAGGAACTCGGTATTGGTCAGTGAATAAAACATGTAGCCCCCATATGTAAGCAGAGACCACAGGAACTCGTTATTGATCAGTAAATAAAACGTGTAGCCCCCATATATAAGCAGAGACCACAGGAACTCGGTATTGGTCAGTGAATAAAACATGTAGCCCCCATATGTAAGCAGAGACCACAGGAACTCGGTATTGGGCAGTGAATAAAACATGTAGCCCCCACATGTAAGCACAGATTCTCTCCTTACTAAAAGGGGGTTCATATCTTACTTACTGACCAATAAGGAGGTCCTGTGATATCCACTTGACACTGAATCTTTACCCAACTTGCTCTGTATCCACTAGTTCATGTTCTGTCCCCTCCTCACTCAAGTACACACAACAGGATCGTATCGATGAAGGATTACTCAAGTGAGTCATATGCCCATATTTCGCCAAAATACTCTAAATATAGGCCAATAGCCATTGAGTGTAAACATGCCCCACCGAGTGACGATCGACACGTTCGTTCGGACAGGGACAACAGCTTCAGGCAACACCTTCGAGGGCGATAACAGCTAAGCTGCAACAATGATTGAACTGTTGAGCATATTGACCTGACAGTGTCCTTGAATCATAATCCTCTTGATACATTTTGGTCACAGGCTTGGTCCACTGTACATGAAAAAGCGAAAAGGAAGGGCTTACCTACACAGTGGTGACAACTTCCGTGACTAGTCAAAGGGAGGTAAGTCGCGTCGAGTGTGTCTTATCAACGTGAAGCATTCGTTATATATCTTAACGAGGTCAAATCTCACTTTTTGATACCATAGTTATTAAAAACTTTTAATTATACATTTCTAAATATAAAATCATGTGTTATTTCTTTTTGACTTGCTCCTTTTCAACTTCTCACATGTTTTGGACTTATGGCAACCCCAAATGCAGCGGTTAAGCACTGTCTGTAATGCGCAGGAAAGAAGTGTTTTAATATTATCTGAACATTAGCAAGCCGTTGACCCAAAATGATTTCTTGGGTGATAATGGTAAAACAGTTCAGACATGGTGAAATATTCTTCTTGGGTTACGGATTGTCTCATAGTCAGTTTTCTTTTCGACAGTTCGAAAATCGTCAAACTTACCGGGGTGCTTTATTATTTCAAATGTCCATCATGTGAAAGCGTAATAAAGAAAGACGCAAAAAGTCAGTATATAACGCATACGCACATGCCCAATAATGTTCATAAAACTATCAACGTTTCATCTAATTTTAAAATAATTATTTGACATTCCAGTTGGGACCCGTGAAGGTTCGGGGTAGAATAGGCCTTCAGCAACCCAAGTTGTCGTGAAAGGCGACTATGCCTGTCGTAAGAGGCGACTAACGGGATCGGGTGGTCAGGCTCGCTGACTTGGTTGGTGCATGTCATCGTATCCTAATTACGTGGATCGATGCTCATGATATCGATCACTGGATTGTCTGGTCCAGACTCGATTATTTACAGACCTCCGTCATATAGCTGGAACATTGTTGAGTGCGGCGTTGCACAACAAATAAACAAACATGTAGGCCTATTCCAGTTGGCCGAAAGAGGTGTTATTACACCTACCTCGTCCTAGTAACATACAACATGATAGTTATCTTTATACAATCGTGTTACCAATATTCATAGTGCTTCAGTATGACAGCCGGGTGTATAGTCCTAAACGTAATTGCACATATTAAGAATCTGTCGTGACCCAGTCTTCTAAAGTGCCGCGATTCGCCGTTCAGAGTTGTGTCCCTAGGGTGTGATGGAAACCAAGCTCCTTCCCAGCGCGTGACACCTTCGTTACACACTCGGAGGGAACGTCGGGTAGCCTTGTGGTTAAAGCGTTCGCTCGTCACGCCGAAGACCCGGGTTTGATTCCCGACATGGGTACAATGTGTGAAGCCCATTTCTGGTGTCCCCCGCCGTGATATTGCTGGAATATTGCTAAAAGCGGCGCAAAACCATACTCACTCACTCACTCACTCACTTACACACTCGGTATCGAGAGCTCCGCGAACGGGCTATCGCTGTGAGGAGCTTGTGTCGGAAACATGATGGTGGGTTCGAATTCAAGATTCGCCCTAGTTATGTTTCTAGGTTTGACTGCACTATACAACCGCTTGTCGGTAAACATCTTAGATAGGCATCACGCCGGGCCTTCCTCATATAACTGAAATACTGTTCAAAGCGGCTTAAGTTGCTGCAAGAAAGAAAATAATCTGTATGTTAGAAAAAGGCAAATAGATTGCTAAATGCAACTGAAGGAAGTAAGTGGTGACTCGGTTACTAGGTTGATTGTGTGTCATCATACTCCCAACGGCAACCCTATTGTTCATGATATCAACCACTGTTTTTACTTGATCATGCAGGCTCGATTATTTACCGATGAAGTGAAATGGGGTTGAACATCGCGTTTAAGATTATTTCTTTTGTATACGAGCATTTCAATCTCGTGCTGTACACTGCTCATGTGCGGGTGTGACTGTTTTTACTAATCCGAACTTTTAGTGCTAGCCATGCAGTTGATATTGCATGCCACAGTTTGACATGAATACCCAACTCGGACACATAATGATACTGTTTCCGAACCGACCTGTCCTTGTTTTCCCGTAATTGTCGAACGCCAGGTAACAACAAGTACCACCTCTTAGCGTCTTTTTGGTATGACGTGGCCAGGGGATCGAACCACCGACCTTCCCCTCACCCGACATACGCGTTATCCACCAGACCATTGGTAAACTATATAACACTGCTTTCAATGTTTGTTCGTGGAACTTGTTCCGGCACTACATAAGCACGCGCTATGGTATGACACAATGTGTAATACAGCTGTATGTTTATTAAACAGGTGGTCTCTTCACGGGCAAGTAATAAAAGAAAAATATTATATACTTGTATTAAGTATTTCATTGATAGAAAAGATATCTCTTAGGTAAAGTTGTGTCTCTTCGGTGACATTTGTGTCTAATTTTAGATTGTACGTCCCACCTAAGGTGTCATAACACTTGAGCCAGCAAAGGTACATGCAACTTTTTGATGATTAATTACTGTGTGACCAGATATATGCTCTCGGCCCTATTAAAAGTACATTACGTAATCTAGAAAAATTAAATGCACCTCGTTCATATTTTATAGTCCATAATACTGACCTTTCAATAAATATCATTCTTTCGCACTTAAGAAAGTCAACCCAAACTTTGAACAAAAATAAATGCACTCTGGAACAGGACATTCATTATTATCTTTTGGATTGATTACAAGAATTCGTTTGTAAACACTGATTACCTCCCTTCTGTTGTTTCCGGAAGTGACGTCCGTGGAGAAAATGGCTGTAGAATGAGTAAAAGGGAACTAGATGTCAAGATCTTGTGACGATTTCGCAATGGTTTCATTGGAGATAAACTGATGTGTGAGTTCTGATTCCGATTATTTAGAAACAATTTAGCCTCGGTTGTATCCCTAAAGGGTTTCCTCTTTTGTTTAACAACTATCGTGCAGGCCAGGCCTAGGCTAGTTTACATCGCACAAGAAGAAGAGACAGCTGAGAGATGGTACATGTTGAAAAAGTGCTACACAAATATGTTGTCAATGTTGCCTCGAGGAAACAGGAGCACGTTTACATCTCTTTGGAACTCATGTTTGGGAGTCTTGATTGTGACGAGTACTATCACATTATGGCTTCCTGTCAGGTTCCGGATAACCTAAAAATATCTCGTAATTATCTTACAACTTCGAGGTCCATCATGTTTATGTTGTTATTTATGGCTTCACACAATAGAATTATTTTAGTTTAAATTTTTTTTATATTTGTCAATTGTTTGAATGTGTGTGTATGTTGGAAAGGAATCTTGGCCACCTATTACCACAACCCGCAATATTTAAGAATTGACTTTCACTTTGTGTGAGTTCATTTAGCAGATGAACACACTATGTTTTAAATAGAGTTAACCATGCTCAATTTAATTATTTGGAATCAAATGTGCAGTGTGAGGTTTCAAATTTAATTTTTTTATTAATTTATATTTTAATATGATTAAATTGCGTAAAAAATGATTAAATCTTTTATACTTTTATAAATGAATGTATTTAGTAGTCAAATGATTTTTCCAATTTCCCCCAAATAGTCATTTCCCCAATGACCCATATATATTTTATTTTAAACAACCTACCAACAATGACTGAAAAAAAGGATGTTTCTATCAATATTAGTTTCAGCAGTGCTACGTCTGCCAAATTGTCTTGAAAGACATATGAACGTTGGGAGTGCACATGCTGTGCAAATCGTGCAACCAGCAGAAATCTCTGCACAACAGTTGACAAACCGGATATCGATTTCGTTAGCAATTTTGATTGGACTATGCATAGACGTTAGTCCAGCCAAAATCTTACTCCATACTTCAAGCCTTGTTCGGCAAGGGTAGAAACTGGACTTTTATAGTCAGTTGACTCCCTTGCCTCAGGAAGATGTAAATAACATTGAGCATGTTGAGCTATGGGCCTCTAATTCTAAGAATGTTCATACTTAAGTTGTACCCCTGTGTACATTTGTGAATAATATCACTTTTTCTTGCCTACAATTCAGCAGGTTCAGAAACACTGACTCTGGTGTGTTCCATTTCTTGCAGATCACAAGAGAAATGGCTTACTCATACAACAGAAGTCATTCTAGAAATTCCAGCACAGGTATGTACTGATTATTTCATTCTCATCTTCTTTTAAACATCAGTCAGCATGTGTAAAGTGATTAACATGATAAACATGATAAAGTGCATTGACATTTGAAGATGCAAAAATCAAACTCGCTCACTCAACATGCTCAACTACCTGGCACACTGACGATTTACAGCTGGCAGTGTCAAGTATAATGCAGCGGATGAAAATATGAACTTTTTTAATATTAATTTTCACTACTAATTAGTGTTTGGTGTAACAGCCATTAAAGTAAACATTTAAGGTATGAATCGATATTTTTTACTTCATGTGCGACTAAGAAGTAAGATTGATACTTGTATCGGGAAGTAAAATATCGCGATCCAGCGATGCATTGGTGTATTGCCCCACCACTAATGAACACACCTATTTGTAACCTGTGTATGCATGGCAGGGGTAGATGTCATTGGTAATATGTAACTAGTCCACAGTTCATTTCGGTCTAGTGATGTAGGCATTTGTGTAAACACGGAACGTGACTGCTAAACATGTTAAATGCATGTTTGTTGAATTGGACAGATGTTGGATAATAAATGAGTCTGGCTCTCCTGGCTGACTTTTTGATCATGGTTATTGGATGACGTTTCAGGTCTAGCATCCAGTAATTCTTGTCTCGATGGAGTGCCTTTTAAAGTGGGACCGAAATTCAAACCGCCACCAAGGGTAAGTTTTAGCATTTTGTTAACAACTATGACCTGAGAAATGCATGCTTCAGAATAAATAGTAGATGAACATCGGAATGTTAACTTTAATTTTTAAACTTACCCTATCTCACACTTTGCATTTCTTCCTTCTTCTTTCGATCCTTATGTGGAAAAAAACGTTTCCAGCTATTAAAAGCAGTTCACCCGAACTTACGGGATTACTTTGCGTGACCCATTTGTTGGGGTAGTGACCATGGTGATGCTTGGATGTGTTTGGGCGAATTATTTTTAGAAGCTGGAAACTTTATTCAACCTTGTTTTCACATAAGGATCGGAAAAATTAGGAAGAAATGCATAGTGTGAGATAGGATAAGTATATAGAAATATAACTTAATGTAAAATTTACAAATTGTTGACAAGAAATTGTATTCAATATGATCCATTGTTTCATTATCAGCGACTATGTTCGTCATGTTCATGAAAGTCATTCATGTTTCTATTATAATTACGATCATGACAATCGACATGATCAGCAACATGGTATCAGGGCTTGATTTAGCTATGTATGAATATAATAACATGCACTGTTGCAACCTGTAATTGCAAAATGCAATCAAATATTTTTGTCTGCATGAACCAAGTGCATGTCAGTATATTTCAAATTTTTTCATGACTTGTCCACACAACATCGATCACACTCAACAAATATCTCAATACCTCTACGTTTTATTTACCATACATCGCTAATCCCTGTGTTGTGGGTAATTTGTCATGCTTTCTTGGGCTTGAGGTCATCAAACTGTGGGTACAGTGCCCATGTTCGTAAAATGTATTACATCTAACAGCAATACGTCTCTAATTTATGTGACACTTGTCGCAGATTGGCCTATGTTTGAACTTATGTTTGAACTTTGATCATTTATGGGACCAGAGTGCAATCTGGTTTTGTTTGGTGTAAATAGGTTTTCATGTCAACATGCACATGGTGCAAATCTTTAAATCTGGGTCAAAGTAGAAGGTTTGAGGTGTACACAAATGTTCATCTCATAAAATCCTGTATGCCCCACTGGTGACACATGGAACATATTTATCATTATGTGTAACAAAGACTTATTATTGGTGAGATTGATTGGTTTGTTGTTTAACACCGCACTCAGCAATAGTACAGCTATATGACGGCGGTCTGTAAATAATCGAGTCTGGACCAGACAATCCAGTGATTGGTATCATGAGCATCGATCCACGTAATTGGGATCAATGACATGCATCAACCAAGCCATAGAGCCTGACCACCCAATCCCATTAGTCACCTCCTCTTATAAGCATAGTCGCCTTTTACGGCAAGCATGTATTGGTGAGAATATGGTTCTGTGACAATAACCTCTATCGTGTGACCGACTTACAGTGTCGTAACACTAACAGGATCAATTATGACGTGACAAGCAAGTGATGCTACATCAAAGGTTATATCATGAAGTCATGACAAGACAGCAACTGGCCAATCAGATAGCTGGATTCTTTAACAAATAATTGGGGGCCCAGTCGTCTAAGGTGCCGCAGTTTGTTGTACAAATTTGCGTCAATTTAGGCACGTGATGATCGTGGGTTTGAATCCTGCTTTCCCACAATTATTACATTTCAATGTTTGTCAGCACCATACCCATGTCATGGGTTTCATCAAAGTGGTAAATGTCTGAGCACTTTGGGCTTTCCTCCCTTATTAAGCTGACACATCATTATATGATCATGAATTCTGTTCAAAGCGGCATTAAAGCAGACTTGCCTGCTTACAGGTGTTACAAGCAGTGTTCGAAGGATGCACCTGACGTAGGCCTGTGGCAGGCAGATCTTGTGTTGGGCTCATAGTTTCAAATTTGCATGGGTCCCTATGGCCTGCAGTCAATTTATGTGTCTATTTATTTGTCACAATAAGCTGCAGTTATTTAAATGAGGACCTAAAGATTTTTCCTCGGGCCTGCAGCTTCTAAAATCTGTGGGTCCTGATGGTAGCCTGGCAGTTTTTTTTACTACTTACTTTTTACACTACTTAAGGGGCATTCACACGGTACAACTAGTTGTATACAATTTGTTGCATGCAACACATTGCATCGTGTGAATGGGCAAGTCGGTCCAACTTTTGACGCATGCAACTTGTTGGACGTGAGTTGTACGGAATAGGACATGCTCTATTTTCATGCGACAAGTTGTACGTACGCAGCCAATCAAAACGCGTATCCAAATCACGTGATATTTTCACCTCCAAATGTAAACAATCATGGCGACCCCAGCGTCCCGCTTGAAGAAATTTGAGATGTCTAGAGTGGAAACGGAGCGGTTTATCGGCTATTATGCGTCCCATGATTGCTTGTGGAATGTATCCAGTCCATTTTATTCCAAGCGGGAACACCGACAAGCAGCCTACATCTCTATTGCAGAGATGATGGGTAATGGGATTACAGGTGAGAATTGATGAACATGATATGCGAAGTATCAGCTGGTGACACACGGCATTTGTAGAAGCTGTACTCGTTTTCGGGTATTATGACAATGCGGAAATGGTTAGTTTGGTACATGTGTACACATAGAAGGGTCAGATAACGATTTCATACTTCTAATTCATTGTTTTATGTGATGAACTCTGACCTCTTACTTCGGCGATTGATAGGTGTGTACAACGTACGTCTGCTCTTCGAGCGTGTTCAGACAGATCAACGAACATAAAATGAATCAGAAATACGTGTTCAGCTTGAAATGATGTTGAATTTGAGAAGCTATATCTCATACTATGTGCAGTCACCGATATATGTTATTACAACCCTTTTTAATGTCGATGCACGCTTTTCTGTTTACACTATTTGACCTACATGCGAGAGGCTCCATTGGAGTGATACATGTCATGCTAATGTTGGAATAGAGACCGCTTAAGTATGTTATTCTATGAAATGATAAGGAATATTCCGGCTCAGTGATTAATTATATTTTATCTGGATATTTTACAACAATGAAATATTAACAATCAATCATATTGTACAGCTGCATATATACATACAAAAATCATTTAAATTATATTAGCAACAATTCATATCACAGTTAATTCAAGTAGACATATATTTCCATGATGATTTTCAGACATGATCATAAAGTACATGAGCATATTCCAAATAACAGTCTTACAAATAGTCTTACTTTGTCATGTGTGTGTGTTATCAATCATTATGTTAATTCCACACAGTTCTATAATGTTATCAGATTGTTCACACTAATGAACTCAAGTTCATGTTTATTTATGTTCTTATGTAATAAAACCTAAATTGCTCTGTGTTGTGTATCTTAATCTTAATAAATTCAGTCCCTAAATGTAATATTGAATTACATTCACTCCATCAGTAAACATTGTTAAAGAATCCAACTACCCGTCACTTTCTTGTTTCCAGCATTTGATACTAATATGACAATATTTATGTCTCTTCTAGTTGATCAAGTCCCAACTAAAATTTCTACCTTACGAACATACTATGGTAAGGAGCTGAGGAAGGAGACCCTGTCCAAGAAGAGTGGAGCAGGGACCGATGAGGTCTATGTTTCCACATGGGAATGGTTCCAACTTCTGGATCCATTTCTGAGGAGGCAGGTTCATCAAAAGAACACAGTGAACAACATGGTTGGTGTCATGAAAATAGGCATATTTATCATTATCATTATTTTGTTGATAAAATTCATTCAAATGAGGGCGGCCTGTGGTTAAAGGGTTCGCTTGTCACGCCGAAGACCTTGGGTTCGATTCCCGACATGGGTACAATGTGTGATATACATCTGTACTATAGGTAAAGGGTATTAGAAATATAACTTTAGATGACATGGTCCCATTGCCACTGAACCTGACCATTTGTAGAGAAATATTCTGCAAATTCCTCTCTAACAGTTCTTGCATTGGCAGTGTTTCTGTTTCCCCCTTGCTGGACAAGTGATGTTGCTCTACTCTCTCTTACAACAGAAATATCAGTGCTATTTGATTCTGTGTATACATTGTCACATTTTGTGCGAAGAAAGTTGTGAAGAGCCACAGATGCCATAACAATCTTAATGCCATTTTCAGGTTCAACAGTAATAGTTCTTTGAAATACAGCAAATCTGTTTACAAGTATGCCAAATGCATTTTCAGAGACACGTCTAGCTCTAGAAAGGCGATAATTGAAGACCTTTTTGTCCTCTGTAGTATCTCTAAAGGGAAATGGTTTCATGATATATGTCTTTAGTGGGAAAGCATCATCCCCAACAATGACATGGGGCACAGGTTCTTGGCGTCCAGTAAGGGGGGAAGGGGGTGGTACATTCAGAGTATTGTTCTCCATAGCTGCATACAATGAGGAGTTTGCAAATATACCTGCATCACTGGCTCTTCCATTGGCTCCTATGTCAACATAAATAAACTTATAATTTGCATCAACAAGGGCCAACAAAACAATGCTGAAGAAATTTTTATAATTGTAATACAATGATCCAGAGTTTGTAGGGGCCCGAATGGCAATGTGTTTCCCATCCAGTGCTCCTATACAGTGTGGGAATTGCCACTTGTCACTGAATCCCTGACTAATGTCTGCCCATTCCTGTTCTGTGGTTGGAACCTGAAATTGGAAATAAAAAATAAAGGATAACATTGGAACCTTAAATTTACAGAACAGCTCAGAGAGACAAGACACAGATGAACAGGAGCAAAGCAGCGCCTCTGACAGTTTGTTCACAAGTCAAATGGATACAGAAGACTGCCCTTCTCTGCCCCTGGCAGAGTCAACACCAATCAAGAAAGCAAGGCGCTCAGACAATAACAGTTTGCAAACACAAGTTCTGCAAACACTGAAATCACTTGAGCAAAGAAGGGCAGCAAAAGAGAATAGTGGGGACATGTTGTTTGCTAAATACATAGCGAGTGAATTAACAAATGTCACCAATGACAGAAAGAGACAAGAATTAAAAATAAAAATACAACAATTAATTTTTGAAGCTCAGTTAGACAACTGAAGTGGAACTGTTATTTAGAGGTTATTTATGATGCACAATTTGAAAAACATGAGAGTTTTGACCAAATCTTGTATATGTATTAATCAGGGGATGATGTGGTGCATTTTGTCAATTAGAATTTTTTTAAAAATTCATGTTTCCATGGCAACAATTTTTACTTTGACTCTGTACATAGTGGTGTGTTTTTCCAGACCATATCCAGACCAGTACTCTTTCTTGAAACTGTACACACACAAAAGACCAGGTTGTCAACTGGTGCCTATGCTATTTATATTGTTTTCAATAAACTTTGCTTTCAGGAAATAATTTTTAATAAAAATATCAACAATACCTTCAGGTAATCATCCTTCAATGAGTCATAAATCGCTTGGCAGACATGAGGAATAAATCCACATATTGTGTTGCTTGGTATTCTGTATAGATATTCCAGTGACTTGTAACTATCTCCTGTTGAAAATTAAAAAAACCATAAAAATATGTATTCATAGATTATCATTATAGCATCACTCAATCTTGGAGATAACATTACCTACCATAAAAAGATGTAATACAAAGTAGAATTTAAACTTAAATCAATTATTATATCATTTACAATTGCATACCCACTTCATGTAGTACATATGTACTAATTTTCACATCTTTGAATCAATAACAAATGTAAATGAAACTGTTTCATGGCATCTGGTTATTTACACACTTGTGTCAATTATTATATCACTTTGATATATACAGTTCACAATAATAATTGATGAAAATATGTCATGATCTGAACTTGTAATTATTTTTTTATAGAATAAAAACAACATTAATTCTAACTAACATTTCTAATTAATAAATTCTAAGTAACAGACCCAGAATGAGAATGTAAATGCCAAAGATGGTGGTTGTGTCTCTTAATGTTAACATGCCAATTTAAAGTGCCTATGTATTGGTGTCAAATAAAGAATTGTTTGCGGGTTTTGAATAATTTAATTGAGTAAAATGTAATAAGAAAAATATTTTGAAATAATAAAGCTGTATGTGATCAATTGTGCGAAGAAGAAATTGTCTGCACTTAACATATTTATATTTCAAAACAGACACTTCACATTGATGAAATATACCTGAACATGTACAAAATAAATACAATTCATCTTCAAAATGAGCGTTTATGTTTTCTATGGCAATACATTAAAGATAATAGACTTACAGTGGAAAATCAAGCATTCTCATTCACCCATACTCAGTTTTACTGTTTGCCTATATACTGGTATGATGAGATGTAGCAATGTGTTTGTTGGAGGTAGTGATTGGCCTAATCTTTATTTTAGGTAACGTAACAGATACAATAACATATGCGAAAAGCTGGCGGGCACACAGTTAGACCCTCGTTCAAAGCTCCTCGCACACTTATTCCGTTGATGCATAACAAGCGATTATGCCATTGTACAATGTGAGGAGCATTTGCCTGTTCATCGTGTCCTTGCCCTTCAATAACAGCTGATCACGGGTAAACAATAGATCTCTTTTCGCAAGAGTATACTTACCGGTGGCTAGATAGCGGAGAGTAATGGCCAACTTCTCACCGGGTGGAATGGCATCACGCATGGGGGTGTCTGTTTTGGCAATAAGAGGTGACACGCGATCTAGGAGATCGGTGAAGCTTGACTTGTTCATGCGAAGAAAATTGGAGAAGGCCTTTGTATCCTCGGCTTCGAGCTCAGCCAAAAGAGCGCTGTATGCTCCAAATTGCCCTCGCCTAGCAATCCATGGCCTGACCCAACATGACCGCTTGGTTCTTACTTGTGAACAATCCACAAGCAACGCAACTGTGGCAATCTCAAGTATATCGTCATCGCTATCATAGTCATACGCGGACGCCATGACGTAATGTAAACATCGTCTTAAAAATTGAGATCTCGCGAGATCCGAGTTGTATGCAACTCGCCGCCGTGTGAATGCCGAGTTGTATACAACTTCAGTTCGTGCAACTAGTTGCATGCAACAAATTGTATACAACTAGTTGTACCGTGTGAATGCCCCTTTACATAATGTAGTTCTTTATTTCACCTATGATTCCATCACTCATACAAGTTTTTAATGATTTTGCCAATTTGCAGGTTTTCCTACCACCTGAGTTGAGGGATACAGCCAGTGCCTCACAAGTTGTGAATGATGAAGTAGGTGCAATACAGTTGTCACTTCAGGCTTTAAAAAAATAAAATAAATGGTTCTCAGGCAAATAAACAGATGTTGTGGGAAAGGGCCTTCCAACATAAATGTATTCCTTGCCTGAGTAAAATACTGGAATATAGTATTTGTCTACCGTTGGACTTTATATTTGAGGATTTTTTTATTTAAAAAAAAAATGGAAATAGAAATAAAACGTGCGGCAAACTTCATGATGATGCAGGAGGTGCCTGGGAACCAAGACTATTACTTTTTTTAATTCTAATATCTAAGACAGAACACACCAAGTTAAACTGCAGGTAACATGAAACTCTGTTCTGTCATTTGTGACTTGAGTGAGGGTGGTTTTGTCCTGGGACCATTAGATTCCGTTGATAGGGATGTTCCCGATGACTAACTTAGACAATTTTAGTGTCGTCCACCCTAAATAATCAATCAAGTGACACCACAAACATGGCAATGCTTATTTTGTGACAGTGATGTAATTGTGATATATCTATGGGATGGTTGATGAAGTGCTTGCTCAGGATTCTGAAGTTGTGGGTTTGATTCCCACATGGGTAAAATGTGTGTCCATGTCTTGTGCACCTTCCCTGAACTTCCTGAAATTTTGCTGAAGCTGCATTCACTGCCACTATTATCCTGATTATTTCTATGCTGCTGTTTTTTCCAGTACCTGTTTGAGACGGAAGATGCAGTGTTGCGGTGGGCACAAGCCAGAGAAGAGGCCAAGGTGGAACAAGAGAGGCTGAAGGCAGAAAAAGTGGCCAATGCCATCCAGGAGTTATCTCAGCCACAGGATTCAGATGACAGTGATAGCTCAGATGGGGGGGAAAACGGAACAGCTGAGGCACCATTCCAGGGAAGTGCATTACTCCCCCAGCAAGCACCTGCACTTCAGCCCCAGCCAGCCCTTGCTACAATGTCCAATGATATCCTCACACCAGTTCCTATCATGCCAGCAAAGACTGTTGAACCAGCTCAACAAGAAACCACAAAAACTGTTGACCTTGATCTCGCCCTGTTTGAGAGGGAGGATGACCCATTTGAGAATGTTGAACGTCAGTTGATAAATGAAATGGAGGAGCTCAAAACTCTGTTAGGGCCTCTAAATAATCCACCATCAGACTTGTCGCCTAGCAACAATACAACTAACTGTGATACCAACATGTCAAATAACACGTGCAACAGTCCTGCTCTTAATGGCGCCATGTCAAAAACAGATGTACAGAGCACAACAGCACAACAGCCTGGCAGTGATGGGGAGAGGTTGGACAGACACAGTCCAGCACCAGTGTTCGTTCCTCAGAGTCAGCCCTTTGAGGAGGGCGACTATGTTGAACTGAGGCTAGACTACAACAGTCAAGGGAGTAACAGTGTCTCCTTCAAGGCCAGTGACAAAGAGACAGTGGACAGTGTTGACAACAGCAGCCCCAGAGTTGATCCTGCTGCTAGCAATAAGATATACAGACAAGTGTTACCCCCTATAGGTACCCCCATGTCCAAAGTCCGACCAGTGTTGTCCCCAGGGCTTGATAGTTTAGCGAAGACATTAAGTGAAAACACTGTCCCTGAGCCCAGTGCGGCGGCTGTAGCGGCGAACCCGTCGGCTGTTAGCAATGGCGTATTGAACAAGTACAGTCGACATTGTGAGACTTCTTCTGTCACATGTGCACAACAGAGTGAGGCAAGTATGAGAACGGCCCGAAGTAACCCTGACTTGTACTCCGATCATAGCAACGTGTCTACCGTGTATCCTCTCTCTTACTCACCACCGTCAAGACCGTCGTCAGGACAGGTGGGTTGCCTGCAGTTTAGGAACATGGCTGAAATGCCTACTGACACCCTGGCCCTGTATAAATCATACCCCTTGACCTACAGTGTCAGCTTTGTTGAGATCATATTGACACAGTGATGATGGGCTATTTGATTCTTTACAGCATTACCATCAGTGCTAATCAGTGGCCGATGCTTATTTAATTATGCTGGATGAGTGAGTTATTACCAGATTTATAATATTCCTGATATATGCACGCATTAGTTAATACCAGACTAATAACATACCTGACTTATGCATGCATGCATGCATGATTCTTTGCATACATCCTATTTCTGTTGTTTGTCTGATTGTTGTAAGAAATTGCACGTTACCATGGTTACATTTAATTACGGTAACCATGCTACGAACTATTCCAACTACTAATATTGTCTGTAATATATCGTTGTTTCTTTGTTGTTTTTGGTTTTGACTCTTCAGGAGTTTGAAGTCAGGTCTTTTGTTTGATCAATTTTACAAGCTATCAAAAATAATTATTTTAATCTGATCTAATAAGATTGTGATAAACATGATAAACATTTCCTTCTTAATAATTATATTATTATTACAAGTATTAGACCTCATATTGATATAATTTTTCCTAGTATCCTAAGTTTATGCTTCAGCCTCATGACCTAAATGTTGTGTATATTTGCTTGCAGACCTGGAACCCCTACAAGCCCCTGCCCCCGACACCTGACGTCATGTCCTCCTCGGTGCACTCCTCCTCCAGCAGCTCGGACCTCACCAGTCCCTCCGAGTTTGACCCGTACACAACCCTCTCCAGCGAGGCGCAGAAGTTTGCTGCTAACCTCATCTCCATGGGCTTCTCTCGACCACAGGTGGCTCGAGCTGTACATAAACAGGGAACAGACGAAAAACAGGTGAGGACTGCATGCTTATTTAATTAACTTGTTTTGGTTTTTTTAAAAACTCTTTTATCTATATCAGATCTGTGGGCATAATATTCTTTACATTTATATGGTTACCTTTACATTGAAATTGTGGTAAATTGGCAGGAAGCTAAAAAAATAGAAATAAATAAACATCATATTTAAATTCAATGTCATTACATTAAGTAATACGTTACCACTGTTATACCGAGGCTGTTGTCTCCCACAACTGCTGCTATAGCGAAATCTACCACAGAGATCTCAATTACCTCATGCAGCACGTGCGTAACCACCTAGCTGCCATGTGACACCCTTCACTCTTGTCTCCTTCGTCTGCTTAGCAAGACGTGTTTTCTCCTGCTGAAGCGTTCCTTGAAGATTTGGTGATATTTATTATAGTTTATTCTCTAATAAACTGTGTTTTTATGGGTCGTTGCGGTAGCTACGCTTGGTTATAATTTTCCCGCCAAACGAAAAAATTTTCCCGCCCTTTTTTCTATATACTTGCGGGGTTCGCGTATGCACGTTGTGTTTTACGTTTCCCCTGTTCTTGTATGTTTTGGGGGTTAACATAACTTATTTCTTTAATAAAAGTTATATGTGTATGTTATATGTTCACATTGCTCGTTTATTTTCTTGTGAAAATGTTCGTTTGTGAATCATTGTGGTGCGTGCGTTGTAACCATGTTTTGTTCTTTGTTTATAGCAAACAATCAATGTCTGACATGGATATGTCCCCAGTATCCACCCCCTCTACCCCTGCTCCTAGGAGTTGTGGGGTGTGCAGAAAGTTTTTGTCGTCCCGGGATCCCCACGATCGTTGCCCGCGGTGCAGGGTTCCTTGCGGGGACACCCGGTGCATCCTGTGCGAAGGTCTGGGGCCTGCGGAGTTTGAGCGGTACCGGCTGTACGTACAGTCCGTCTCCACCCCTGTGGTGGCCGGTTCGTCCGGTCGGGGTCCCCGTGCGGGTACCACCTCCTCGGCTGCGGCGGATCCCCTTGCGGCCCTCGGGCTGTCTGGGGATTCCGTCGCCGCATTGTTGTCGAAACTTGTGGACTCCAAGCTGGCGGCCTTATCGCAAGATAGGCCGCTGGCTGTTCCGTCCCCGGCCTCTTCGGTGGCCGCGGGGTCCACCGGTAAAGCGGCGGATCTCTTGGCGGCCCGTGTGCTGTCCGGGGATTCCGTCGCTGCATTACTTGCATAACTTGTGGACTCCAAGCTGGCGGCCTTATCTCAGGATAGGCCGCTGGCTGTTCCGTCCCCGGCCACTTCGGTGGCCGCGGGGTCCACCGGTACGGCGGCGGCTCCCGTGGTCACCGGTCCTTCCCCCGAACCGTTGCTCCCGCTATCGGTTTAGGACCGCGTGGCCATGGTTTAGGACCTCTTTGAGGACATGCCTCGGCCGGTACCGCGGGGAATCCACGACTGTGGGTTCCTCCGAGGTATACGATGAGTCTTCCGACACGGCTTTCCCCGCATCGACCTTGCTGCGCGGTTTCAAGCCTTCCTTGGAGAACGCCTTCGCGGCGGCCTCCGGTCGGGGTCTCCCGTTACCTCCGACGTCGTGGAGAAAGGGTTTATTCCCGGTACATGACCTTGCCTTTCCCGAGGCTGGTCCTACCGCGGAGGCCCATGTTGAGCGGTTGGGTGTCCGTGCCCCACCGGCTGCTACGGTAACGCAAGCTACCTTGCACCAGCTGGACTCCATGTCTCACTGAGACACTTACTTGGCTGCAGCGGCCCGTCTGGTCGAAGGTTCTCCCACGGACCGTGACCAGCGCATTTACAACTGCCTGCTCAGTTTAAATGCTTCCCTGGAGTACGTTGCCGAGGACTCTCGGCACACACTTGCTCTTGTTGGGTCCCTGCATAGGCGCCTGGGTGCCGCTCCTAACCGGAGCGCGCCCCAGACTGCTGCGGCCTGTAGGTCTAAGGGGTCGGGTTCTTCTCTGGGAAGTAGCCCCGCCCTGAGGGCTCCAGTATGGGCAATCAGCTGCCCTTTCGCGGGAAGACGAGGAACTGGGGGGAGCCCAAGTCGTCGACGGACGGCAAGGGCCCCTCCAGGTGACTCTCATTGGAGGGGTTCGTATGCCGACAGCGCCAACTTCGGTTGGCCCTTAGGTGAACCCGAGTCACTTGGCCCTGGACAGTTGCGCCTGCCGCAACCTGTCAGGGCCCCCTCTCCTTCCCCAGTGGGAGCCAGACTCCAGACTTACTGTTAAACGACCCGTGGGTGGTCAACACGATTCGGGACGGCTATCGGCTTGATCTCAAAGCGAATCCGTTGCCCCGTTGGCAGGTTTCGATTCGGAAACCGATCTTCCCATCCTTGCCGATGCCATCGGCAGGTTGGTGGAGAAGGGGCAGTACGGGAGTTAGCTCTACTAGAAATAACACCGGGGTTTTACTCCAGGATATTTCTCGTTCCCAAGTAGGACAGTGCCGAACTCAGAATGATTCACACGTCCGCTCCCTGGCTGTTCACCCGGTTAACCACCCCCATAGTGGGGTTCCTCCACAGGAGGGGTGTCCGGTACTTCGCGTACCTGGACGACTCGCTAGTAGCAAATCGAATGACGGACACCCTGTCACGCCATCTCGATTTCGCACGTCGGCTCTTGGAGCAATTTGGGTGGATTATCAATCTCCCCAAGAGCGAGTTAACCCCTTCTCAGAACTTGCTGTTCATCGGAGGTCGGTTCAACACGGTGTCCCATCGCCTCTTTGTCCCCCCAGACCGGTGGCACAAAATTCAGGCGATGATTGCCAAAGTCTTAGCGGTGCAACAGACTGTTCACTTTTGGGAACAGCTGTTAGGGCTACTTGTATCAGCCCAGGACTGCACCGCACGGGGTCGTCTCCAACTCCGCCCGCTGCAACGGTTTTTAATCCAGTTGTTAGCAACGGAGGTGAACAGTGCGACCGTCGCCCTCCCGGATCTGCTCCGTCCGCATCTGGAGTGGTGGACGGTCCCTTACATTGTCTTATCAGGAGTCTCTATGCGGCCCTACCGGGCCACGTTGACCCTGTATAAAGACGCCTCTCTAGTGGGCTGGGGCGCCCATCTAAAGGGGGAGGTGAGCTTGGGGCTGTGGTGCGTAGACGAACTAGGTCTTCACATCACTTGTCTCGAGTTCAAGGCAGTGATCAACGCAGTCAATCACTGGAAGCATCGTCTCGTCGACGCTCGGCTCATGCTGGCGACCGACAACACGACGGTAGTGTCCTATGTGAACAAACTGGGGGGAACCCACAGTCACTCGCTACTCGATCTCACGTTCGAGTTTTACGCTCTGGTGGACAGTGTCCCGTGCCAGATACGCGCCCGTCACATCCAAGGTGTGCGGAACGTTCTGGCCGATGCTCTATCGAGGCCTCAGGATCCGAGCCCCACAGAGTGGATGCTGAACCCAGTAGTGTTTCAGTGGCTGTGCGAACGTTTGGGTCGTCCGGTGGTCCGGCAATCAACTCCCGTTGTTTGTATCACCAGTCCCGGACCCAAGGGCCATCGATCACGATGCTCTCGCGTTAGACTGGACGGGCTTGGTCGCTTATGCTTACCCGCCGACAGCATTGATACCACACATTCTAAGCCGGCTCCGAGGAGTTCGCTGTCGAATGTTACTGATCGCGCCCATGTGGCCGAACAGATCGTGGTACCCCGACTTGCTGACCCAGGTCACGCAGTCGCCACTTCCACTGCCTGTGAGACCGGATCTCTTGATCCACCCTCACACCCGTCAGCTTCATCCAAACGCAGGGCAGTTCAATCTGCACGCGTGGATGTTGTCACCGAGCGTCTGAGGAGTAAAGTTTTTTCTCGCCGGGCGTCTCGGGCATACGTTAGTATGCATCGTGATTCTATCCAGAAGGTGTACATGTATAATGCACTTTGGGTTATTTTCACGAAGTGGTGTTGTAAACATCACATTCATTCGCCAGATAAGGTATCTGTGCAGGATATTGCTCGTTTCATGTCTCACTTGCGAGAGACCCGGAAACTCTCCGGGGGTTCCATTGCCAACTATGTCTCGTCCGTGGCTACGGTACGGGACGTTGCTATGGGTACCAGTCTCTCCAAAGAGCCGGTGATACGGGGTATTATCAAGGGTTTCAAACAGCACGATCTTAAGAAGGGCCGCCTTCGGGCGACGGCCTGGGATCTTTCCCTAGTGTTGCAATCACTTACGGAAGCTCCGTATGAACCCTTGCATAGTGTTTCGTTCCGGCATGTGACTTGGAAAACAGCATTTCTCCTCTCCTTTGCCACGGCGGCACGTGTATCCGAAATTCATGCACTCGATGTCGCCAAGGTATGATTCGATAGGGGTGACGAAGGAGCGGTCCGCCTGGGCCTGCTCATGGGCTTCGTCGCCAAGAATCAGAGAGTCGGGCAGAGAATTCACTGTAAGATCACTCAAAGAAATCTTACATCCTGCTGATACTGAGGACAGAGCGCTGTGTCTGGTTAGGGCCCTTAAGTATTATCTTAAGGCTTCGAATGAACGTAGACAAGGGCGTGACCGTCTGTTCATATCGTGTAACCCTAATCGCACGGTTGACATAACTCGCAACTCGATTGCGTTGTGGCTTCGTTCTGTCATCAATCTGGCGTACCGGTCTCGGGGGTTACCGGTAGCGGGGTCAAACCCGCACGAGATCAGGGCGCTGGCGGCGACATTTGCCCTACACTCGAATATCTCTGTTCGCAGAATATTACGAGGTTGTTACTGGCGTTCTGACTCGGTTTTTGCCAATCATTACCTCAAACAGGTCGCTGATGCCGTCGTGGAGAGTGTGCACCGTCTTGGCCCGCGGATCGCGGCGCAAGCGGGCACCTAAGGGGTGTGCCCAGCGCAATTCCGAACTCCTCAGGCGTCTGACCTTGCACGGTGGTCAATCTGGGTCGACTCCAATGTTCCCACTGCCGTGGGTACAGGAGTTGGGGTCCCGCAAACCAGCGCACTCACACCACAGGTGAGGGCGGCTTTTTGTGTGCTTTGTCCTTATTTGTATTTTGACAATTATGTCTTTAATTGTCTGTCGTGTATCCCAACCTTGTGATGCATGCTTACAAATACTGGAATTAGGTCACGCGCCTAATGCATACTTTAAGTAGGCTTGCTCTGGGATATACGGTCTGAATGAAATTAATTTCCCTCTTTTCGACTGTTTAACCTGATCTAAGATTAAGCTCACGCGGATACAGTGTTCTCATCCGCTGCTGCGATGAAATACCTATCCAGTGGGGCTGTTTGGAGTCACCAATCGTTTTGGCAATGACGATTGAGCCTTACGGTATGCGCTTGACAGTGCTTTGGTATTCCTATAGGGTAATGCCTAGCTAGGTGCATGCGCATCGAGTGCTTCCGCCTTGGTGTTTACTTCCGCTGGTCGGAAGGAACGCTAGCAGTCAGGATTCGGGTTGTAGGTGCTCCCCACCGCCTACTGTGGTAGTCAGCCTCGGTATAACAGTGGTAACGTATTACTTAATGTAATTTGTAGAATTTTCCTATTCGGAATATTCTATAAGTAATACGTTACCACTGGGCTGCTGCCCGCCCGTCCGTCCCCCGAGCACTTGCTCTCGCAGGAGACAAGAGTGAAGGGTGTCACATGGCAGCTAGGTGGTTACGCACGTGCTGCATGAGGTAATTGAGATCTCTGTGGTAGATTTCGCTATAGCAGCAGTTGTGGGAGACAACAGCCTCGGTATAACAGTGGTAACGTATTACTTATAGAATATTCCGAATAGGAAAATTCTACAAAATTACTGGAATGTCTGGTCTAGACTTGATTATTTACAGTCCACCGTCATATAGCCGCAATATTGCTGAGTGCAGCGTTAAGCAAAAAACAAACAAATGATGACATAGTTCAGTGCAATAATGCGAGACAAACCTGGCCTATTCTATAATCAGCCAATCAGAAAATGGTGGTCCATTAGTGGGCATGGCCTTAGTCCTTTTCATTTATGGAAACAGAAATGCATAAATTTGCTTGGTTAACAAATGAAATAGTTTCTTGCCACTTGACCACCACCCAGTCATCTGTAATGTCATTAAAAGCCCTTTCATAGAGTATTAGACATTCAACATGCGTAATTTCAGTCAGAACATTCTTGCTTGTATCAGAAATAAATCAATTGCAGGTGATGCTATACCTGTCCAACCTGTACATATTACTATACATGGACATCAGGCAGTTCAGTTTAAGTCCCTGTGGACAGTGTAGACATTTAATTTGACTGTGGTCTTGTTTTCAGGTGGTGGAGTACTTGTGTCATGTTAACAATCTGGTGGAGAAAGGATTCAATCCAATCCGTGCTGAGTTGGCACTGAATCTGTTCGACAACAATTTCCCAAAGGTACAGTTGGCTTGACTGCGTTTCATTTGATTGAACTTATATGTTTTATTATACCCCCGACAAAATGTCGGGGGTTTATAGTTATACCAAGATTCCGTCCGTCCATCTGTCTGTCCGAAAACTTTGTCCGCACGATTTCTCTTAAACTATTCAGTGGATTCATCTCAAACTTAGTACATATAATCTGTGTCATATGGAGGGGTGCAGTCAAAAGAAAAAAAATTGTTTTGATTAATTTTCCATTTTTTTATGAATTTTTCAAACCCTAACGTCCGTCTGAAAACTTTGTCCACGAGATTTCTCTTAAACTATTCAGTGGATTTATCTCAAACTTAGTACATGTAATCTGTGTGCTATGGAGGGGTGCAGTCAAAAGAAAAAAATTGTTTTGATTAATTTTCCATTTTTTTATGAATTTTTCAAACCCTAAAGGCTAACCCTATCCTAGCTATTTAATTTGTAACTACTGACACACTAGGCATGTCGGGAGTATTAGTTAGCCACGCTCACTTTTGCACTTGTTTAACCATGTTATGCATGTTTTGAAACCATGATGGACGTGGGTCAGTGGTCTTGGTTGCCAAGTGGTTAAAGCGTTTGCTTGTCATGCCGAAAATCAGGGTTAGATTTCCGACATGTACAATGTGTGAAGCCCATTTCTGGTATCCCTCGCCGTGATATTGCTGGAATATTGCTAAAAGCGGAGTAACATCAAGCTCACTCACTGTTAGTGTAACAGATGCTGGTTGTGGGCTGCCTAACAAATTAGTTAGTGGAGGTACCTGGGATAGAATCATGTACTGCACAGACCTGTGAAGATCCAGGTTAGATAAGGTCTTCAGCAACCCATGCTTTCCCTAAGAGGTGACTGCTTGTCGTAAGAAGTAACTAACCAAATTTGGTGTTCAGGATCGCTGACTTGGTTGATGCATATCATCGTATTCCAATTGGAGGGATCGATGGTCATGATGTCAATCACTGGACTGTCTGGTCCAGACTCAATTATTTACAAACCGCTGTCATATAGCTGGAATATTGCTGAGTGTGGCGTTAAACAACATACAAACAAAAAACATCTCATAGGACAAAGACCCCATCAGTTTGTGAATGCAAGATGAAAAAGAGGTAACAGATTGCCCATGGTTTGTCCACACACCGGCAGATCCAGGATTTTGAAGAAGGGGGCTGTGTACTGCGTACACATTGGGCTTCACTGCCATTAACATGATTGTGATACCTAAAGTTCAACATGGTGTTAAGACCCATCTTACCCAATCTCTGAAATGAATGGATTGCTTGTACTTCCCTGTTTTTGGTGTATATGTTGATCCACTAATGATTGAGAACAAAGAATATTTTGAAAGAAATCTTGAAAAAATGTTGAACATATATTTTTACTTATCCTACATTACTCCTTAATGCATCTGCTGCTTACCTGACAGACCGTCTCCATGGTCTAGTGGTAGAGCGTTCAATCCCCCACCGCGTCATACCAAAAGAGGTGAGGTGAAATTGGGTTTAACGTCGCGTCCAAGATTATTGCACTTATATAGCGACGTTCATACCAAAAGACGTTAAAAGATGGTACTTGTTGTTACCCTGTCTGGTGCTCAGCATTAAGGGGCTAAAACAAGGACTGGTCGGCTTGGAGTCAGTAAACTGTGTCTGAGTGGGGTATAGATGTTAAACTGCGACATGGTATCTCTGTGGGCTAGCACTATAAATCGACATCAGTCCGGACTAGTACAAGCAGCCACACCCACCCACCCACCCACCCACACACACACACACACACACCCACACACCCACACACACACACACCCACACACACACACACACACACACACACACACACACACACACACTTGAATGCACATCGCTATGTAAGTGCAATCTTGGACCTGGCGTTAAACCCAATTTCACCTCACCACCGCTTACCTGACAACAAAGAAACAGCACCTGGTGATGGTCCTTGATGAAGAAAAAATGATGTTTTCACATTCGGTCTACTTTTGAAAGGACCCATCGCCACTATCCAAATGTAAAAAATATTTCGATTTTACTTTAAAATTATTTTTTTTAATTGTTAGCTCTTGATTCAAGAAGGATGTGTTAGTGAGGTCCTATACACTGAAAGGTTGGGTAAAGGTTATTATAGTTTTAGGGATGTAAAAGAGACTTTCTTGTTTTCAAAAATAGGACTGAATCTGAATAGCTGTCTTGACGTGGCACATTGTTCATATTTCAGGCTGAGAAGTACCTCGAGATGTTTGTGCAGTTCCAGGAATTAGGATTTGGTGAGGACAAGATCCGAGAAGCCCTTGTCAAGGAGAACATGGATCGTGACAAAGCTTTGGACTTCCTCACTGCGTGACACACGCCACCAGATAGAGCTGACACCGTCACTATGATCAACCTCCTTCGATTGTTAGTTCTGTTACACGATCTTTTAGCCATGTGTAGTACATGTACAACTACAAGACAAAACACTATGTTATCTTGATCAGTCAGTTTATTTTATATTTTTGTTCTACTGTTAAATTTGTTTTGTCAACTGGAAACATTTACTAGTGTGACATTTCACTGTTAACGAAACCAAGTCGTGTAAAATGTGTCATGCCTGGCTTGATGCACAGAAATAGTGGAGGTAACTCCAGAACCAGTGTTGCGAGGTGGGGATATGCATCACTGTAGTGAAATGGTGTGTGATAGCTTCACCATTTGTCCATTGAGATTTGTTTTCAACTTAGTGATCTCCTGTTTAACCTCAGTCTAACAGGATGACATGTTTGATTGCAGTCAGTCATAAACAGCATTTCATCCTAGTCCACGACAAAGTAACTTATAGGTTTAATGTAATGCACCCTGGGATCTGTCACTGAGGTAACTCAGGGGTTAGTGTTGCAGATCATCACAAGGATAATGTGTGTGAAGCCTTGTCTTAAAATACCCTTACTTGTTCACATTAGACACCAGCTCCATCACTAGGCCGTGGTATAACATACCAGATTTGTCACTAGGCCAGGTATAACACACCAGTTTTGTCACTGGGCCATGGTTTAACACACCAGCTCTGTCACTAGGCCGTGGTATAACACACCAGTTTTGTAACTAGGCCATGGTATTACTCCAGTTTTGTCACTAGGCCATGTTATAACTCTAGTTTTGTCTCTATGCCATGGTACAACACTAGTTCTGTCACTAGGCCATGGTTTAACACATCAGCTCTGTCACTGGGCCATGGTATAACACTCCAGTTTTGTCACTAGGTCATGGTATATGACACCAGCTCCATCACTAGGCCATGGTATAACACACCAGTTTTGTAACTAGGCCATTGTATTACTCAAGTTTTGTAACTAGGCCATGTTTGATTGCAGTCAGTCTAGTTGCAGTCAAACTAGTTTTGTCCCTAGGCCATGGTATAACGCTAGTTCTGTCGCTAGGCCATGGTATAACTCCAGTTTTGTCACTAGGCTAAGGTATAACACACCAGCTGTGTCACTAGGCCATGGTTTAACACATCAGCTCTGTCACTAGGCCGTGGTATATCACACCAGCTCTGTCACTAGGCCATGGTATCACATGCCGGTTCTGTCACTAGGCCATGGTATATGACACCAGCTCTGTCACTAGGCCATGGTATAACACACCAGCTCTGTCACTTGGCCATGGTATAACATGTTGGTTCTGTCACTAGGCCATGGTATAACATGCCGGTTCTGTCACTAGGCCACGGTAAATGACACCAGCTCTGTCACTAGGCCATGGCATAACACACCGGCTCTGTCACTAGTCCATGGTATAAAAAACACCAGCTCTGTCACTAGGCCATGGTATAACACACCAGCTCTGTCACTAGGCCATGTTATAAGACACCAGCTCTTTCACTAGGCCATGGTATAACACACCAGCTCTGTCACTAGGCCATGTTATAACTCCAGATTTGTCACTAGGCCAAGGTATAACACACCGGCTCTGTCACTAGGCCATGGTATAACACTAGTTCTGTCGCTAGGCCATGGTATAACTCCAGATTTGTCACTAGGCCAAGGTATAACACACCGGCTCTGTCACTAGTCCATGGTATAACACACCAGCTCTGTCACTAGGCCATGGTATAACACACCGGCTCTTTCACTAGGCCATGGTATAACATGCTGGTTCTGTCACTAGGCCACGGTATAACACACCAGCTCTGTCACTAGGCCATAGTATAACATGCCGGTTCTGTCACTAGGCCATGGTATAACATGCTGGTTCTGTCACTAGGCTATGGTATATGACACCAGCTCTGTCACTAGTCCATGGTATAACACACCTGCTCTGTCACTAGTCCATGGTATAACGCACCAGCTCTGTCACTAGGCCATGGCATTATATGCTGGTTCTGTCACTAGTATATGGTATAATACACCAGCTCTGTCACTATTATATGGTATAATACACCAGCTCTGTCACTAGGCAATGGTATAACATGCCGGTTCTGACACTAGGCCATGGTATAACATGCTGGTTCTGTCACTTGGCCATGGTATAACCAGCAGCTCTGTCACTAGGCCATGGTATAACATGCTGGTTCTGTCACTAGTCCATGGCATAATACACCAGCTCTGTCACTAGGCCATGGTATAACATGCCGGTTCTGTCACTAGTCCATGGTATAATACACCAGCTCTGTCACTAGGCCATGGTATAATACACCAGCTCTGTCACCAGGCCATGGTATAATATGCCGGTTCTGTCACTAGGCCATGGTATAACATGCTGGTTCTGTCACTGTGCCATGGTATAACACACCAGTTCTGTCATTAGGCCATGGTATAACGTGCCGGTTCTGTCACTAGGCCATGGTATAGCATACCAGCTTTGTCACTAGACCATGGTATATGACACCAGCTCTGGCACTAGGCCATGGTATGACACACCAGCTGTGTCACTAGGCAATGGTATAACATGTCGGTTCTGTCACTAGGCCATGGCATTACATGTCTGTTCTGTCACTAGGTTAGGTATGTATGAGGGTGAATATTGATGAAGTCAAATGATTCAGAATAGATGAGTTAGAGTAGATTTATGGTAGATTGATCATGAAATAGCCAAGTGATTTACTTTTGTTTTTAGGAAGAATACTTTGAAAAACTGTGATATTTGTGAGCAAACACACCAATGATGGAAACACATGTTTCTTAAGAAAGCTACTGTGTGTGGCTACAAGTTTGTATATCTGCAGTAGAAACTTCCCCATATTGATATATGCGCATTCTCATGTGTGTGGGTAGGAGTTTTGAATGAACACACATCTGTCCGGGACATGACCTAGTTGCTGCTACAATGAGAGCAGCGGGATGCAGTCATGTTACTCTTCGTCATGATGTTTACCAGGGTATATATAGATGCTGTGGCACAAGAAGTGCCTGATTATGTCTAAGTTCTGAAATAACTAAGGCAGACAAGTGATATTTTCAACATCATTTTTGACAACAGCATGTTTCTTATTTAGTATTGGGCATGATCTTGTGAATCGAAACAGCCCATGCACCCAGTCTTACGAATTCCTCAACGAGCAGGTGATTAAGGGCAATGTTGATATATGGTAACTGAAGTGAAGAAACATTAAGTATCAATTCAGAATGAAGGGTTCATGTATAGAGCTCAACATTTGCTAAGGACCAAAATAGTCATCTTCAGTTTAAGGTGTGGTCCTTAGCAAATGTTGAATTGAATATTATTTAATGGTTAGAACATTGTCATACTGTGTTGCCTGCTTGTAGGGCCCATCAACAGTATTGCTATATTGCAGGGCTTGCCAGGAGAACTGTGTTGTAGCTAATGTTTTGTCTTTTATTATTTGCTCATTGTCAGATGAGGATAAATTGAAGCCAATTCTTTTTTTCAATTGTGCAATATTAACAGAGATCTTATGTAATTTCTGCTGTCTTTCTATATTCATGATGTTTGTAACACGTTTTTGTACTTTTGTAAAGAAAAACAATTTTAATTTAATTATTGTATATCATGTCAGTTTACTTGATCACAACTTGTATGTATTACTATTAAGGCCAGCCTGTTCTTTTCTTATTTCGCAATCGGCCTGTTGCAAATTTTGCAGAAGTACAAAAAAGGTCACTGGATTAAAAAAGGTTTCATTAAATGTATGTGGGTTTTTTCATATCCCCACTTGTTATGCTTGTTGAAATGTTTTAGATCCTTGTCTTTGAAAATGTATATATGATTTACAGGAGCTTTAGGTGGGACATGCAGAATAAAAAGTCCATACAAACAGTGATGAAAGTCTGGCCTACAAACAACTTGTGATCCTATTTTCCATGCATGATATTATTAGCGTGATAAGCTGGGATGTAACCTCAGTGTGTGTTCAAGGATGTATCTACACCTGCTTACAAGCCAATATTTGTCCCCAAGTCTGCAGCAGATGCCAGTACAAAAATTCTCAAATTAGAAATTATATTTTCCTAATGCATGTAGTAAGATTATGATGAAATGCTATGGCTTTGTTGTGGCAACTTGTATTACACAGATTACAAGACAATAAAGAGGCAAAGGTTACAATGATTAGTTGTACAGTATTGTATTGAATGCAAGGTTAAATACCTGTACGAAAATAAGAACTACGAACGAAAAATCCCAATTTTGAAAAATAACGACTTGTTTCAGCAATTTGTCTGCCAGAGGCACTGTGTTTGGAATCGTAGATAAATCTGTGGTGTTGATGGATGTGACTATGTTTATAACTTCCCAAGTTTGGTAAGGGAATACTGTCTGTGGTTGGGTGTTACGTGAGGTCGAAAAGGCCTGTGTATAAGTAACCTTTGTGTCATAATGTGCCTGGTTACCTGGTAATGACCCAACCCTGGTGGGGGATTGGTCCAATGTATACTACTCAAAAGAAGTTAGGGCATGACAGATTAACTGTAGTAATTTGAAAGGATCATGTGTTCTTTAACTTGTTTTGAGTACTATATATCAGAAGAAGTGACTATAGTGAGGATCAGTTGGTCACCTGCCTGATTGTGTGTCATCGTGTCCAGACATATGATGTCATTGTTCTTGAGATCAAACACGGATTTACCTGGCCCAGACTTACCTTTACATACAAGCCATTGCAACATGGCAGAATGTTGCTGACTGTGGCATATAACAACATTCATTCACCAGTCTTTGTTTAATTAAAACAAAAATAGATTATAAAAATTAGCAATTACTTCTAGTAGCTGTATGAAAGTGATAGAAACTTCTGTGTAATAACAGATTCTATTGACTATTAAGTTTAATGTTACTATGTAAGCTTAGTGTACGACACAGAAAGGAAATTTACTCTTCTCAGACTTCGGACAAGTGGCGGGGGCACGGGTGGCCCGGTCGTCTAAGGCGTCGCAATTCGCTGTGCAGAGTTGCGTCCCTTGGGTACGCCAGAAACCTATGATTGGGTTCGAATCCCGGTTTGCCCCGATTATGTTTCTAGGTTTGTCAGAACCATACCCGTGCTCGTGGGTTTCACCGAAGTGGTAAATGTCTGAGACCTGCATCACTTCGGGCTTTCCTCCCACATTAAGCTGACCCGCCGCAATATAACTGGAATACTGTTAAAAGCGGTGTTAAACCCAACTCACTCACTCACTCGGACAAGTGGCTAAAGTCGCAGACTGCGTTGAACTTTTATGGTGGCAGGTTCATCTTATTAATACAAGAGTATTTTATTGGCTCTGTAGAAGAGGAAGTAACATCTCATGACGGTTAAATTTATTGCTTAATGTTTCACACAGCCATGTTCAGCCAGGATCCATTAGGTCACAGACCGGTATGTCAAAGCTGCATGCACCCTGTGGTATTTGCTCCATGTTGCTGATGACATGCAAGGAGTGTGGACACACAGGGGAATCTATCTCCACCTGGAATGGAGCTATTGGGAGATGTCTTCACGTGTAATAAGACTTGACATTGTAACTTCTCTTGTTAAGAACCTAGTTAAGTTTCAACAGAGCCTCATGTTAGTACACTATAAGGTGTAGCAGGATTACTTGGGGTATAGCGGGTTTTATGCGTCCAGCGTTAGGTTTTATACCACGGGCCATAGAAAACAGCTGGAAGCGGTTGGTATAAAACCTAATGAGGGACGCATAAAACCCCATGTACCCCGAGTGATCCCGCTTCAATGAATGTATCTTACCAACATGTTTTAATGCGACATTGTAAAAGAAATACAAACAAATTCAAAATTGATAGAAAGCAGCTGTTCAATTGAGCTGATGTTAGTTTGTGCCATGTCATATGACTTCCACTGACTTGGAAAAATTGTGCAGCTTTTTGCTTTGAAGCAGGGTATAAGGGATTTATTCTGCCACTCAGAAATCCACGTGCAGCCTGTATTGCTTGTGGCAGGGTATAAAAGATTTATTCCCCCGCTGAGAAATTTATTACCCTCTAAGGCGCTACACAGTATTTTATCAAGATCACGTGGACCAATCAGATCTCATCATTCTGACATGGGGGTATGACAATGTGTTTTGTCAATATTTATTTGTCATAAGCTTTGTTGCATTTAGTTTCAGGATATGCTTATTGTGGGGTCAAGTCCCCAGTTCAGTTGATTCAGAGCCTTTGTTTGCACCTGCCCTGTGCTTCTTCTAGATGTTACCTGTTGATCACAACACTAAAATATTAACATTGAATATTCTTAAGTGTGAGCGCCAATTCATTGTCACCATAAAATCATTTCTCATCACTTTAATTTATTCAAAAGGCACATTTTTTCTTATTTGTGTTATTCTGTTACGATCATTTTTATAAGCAGAGGAAAATTAACATAATCTCATAGCAATGAATATTGATGCACTGTCATGCTTATATGGTTTGTTATGGTTTTGCATCAAAACTCACTTGTATTATCACCTGTGTTTTAAAATGGTCAGTATATATTCTACTAAAACAATGTTAAGGACTACCTGATTCTTTCATGTAACTGTAGTTGATAGATTGACTATACTAATATGAAAGAATCGGGTGATCCTTAACTGTGTTTAGGTATAATATATTGTCAAAGGTATGTATTACATGGAGTAGCCTGAATGTGAAACTATCTTCCATCCAGGGATAAATTAGAGACACTGATGTTCGCTACTCCACTGTGCCAAAGGACTTAGATACTCATAAACATGTGTCGAAATTAGTTATTTGAACTAGTGATAAAATTGTTAAAAATTAATTCTGTTCTAGTCTCTATACGTCAAATTTATTTTCACAATGTTCCCAGGTGCTAATAGTCTGCTGTTGAACTGTATTGTCTCTAACAGACATTACAAAGTGGATGTAAAACTTCTCCCTCGATGATATAGGTTTTCTTTGGTTAACAATCAAAATACTGAGTTCCCATTCACACTCGACTGTTTGAGGTATTGTTTTGAAGTTGCGGTGGATGAGAGTTAGGCAATTCATTTTAAGATGAATTATACACCAGCGATCAATGTCCTGACCGATTTTCTAAGGTGGCACATTTCACATTGCAGACTTGCATCCTTCAGGTAGGCAGTGAGGGATCCATGGGTGAGAATCCCAGATTCACCCCGATTCTGATCCTTGCTTTTTCAACGCCATGCTCATGGGTTTAGCCAACATGGTAAACATCAAAGACCTGCATCACTTTGAGTTTTCCTCACTCAGAAAGCTATCATGATTTACCGTATTCGACGTAATAAGCACCCCGCTCTAATAAGCGCCCACGGCGACATTTGCTAAGATATTGGCTAATGAACATTCCCAATTAGCACCCCTTCCAATTGATCAATGTACACATGACTTATTTATTCGCGTATAATACGCACTCGTGTGTTATATGCACCCTTAATTATGGGCATTTAATTCTGGAAAAATATATCTGTCGTACATAAACATTTCAGACTGTCAGCATAAACCACGAAATGTATCTTTCAACTCTGTATTTTTCACCAAAATAACATTCTAATAAGAGCCCCCTATTTCTAATTTTGAGAGCGCCCTGGGCGCTTATTACGTCGAATACGGTATTTGAAATGCAAAATTCAATGTGGTGAAAATCCCAGCTTACTCATTGTCAGGATTTTGTACACTCTCATGTTTCATACACAGAATATGTAGTCAGTTTTACAGTGAATATTGTTAATTATATTTTGTTTTTCAATATGGTTGTGCTTTCATGTGTTTTGTACTCAGATGACTGTATATACATGCTGTTGTTTCTGTGTGGATCTCGGCTCTAGACAACCATCCTGTATGTGTATATATTGATTTGCATGTGTATATTCGTGCCACCTGACTCGGTATAGAGGAGCTGTCATGTATATTTATCATTGTAAATTCAAAGGTGTTTAAAATTTCAGCTGATGTACAGAATGTATATTAAATGATGATCTATAGAAAAGTGTATTTGTTTTTATTTGGTAAGTTCAACAAAGAGTAGCTTGTATTTCCAGGCTGTTGAACAAGGGTTCTGAGTTTTAGTAAGAAGTTTCCTGTTATTCAAAGTAATTGTAGCAGCGACATTTTGTCAATGGATTCCATGTTTAGCCGAGATGCCAGCAATTTCGATTTTGACAGAATCATTACAATATTTGGGAATAAATTCCAGAATTAATGATTAAATCACATTTACTAGGCAAAAGAAGTTGAACACCCCAGTTTTTCATATGACTCTAGTTAATCTGCCTGTCATACATAATTTTTCATGTCACGACAGAGTTACTATAGTCATATAAAAGAATCAAGTGTTCTTTTGTATTATTAATTTGATAAGAAAATACATTACCAGTAATTCAGACAAGTGACTGACCTTGTTTCAGGCACTGTCACATGACCAATAAATAAGTCCTAATTCTTTTAGCTTGAAGGTTTAGAGTTCTGGTGATGAAATTTAATAGGTGATTTATTTTTATCACTACCTTACAGTTAATCATGATAATAATAGTAACTAATTATTTTTTAAACAAACAATTCTTCGTTTCAGTCCACCAAAAATGACCGAGTCATATGGAGTATAGTAACTGTTCTGGATACATCTGTGTAAGCACTTCTCCCTTAGAGTCAGGAAGGGGGCGGTCGGGTAGCCTAGTGGTTTAAGTGTTCGCTCGTCACGCCGAAGACCCGGGTTCGATTCCTGACATGGGTACAATGTGTGAAGCCAATTTCTGGTGTCCCCCCGCCCTGATTTTGCGGGAATATTGCTAAAAGCGGCGTAAAACCATTCTCACTCACTCACTCACTCACTAGAATCAGGCAGATCCTGCAGAATATACACAGCTCCAGTGACTTACTCCAACTGGCACTATCTTTCCAAGAAAATCAATATCTGTTAAGCATTTATTCTGTTTCCTTTAAGTGTTTTGTTTAGTGATGACATCATCTAGTAAACGGAAAAGCTTTGTTACATCATTTTTTCATTCACTTCCAGCACGGCCCATCCGTCATCCAAAACACTGCTAGTATACCTGTCAAACTGACTATGTTAGGGGCAGACAATTTTCAAGTCCTAGCTTTAGGTTTATCAAGTCATCAATGCCATAAGCTTGTTCTTTTGGGTAGTACATGCATCAGTGGCCATCTGAGGGCAGAAACTCGATTGTGATCTGCCTCAGGTTTGGATCATCGTACCGTGAAGGGATGGATCAATACTCACAAAACCAATCAATGATTTCCCTGCTCTAGGACAATACATTTTGACAGCTGCCATAACTGTTTGTATTTTGTTACTGTATGCCATCACTCACTCATCGATTGATGATTTATTACTTGTCAGTGTGCAATTAGAACTAACTCTCCAGCCAATCAAGATCCAAATGCTTTATTCACAGATTTACCACAGTGTCTAGCTGCATATTTTATTCTTATACTTAATGTACTATACTATGATCTAAACAAGCAGATAGGACTTGTACATAATTCCTACAAGTTGAACATAAAGACCAATAATACAGATACACTTGGAAAACGCATATTCAAATTTCTGTAATAATTGGTAATTATCTTAAAAACATAAAGGCAATAGTTAATAATCATATTGAAATCAAGTTCTTAGAAAAGTTTAAAACATTAGTACACATTATAATAGAATTTTTAATCTGATCAAATAAGTTCAAAACTAAATGTGTCAACTTTATTTCAAATAAAAGGCTTTATTAGCATCAAGTTTATGGATAACAACTTTAATATACTGTAATAGCGACATTTCAGTATACAACCTTATACCTTTGTCAAGCAGGTCGAGTAATGAACGTGGTACAGAAATATATATGGTAGGTGAAGGACTCAAATATGGCTGCCTTTATGTACTTTGAGTCGGCCGATAGTAGATGGTGGTATCACCCCCACAATGTTGTATGATGTGGACATGACGTCTACAATCATGGCAGCACAGCTGAAGATGCTGACCAAAGCAGCAAGCACACTAAACGATGCTAAGCATTTCGGTGTTTGTTTCCCTTCTTGAGCCTGCTCTCCTTCAGCTTCTGAGCTTGTCTGGATATCGTCTTGTTCAAACTGCTGTACTTCTGGCTGTCATTCCTGTCAGAAAAGGTGATAATCAAGAGTTATCCTCCTTGGACCATAATATTGATTGATACCAAAGCCAACGTAATTAAAGGAAATAAGATTGACCATCTGCATTCAATGACAACGGAATACAACTTCAACTGGGGTATTTCAAATCGTAATACTTGTAAGGATGTTAAATTATGAGTAGGTATTAGGCTAAAAAAAAAAATAGTCTTGGTTCCCAGGCACCCCCTGCATCATCATCAAGTTTGACACATGCTTCATTTTAATTTCCATTTCCCTAAATATTCAAAGTCAAAAATCGTATTCCTGTACACATGTATTTAACTCATCAAGGAATACATTTATGTCCGGTGCCCCTTTCCCACAACTGTTTTTTTGGTTACATACTAGTTTGAACAACCCCCCCAAAAACAAAAAAACACCACCCGAATACACTATATTTTCAAAAGCTATAGCCTGAGAACCAATTATTATTTTCTTAAGCCTTAGTTTAATTATTTTTTACTGGTACACAACAAACTGTCCACTCAAACAACAAGCTGGATATATATGTAATATTATGTTATGTACTGTACACAAACAACAGATTAGATATCTTAAAGTGAGTGAACACATAGATTTGATGTGAAAATAGTAAATCATAAGATTTTTCCATTTTACAACCTTTTTACAGATGACAAAGCCATTCACCAAGACAGTATTCATAGACATAGTTCAACCAATACTAATTAAGCTCAGTAAACATTTCATGATATAATGTTGTACCTACTGAACATATCAGTGATAACAAAACAAAATGTCACTGATTCATGTACAACATGTACTGACAAACCTCAGATAAAACAATTTGAGGGTCCAGAGGTAGGTCATACTATAAATTTACGTGTGTTTTGTCTGTTGTTTAACACCACACTCAGCAATATTTCAGCTATATGACTACGGTTTGGACCAGACAGCCCAGTGATTGACACCATAAGCATCGATCCACGCAATTGTTATACGATGACATGCATCAACCAAGTCAGCGAGCCTGACCACCCGATCCCGTTAGTCACCACTTACCCATATTTTAATAGTTTCTTATCCTCATACAACCTTTTTCACAATACCTCTCCCTTCGATCCCATGACACGGAACCCAGAACATGCCTCTATCAGGGGAGCTCTCTCCCCGTCACTGACCTTCCCTTGAACACCCACTTTCCACTTATCTGAATGCTGCTAACAACATTTTATGATAAGTATACTAAGATATAATAAATATTGTAGTGTATATAAAATACTACCTATGAAAGAACTTCAGTGCACTTACTTGCCCATCTTGACCTTGTTGCGACATCCCAAACCTCCCTCCCAGTGTGAGGACTTCCCTCGGGTCAACATCTGCTGACAAGTCACACACGGTCGGTCTGGGGCATACATCTGAACAAAAGAATAATTACACTAACATTAGATGTCACAAATCTTACATCACCAGGCATGGTCAGGAAACTGTAGATGTGGCTAAACATGCTTAAAGAAAAATAATTTTTATGACCGTTTTGGGGCAACTTCTACAACTGGTAAAATGAAATTGTATACATGTATATGAGTCTCTGCCAAATGATAGGACAACATGCATTTCTCTTTCATTAATTTGTTCTAATGTTAATCAACTTTTTTCAATTTTCAAAGTGAGAAAAGTATTCTGCACTACATGAGCATATTAATAAGATTTCACAACATGAATAATATGAAGATTTAAGAACATGAATGCTTACCTGTTCCTTACAGCAGAAGCCACAGATGACTCTGTTGGCAAACACCATCTCATGGCCATCGGACTGCTCGTCATGACACACATCACAAGGGTACACCATGCCACAACAGGGGAACCTGCAATACACCAGGCAGTTGGTCAGGAGGGGTCAGGGGGGGCCGAAACCTTGGTTAATAGCCGTCACAGCATCACAAACACATTGTGACAAGTTACACAGGTTCAATGCTGATTTTTGTCAAGTATGAAGTTTCTGAGTGAATTGTGTTATACGTGGTCAACAGTTTTAGTGTTGTACAGCAGGATTCATTTCTGTTGTCAGTTTCCACTCACCTGAACCAGCGGTAACTCTTCTTGTAGTGTTTGCAGGCACCATTGTCTGGCAGTGGCTTGCCCTCCTTTATTGCAGGGTCCTTCAGTACCCTTCGTTTCTTAATTGCAACCTCGTGAACCTTCTGCTTGGGGTCTGAAATAGAGAAACTGAGGTTAGAAGAAATTTTTTAAGTGGACTCCCAAGATTATATGCAGGGTTTGATCAATAATAAGGGTGGTACAAGTTTGTCCTCAACAAATTCAAGGCCTTTTCTGGGCTTTTTCAAGGCAGTTTCAGTCAAATACAAGGCAAATAAATAACAAACAAGAAGTTCACTCATTTGACTGATGTACACAGCCTCCAGCTTGTGACTTCACGTTTAAATTACTCGTAAGCACACAGCATTAGTGCATATGTTAGCAGACATTCAAAAGCAAGTTGCTCTTGTTGTCTTCCCACTACAACCTACCTGTGACAACACCAGATGGCTGAAGTTGAAAAAACTGTACAGTATCCGTAGCAATCTTCATCTTCTGATGGCAGTGACGACACCAGGTGTTGGACACCTGACCAGGAAGCAGACCCTAAAATTAAACAAAAAATTCTAAAACTATTGAATGATAATCAAAATCTTCTCTCAGTCAAACATCTACATTTGGTTTTCAAATTGGATAGGGTTGTCCAGGCGACCTGGATCCCCCCTTCATGATCTACCTCTGTGATAGTTTGTGACTGATTGGAAATAACAATGGGTTAATGCTGCTTTAGCTATTTTCAAGCAATATGGGACAGGGAATCCTGATGTGTGCCTCACATAGGTATAAAACCCTATTTTGGGTCTGACAAGCAGACTTGGACCACTAGGCTACAATATCACCCCAACATAATCAAGAGTATGAACCTTGAAAGTCAACCAGCTACTTAGTAGGAGACCAACAGATTCCACCAAAAACAAACCCACAATACTACTTCCCAGACTAAGGATACGATTAGGTATACAGTCCAAGAAATACAAACAAGTCTGAATTAATTAAATTCGGGCACTGACTACTGTATTAGATCAAAAATCTTAATCAGTGCACCAATGCCTATCCCAAGATAAACCATTATATATATAATATTATGTTGTGTTCAACATGAAGTTGGCAAGATGATAGCTTACACTGATCTTCGACTCTTTAGAGCAGTTGACACAGCCAACCCTTGCTTCGCAATCTTGTAGCACAAGGTCAAAGGCTGTGCAGTTTTCAAGGTCAAGGTAACCCATGACTGAGGAGAACTGGTGCATGAGCACTGGTCGGAAGGTGAGCAGTTGGGACTGGTTACACTTGGTGCAGGACACGGAGTTGATTCTATGAGAAGGAGTGTTGAAGTCAGTGTGGTTCTTGCATCGTCCACACTGAATAGTTATGTGAATCTTGTCACACATCAGGGTGTTTGCTCCTTCTCGCAACTGCAGATTTTTCAAAGTGATCTCTGTTCCTTTCTTCTCCGTGTCCATATCACGGTCAGTATTGTGAGAGGCAGGTGTAGGCTCGCTGTCCTCATCTGAGCAAGTTTCCCCTGAATCCACGTCGCTGTACTCATCAGAATCTTCCTCTGAGCCGTCCAGTTCCAAGTCCTCATTATTTTCCGATGCCTTGTACTTAGTCTGCAGCTCAGTGGCATTAATGAACTGGAAACCAGCTGCCTTCGCCACAATTTCTCTTTTCATCTGTAAATAAAATGCATATCTTGCCTGAACCTAAATGGATGACTGGATGAGAGAATACACAAGTTTAGTTTCACACTGCTAACACCAACATACCAGCAACATCACAGACAGGGGCTTCACATATCTGAAGACGAAACATGGCGGCAAATCATTTGGCACTGTTTGATAAATTGGGGGATTCACTAAAACATAGTGTTCATACACAGTCTCAAAAGTTACTTCATTCAATGAAATTACATCTTAAACATCCATAATTTTAAGCAAGACACAATACGATAAAGAATAAAGATACATGTATTACTACCCTGTGTCTCCATATCATAAATATCATAAATCAGGAATAAGAAATAAATCTTGTTCTCACCACTGGCTCACACAATACAGGTTTTATTTCTAATATCTCAGGACAAACAACCTTTATATATTACCAGTGCAACAGTGCATAATTTACCTGTTTCAGTGCTTCAGTAACATTAGCTTCAAGGCTCTTGTCAAACCATCGGAGAAATGGTCTGAAGATAATCTCATAATTTCCTTGTGTTTCCAAATAGTCCCTTTTCTCCTTCACCCAACCAACAACACAACTGTCCAGGTATCTGTGGAAATCATATGATCTTTTAGAGATCAACCACATAAAGATAATCAAAAGATCTGACAGCTTAAAAATAATCATGTTTAAGTTCTCAGTAGGTGATCATGGTTAACATGGTTAAACATATTATAATTATTTTGCAATCCATACTGGAAATATTTTGATAGTGCATCCTTCATATTCATGGAATATAAATTGTTTATTCAGCTGTATTAGCATGTTTAGATAATCTCTAAATTATCATGCGATACATCTTCATATTCGAAACTCTAGTAGAAGACAAATAATTTACCCAAGCTGATTCTTTTGTACTGGTAATGTTACTTCATTTTTTAATCATTTTATGCTTAACTGTTTTGCTCAACATGCACAAAAACAAGACAGATTTAACCTTCCCACTGTAGCTGGCAAATCTTGATCCTCTGGCAGAGTGATACTCAGCATCTGAAACATTTAGAATCGAGACTGTATCACACAATTTATTTCTGTCCAGATCATGTGGTGGAAACAACATCTGCATGTCAAGTACCTTGTTTTATCTGTCATACATGTCATCATTAGTTATAATTGATGCTAAATTTTAATGAGAAAATCCACTCAAAAGGATCATCAAGCAAATACCCTAACTTAAAAAGACTTTTCTAAATAAAACATCTGACAATTTCTTCTCTTATTAAACAAGAAACACAAAGTACACTGTAGTAATAGGCAATAAAGTCACAAACTTACCTCACGGGGGTAGGTAGAAGGAATAGTGAACTCAAGTTCAAAGTTCTTGACATCATATGGCTGTAAAAAAGATGTAACCATGGTAACAGCAATAAATAAAAGTTCTTTTCTCAAAGATGGCTATCATTAACACAAAGTAAGAGTAATTATGAGTAAATAAATTTATCATGTTAACAAAATGTTGATCTTCATCAGGTGTACAATCCACTTAGAAATTAGTAGTTTGATATACATTGGTTTAACATATCTACTATGTGCTATTTCAGCATATTCAATTAAAGTACAGTACGGCGTTAAAGTACCGGTACTTACCCAATCAGGGTCACTTGGATGGAAGTTGACATTGCACTGAAAAGTGTCCGGATCATCATTTATGACTTTGCATCTGTCTCTGGGGAACCTTTTTTTCAGTTGATCAATCTCTGTCTTTCTTAGCTTATCCATTTCCTCTTGAGAAGCTGTCTCTCTTCTCAAAAGGATTTTCTGATTTGGGGGCTTAACAGGGGGCCTGCTGGGAAAGGTCTGCTGTCTTTGACCTGAGCTCATCTGTTGTCTGGCTCCAGAACCATTTGTAGAATCCTTAGATTCAGCCGCAATCTTGGTATTGCCATGATTGCTTGTTTCTTGAATATCAACTGACTCATCAAAATTTTCAATCAAATCATCCATCATGTCCATGGGATGCCAAAACCGACATCTCTCTCCCCATCTGCAGTACCCTTTTTTGAAATAAGGACAAAGTCTCTTATTGCTTCTGGTTGGGTCAGGCCGATCAAGCACACTCTTTGATTTCTCTGAGGCTTGCACCGTCTCTTTCTTACTTTCTCGATCGATATTTTGTGATTGTTTAACAACTTGTCGATGGTTTTTGTCATGTTGGAAATGGCACCGTTGCCCATAGTGACAACGTCCAGTTCTAGCAAAGAAATTACAAATTCTTTTTTCATTCTTCTTGTCATCATGAGAAGATGTTTCAGGTCCTTGTTGTCTGTCTACTGCTTGTGAATCATCTTCATTATCTTTTTGTTGAAAAGGTAACGAATCTGCAGTGGATGGGACTGGAGCAATTGAAGATGCTTGACTTACTGCATGTTGAGTGTCAGGAATTTCGTGAAGAAAACGACACTTCTTACCAAAACTGCACCACCTGCGTTTAGCAAAAAAACTGCATATTTTGATACCTGAGGTAGTTTCACTTAAACTGTTGCTCGCCTGAGAAACAACCTGATCACAGTTTTCTTGATTTAGGCCTTCATAGTTACCTTCAGGGGTGATCTTGGGACAACTTTCACCTGGGTTCAAGAGTGACGGAGGAGATTCTTCAGCAAGTGGTCTACCAGCTTGGTGATCACTAGCAGTTGATAAATCTCTCACTGTGTGCTGATATCGACAAGCGTCACCGTACCGACATATCTTTCCTCGTGAATAAAATCTGCACAATTGTCCTGAAGCAAATGACATAACCTGATCAACTGAACCTTCGATTGGCTGTTGCTTGAACAGATTGATCTTTGTTTTCAAATCCTCTGAACTTGTTGATTTGAACGTGATTAAATTTCTTCTGCTGTTTGAAGTTTCCAGCAACAACGCTGCCTTTAAGTCTGCAAAAGACTTGGCGAAAATAATCACTGGTTAGATTGTCAGGTGACTGTCCTACCTCACTCGGTCAAGACCTAAATAATGCAAACAAAGATGAAAAAAGTACAAAATGTAAAACCTCTGTAATAAACTTAACCTTACTACCTCACTCCTACAAGAAGGGAGGAATAGGCTCGGAGCAATGATCAGTGAAGACGCCGGTATATATATACACCTGGTGGGTATTGCACCACAAGGGCCAATATCTCCAAATTTCAGTGTATCAGTTGAAGGAAGTTGTGCAATGATGTTACCGGAAGTGCCTTACAACACATGACAGGAAATTACTACACGCTAAATCCTAGTTCTGTAAACACTTTTTAAAATTAAACATATCAAGTGAACATTATTAACATACAATTGTAAAAATGATAATCCCTTGTTAAAAAAAATTGGAGGTAGGAAATTGTGATAGACTTTCATGGTCTCTAACATATATCTTGAATATTGTTACGCAGGGTCAAGGTCACAGAAGTACAAACATGGCCGCGCACATGTTTCAGTGTCTGTGGCGTGTGCCAGGGCGTTTTAATCTGCTTACTACAAGATCGCTGTTGAATGACACCAAGGTTAAAATAACTTGGAATGCCCTAAAGCCTTTTTGCACAAATACGCCACCGTCGAACACTGTTGATAAGCCCCATTGTAATATTGGGACGATAGGTCATGTTGATCACGGTAAAACCACTTTGACAGCCGCTATTACCAAAGTACTTGCAAGTAAAACAGGAAGCAGAACCCGATTTATCAAATATGATGAAATTGATAGAGCGCCCCAAGAAAAGCTTCGTGGAATAACAATTAATTCTACTCATGTAGAATATGAAACTGATAACCGACATTATGCACATACAGATTGTCCAGGTCATCTTGATTATGTCAAAAATATGATCACAGGAGCCTCGCAAATGGACGGAGCAATATTAGTGGTTGCAGCTACAGATGGCACTATGCCACAAACAAGAGAACACTTGCTTCTGGCACGACAGATTGGGATAAAGAATATTGTTGTATATATCAATAAAACAGACATGGTAGATGGAGAACTTGTTGAGCTTGTGGAATTAGAAATTCGAGAGCTATTGACTGAATATGGATACAACGGAGATGAAACTCCTGTTATTGCTGGATCAGCACTTAAGGCTTTACATGGGACTGATCCAAGTATTGGTGAGGACTCGATTCACAGTTTGTTGAAAAGCATAGATAAGCATGTGCCAATTCCAAATCGAGACACATCCGGTCCGTTTTACATGCCGATAGAAGCAGCAATATCTGTTCGTGGCAGAGGAACAGTTGTCATTGGTACTGTGCAACAGGGGTTTATAAGGAAAGGTGATAGCGCTGATATTCTTGGATTTGGAAATGCTCTGAAAACCGCAGCATCTGATATTCAGGTTTTCAATAAATCGATTCCTCATTGTAGTGCAGGTGAAAATGTTGGCATTCTTCTCAGAGGTGTGAAATCTGAATTTGTTCAAAGAGGAATGTTTTTATGTCATCCTGATTTGTTTGAACAGAAAGATACGTTTGAGACTCAGCTTTATGTCTTAACAAAGACTGAAGGTGGTCGGTCAAAACCTTTGACAGACAAATATATTCAAATGTTGTTCTGTAACATGTGGAATATTTCGGCAATGGTGAAGCTTCCTGAAGGAAGGGATATTGTGATGGGAGGAGACACTGTTACAGCAACTGTGCTACTTAGAAAACCAATGGTATTCACTGTAGGACAGCGATACACTGTTAGAGAAAATAAACTGACTGCCCTCACTGGTGTGATAACTAAAGTGTTGCCTTCGCTGGACATCAGAATCCAAGGTTTCAATTTTGAACGACCAAGAAGTCACAGAATAGAAGGAAATGCTTGGCTAACTAGGAAAAGAAGACTGACATGATTGTCAAGTTGACACTGGAAGCAAATCATCAATATCATGATTATGATGTACTAGAAACTGTTTATTCATCATGTTTATTGAAATCAGAAATATATTAATGGGATATCAGCATGATCAAAGTTTTCTGTTGACATAAGGCCATCCACACTTTTATGTGTTTCTCATCTCCAACCTCAACCAGCAAGACAGTGGGCGGGTTAAAAAAATGAATAATTATTTTTTGTTTAATTTTTTTTTTTTTTTTCAATAATTGTGTAACTTATTTTATGAAATTTTGAAGTTGAACACTTGTTAATAGTCTTTAAATAAATTTATGACGCAGATTGAGTCGCTTTGCTTCAGGGAAGTTTTGATAAATACAACTGAAGAAAGATCATGCTGGCCTGGTTTTTTATGTATGTGCAATTGTATGAGTACTTTTATTATTACATCGTAGCATAAATTTCCACAGCGGCAGGGGAAACTGAAATAGAAAACTTTTTTATTTCATGTCAGAGGGGGGAATTCAGGGTGGGCAGATGGGAAACACAGAAATATATATGGACAGCCTAACAGCTATTGCATCTTAGTTTGGGAAATGAATTTCAGTCTTCATGGCAACTCTATATGTCAATAGTAAGGGTGCCATCACTATTTCCAGTGCAGGTTGGTGCAGAGTTTGTGTGATAGGCCCAACACCATGAGAATGATGAGTAGTTATTAGTGGTGGATTTGCTGTGATAATATGTTGGCAATGAAAGAATGTGGAATAAAGACTACAAATTAAATTCAGATTCTAAGTGTACTTCTTTACCACATTTACAGGACCTATTATGATGTACTGTGAAACCCCATCAGGCCAGACTGAAATATTTCCCCTGAATTCGTCTGGATAAATAAGTCATTTTTAAAGAGGAGTATCCTTTGTATAAATGTAGAGCAGGGTTTCTGGACTCTCAGGTCTGGAGTTTACTATAACAGAAGAAAATAAGGACCAATCAATTATCAAAGAGCTTATTTCAGTAAGCATGCCATTTGATTGTCCTGTTCTGTGTTTGGTAGCCCCTTTGGGACTTGTGTTAGAATTGTTCCCCAGTAACAAAAATGGATCTGATGGTCAGACTGTGAGTCATCATATCCTTATGGCCAGACTCTATTTTTTACCTGTCGTCCTGATTCTGCTGGGAGATTGCTGGCTCCAGCTTCAAACAACATTCACGCACTGTTGAGTACAATATGTCGCTCTGGGCATCATTGAAAGTTCACGTGAGCTTGTGTCATGTAGCATTTTCTGTTGTCCGCTATATTATTACAATTTGACACCTGCTCTGAAACCATATGATGAACAAAAACAATAAGTTAGGGGGTGCCCAACTCTTCTTAGGAGCTGGATATTCACTGTACCGAGTTGTGTGATTAGGTGTGCCAGAATCCTGACCGTGTTTGAATCCCGGATTAGCTTTGGTTCAGATTCTTGGTTTCTCGGCACCATACATGCATAAAAACATTCAAGACCTGAATCACTTCAGGCTTTCATCCCACATCAAGGCGACACCTTGGGATATCAATGAAATACTGTGAGAAGCAGAAATACATCCAACTCGTTCACCATATTTACTACAATGCGCTTCTGATCTAAATAGACTGAGGTGCAAAAGAAACAATACCTCCCCATTGATTTTATCATGTTTGATTTTCAATTGTAAATATCTTAAGCTAGCAATATTATATTTTAAACATTAACTGTACTGGTGCTTAGTCAGCACTCATCTCAAAGAATATGTCTACCATGATAATTTGACTTATAACTCTTCAAGATATAAACAATATTTTTCTCTCTCATAATTCACAGCTGCTCAAGGGTATCTTAGACATCTTATCTTTGAAAATCAATAAATTTGCTTTTTTTACAGCACAAATTTACATTTTAAATATGATATGTCGTGGTGGCAAATTCATTTCTTAGCCCAGTCTTCATTGAACCACTATATTTTTACACAAAATAAACCAGCAACAGATTTCTTTTTACTGTTGCAGGAAAGAGTGATGGTTACTTAGACATGATTACATTAAACAACAGCTCTTTCAATCTTCAACAACATAAAATATAAACTCAGTATACTTTCTTTTGCTTCTCTGTTTATGTGGGACATGCCTGCATTACCTAAGACTTGCACACAATGTGCAGAATTCTGCACAAACCTGACCTAATATTAATATGAAGAAACAACAAAAAAGACAAAGACAGACAATTGTGTTCTTTAATCATGTTTATGACATTGTACAACTTTCATTAATGGCCTAACAAATTTGCCATCTTGTCTTGGCCCCTGAAAGCATTTTTTTTTATCTATGAAAGGTATTAACATTTCAGGTTACATTTGCATAAGATATATGATGTTTAACTTAAAAATGTCTGACTTGATTGGACTGAATAGTATAAACAAATTAACAAATTAATTACTGTGAACATGAAAGACACATAACTGTTAAACATAATTCTTAACTTTATGAAAACAATGAATCTGAGTGGAATCTTTTCAACAACTTGCAACAAAATGTAAATAAATAGAAAAACTGCTTCAGCATGTCATATTCAGTGTCTAATGAACAGATAAATTCACAACTTCAGTAAATATGGTGAAATGATAGATATGGTGTCATGAAATGAGTTAAGAGAAACAGAAAAACAATACACATTGATAATATTGGATATTCACTTAGGGTCACTGCTTCATCTTCCTGTTTGATCTCAGTTTAATCTGTACCATCAGAATAGAGCATGCTGAGCTCACTTCTCAGATGTGGAAACCTGTGTTTCTGTTCATCAAATATCATTTGAGTGGTGGCAAAGGAGGTCGTCTAGAAGAAATGGCGCCGAGGTTAATGGAGGTGAAGGAGGTCATCAGGGAAGTGTTTGGAATGTAGCACTTTGAGCACACTTTAGGGTGTGGATTTGGTGCATTATAAATATGCACATTATTATTTTTATTTTGCTCTGAGGTCAGAGGAGACAAAGGAGGTCCAATGATCAGTCTGGAATGATTCTGCTCTGAGATTACAATAGGCCTGTTGACAATACATCTCTCTGTACCCTCAAAGAGCAGGACATCTTTTCTCCAGCATAGTTTCTGTGTCTTTGGCATTCTCAGCATAGCATGTCACTTGCCCCCTCAAAGGATATGAAATGTCATTGGTCTTATTAGAGCTTATCTTCACATGTCCCTTGTGTGGACCATGCTTGTTGGAGATGAAGTTCATCAGATCTATTTGGAGAGGCAGCTTGGTGGACTTTGGTGCTGATGTTTGGCCCATGCTTGTAGAGGCAGTATCGGACATATCTGTGGTTGGTTCTTTGCTGCCACATGGATTCACCTGGGAGATGTCTGACTGGGAGAGAGTCAATGATAGGGAAAGAGAAGAAGGATGTGTTCTTGATCCAGAGCTTTGTGACTGAAGAGAATTCTGTTTGAAGTATGTGTCCAACGTTCTCATGCGAGGTTCCTTCCTAGACATAGAATGAGTGATGACTGTGGCAGCCTTGCCACTAAAAGATGTCCCTTTCTGGTCTTCAGACTTAGATTCACAAGATATTAACCCTTTCCCGTTCCCAACATGTTTTCTTTGACTGTTACTGGTGTTCAGTCCTGTATCTTGTTCAAATTGGTGATGAGCCTGAGAGCAATTGAATCTTTGATCACTTTGGCTAAACTTGTGGAACATAAGCATACCATTGGCAGGTTTCGATTCTCTTTGCCTCCACAGTTCAAATACATCTTTTGACAGACATAATACTTCACTGCCAGCCTCAAATATTCTCCTCAGCTTGTCAGGGCTTATACGACCAAAAGGTGGAAACGGCAAAGGGCTGCACGGGTAGCTGTCAATGGAGAGCTCTCTCCTGTTTAGGGGCTTTAATGCCTGAGCCAGATTCAGACATGATGCCAGTTCATGATGCCAGTTAAATGACATCAGTGTCCCCACGCATCTATCAAGGATCTTGACCAATGTTGTGAAGCTGTTCTCTGATAAATCTGAAATGAAAGGATACTGGTTCTTACACATATGCAAACTTCAGAACCCTCCTCACTAGTTTCTTGGTTTACCATCATTATTCCCCCATCCCATCCCCTCTTCATTAAGAGACTGGTATGAGTTGAGCTGATATGAGGGGACATGGTTGGCCCAGTCATGAAAAGGGTCTCATTTTGCTGTGCAGAGTTGCTTCCCTGTGACATGCCAGGATCCTATCATCTGGGTTAGAACCCCTTATTTGCTCTGATTATGATACATGGTTTGTCAAATCAATACAAAATACATCCAAAAAACATGAAACAAAAATAGTATGTCCTGACCCTGTTTTCCGTGTTCGATGGTAGTAATCCAACTGTTGGCAAGATGAGTCAGAAGTCTTTTTGGATCATGGACATCATTAGTTGTGAGGAAGGTACTGTTGTTTACCAAATAGTCAGTCAAGAGGCTTAGCATGGTGCATCGATCCACAGTGACATCCTGTGACTGGGCGAGATACTGAAAAAATGTACCCTGTCATATTTTGCTCTTTGAGGACTAAAAAAACAAATTTAGAGCAATGTCATATTTTTATTTGCTTGTTTGTGAATTGTATACAAACATGCAGCTAAACTGCCAACTCCCATTACTTTACAGGAAAAGAATACCATTTTTCTTAATTCGAACAGGCAGTGTTTTGACCAGTAATCAATTTCAGGATTTACTGTGTATAGGTCGAGAAACGTCTCTCTAGGTTATGAGAGCAATTATCAACTTTTTGAACGTTACATATTATACGATTTGAGGTCGCTGTGTGTTTGAATACCTGGACTTGGATAGCCGAACCTACTACCCACCCTTTAAATAATTTGCGTAAACACAGAATTACGTCGGAAAAGAAAATTTAATTTAAATATGTATTCCACAAAAAAACATTCCCCTGGTGCTTAGTTCTACTTACCAACATTTTCCAAAGTGTCTTCCATGATAGATCTCCATACAGAGTACTGAGTAGCGATATGTTGGACAAGGCCACAGTGTCGTCTGCTATTTTCATGACTTTCTGAACGTTCTGGTCATGACCGGCTAACAACTCACACACGAGACCATTGCTGAAGAGCTCACATGTAACAATATCAGAACTTGACATGGCCGACAAAAGTAAAATTTACGATGTAGTATAGAATACCTTCCTTTCTTTACCACAACTTGATTATCAGTACTTGTCCAGCTGATATCGTCAACTTGACATCAGCAGGGCCATTACCCAGCCAACCTTTCTAACTTATCACACGGCAGGCGGAAATTTTGAAGTGGCCAATCAGGATACAGATAACAATGGAGCCTACTTTTCAATGATTAGATTCGAACTTGGCAAAATGCCATCGGAACGGTGTGAGGGGAATCGCTCCAAATAATATCAACCACTGGTTTGTCTGGTCCAGACTAGATTATTTACAAACCGCTGTCATAAAGCTGGAACATGGCTGAGGGCGGTTAGACAATATATATTATATAGACTGTCCCAGGGGGTCCGGACCCCCCCTCCCTTTTAAAAATGCTGGATCCGCCCTTACATACAAAAGCGACGAAACGCTTTCCACATAAATCACACAAAATCCCTGAAAAAAAGCAGAGTCCATACTATCATAAGCATATGTTTATGAATCACTATCAATAAGTGATGATGCCAGTTGTTCGCGACAAGGTGAGTGTATCCTGCACCGACGGGGGCACCCGTCACCTGACTTATCTCGTGACCTGAAATAACTGAGTCAAATTAAAAACCTCACATTTTTAAAAGTAATCCCATATATGATATTATACAACGGACAAATGTATCAGAGAAGGTAATTTTTTATCATTAATGTCCAAAGAAGAATTTTAATTAACGGTGGTAACCATAATTTGTTCCAAGCACATACGGTATTCGGTAATAGCATCAACAGTTTAAATCATAAGTCCCAAGCACGAGAATCTGATGGCACACAAGTTCAGTAGCGTGTATGGCCACCATGTGCGCTGACAACTGCCACACAACGCCTCCGCATGGACCTTGTGATGCTTGTGAACACATGATTGGGAAGACTACGCCATTGTTGCTGCAAAATGGTGCCAAGATCTTGCAAATTCTGTGGTTGGTTCTGGAGAGTGCGCAGACTTCTGCCAAGAGCATCCCAGACGTGTTCGATGGGACTGAGGTCGGGAGACCTTGACGGCCAGTCCATGACGTTGACTCCCGCATTCTGAAGGAAATTCCTTGTCAAAATTGCTGTGTGGGGTCTGGCATTGTCGTGTTGGAAGATCAAACCGGGTCCATGTGCTGCCATAAAAGGCAGAAGTTCTGGTGCCAGTACCTGGTCGCGGTAAGCAGCAACGTTGAGGTTGCCGCGGATGACAAGAAGCCTGGAACGTGCATTGTCACAGAAAGCAACCCACACCATGACACTTCCGCCTCGAAATCTGTCAACTTCCTGTACACAACACTGGGCGTAACGTTCATGACGGCGCCTCCACACCCTCGCCCTACCATCAGCAAATCGAAGATTAAATCGGGATTCATCACTGAAGACGACTTGATTCCAATTCCTCTGAGTCCATCGTAAGTGTCGCTGTGCCCACAATTGACGTTGACGTCTGTGTTATTGAGTCAGAATCGGCCCGCAGTATGGCCGTCGTGCTTGAAGGTGAGCAGTTCTCAGACAGTTCATTTCTGGTTGATGTAGCCGTCAAAAATCGGTTACGGAGGTGACGTAAGACAATCTGACGATCCTCTGCATGTGACACGTGGTCGACCTGGCCGAGGGCGATCAGCGATTGTACCCGTTTGCTGTAGACGCGTCTGTAAATCATAAACAGTCCGTCGACTACAACCCATCGTCCTTGCGACTTCAGCTACGGACGTTCCCGTCTGCAACATGCCGATGGCACGTTCACGTTGCACATTTGAAAGGCGTGGCATGACAAATGGCCGTAAAGACTTTTGTTTTCTTGTGTTTTTCTTTTTTTGTTAATGACTGCTAACAAGTATGGCTGAAAACACGTGCGATATTATGGCCACGTGACCAGTTGCACGTGAAGAACCACTTTTGCCACTATAGTGCTGTGCACATGATTTTGATCGATTCACCTGCACAAAAACCGGTGTTGTCTGAAGACAATACGTGGCCATTACTGTTTAAATACACAATAAGGGCCCACAATGATAACTGGTCAAAATGTTAAAATTTTAGGATTATAAAGTTTTTAATTTGGTTCAGTATTTATAGTTGTTATATTTTCATCTACACAATATAAACTGACAAAGTGCGCACACATCTAAAAATCGCTTAAGTTCAATAACACGTCACATTAATAGCGTGTATAACCACTCCCTGCTATAAGACACGAAAAAACTCTCCGGCGCTCAGAAGGTCAGTCGTCTGATGACGTCATGTGGGATACGTCCCAATTCTTCTTTGGGGGGGGGGGGGGGGGGGGGGGGGGGGGGACATGTCTGGGGAGCGTGCAGGCCACGGCAACACGTTGACGTTGGCTGCAAGGAAGTTCTGTACGATTCGGGCTGTATGATGGGGTCTGGTGTTGTCATGCTGATAAAATACATAACATGGCATCTGTTGTAGAAATGGTAGGACATATTCTACCCCACACCATAACACCCCGTCTACCATACGGCACGACCTCCTGAACGCAACATGCCGCCGTTCGTTATCCCATTCGGCAGTATGCTGTCTTCCATCAACTCTGAACAAACAGAAGCGGCTTTCATCAGTGAAGATGGCCCTCTGCCAGTCACGTCGCGGACAACGACGTACAGTCCAGGCCCATCTCAATCTCTGACGACGATGTTGCGCTGTCAAAACCTGTCCTCTATCACGGTCTGTCAGCCCTAATTCCTTGAGCCCTGAATCGACTGTCTGTCGACTAACCATATGCCCTAAGGCATTCGTCGCTGATGAAGTCACTGCCAGGAATCGATTCCAGAGATGCAAAGTAGTGAAAGTACGCAATGACCGGTCTTCATTGGGCGTAGTTACCCAGGGTATGTCTGTTCTTGGCTTGTCTGCTGTCTACCCGGTCTGTCTGTCTGTCTGCACAGCAATCAAGTGAATGAGTTGGGTTAACGCCCAACTTGTTCTGACGTTTACCACTTCGGTGAAACCCACGAGTACGCGTATGGTGCTGACAAACATAGAAACATAATCGGGGCGAACCGGGATTCGAACCCACAATCATAGGTTTCTGGCGTGCCCAAGGGACGCAACTCTGCACAGCGAATCGCGGCGCCTTAGACGACTGGGCCACCCGTGCCCGGGAGCAGTCAAGAGTTCTAGCAATGTGGGCATGGTAGGCTTCCATCTGTTTCATACCCAGGGCTCGCTCGCGTTGTTCGGGTGTCACTCGTGGCATTTCTTGGGTGGTGTTTATCAGTGTGAGTGTCTGACATGCCGTCCGTATCATTTATTTACCCTTATTGCTCGCGTAGTTTCGGTTGTGCACGTAGCACGTTTTTTTTCTAACTTTTTCGCACTTTCTACAAATAAAAAACGTGCCGTGAGCATTGTTGTATTTGGACGATGTGTTGTGTATGGGTTTGCTTTGAACTTGTGTTTTTTCAAATTCTTGCAATTTCATTTTTGAAGTGGCTTAGTTTCTTTTGGCCGTCAGTTTATGACCTATTCCAATGTTTGCGAAGAGTCCCATGGACGGCAGCGTAGCATTGTTAAAAATAAATGAAATGAGGTAACAATTGTAAATTAGTTTAGTAATTCCAACAACACATATTTCAACTTGAGCTCAGGAAACCCACTTACTCTTCTTTTCCTCAGAACAATACCTATTTGTAATATATAAATTTCGAGTTCACAGTGCGTTATTTAGAGAATAATATACACGCAACTCTTAATTACGGAGTATCTGTCTCCTGTGAATTATTTTTTAAACTCCAGGCCTTGGCGAGTAATGTTCAACATTAAGTCAAGATGGAAAGACAATCCGCACTTCCTCGTTGCTCGTATATTATTCTCTTAATAACGTACTGTGAACTCGTCATTGGTTTATCTGTCCCTGGTAAATAAATGTTGCAAGTCTCGCGAAATTCATTCACTGAGGACGGATAATTAATACTTCGTATTAGCTCGTTGCTATATTCTCTCAATGTTTATGTTAAGATGTTGTCTATCATGCATTCAGAAAATAAGCATACTGATTTTGAGAGTAGATATATTCCGTTTTTCTCTTAACATATAGCGCTTCGATCGGCACTTGTATTCTTTGAACACGTTTCCAAACCCATCGGATAATGGCCGACCCTTCTGTTATAAGAGACACGGCGCATGACACTACAGTGTTGCATAAGCTACTAAAGCTAGTCATTATTAAATTGACATAGATTGTTAACAATAATGGTACACTTCACCTACATTTTATGTAAAATACAGGAATAAAAAGAAATCAGGAGATGTGGACTGCATTACTTGATTTAGGTAATTATAAGTGATAGGGGTGTTGAATTCGAAGATCCAGCTCTTGAATTCATAAGTGGTTACCAAAAACTGTACAAAGAAAGAGAGGATGGTGATAATGGCTTTTATTTTACGGTTTTTTTTATGAACAATGTGTCCTTTCATACACTGTTATAAATAGAGGATGGTTACCTCGATCATCACTATCAAACATCTACGCATAGCCATACATCACACACGAGTATTCACACACATGTAGAAAACTGTTTTACGTCAGCACTATCAAACATCTTTTACATCTACTCTGGACCCGTGAAGGTCCGGGGTAGAATAGGTCTTCAGCAACCCATGCTTGCCGTAAAAAGCGACTAACGGGATCTGGTGGTCAGGCTCGCTGACTTGGTTGATGCATGTCATGGTATCCCAATTGCATGGATCGATGCTCATGATGTCAATCACTGGATTGTCTAGTCGAGATTGGTTTATTTACAGAACGCCGATATATAGCTGGAATATTGCTGAGTGCGTCGTTAAACAACAAACAAACTTTCCTGGTAAAAAATATGTTATTGGTACCAGTGTACCGGGGCGTCACGAGACCGACTGTCGCTCATATCGTGAAACTATAAAACAAACAAACAAACAAAACACAGCATCATCGTCCTCTCATAGAAAAATGCTTGGGTGCGAATCAGCACACATTTTGGTTGACTAAAATGTATTGTGAATATTCGTCGCCAATCGCATCTTTCCGTAACACAACAAGGCATTCGGCGTGTCCCGGAATGACACGAGGTGGTAACATTAATTGGTGACACACCCAAATTCATTTAGCAAAATACCTAAGTCGTTATTATTCCCCAAACAACTTCATATTTGAGACTTGGATGAACCATACAATACAAAAAAAAGTTATCAACAGGTTTATGAATACCGTTGTTGAAAACATCGAATAGAACACAGGGCCACGGATAGCCATACTATACTGACTGTACTGATTACATCTTTTTTTAATGTAATCAGTACAGTCAGTATAGTATGGCTACCCGTGGCCCTGTGGAATAGAACGACGGACTTGTATGATAGAACTTAGTCTCAACAGAGACCATAAAATATATATATATATATATATATTTTTACGGTCTCTGGTCTAAATGGTATCAACTCATTGTTACGTTGAAGCCAGTCTGCCAACAGAGGTCGCTGGCATAACCAGTAATTTTTTTTAGACTGTAATCCTCTCCTTCTCCTTAGCAGCTGCACAAAATGCGAAGGGCAGGCAAACCAGTCTAGTGATTTTTTTCCAGGCTTGACGGAAATAGCCGAACGTGAGATTGTGTTGAAGTTCGCGAAATCAGAGTTAACTCCCCTGATGTGGCCAACTAAACCGCTGAGGGCGCTAACACTTGTTTTATTTCTCACTGACACGTTCACAGCAACACGACAGGTGCCTCAAATTTAACGTCATAATTTGAGTAGTTTCAGATTATGACAGCAAACGGTCGAGGAACAATGAGACCCCAAGGACGTGCACCACCTTTTCTCCTAATTGGCCTGTTAGTAGTAATGTGTATCCTTGGGTACAGTTATTGGAGTGTAGCAAGTACGAGCAGCGACCAAGCTTCACAAATCGTGACACTACAAGATGAAGTTAGAATATTGTCAACGCGAAAAATGGAAGCTGACAAACGGAGTGAATCTTCAAATGACAAAATTGGGACTCTTGAGAAACGAAACACAAATCTGATGTCTGAGTTACAAGAAAAAATAAAAGCAATGGAATCAGTTAAGAGTGAACTCAGTCGGAAAGAAGAGGACCTCAGGAATTCTAACACCGAATTGGACAACAAAGCAGAAGGACTGGTGAGTTGTTCTCAGTGTTTGAGCAGAGTTTACTGCTTAAAAAAAGCTACCAAAATTCAACATACATGTTTCCATGGTTATGCATGTTATAACGGGTTGCGGTGGGTCCTAATCTCGTACACAAAACGACCTCGCACACGGAAATTTCGGTAATTTCTTCGATCTACACAGTTGAGTACGTAATCTCTTACATGAAAAAAACGTTAGTACACAGTTGAGACAATTTTAAATGGAAATATATACTATTATGTTGGGTAGGTCCTGAGTAAGACCCTGGTACCCACTTGACTACCCGGACCCTTGGTTAGTCACGTGACATACTGTCTAATGACATTAACAACAAAACTCAATGGTTACACTACAAGCATAGCTAATGTTCACATTTCTTTCTCACTATGCAGGCATTCGTTCTGACTTTTATATGTTTGAGTAGGGATAAAGCGTCAATCAACTGCAGTGTATACCGGGTGATAGGGTGTTGGGTACCCTGGTAGTAAATGTGGTCTCGTCCCCGCCCTACATGTTACGACAAGCACTTGCTTTTTCCTCTGATAGTTTTTTCTGGGATGCTAATTCCAAAAATTGTATGTATAAAAACTTGAACCATTCTTGTGAAGACATGGTTAGCATAAGACTTTTACCAATAACTGCTTACTCATAGGTCATGTCATGCTCTGATTTCTTGTGTTACTAGTCATGCTTTTAACATGTTTAATAAGAAACTATGATGCATGATGTAATAAAAATAGTAAGAGCAGTCGAGGCAGTAAGCTCAACCTCTTCGAGTTCCCCGAAAGATTTGTCTGTTTTCAAAAGTAAATGGTTTGGTGTGGGTAAAGTTAGTTTCCATGATATGAAATTTGCTCCGTGGCCATGCTGATGTAGGCTGGTGCAGAATAAGCTGCAGTAACCATATCTCCGCGCTGCACCCAATAAACGATTTTGATATTGACTTGTCGCTACACAGAGCATGTGACTCCCACAATTATCCTAATAGATGACATGCAAATTAAGTTAATATATCCTTCGGGGCTAATAGAATTAGAAAGTTACACATTTTGAAATGTTTTCTTTTAACATGTACATGATGTAAGTATCAGATGATTACTCTATACAGACTGCAATCACTGCTGTTCATTTATTGTGATATACCAAAGTAGGGATACCCGGGAATACTAGGTCCCTAGTATCCCATGCTTATTATAAGAAACAACAAAAAGGATTGGATGGCTTTGTATATTGATACTAGAGCCCCCCAGTCCTCACTCATTTCCTGTATACATTCCATCCTTCAACCCTTCATTGAGGTTTTCTATAGTGAGACTATACAGTTAGTATGGTAAGGTAGTATACACAATTAGTTTGAGCACATCCTCCAACCTCAAATGTTTTTGTATCACTGAATAAAGGTGAGCTTCCGTACCTGTGGTATTCTGGTTCATGATTTAGGGGAAGTTAGATTGCCATATGTAAGTTTCTTCGATCTATACAGGACATTTTGAGGAAGTAATCTCTCTGTGAACACTGTCTTTACATGCTGAACTGTCTAAAGACTTCTAACATGCTGATTCTGTGATTTCAGACTAAATGTGAACAAGACTCAAATGGAATTAAAGAAGAGCTCCAAAAATTGAAAGGTAATTTACAACTAACTATTAATATTTCAATAATGTTCCAATTTAATGATCATGTGCCAGGATTCATACAAGATCGCATAAGTGGTGATTTTTGTTAACACTGTTTGAAATTGAAGGGCCCTTGGTGTTTGCTGCTATGGAATGTAATCTGGAGACGCTCTAAATATTTTGCATTTCTTTTTAATGACTAGGTCATGACAAAGACCCATTGATTTCATGCTTTGTTTTAAGCACTGGGATTTATCAAGAATTCTAAACTAAAGGCCCTGATCATTGCTTTGTTCAAAATGGCATTTCTTTAAGTTGAGATGTGTTTATTGGTCTAGTACGTCAGTGAAATACAGGTTATCCCTACAAAGCAGTAACATTAGCGTTTAGTTAAACAGTAAACTACAGATATAGCGAACTCAAATGGACCACTAATTTTAGTTCGTTATAAAAGTAGTTCGTTATAAGCATATTGACAACATCTATACAATAAATGACCGGGACCAAAAATAAAGGTCATAATACCAGTATCCGTCCGTTTGTTGTTATAAGCATGTTCGTCATAAACATATTTTACTGTATATTTTAACATGAATTGGGAACATTTTAGTTCCACTTTTGGAGTTTTGAATGATATTTGCTTCAGATTTGGGGCCGATTCATAACATAACCATTGCCAACCTGGAATAACAGCTTCAGTATTGTGGTTGTCTCTTGGAAATTATGTGGTACATGCTGTTGCCATTGAGATATATTCTACTTATAGCATGTATAGTACAAGTCAAAGAGTGTGTCTTACAAAGAAGGTGTTTTCTGGTCCTTGTGTCCATCAGTTAAAGAGCTTAAGGTTGTAATTGTTAATGTGCAAATGGAAATAGGGCTTACTACACTACCAATGTAATGAAACTTGTTTTATTTGCAGTTGATGGACATGAATAATGCAATGAATAAAAGACAAGGTTTTCATTTAATAGACCAGCAGCATTAACATTTTGTTCTGGTAATTTTTGTTTTCAGAGGAGACAGAGTCTCTGAAGGGAAGTATGGACAAAAAGCCAGTGCAGTGTGATCAGAAGTAAGTTTTGTCTTTCTATCAATCCCTGTAGGGATTCTGGTTAGAATAAACTATTTGTCCCTAGCAACAACCTATGCTTGTCGTATAATGCGACTTGAGGGATCGGGTCAGGGTAGGTGTCTTACAGTTGAATGTCTGTCATCGACGGTGTGGATTGTTGTTCATAATATTGATCACTGGATTGTCCGGCAAGGTTTGGTTGTTTACAGGCACAGTCATAAAGCTGGAATACTACTGAGTGTGGGGTTAAACAACAAACTTTCTTCATAAAGTAGGTTCAGTTACAGGTGGGGTGGTGAGTTATAAAAGCAAACACAAACAACTAGTTCAGTCAGATCAACAATAACACAATCCAGTGAAGTCAAATACAGTAGGACAGATTTATCCAGGTAGAATTAGAATGTGTTCAATGGGGTCACATACAATTGAACAAATTTAGTAAGGTCTACAATACAACATGTTCGATGTGGTAATATGTGTTTGGTCAGATAATCTGGTTTTGTCAGTTTGGACCCCCCAAAACAGGTTCAATGAACATGGTCAGATCTTTAATAAAACAGGTTCAGTCATGTCAACACAAAAACGGGTTCTCCAGATCGAAATAAGAAACCAGGTTTAGACAGGACAAACACAAAAAATAGGTTCATTTCAGACATTAAACAGGTTCAGTCAGGTCACCAATAAAACAGATCCAGCCAGGTCATGAATAAAACAGGTTCTGTCAGTTCAACAATAAAACAGGTTGTAATCTGTACCAATAGTGCCTGAGTCCTATCATAACATCAAGTAATACAAAGCCTTCCACTATCACGGCCGTCTGGAGGGCACTTGTAGCCTGAGGTCATGAGCATGTATGTACATAATACTATTACTTGTTGATAAGAAACTTGATATCTAACAGAAACATTATAACACTATCATGATGAAGTTGATCCTCAGGCTGGGCTACATTACCATGATTGCTAGGGGTGTTTATCACCAGAGGTACCAGCCATTACGATTTCGGTGGAATGAGTCATTCCATTATTGTGAACCATATACTGCCAATCCGATTATATTTACAATTTTCTTGAGAAACATCCTTGTCATTTACACTAGTTATTGACCTTGTTACAGGCATTGTCACATACAAACCAGTTGTAAACGATAAATCATTTGGTTTAGCTTGTGATTTTAAAGGTTTGTTTTTTAGGAGATTTGATGATGACATGCAATGGATGATTCAAGTTTATTGACACCTTATAGTTAGTCATGCATAAGGTGATTTCCCAGATATTCCTATTGCCTCTACTTGGGGTTGGGGTGGTGAGTCATCTCTGTATGAGTGATGGCAAACAAAGAGTGAATTAACAACAGTATTATGGAAGGGGGTTCTACTGGGGACCTGCAGCATGAGGACGACTTACAGAGTTCTTCGTCATGCTGTTGTCACAGCTTCTTCTGACTTTACCACTAGTACAAAACATGTCTAGTATGATCTGTTTTGCTCTAGTTAGCTTAGCCAGTAATTCAGATAAAAACAAGTATTCATTGTGAGAAATGCCCTTTTTAAACACATTCCACTATTCAGTGGAGTTTTTTTCCGTTAGCTCTGGCAATAATAATTAACCTCCAGTCTGAACTAGGCTGAGGGCTATCTGCACAGGCTATCACTGGCTTATTCAATGCTGCTTTGTGGGGCAGGGACTCGTAACTTGGGTACCCAGTTCGGGTGGGTCCTGAGAAGGACCCGGGTACCCACAGGACTACCCAGACCCGTGGGTAGTCAAGTGATATAGTGTTTAATGACAGAAAGTCACCATAGCTCAGTGGTTATGCTACAAGTCGCTAATGTTCCCATTTCATTCTAATGATGCACACATTCCTTTTGATTTGTATATGTTTGAGTAAAGATAAAGCTTTAGTCAATTCAGTGTACGCGTGATCTGATTGTTTGATACATGTATCTAAATAGTTTTTGCCAGGGCTGCAGTAAAACAATTCCCAATCAGTCATTTTGTTCCAGCTCTTGAGATCTACAGTGACCATCAGGGTAGGGTCGAGTAATAGCAGGTTGGGTACATGGGGAGTAAATTTGGACTCATCCCAGCCCTACTGCTGTGTTTTATATATTCAAAGTAAGTCTCTGGAATGTCAAGTGATGAGAAATCTGTAGATCCTGAAAATCAATTTGAAAAGTCCCAGGTTGAAAAAGTAAAAATGATACAAGAGATTGACTTGGAACCATCTAAGGTTTGACTGCAAGGGTGAATTAAGGGTGAAAGCAAAATGGTGACATCAGAGTAGGTTTTCTTTGAATCACTGAGTGGGGTGTAATCATTTTGTGCACACAGACGTTGTTCAGCCACTGCAGCCAGTGTGTTGCCATGAGTTGTCAATGTGGCATGCCACATCTGTTGCCGGAGGACTTTGGGGATCAATAGTGGACAGCAAACCTTCTGCCTCATATCGATGTGGTATTGTATCTCAATCAATGACTTTTCCACCACGCTGGCTTCAACATTTTTGTAGACATGGCAGACAGAATACTATTTACAAAGTCCATTATCTTAACATAGACACATGATTTGTAGATTTAACCAACAGTTTGATAAAAATATTCATTTGTATTTTATACTAGTATGATTTGTTTTGGTCTAGTTCGCTCAGTTATATTTAAGACCAAAATCATCAGAAATATGCTTTATGAGAAATCCCCTTTTTTCCGACACATTTTGCTATTAACACATGCATGATTAAGACATGGACACCGGTCAGTTAGTCCTGGAAATGGAGAAGGACTACTTGTTTTCTCCCCAAATCTAGCTGTGTTACTTTAACCACAAGTCTGAACCAAGCTGAATATGACTATGACCACTCTTTGATGGTCTTGATCTCAAAGTAGAGATAATTAATGGATAACAACTTCTTTATTTACTGTAATGGTAACGTTTTGGAATAGATCCTTATACTGTTGTCAACCTTGCTTCTATACCGAAACATCACCTTCAGTCAACTTCTAAGTATTGCCTATCAAACAATTGGTCTTGATCTATCATTCATTTTGGTTCAAGTTCAATTTTTGATCATTTGAGTGGCAAATAATACAAATTTAAAAACATTCTTACCTAAGAAATGACTTATTAAAATGATTGATAATGCCTCTTGCCTGTATCTGATCTGTTTTATTAGACATTAATTTACATTAATAGCAAGTACCCATGAATTTAAAGGCTCACATATTCCTTAAGCATGTTAAGCTGCCATATCCCCATCTTCCCGAGGCAAGTGAGTTAACTGACTATAAAAGTCCAGGTTCCACCCTTGCCGAACTAGGCTGGTATTATGGAGTTACATTTTGGCTGGACTAACGAGTCTATGCATAGTCCAATCAAAATCACGCACTGAAATCGAAATCCGGTTCTTAAAGTGTCATGCAGATTTCAGTCGACTGCAGGATTTGCAAAGCATGTTCACCGCTAACTCGTTGTCAACAGATATTTTCTAAATGTTTTCATGCTTTTAATCAAGGTGATCACGTGATTTGATGCACTTCGCGTTGTAAGACTCGTTTTATCACAATATAGATCTTGATTATCAATCAGATCGTCTTGACTGGGCGCCACCGTTTTGTTTGAATCAAATGCAAGTGATACGAGAGGTTGAATCTGATTGGTCAATAGGAGAGGCATAGAAAGGACATAACTCGTAATAGCCACTGGTGGCGCTACGATAGAGCCCAGGAATTCCAGCCTACCCCGGTAGTTCGGCAAGGGTGGAAACTTGACTTTTAAAGTCAGTTAACTCTCTTGCCTCGGGAAGATGCCATATCCCCATCTCCTCATAATAATGACTGTCAAGCTGAAATATTTCTGAGGCATTCAGTGTTCCCACTGGCTTTTGAAACTGCTTGTCCTGGTGTCTGGCAACTCTAAAAATTACCAGTCCCCTCTAATTTTTGTCAGTCCCAACTTTCAACAAATGAAAAAATGTATGAAAATTACCTGGTTTTAATTCCTTCAACATCATGTTCAATGCAATGACTTCCTGTTTGCAGTAACTTAGTTAGATCTACAGGTCATTCACACAAAGTCCAGTCATAAATTTCTCCTTTTTAACAATATTTTTACTCTAAGTCACTAAAAATACAAATTTAACCTGGAAGCAATGCAAAATGTTATTTCCTTGCACTAAATTTGACAAGGGGAAACCCTGATGGTGACAGACAAGCTGACTTCATTCGAAAAATATACTTATATGAATATTGCTAATGTTTTGTTCAACAACAAAGATTTATAAGGTACTCTATTTGCCGGTCCATAGGGACCGGCCGTCACATGAATTACCAGTCCAAGCCTAATTTTACCGGTAAAAAACTGGTAATTACCGGTAGACGGGAACACTGGGCATTGTTATCCCAAGAATTATAATGGAAGGTGTTTATGCTATATACAGGGGAACAGTTATGGCACAGGTGACAATTTTTACACCTTGATCAATAATGTTTTCTATAGATGATAGGGCAGTGGGGTAGCCTAGTGGTTAGGGGTACAATGTGTGAAGCCCATTTCTGGTGTCCCCCGCCATGATATTGCTTGAATGTTACTAAGAGCAATCTAAAACCATACTCACTCACTCACTCTATAAATTTCAAGTTAAGTTAATATATTTTATGCAGTCCGCAACTTTAGATATATAACACTAAAATGTACCAGACATGATGCTAAGTGTCAAGTTTTTAGCTCGTAGACTCAAAAGTTTGGGGCACAGACTGTTTATATCCAACAATTGTGACAGTGTTAGTTTTCACTTGTAACCATGGTAACTTGGGCTTGAGGATGTGGCACATGATCCCACTAGTGGTAGGACAGTAGGGACAATTAATCCGTGGCAGATGACAGTTATAGGATACTGTTAACATGGTTTTTCAATAGGATTAACCAAGATTTGATTGATAGTTAGTAACAGCTGAACAATCTTTAATAAATGGACATGAAATAAATGAATAAACGTTCTAGAGTTAATAACTTTTGTTCAAATAATATTTTTGTATTTCGCAGTTTAAGTTAAATTAAGTAATTGAAGTGTTCTGGTCCGCCAGTAAGCTGTCCAGCACAGAAGATCTGAATGAGCTAACGTATTCGACGTAATAAGAGCCCTGCTCTAATAAGCGCCCACGCTGACATTAGCAAAGACATTGGCTAGTGAACAATCCCAATTAGCACCCCTTCCGATTGATCAATGTACACAAAACTTATTTATTTGCGTATAATATGCGCTCATGTGTTATATGCACTCTTAATTATGGGCAATTAAATTCTGGAAAAATATATCTGTCGTACATAAACATTTCAGCATTAACCACGAAATTTATCTTTCAACTTTTTTTCACCAAAATAATATTCAAATATTTCTAATTTTGAGAGTGCACTGGGTGCTTATCACGTCAAATACGGTAATAGTTATAGCATGGTCTGTTCTCCTTTAGTTGACGTGTACTACTTCTCCGAACCTTTGAAGGGATAACGGCATCATAAGTAGACTGAATGCATTGAAATAAATGTTTAGGAATCTAACGCTCAGAAAGCACAAGGCCGGATGTTGGCAGGATTTGTGTCCAACTAACCCTTATTTTTCTACACAGCAATGATCTTTGAACACAGTGAATACCTCCAAGCTTTATGTACCATACCACATCATTAATCCCTGGGTTGTATGTAATTTATCATATTTTCTCGGGCTTGACTGTGGATGCTTCAAGATTATTACGTTTTACAGCAATATTTATGTAAAATCATGACACAGTCTAGTGGTCAGCAAGTGTTTTGGTTCTACTTGAGTATGTTTGTTTCTATGATTAGTAAACCAAGATAAAGTGTGTCTGAGACTGAAAGTGTGACAAACAGTATGTTGTATGTTGTAAGTTGTCATGTTGTTTCAGTTCCTGTGAAGAACCTATCAGGAACATTTTGACTGTACTGGTAAACAGCTTGGGAAGACAGCAGATCATTGCGACACTTCAGAGCAACAACATTGACGCCAACAAGTTCATGTGAGTCTTCAGTGCCCTGTGTCAGCTAACCAGCATTGTATCTAACAGGAACAATAGTATTCCATCGCAGTGGGGTTCTGGGATGTCGGGGACAGAATAGTAAGGACAAAAGTAGTTACAGGCCCGTTAAGATCTGTGGTAGTGAAGGTCTTCTGCAACCCATGCTTGCCGTAAAAGGCGACTGTGCTTGTCGTAAGATGCGACTAACGGGATCGGATGGTCAGGTTCGCTGACTCGGTTGATGCATGCATCGTGTCCCAATTGTGTGGATCAATACTCATGATGTCAATCACTGGATTGTCTGGTCCAGACTCGATTATTTACAGACCACTGTCATATAGCTGGAATATTGCTGAGTGTGGCGTTAAACAACAAACTAACACCCAAACAAAATAGTAGTTACATTGTCACAGGGATTCCTGGTAAGAATAGGGCCCCATGCAGCACCACATATTTGTCACAAGAGCAATAGTTACATCGTCAAATGAGTCTCTGAAGTTCACAGGGATTCCTGGGTCAGAATAGTTGTCACTATCCCACAACTAAAAGCTGACCACTGAGGATTCGGTGGTTACAATCAATAACAAGATGTGACTTGATGTTTGTGTTGGGTGTTGCCCAGAGGATTTGGATGGCTTCTGATGCTGTCAACCACTGGTTTGCCTGTCCTAAATTTGATTATGTACAGGCTGCTGTGATATTGCTCTTCAACAATGATTAGAGAATTCAATATCCTCATCTAAGACATGTTGTAGCTGATTTCAATGTTATACTACTTGTGTTTAGTTATCTTTTGGGTGTGTCTAGGACCTGCATCACTTGGGTCTTTCATGCCACTTGAAGCTGACATGCAGTGATATAACTAAATTACTGTTCGAAGCGGTGGCTTGCTGTAAGAGGCGACTATGCTTGTCGTATGAGCCAACTAACGGGATGGCATGGTCAGACCTGCTGACTTGGTTGATGCATGTCATCGTATTCCAATTGTATAGATCGATGCTCATGATATCAGTCACTGGATTGTCTATTAGAGACACAATTATTTACAGACCTCCGTCATATAGCAAGAATATTGCTGAGTGCAGCGTTAAGCAACAAACAAAAAATCAAAGCAGTGTGAAATTTTTTATGTGAAGTTGAATACAAGTGAGTTTGATGTAATGTTCTGGAATATGTATCAACCTTACATGATAGATAATCAATCCTGCAGGCCAATCTGAAGTTTCTTACATCTGTAATCTTATTACTTGCTTACACTATGCAGAGTTACGTCTCTTGGGCATGCCAGAAATCTCTGATTCTGGGTTTGAATCCTGATTCAATCCTGACTGAATCCTGACTTTCGTCTCACATCAAGCTGACACGCTGTGATATAACTGGAATACTGTTCCAAGCAGTGTTAAACCCAACTCACTCACTCATGCTTACCTTTCCAGCCCTGCTGAAGGTGCCCAGCAGCCCGGAGTCAACCCAAATCTTCAGCCACTCAATCCTGCAGGCCAACCACAGACTGGTGATCAACAGCCTGTAAACAACCAGGGGCAGCCTGCAGGAGTGAACCAGTCCGGTCAGAACCTTGGTGGACAGCCACAACTGCAGAATCCTGCAGACCAACAACCACCCCAGAATCCTGCCGATCCACAACAGCAACAGAACGCTGGCCAACAACCACCCCAGAATGCTGCCGATCCACAACAGCAACAGAACGTTGGACAACAACCACCCCAGAATCCTGCCGATCCACAACAGCAACAGAACGTTGGACAACAACCACCCCAGAATCCTGCCGATCCACAACAGCAACAGAACGTTGGACAACAACCACCCCAGAATCCTGCCGATCCACAACAGCAACAGAACGCTGGCCAACAACCACCCCAGAATCCTGCCGATCAACCTCAGCAGGGGCTCAATGTTGTTCCGCAGCCCAATGTGAATCAAGAGGAAAATCCAGGTCAGCAGAATGTAGTTGGGGTAGAAGGGAAGGGTGGTGTCTCAGAGCATGAAGCAGGTGTGTCTGCTGGTGTAAATAGTAGTGCCATGCATGAACAGGGTAATAGGGAGGTGCCAAGTAGTGAAGGAAAGGCTGATAGTAAAGCAGTTGCAAAGGAGTCAAATGTAACCACCACCACCATCACAACAACCAGTGGAGAGCCAGAGAGGAAAGAAACCAGTAAGACTGGAGAAACGAAAAGTGGAGGTCTTTTGAAAGGGCTGTTGGCAAATGCGAGGGGGCTAGAAACAGATGTCAAAGGTTCAGCAGGGAAAGTAGACAGGACTGAAACTACCAAAGCTGGAGAAGCCCCGACAACAAATGGTACACCCAAAGAAGGGCCAGTGGCAGACGGCAAAGAACCTGCAGCAGATGTCACAGGGTCTGCTGAGGAACTCAAGGACACTGAAACAACCAAGTCTGGCACAAATGGTACTTCCAAAATAGTAGCAGACGGCGAAAAACCTGCAGCTGACGACAAAGAAACTGGAGATAAAGACAAGAAAACAAGATATAATTTTAAAGAAGGTCAAGGCCCAGTAGAGAACTTTAAAGGCAAAGAAGGCTTCGAAGTTCTTGATGAGTTTGGAAAAGAGCTGAAGAGACTCAATAAGTCGAAGCATGGTAAGCTAGATGGGACTCTAACAGATATTATCATTGCCCCCGTGAGGTTACCGCTTGTTCAAGTTAGGTAATAGTGACCAGGATAGGATGGATTATGATCACTAATGTAGTATACATGTCACATTCATTGAGTACACTGATTACAGATGAGTTACAATCAGATAATGACATTTAGCATCATCGCTCAAAGATCATGGAACTGAAAACATCCTTCATCATGTAAGTAACATTAAACAGATATCGTTGGCAGTTTTGAACTAGTTTATGATAAATCCACATCCTATCCTGGTGTTGTGAAACGTTTGGCACCTCCCTTTTGCAGTTAACTAACTGTGGTTCTGCTTGTAGTGTCACAAGCTGTTTCTCAGCTTATTTTAGAGCATTTCTGATGCATGCTATTTTCTTATGCTTTTGAGTAAGAATGTTGCAGGTGAGTATATTTTATCGTCATATCTGGAAATGGGGATGATTTGTATCCATAATCAAAAGGTATATGTCGTTATTGTGACGTGGTCAACATGTTTGATCAACAAATTGCAATATGTTATAGGATTTAATATAGGGAAGGATAACTGCATTTAGATAGCTAGGTACAGTGCCAGGGTGCCATTGTACAAAGCGATCTTAGCGCCAAGGTGATTGTAACTCCCATACCTTGACATAGACTACGACAGTCGTAGCGCTGAGGTTGTTTTGTACCACTGCACCCTGGTCTTCTTACCGCCTCCGTGGTCTTGTGGTAGAGCGTCCGCCCGGAGAGCGGAAGGTCTGGGGTTCGATCCCCAGCCGCGTCATACCAAAAGACGTTAAAAGATGGTACTTGTTGTTAACCTGTCTGGCGCTCGGCATTAAGGGGCTAAAACAAGGACTGGTCGGCTCGGAGTCAGTATACTGTGTCTGAGTGGGATATTAATGTTAAACTGCGGCATGGTATCTCAGTGAGCTAGCACTATAAATCGGCATCAGTCCGGACTAGTACAAGCAGCCACACAAACACACACGTACATGCACGTTGCTATATAAGTGCAATAATCTTGGACGCGACATTAAACCCAATTTCACCTCACCTCACCCTGGTCTTCTTCTTCCAACGGTTCATTATCCACCCTTATTAGTGTCTAGGTCCTTTACCCTTGAGTCTTTATCATGTTTATCATCCACCCTTATTAGTGTCTAGGTCCTTTACCCTTGAGTCTTTATCATGTTTATCATCCACCCTTATTAATGTCTATGTCCTTTACCCTTGAGTCTTTATCATGTTTATCATCCACCCTTATTAGTGTCTAGGTCCTTTGACCCTTGAGTCTTTATCATGTTTATCATCCACCCTTATTAGTGTCTAGGTCCTTTGACCCTTGAGTCTTTATCATGTTTATCATCCACCCTTATTAGTGTCTAGGTCCTTTACCCTTGAGTCTTTATCATGTTTATCATCCACCCTTATTAATGTCTATGTCCTTTACCCTTGAGTCTTTATCATGTTTATCATCCACCCTTATTAGTGTCTAGGTCCTTTACCCTTGAGTCTTTATCATGTTTATCATCCACCCTTATTAATGTCTATGTCCTTTACCAATGAGATTTTATCATGTTTATCATCCACCCTTATTAATGTCTATGTCCTTTACCCTTGAGTCTTTATCATGTTTATCATCCACCCTTATTAATGTCTAGGTCCTTTACCAATGAGATTTTATCTTGTTTTTCATCTACCCTTATTAGTGTCTATGTCCTTTACCAATGAGATTTTATCTTGTTTTTCATCTACCCACGTTGATGACTATGTCCTTGGTCCTTATGAATTTATCATATTTCCTTATAAATGTCTGTTATTGACCCTCCTGACTTAATCATCCACTATGAAAGACTATCATCTTAGGCTGAATGGAAGTCAGGACGGGTATTAAGTCTACTACTCGGCCCTGTTCATCTACGCACACAACAGATGCCCCTCAGGCAACGTTTCATGTTGCACGTCCAACATGTACCATTCTAGTTGTTTGTTGGTACCTTTATCTCTTAATACAAGTATTATAAGGACTGGTAACTTCCTGATAGGCCAAGTACCGGTAACCTTTTAAGTTAAGAAACTTGTGACCTGATTAAAAAAGAAATTTATCAGGTTATGGACAACTGAATATCATTACATAAAGACTGAAAGTATAGGAATCCATGGCTATGTATTGATATTGCTTCAACAATCATCTAGTGGAGGTTACTGTTTCACCATTCACCAGTGATCTAGGATTTTTACTGTGTGAAGTTACCCGTGGAGATCCCGGTTAGAATAGGCCTTCAGCAACCCATGCTTGCTGTAAAAGGCAACTATGCTTGTCGTAAGAGGCAATTAACGAGATTGTGTGGTCAGGCATGCTGACTTGGTTGATGCATGTCATCTTATCCAAATTGCGTGGATCAATGCTCATGACTTCAATCACTGGATTGTCTGGTCCGGACTCGATTATTTACAGACCGCCATCATATAGCTGGAATATTGTTGAGTGTGGCTTTACACAACTAACAACCATCCAAACAAAAGTGTGTGAAGTGTTCCTGCTTGTATGACAATATTTTCTGTTCAAGTTTCAGGTAAGATGGTTGGTTCAATTGTTGCAGCCAGGTTTTTACTCTGTTGTTATGCTTATTGATGTTCAGCATCTGTTTATTGCATTATGGGAATTCAAGGGTTTTTTCTCGAAACAAATGACCTTACCCCATTATAAAATTCTTTTGTCTTCAATATTTTTCTAGAAATCTCTTATTATTTTGAAACAAAACTTGAAATCTCAATGACATTTATTGGAAATAATCTCTGTTATATATCTTAAGTATGAACCTGTCTGAGACCTTCATACTATGGAACCCTGTTTAAGATCTGGGGCGGAATTGGTCTTCAGCAACCCATGCTTGCAGTAAGAGGCGACTATGTTGTAAGAGGCGACTAACAGGATCAGGTGGTCAAGCCCGCTAACTTGGGTGATACATGTCATCGTATCCCATGCATTGATTGATGCTCATGATGTGAATCATGGTCCAGACTCAATTATTTACAGACCGCTGTGACATAGCTGGAATATTGCTGAGTGCCACTTTAAACAACAAAAACACAAACAAACAAACAAAATCATCGTCAGGATAAGGAGATCCTAGGCATGTGTAGGAAGGACAATTCTCCAATTTACCTGATTCTATGCCTCTAGGCAGCATCTGACAACCCGTCATGGGTGGCCATGCCAGGTGAAGTCTATGCTAACTTCAACTGCTCAATCTAAATGTAGGCAGCATGCTTTCTTGAACCCATCTTCCTGAATCAAGGGAGTTAAGTGATTGTAAAAGGTCAGTTTCCACCCTTGCCGAACTATGCTGGAATTTCTGGGCTTGGTTGAAGTGGCACCAGTGGCTGTTACAAGTTACGTCCATTCTATGTCCCTCCTATTGACTAATCAGATTCCACCTCTCATTTCACTTGCTTTTGCTTCTAACAAAATGGCGGCGTCCAGTCTGATCGAAGCCCTGAAGATCTGGGTTAGAATAGGTCTTCAACAACCCATTCTTGCCGTAAAGGCGACTAACGGGATCGGGTGATCAGGCTCCCTGACTTGGTTGATGCATGTCATCGATCCCAATTGTGTGGATTGATGCACATGATATCAATCACTGGATTGTCTGGTCCAGACTTGATTATTTACAGACCGCCAACATATAGCTGGAATATTGCTGAGTGCGGCGTAAAACAACAAACCATCCAATCAAACCAACGATAGTGAAGATCTATTTTGTAATAAAATGGGTCTTACCTCGCAAAGTGCATCAAATAACATGAGCACCTTGATTAAAAACATCAAAAAATTTGGAAAATATCTGTCACCGCCCATTTGACGGAACACATGCTCTGCAAATACTGCAATTGAACCGGATGTCGATTTCGTTACGTAATTTTGAGTATGCATAGACTCTGTAGTCCAGCCAAAACATAATTCCATGATTGCAGCCTAGTTTGGCAAGAGTGGAAACTAGACTTTTATAGTCAGATATCCCCCTGACCCAGGGGAAGATGTCTTGAACCAGACGTCTGCTTTCAACTGCAATTCAGCTTCATTTTCCAGTGATCATCATCAGTTATAATCTATAGTCAATCAGTTCCCTGTGCTAAAGTAGGGATGAATTAATGTGCTGGATTATATTTTTATACTGAAAGTCAACCTATCATCTTATTTTATATGTAAGGCCGTATATGAACATTCTCAACAACTAGTCACCACTTTCATTTAACATGTTTAAGATTAAGATTATCAACATGTTTTTTTTTATGTTATTGTTTGTTTTATTTGATTAATGGCCAATTATTTGGAACCATTTATTTATCATGGTTATGACAACAATAACTCATCCTCAGAATTATTATGTTCTTGTTCAAAATCTATGTGCTTATTTTGTACACCTGTTTTTTTTGTGCACTTATTTTGATGCTTCAGTGTGTAAATAGTATATTGATTGGGGTATGCAATCTTCTCGTAACAGCTAAGCTTAGGTCTTTTATCTGACCAATCAGAGCGTTGCTTTTCAGATTGGGAAAGTTACTGTTGGAATGTGTTTTCTAATCATGCAACCTAAAAAAAATTAACACTGGGTTTCCGAAGGACAGCTTCGAACTTTTCCACTGATTCAGAATAATAGACATCATCTATTTTTCGCTTCAATGCAATTAGACACATTTGGAACGAAAGATTTTCAATAGCTTGTGGGAAGTCCTGCCACACAATCTCTGTCATATATATTACATGAAGCGATACGATGTACTTTCATGAAAGTATAAATTTTACATAAGCTGACCCCATTCTACAGAATCTTTTTTCTTGCTCTTATCTTATCTTATTCGACATTCCAAAAATCTCCAAATTTTGAATCAAGAACTTTGTCAAAATATCTTTCAAGTGTAGTCTGCAGTAGAAGTCACCATTTTGAAACTAGTGCTGTGGAGCTCGAGAAAGCTCCTTTCTGATTGGCAAATGTTGAGCTCTCTGTGAGTCACTTCATTTGTTGGTCAAAGTCCGCGAAAAGGTCATATTGAAGTGACCTGTAATGGAATGTCCTCAGTGTCTGTTTAGCGATAGTGAGAACTAAAATATGATTTTAATGAGGTTTTTTTTCTTCTTTTTCTTAACATAGCCTATCACATAGATATAGTGCTACAATTAGACACTGATACTGCTATCAACTCCAGAAATCCAAAGACTTTACAAATCATTTTGTTATTTATGAAAATTATGTGACTCTTTTAGGTTGTATTTTGGTACAACTGTTGTTTATCTGAACTGAAGGTTGTGATCCCGAGTCATGTGCTGATGAAAGTCGGTCATTGTCCAGGGGTTTAGATTACCATCATAACACAGGTGGCCCGGTCTAAGCCGATGCAATTCGCTATTTGTCTCACCTGCATCACTTTGGGCTTTCCTGCCATGTTAAGCTGACACTGTGATACAACAAAATATTGTTAAAAAACCCAGATTCATTTACTGACTCTATCGCTAATCCAGATAAGCTACATCTTCCCGAGACAAGAGTGTCCACTAGCCTTTTTATCAAAGTTTTGCCACATCAAGCCCAACTTTCCTGTGCTAAATATGATTGGACTATTGCGCATATTGATAGTCCTGTCAGAGAACGTTTAAAACAAATCAACATCCAAGACTGTACACCTTTGTATGAAAGTGATTTACCGCTGCCTGTCTTTGTTGGTGTCTTTTTAATCTTTTAAGCTCTCCGACAATTGCCTATGTTTTTGGGTCAGGGATGAAATTGCGAATGTTTTTGTAATCTGATCGACAAGGTCGTCACCTGTGGTAGTAACCATCTTTGTGAAGCTATGCGAGATAAGAACAGCAATCTAAATGGATATCGCGTTTACAATACAAGGGGCACAACTCGCGAGGTGGCACCAGGGTTGAGCCAAGAAAAGTCTCCTTGACGTGGCAAGGGTAGAAACTAGGGTTGGTGTAGGTTAGTGGATACGCTTGCCTCAGGAAGATGGATAGGCTAAAGAGCCCCACGATTCTGATATCCTCTGTCTCAAACATCTGGAGTTGACTGTATTGTACTGTGGGAGTATTTGTTCTTCAATTTATAGTACTCTAACACCTAGCCTAAATGTTTTAACTTTGTTGGAATCAGTGTTGATACTGTGTTTGGAAAGCTTCATCAGATATTGTTGTAGAAGATAATGTTTTCCAAGACATGATAGAACGACCTTGCTATAAGTTGACGTAATGCTGAAAGTAAGATTGTAATTGTGACAAATGTTATATGTGGAATAACATTTTCTTAGTAAAGGACAGTTTCTCATACTTTTTGGGGTTGAGTCCCATCTGGGATTTGAACCCACACTGCCAGAGTGAGGCACCTAATCGCTCAGCACACAAAGTCAGCGATCAAACCCACTCAGCCACCGAGGCTTCCACAAGAATGAAACTCTGACAACTGGTAGTCTAGATCACATACTTTTTGTACCCCTCTGGTTACAAGATTGTAATTGACAAGTTAGTTTAACCTTGGAAACTGATGAACGTGAATCAGTGATGGTCTGTTTCTGAAATGATCTCTGTTTGTGTTCCAGGTGACAAAGATGCTGCTAATCAGGTAAGACATGATTATATTCCAGACTGTTATAAAGGGAGTTGCTCAACATGCTAATGTGGCAGTTCCTCATGCTGTTGATCGGATAGGACATGATTCTGTTACAAATGGAGTTGATTATTGTTCAGGGTTTGGATTGACTTCAAAAGGTCTTGAATATTTAGGTCTGTCTTGAAAGTGCTTCAACTTTGACCTTGAAGAGGTTTTGAAAATTGATAATGTGCCCTGAGAAGACGGAAGGTTTTTATATATATACATTTTTTTCAAAAACTCATATTCTTTACAAACCTTGACTTATATATACCTGTTGATAAATAAATACCTTGCTCATTTCAACCTACCCAATCAACCTGGTATCGCCCAGGAAGCTCACTTGAACCCTGCTGACCCATTGCATGATGGGAGAGGCCAGGCAATTCCATTGCTCGCTGGTGATGGTGACAACATAGTCTTTGATAATGAAGAGGTAGATGACAAGGCGGCTCAAGGTCTTGATGGCCTAGAGGAGGTATTGTTACTATGGTTACTGTAGCCTTGTCTGCATATTGGGCTTTAACCTTGCTTTGCTGTAATGGAGGCAATCCATCTAATACACAGATCATTATGGACTAGTGGTTTATCTTGGTTATGAGAGGCAGTTGGGTAGCCTGGTGGTTAAAGCGTTCGCTCGTCACGCCAAAGGCGATTCCCCACATGGGTACAATGTGTGAAGCCCATTTCTGGTGTCCCCAGCCGTGATGTTGCTGGAATATTGCGGCGTAAAATCACACTCACTCACTCACTCACTCATGGTATGTAACATTGGGGGTCCAGATCAGCTGCATGTTTGCATAAAATATGTAAAATATATCACCATTACCCAGTTAATTTGAGTTGAACAATTTTAAAAACAACACCCTGTGTATTCCTGTATTGCAATGTATACTGTATTGCTTTGCACATCTTTATTTACTGATCGAGTCCAGCATCACACGTACATTAACTCTGCTGCAGGGAATAATGCATAAACGAGGCACCATCTCCTGCTTGTTGTTAATGAGACAAACTATCACTGTTATGCAAATTAGAATTCACCTGAAACAGCATTTCAATTAGAATTATTTAAAAAAATGTCTACTGGTTGGTGTAGAACCCAGTAGGCTGGACCCAAAGAAAACTATCAATATCCAGTGTGAGTGTTAACATGTGAATAAATACTCAGTGCCGAAAAACAATTATCTGGAGCCCTGAGGGATGTCATGTAATGAATAGACTATTATCTGGAGCCCTGAGCATGCTGAGGGATGTCATGTAATGAATAGACTATTATCTGGAGCCCTAAGGGATGTCATGTAATGCAAAGACTATTATCTGGAGCCCTGGGGGATGTCATGTAATGCAAAGACTATTATCTGGAGCCCTGAGGGATGTCATGTAATGCAAAGACTATTATCTGGAGCCCTGAGGGATGTCATGTAATGAATAGACTATTATCTGGAGCCCTGAGGAATGTCATGTAATGTAATGAATAGACTATTATCTGGAGCCCTGAGGAATGTCATGTAATGCAAAGACTATTATCTGGAGCCCTGAGGGATGTCATGTAATGCAAAGACTATTATCTGGAGTCCTGAAGGATGTCATGTAATGAATAGACTATTATCTGGAGCCCTGAGGGATGTCATGTAATGAATAGACTATTATCTGGAGCCCTGAGGAATGTCATGTAATGCAAAGACTATTATCTGGAGCCCTGAAGGATGTCATGTAATGAATAGACTATTATCTGGAGCCCTGAGGGATGTCATGTAATGAATAGACTATTATCTGGAGCCCTGAGGGATGTCATGTAATGCAAAGACTATTATCTAGAGCCCTGAGGGATGTCATGTAATGAATAGACTATTATCTGGAGCCCTGGGGGATGTCATGTAATGCAAAGACTATTATCTGGAGCCCTGAGGGATGTCATGTAATGCAAAGACTATTATCTGGAGCCCTGAGGGATGTCATGTAATGAATAGACTATTATCTGGAGCCCTGGGGGATGTCATGTAATGCAAAGACTATTATCTGGTGCCCTGAGGGATGTCATGTAATGCAAAGACTATTATCTGGAGCCCTGAGGGATGTCATGTAATGTCTACCACGTGATACAATGCAAATGGCAATACTAGAAAGATATCATGATACTTTATTCGAGTGAATTCTCAATGTGCCAGGCAGAAACCACTGCTGTCAACCAGTTGTCATTTCCCTCACATGACTGGTTAATTTAGGCTTGTTCAAGCATTGTTGTCTTATCACATTAGTATTTTGTTTTATAATTGGCAGTGATTGCAAAACTTGGTAAATATTACTCTTTGAAAATCAGTTCAGCATTAAGATTAATTGTGTAACGTATCATCAGGTTTAAATTCACAATGCATTGATATACAACTCAAAAGAAGTTAAGGAACACTGATTCTTTCATAGTACTATAGTTAATTTGTCTTTGAATAACAGATTTACTGCAGTAATATGAAAGCAGTGTGGTCCTTAACTTCTTTTGAGTAGTATACATCAGTGAACCATGACACCCTATAACTAGATATTTGGAGAAAGCAACTAGTCCTTCCAGACTTAAGGCTGGGTCTAATGATGAAGAGCACTTCCTGCATCATCACTAATCATGCAGGTTGTTTTTTTCCAATATTGGCCAAAATAAGAATTTGTGAGTTAAATGTGGTTACCTGTTCCTGATCACATGAAGAGGGAGGAGGGTAGAAGCTACACCCTGGATTTCACAAATGTGTGTTTGTTTCCAGTCTGTCGGTGTCTCATACAACATGGTGTAAATAGATGTGCAGAATTAAACTTGCAGGCCCAAGAAAGTATATGTCAATGTTTCATAATGGCTTAAAATGAAAAATGCAAGAAATGTTTATTCATGGTGATGTATTTGATCAAAGTTGTGTTTTGAACCTTAAGTTTGCAGTGATTGTTTTCAGCCTAGTAACATTTTGATAACGTTTGTAATTTGGGTCAAATTCAGTTTTTAAGTGTATCAGAGCTCCAGATAAGCTGCATATCTGCGTAAAATACGCATCAGAATTTTGATAACGTTTGTAATTTGGGTCAAATTCAGTTTTTAAGTGTATCAGAGCTCCAGATAAGCTGCATATCTGCGTAAAATACGCATCAGAAATGCAGAAATACGCAGTAAAATAAAATCCAAGCGTATCAAATACACAACGAACATTACAGATACGCTACAAAAATAAAACTTGTGCGTATCATCAAAATGTTGTGAAGTAACCTTGCGTATTCGACTAGCAAATCAGCAACATATTTTGAAATTATAAACGGGCATTCCGTCAACCTTGCCAAACTCCACGATGACAGTTACATCATGATCACTTGCCATCACACTTTCTTGTGGAAGTATCTTGGTATTTTTGAGTCCTATAAAGCTTTCGAACCCACACGACACCAGTTTGCAGGGACTAGATGAATAGTGTTTTTAAATATTTAACTTAAACACCAACATGTGTAAAAACTAGTGGGTAACAGAATTTGAATACCCAGATAGAATTACTGATACCCAATGATTTTAAAATGCATGGGTAAAATACCCACAACACCAAAAGCTTATCTGGAGCTCTGTGTTTACTTTCTTTTGCTCGGTAGTTTACGTGACACAATACAGATTTAATAAACAGCTTTCACAAATGAACTTTATCAAGAAATAATAACACTGGTTTGCAATACTGGTGATATTTCAGAAATGGGGACAAAATTTCCATTTATGATAAAATACATTCCCTTAAATTTAAATGATACATTCTTGAATAAAAGACTCAAAGCAAGGAAAGGTAATTTTTTGTAACATGGTAGAGAAAGATATCTATGTGACACATTGACATTACTTTGACTTGGCAAGGGGTTTAAGGTCTGAAACAATATGACAATATGGATCATCTCATACACCAAGCCCACTACTTTTATACACATTGATTCCATAATTTTTGCAGGTAATAGGTTACTAACACATAAACACAATAGCCACTTCAGCCTGAAATTTCACTCACTTCAATTTTCTATCTTTCTTTTGATTTTTCTACAGCATGTTATTCTACCATTTGTTGCAGTAAAACTTTAGGAAAATAGTTTAGTTAGAGAGCGTGTCAACAGACACACATCACAGTACATTGCCCTGCCTCACCGAGCTTATCCCGCCACAATTTGTCTTGCGTTTTTTCTGCAAGGATACTAATGTTGACAATAAGTCTGATTGTGTATTGTGCCATTGCTGATGTAGGGAGGCGCACTAGAATATAGACAGAGGTGCTGTTGAAAGTTTGCTTAGCTCTGTCATTTTCTTGTTCTTGGAGCACTAATTAGTTAGTGTCCTGAACGTTTATCTCCGGCAATATTCATCGTATCAGAAAGCTTATAGTGTTGGTCTCCAGTATATCTTGCTTTTCATTTGACAAAATGGGGATAGGGTGGTAAGGCTTTGTGTCTGATTGTGTCTGATTTTGTGTCTTCATGACCTGACAGGGGCGGTCTGATAGCCTAGTGGTTAAAGCGTTTGTTCGTCACGCCGAAGACCGGGGTTCGATTCCCGACATGGGTGCAATGTGTGAAGCCCATTTCTGGTGTTCCCGCCATGATATTGCTGGAATATTGCTAAAATCGGCGTAAAAACAATCTCACTCACTCACTCATGCCCTGAGTTAGTGAGTGAGTTGGGTTTAACACCATTTTGAACAGTATCCCAGTTGTATCACGGAGTGTCAGCTCACAATGGGAGGAAAGCTCAAAGTGATGCAGGTCTCAGATGTTTGCCACTTTGGTGGAACCCATGAGCATGGGTATGGTATAGACAAACCTATTCGGGTTGAACCGAAATTCCAACCCACAATGATAGGTTTCTCACTTGCCTAAGGTAGGCAGCTGTACAGCAAATTCAACGCCTTAGCCAACTGGGCCACCTGTGCCCCCTTCATGCCTTGAAGGCGTGGAATGTTGATTGTGTTATCAAGCACTGGATTGCTTGGTCCAGATTGGATTACATTCAACAAACAAAGAAAAGCAAACTTGGTTACTTTTTTAAAACTTTTTTTTATAGGAAAATCTTAGTGCTGAGGTAGGGCTTCAAGTAGGCATTAGTGGTCCAGACTTGATACTTTACAGGCTTCTAAGTGCTGCATTAAACACTACCATCAAACAAACATAATTTTTGAGAACCTGCAAGATGGAGTTAAATGTTAAAAACATGAGTGATGCTTTGCTTGTATTTTGTAAGAAGTAGCCATGTTTTTACTCATGTTGATGCATTACCATGATCTTGTGAGCAATAATAAGTTCATATGAATCAAATACAAGATCACTGAAGACTATATCATTTTCATACCAGGTGAGAGATAGTGTGTACGTGTATAAACAATACTAACAATATCACTTGGTTCATGGTATATAACAAGATATGATGGTACAATTACATTCTCATATCTATCTGATAGATTCTTTGAGGAAATTACTGATATCATGGTCCTCAATATATGTGATTGTACATGACTAGATATGATTGATAATTACTGACATTTACCTTGGTAAAGAACGTTTTGTTTGAAGTACCAAGAATTCAAGTTAAAGAAACCAACTTTGATAAATCTCATCCACAATGGTGCATCCACGAACAGTACATTTTTCTACTAAATACAACAGCTAGCACATCTGTGTAGCGTATGAAAACCACAAACTGTATTCAACGTAATAAGCGCCCAGAGCGCCCTCAAAATTAGAAATAGGGGGCTCTTATTAGAATGTTATTTTGGTGAAAAAAACAGAGTTAAAAGATAAATTTCAAGGTTTATGCTGACAGCCTTAAATGTTTATGTACGACAGATATATTTTTCCAGAATTTAATTGCCCATAATTAAGGGTGCAAAAACACACGAGTATACGCGAATAAATAAGTCTTGTGTACATTGATCAATCGGAAGGGGTGCTAATTGGGATTGTTCACTAGCCAATATCTTAGCAAATATCTCTGTGGGTGTTTATTAGCTCGGGGCACTTATTACGTTGAATACGGTAAATTAATGTATTGCAACTGAACAATGTGAATGATGGGTGTAAAACATGTAATAAATGATCTATTTGTTTGCTTACAGGAAGGACACAAAGAGGGGGATGATAAACTCAAGTTCGAACCTGTGAGTATACCCCACTCCTTACACAGTGAACAGTTTGCTGTGTTAAGATATCCCCCAACCTCGATCAATCAGGAATTTGAGCTATACCTGTGTTCATTGTTGCCCTCAAGGAAGATGTGGGTTGAAATTAAACTTTCCATGTTTGTTCAAGGATTTTGTATGGTGTACGAAAATCTCACGTTACCCGTGAAGTTGTCTTAAGGAGACGTTACAACTTGAAGTTGTGTGTGTTTGTTGAAGCTGTTTCATGTCACTAAAAGACAGTGAGCTTCATGGCTTGGTGTGATACCATGGTTACAGGATCAGACACTCAATGTCCAAGTCACAGTTTGATTTCAGAATTTTTTTTGTAAACAAACAAACATCAAATTGCAAATCAATGAGACGAATATGGATTTGACAGAAAATCCATGATGAAGTCTGAAAGAGAGCTACTGAATGCAAATGATATAATTGTTGAAAGGTGTTTGACAAGGATGTAACGATATTGTACTGTTAGTAGCTGGTTAACACTGGAAAAGTTACTTTTAAGTTGAAGTTGATTAACATACATAGGATGGACTTTTTATAGCCCAAACAAGGGCATGTTTACCATCAAGCTAATGGGAATACATATATATTATCTATAATGTTTTAGAGAGCTGCATTTAAGGGCTGGGATTAGTCCAAATTTACTACCTGAGTTCAACCCCCCGATCATCCAACCCTACCCGCATTCCTGCTGTAGTTGGATACAAAATGTCAGATTCAGAACTGTTTTATTGGAGCCCTTGCAAAATTTATGTAGATACACATATAGAACGATCTGATCTTGGATGCACTGCTGTTGACTGAATCTTTATTATCCCCCGCCGCGCGAAAGCGCGAAGCGGGGGATATAGTATTCACGACCGTCCGTACGTCCGTCCGTACGTCCGTCCGTACGTCCGTCCGTACATCCCACCTGTTTGTTGCCGCGATATCTCAAGAACTAAACACTGGATTGTCTTCATATTTGGAACTATGGTGTATATACAGACTCCGCAGACACCAGTCGGTTTTGGTGACCTTGATCCCATTTTCAAGGTCACAGCAGACAAATCTGCTTTTAGAGTTGGAAAACGGTGTTGCCGCGATATCTCAAGAACTAAACACTGGATTGTCTTCATATTTGGAACTATGGTGTATATACAGACTCCGCAGACACCAGTCGGTTTTGGTGACCTTGATCCCATTTTCAAGGTCACAGCAGGCAAATCTGCTTTTGGAGTTGGAAAACGGTGTTGCCGCGATATCTCAAGAACTAAACACTGGATTGTCTTCATATTTGGAACTATGGTGTATATACAGACACCGCAGACACCAGTCGGTTTTGGTGACCTTGACCCCATTTTCAAGGTCACAGCAGGCAAATCTGCTTTTGGAGTTGGAAAACGGTGTTGCCGCGATATCTCAAGAACTAAACACTGGATTGTCTTCATATTTGGAACTATAGTGTATATACAGACTCCGCAGACACCAGTCGGTTTTGGTGACCTTGATCCCATTTTCAAGGTCACAGCAGGCAAATCTGCTTTTAGAGTTGGAAAACGGTGTTGCCGCGATATCTCAAGAACTAAACCTCTCGATTGTCTTCATATTTGGAACTATGGTGTATATACAGACACCGCAGACACCAGTCGGTTTTGGTGACCTTGACCCCATTTTCAAGGTCACAGCAGGCAAATCTGCTTTTAGAGTTAGAAAACGGTGTTGCCGCGATATCTCAAGAACTAATCGCTGGATTGTCTTCATATTTGGAACTATAGTGTATATACAGACACCGCATACACCTGTCAGATTTGGTGACCTTGACCCCATTTTCAAGGTCACAGCAGGCAAATCTGTTTTTGGAGTTGGAAAACGGTGTTGCCACAATATCTCAAGAACTAATTGCTGGATTGTCTTCATATTTGGTACTATGGTGTATATGGCGGGGGATATTTCGTCACTCTGTGACAAATACTTGTCTTCACTCAAACATGTAAAAGTCAGAAGGAATGCGTGCATTGTCAGAAAGAGATACGAACATCAGCAAGTTGTGGTGTAACCAAGGAGTTTTATTGTTTTTGTCATTAAGCAAAATATCATGTGACTAACCATTGGTCTGGGAAGTCCTGTGGGTACCTGTGTCCTACTCAGGACCCACCTGACTCAAGTACCCAAGTTACACTTCCCAGCCCTAATACATTTTTACATATTTAATGTCAACCAAATATTACAGAACACAGGCACCCGATTGGCCATGCTTGTCGTAAAAGCCGACTAAGCTTGTTGTAAGAGGTAATCGGGTGGTCAGGCAAGCTGACTTGGTTGATGCATGTCATCATATGCCAGTTTCGTGGATTGATGCTCATGATATCAATCACTGGATTGTCTGGTCCAGATTTCAATTATATATAGAGGGCCGTCATATGCTCATATAACAACAAACATACAAACAAATTTTATGAAATTGTGTGCTCAGTCTCGACCGTAAAGACTGACTGCTCAGTGTTTACTACAAAAAAATATTTCCCAAGATATTCGTGATCCTTAATTTGTGTGTTTTCAGTATACCATATGTTAATGCCTTGGAGAAACATGAAAAGTTCTCTAGCAATTTCAACCACATTTACCTTCACAAAATGTAACAATACATACCTCATGTTTTTGTTTGTAAAGAATATATTGCTTTGAAACAGTATTAGTTTTTGCAAACCTTTCTTAAACAGTAATGCTATATGTTTTCATGCCTGTTTTTCTTCCAGCACAATAACTAAATAAGGTAACAGACTATGTTAGCTACTTGGTGCCGGGTTTTGTTTGGTGTTATGGCCCAAGTTGTGTTGAGGGAGAATATGAGAATGCAGTCTTCCCTGAAACCAATGAATCCTTTTTTGAGTGTTTTGTTCATCAAATTTAGTGCTGAGATGATTGTAACTCATATACTTTAACACAGGCTTACAATAGAAGTAGTGCCAAGATGATCGTAACTCCCATACTTTAACATAGGCTTACAATAGAAGTAGTGCCAAGATGATCGTAACTCCCATACTTTAACATAGGCTTACAATAGAAGTAGTGCCAAGATGATCGTAACTCCCATACTTTAACACAGGCTTACAATAGAAGTAGTGCCAAGATGATCGTAACTCCTATGCTTTAACACAGGCTTACAATAGAAGTAGTGCCAAGATTATTGTAACTCATATACTTCAACATAGGCTTACCATAGAAGTTGTGCCAAGATGATCGTAACTCATATACTTTAACATAGGCTTACCATAGAAGTAGTACCAAGATGATCGTAACTCCCATGCTTTAACATAGGCTTACAATAATTGTTGTGCTTACATCGCTCTGTGGAATGGTACTCAGTTAATTTGAACATCCATATGATATTTACAGCATTTTCAAATGCAAGGACAGAAATTAAAATGGCACACTTACCTTAAATATCTGCCCATTAAGGCATCCTGGTTAGTAGAAATTGTCTGTTTTAAAGTGTACATATTTACAATCATTATGTGGGCGAGTGGTGAAAAGTCTTATTCATGAATGCAAACTGGTGTAAGCATTGTGGCTAATATTGCCTACACTGTAGTGTAGTACTTTGACTTGTTAGCGTAGTGGTTAAAATGGTGAATTGACATGCCAAAGGTCCGGGTACAAATCTCCACATAGATGCTCTGTGTGAAGGCATTCTTGGTGTCTGCCCCAAGACACTGCATACCTTAGACAAAACCCAAGCTCACCTACTTCAGGTAATTGGCTCTCCGATTTAGGTTGGGAAAAGAATTGGTTTTCAGCAACCCCTGCCCACAGTAAGAGGTGGCAAACTCACTGAATTGGTTGATGCATATTTTAACCCAGTTGCTTAGAAAGATGCTCAATATGTTAATCCCTGGATTATCTGGTCCTGACGCTTTTTTACAGACCACCATTATATGGCTGGAATATACCTGAGTTACACAACAAACAAACCTGCTTACATCATTACTTTATCCAACACCCTGCATGCAACTGTGATATGGGGGGCGGTCGGGTAGGCTAGTGGTTAAAGCGTTCGCTCGTCACGCAGAAGACCCGGGTTCGATTCCCGACATGGGTACAATGTGTGAGGCCCATTTTCTGGTGTCCCCCACCGTGATATTGCTGGAATATTGCTAAAAGCGGCGTAAAACCATACTCACTCACTCACTCAACTGTGATATGTACTACAAAAAGAAGTTAAAGAACACTCAATTCTTTCATATTACTATAGTTAATCTGTCTTGTTTCTTTTGTTTGTTTGTTGTTTAACGCCACACTCAACAATATTCCAGCAATATGATGGTGGTCTGTAAATAATCGAGTCTGGTGTTACCCTGTCTGGCGCTCGGCATTAAGGCTAAAACAAGGACTTGTCTGCTCGGAGTCAGTATACTGTGTCTGAGAGGGATATTCATGTTAAAATGCGGCATGGTATCTCAGTGAGCTAGCACTATAAATCAGCATCAGTCCGGACTAGTACAAGCAGCCACACAAACACACACACGTACATGCACATCGCTATATAAGTGCAATAACCTTGGATGAGACGTTAAACCCAATTTTACCTCACCTCACCTACATGTGATCTTGATCTCATATTGATGAAAGTCTAAAGAACCACCACTACCAGTGGAAATGTTAATGCTCACAAGCAGCCACACACACGTGCATGCACGTCGCTATAAAAGTGCAATAATCTTGGACGCAACGTTAAACCCCATTTCACCTCACCTATGGTTAATTGGTTCAAATCAATGTTGTTTACTAAAAGGGAATTCTGTCTATATTTAGGACCCTTGAAAATCCAGGTAGAGAATAGGTCTTCAGCAACCCATGCTTGTCGTAAGAGGCGACTAATGGGATCGGCTGATCAGGCTCGCTGAATTAGTTCATGCATGTTATCGTATCCCAATTGCGTGGATTGATGCTTATGATGTCCATCACGATATTGTCTGTGACTCGATTATTTACAGACCACCGTCATATAAATCAAATATTGCTGAGTGTGGCGTTAAACAACAAACAAAACAAACAAAAAATTCTATATTTAGCTCACTTGAGTGAAAGTTAAGTGAACGTATGTTGTGGTTGTCCATCCGTCTTTAACTTTTGCATTTTCGACATCTCTGAAACTGCAAGGGCTTTGAAGCTGATACTTGGCATGAATGATCTTAGCTATTGTGTCTGGAAAGTGCTTGCAGAATACTGATGATCTGCTTTTAAACATGGCCACTATAGTGCTAATATTTAAAAACCCATTATTGGCTATTAATTATGTCATCTTTTTGCAAGATTTATTGCCAATTTTGATCGAACCCGTCTTCCAAGCTTGTTCAAGGCATCACTATTATCAATCAATAGTGTTGTCGGAAATTATCTTTGGCAGAAATTTTTCTTAAGCCCTCTGCAGATGTTTGCTCCAAAATATGGTTAAAGTGTCAAAGAATTATTTCTTCGTAAGTAAGGGGAGCTACTGAACCTTGTTTGTTTATTTATTTCTATATGCAAGATGTAGTTTTAGGATTATCTTGCCTTTATAGTTCTGTGTTATAATTGGTCCCCACCAACCTATGTTGGTCATAAAATATGACCCAACAGCAGAATATCAATCACTGGTTTTTTCAGTGTGTGTTGCATTGAAAGAATATAGATGTTGAATTCCATTTCAACTCTCTCTTCATTGAAACTATAGCTTCTGAATTGACTCTTAAAGACAGACATAGAAAAGCCTATCGTGGCTTGTAAACTGGGTTTTACTTGGCAATATCATATATGAGACACCTAGAATTTAATTTTCAGTAATGATATTTTTACAGCAAATATTACACTACCTTTGAATTTGCAGACACTTCATGAAGAATGATTATTTTATGTTTGTATTTTTGCAGCTTGGAGAAGAACTGAAACATCAAGGAGATATAGAAAAGGATGAAGATGCAATCGACCGTATGAATGACAATATGGCTCTTGATGACAAAAAACCTGAGGCGGCGTACAAGATTGAAGAAAGTGAAGGAATATAGACAAATGCTTGTAATATACTTAGTAAATGGCCTCTTTGTGTTTATTGCAAGATATCGAATAGTTTTTATTAGAAATATCTTCTTTAGTTGATGTTACTTATCTGGAAAACAAGGATCAGAGAATATGTATTCATATTTGTGAAATTATTCAAAGTATCAAGAGGACTTGATTTACGATAAACTTTACTTTTAGAAGTGCTTTTCTAAATATTTATCTTGTTGTGGTCAAGTTATATGATAGAAATCCAACAACGAATGGCTGTTATGCAAAAGTCAATTACAATTACTATTGACAAGACAGGAGTATTATTTGAAGTCACTGGACCATGTAGACTGGCAGGCTGATTTGTACTGTCTGTTGTTGGCTGTTTGTGACAGACATGTCGTTTGCCTCAGTATTGAGAGAATGTGGTAATGTTGCTTACTTAGACTCGACATGATATTAATGCCCCATCCTTTTGCAAAATATACTCTTGGGAATCTTAAGGGAAGACAGACTGTCAATGTATTAAGCTCTGGTATTTAGTTACCAGTGATGGCACTTATGAAAAACTACATATTTCACATCGACTTGAGTAGATTTAGCATTTCAGTACTTCAGCAATTATACAACTGGAGACGGAAGTATATCTCTATCATTTAAATCCTTCTTATAAGGGATGTAAGGATGATTTTTGAGCAGGGTGCACATTTGAATACAGTAGTTTGGCTGATTGGATAACCTTTTGATCCATGGATTTAGATTATGGGGTTGTTTCTGAGAACATCGGAATGTAGCACTTGGTTTTCTTTTTATGCATGCTGAGGTTTGTTATATCCCAGGATGAAGGTACCTGGAACACCATTCATACTTAGATTCGAGAACGTTTTGTTATCCTGCATTGGATTTATGGTGCATGAAATCTTCTTTCATTAGCTTTTAGTTATTCCTGGTATTCAACTATTACTGTCATTAGTTATATCATCATTAACATATTCTCTTCATGATCGGGGTGAACACAGAGAAAAACTATTCAATCCCTCGATTGGGCTCTGCGTGTCCACTTCCCTACCATCCTTAAATTTTGGATGAAAAATTGTGAATCAATTTTAGTTAAAGGTTATGGCTTTAACAATGTTAACTCACCATAATCACAATTCCTTATGAACATTACATTCCGAGATTTTTAATGTGTCTTTGCAGTTGTATATTTGAGTGGATGGTTGTTGTAACATAGATTAAATAGGACGGACAGATTTGCTGGGAAAATGCTGTCCTGCCTGGGTTTTTTTTTGAATGACAGTGTTCGGAATTAAGCATGATAGTCTTGGGGTCCTTGGCATAAGCTTCGGGGCGGTCAGGTAGCCTTGTGGTTAGAGCGTTCGCTCGCCATGCTGAAGACCCAGGTTCGATTCCCGACTAGGGTACAATGTGTGAAGCCCATTTCTGGTGTCCCCTGCAGTGATATTGCTGGTATATTGCTAAAAGCGGCGTAAAACCGTACACACTCACTCACTGGCATGAGCTTCATTACAGTTAGGTTTGTTTTTTGTTTGTTGTTTAACGTCGCACTCAGCAATATTCCAGCTATATGATGGTGGTCTGTATAAATAGTCAAGTCTGGACCAGACAATCCAGTGATTGATATCATTAGCATCGCTTCATGCAATTGGGATACGATGACATGCATCCAACAAGTCAGTAAGCCTGACCACCGATCCCATTAGTCGCCTCTTCCGGCAAACATATTCACCTTTTACGGCAAACATGGATTGCTGAAGACCTAATCTTCCCCGAATCTTCATGGGTCTGATAACAGTTAGAGAATCAGGGGGTCTATAGATTCAAATTCCAAACAAGACCTCAAGGCCCCCAGGGCCCCCTTAATTTCGAACACTGTATGATGTCATTGATTTTGTGCAAAATGAAAATATAGCTGTTGGTAAAACTACTTACGTATATGTTTCATCTGTGTGATAACGATGAGCACAAAGAATTATTATTTTTCCAGTGATTTTGTGATGAATGTGTACATATATTGCCTTTGAAGTCAAGAAGTAACTGGTATGTGTAAGAAATAAATTCATATTCAATATTGCAGTTCTACAGAAAATATTAAAACAATTATGACAAGTATGAGAACCAATATTTCACTTGCCATGTTAACTGAACAACCTCAAATTTGATTTTCATCGTAAACAGAAATAATAATGTTTTGTTTTAAATATCGCTGGTACATTATCGAAGGCATTAATCCAGGTTGTGACTTCGATGACTGATCGATGTGTGACCGATGTGTGCAGATATATGTGATGTTCGCGTATGTTGTGTTGACAGCTTACTCTGGTAACAAGTAACAGTTGGTGTGAGAGGCTAGCCCAGCAGGCCAACCAAAGCACATCAGCCCTGGGTCAGTTTCCCTTGTGCTCACCGTCTGTTACAGCAACAGATTGCAGCACCTCAGTCTCCCTCACTTATTGATGATGATGAAGAGTAATGCTTCCATTTCACAACACTCTGCTTAGTTTCACTTGAAGCGTCATAGTCAGAACACGAGAGAAATCCTTTCTTTTTCCTTCTTTCCTATCAAAAGGGCAACATTTTATATTTTCATGATTCACTAGCCGATGTTACTGATTTGACGTTGATATGGAATTTGGTGTCTTGTATCACACCCATGCATGTATGTGGGGCTCACAGTGATCAAAGGCCTGCATCACTTTGGCTTCACTCACACATTAAACTGACATGCCATGCCATATAACTGCCATATAACTGTAATACTGTTTGCACCTAGCCACTAAATGATGCTAAGCCCCTGTTGGAATTCCGGCTCAGGATAGGTCCCCAGCAACCATTGTTAGTAGCAAGAGTTGACCAAATGGATTGTCTGGTCCAGACTCAATTATTTACAGACCAGAGTGCAGCGTTAAACAACAAACCAACCAATCAGCTGTTAAAAGTGATCATGTTGACGTTGGATTTACTTACTATTAGATCTTTTAGATTGAGTCAGCTGAATATAGAAAAGAGAGAGTAGGACCTTAAAACACCCCATTAATGATCTCACTTTAGTTTCAGTAAGTATGTGTATTTGAGGGGCCTCACTGATGTGTACATGTTTCATGTTCATGTAGATGTATTTATTTACATAATTCTGGTCTGAATTATTTTCTCAGATTGTAATAGTGTTTTGTTTAGTTATGTTTTTTTATATTAGAATATTTGTAGTTATGGCTGAACAAAAGCTATGGGGAACAAACATTCATATATTAATATATATATCACAGTCTATAGACCCATTTTTGCTTGTGAAACTGTGATAAAATCCAATGATTACGAAACTGAACAAGAATGAGACTATATATTGCAACTTGCTCAGTTTAAAACACTTGTCGTGAAGTAGTCTCGCTAACATTGTTATGTTGCATGGTGTGGTGTGACAAGTGGAGAGCAATGTCAGTGTTTATTTGTCAGTGGTGTTTCTTACATTTGAGAAAAAAATCACATCTTTTGTCATGGCCGAATGCTTTTCGTGTTTAAGCCTGGCCATAATGTATTCAGAGTTAGTGAGGCAGTAACTTAGTTGGACAAATAGTCTAGCATGGATATCTGTTCGTGTGAAATCAGATCTCTCGAATTTCTCACAATATTTGTCAGATTATGAGCTGTAATGAAATTGGTGGTGAAATGGCAAGGAAATGATTAACTGAGAATTTTTGGAAAGATACTGCCTAGGATTACTATATACCGTATTCGACGTAATAAGCGCCCCGCTCTAATAAGCAATAAGCGCCCCCTGCAATATTTGCTAATGTAATGGCAAGTGAACAATCCCAATTAGCACCACTTCGGATTGATCAGTGTACATAAGACCTATATATTCGTGTACATACACAATCGTGTGTTATATGCATCCTTAATTATGGGCAATTAAACTTTGGAAAAATATATCTGTCGTATATAAACATTTCAGGCTGTCAGCATAAACCTTGAAATTTATCCTTCAATTTTGTTTTTTTCCCTACCAAAATAATATTCTAATAAGAGCCCCCTATTTCTAATTTTGAGAGCGCCCTGGGCGCTTATTACGTCGAATACGGTAATTAGAGGTGGACACAAGGAAACATTGTTATGCATGAAGAAAGTGGTTGTTATTGAATCTGATATGGCAGGGGGAAGTACTGCTTGGTTATGATGTGATAACCAAAGAAGACACAAATTTGGAATAGAAATGATATAAGCTTTTTTTTTCTTAATGACAATTTCAGAACTATAGTTAGTCCTCAAGATCAGTTGAATATTTATCATTGTCATTTTATGGAGAACACATGATACAGTTTTTATGTTGTAATTTAGTTTCACTTACTTTTCAGAATCCTTGTTAATAGTGCTTTTGCAATTTTTATTTAAATATTTCCTGACCTAATGGATTTGAAAACAACCTTAGTAGTGAGTATTTCATGAAATGTACAGCTATAGTTCCTTCTCACGATTCACATTGTCATATTGCAGCAGCGGGACATGATCGGACAGTATTCAGTAGACAGTAGAGATTTCATGGCTTAACAGGGGGGGGGGGGGGGGGGGGGGGGGGGACGGGTGGCCCAGTCGTCTAAGGCGCCGCGATTTGCTGTGCAGAGTGGCATCCCTTGGGCGTGCCAGAAACCTATGATTGTGGGTTCGAATCCTGGTTCGCCCCGATTATGTTTCTAGGTTTGTCAACACCATACCCGTGCTCGTGGGTTTCACCAAAGTGGTAAACGTCAGAGATGTCCATCACTTCTGGCTTTCCTCCCACTTTAAGCTGACACGCCGTAATATAACTGGAATACTGTTAAAAGCGGCGTTAAACCCAACTCACTCACACTCATGGCTTAACAACAACAACAACAACAACAAAAACTATGCATGTACATAGTGGCCTGGGAATCGGTGGGAATAATGTTGTGAAGCCCCTAACTTCCCACTTCAGTCTGTGTTGTGCCTGTGTTCTACATAGGAGGCACATGGAAACATCACTTTCAACAGGAATTATGCAAATGGATGCCGTTTGTAAGACTAACATTTCATTTTTCAATTCAGAAAATGTGAGAACTTAGTGTGAAGACACATGAAAAGATCAGTGTTACTTTAAACTGGTTGTCTGTGGGTGGGTTCTAAGTCATTCGATTCATTTACTCGTGTCAAAATTTGAAGTAATGTGGTTGGTTGTCTTTTTGTTCAGTACGCATCATATTTATTGACTGAAAGTCTTTCACTGTGGCCCATAATCATCCGAGTTGTGCTTTCTTGTAACTGTATTTTCAGGCTTAAATAAATCACGTTTCCATTTTCTCTAAAAGGTGCTTAATATATACTACTAAAAAGAGGTTTAAAAACACCCGATTTTTCATGTGACTATAGTTAATCTGTCATGGCTATCACTGGGTGTTCTTTGTCTTCTTGTGAGTGGTATAATATTGGCAGATGGCTTTCTACAAGAACAAAGTCCGTATTTTCCTAGTTTAAAAGTGACGTGTTTCATGTTTTTTTCTGAATTGTCGAATTGGTAAATATAATTTGTATGATTAAGATTATATTTATTGCTGACACAGTTATGTGTTGTCTGTGACCATCAATATTGTTCAAATGACACCTGCTATATTTGCAAACAAATTACTCAACACAAAGTCCATCACTGATGCTATTTTTCAACCACATTCTGTGTCTTGCGCTTGTCTCATCCTCTCCAGTCAGGGGTATGTTCTGTTTTGAAATGTGAAGGGTTTTGTTATTTGGAAGATTTATAACAATGGTTTTCAATTAATCACAATAAAATTAAAACTGATTAATTAAAATGGGAAATTTCAGGAAAGGTTTTTATTATCAGGTAACAGTTGGGTTAACAGTTATTAATAGGTTGCTAGGTGACAACAGAGCGGTATCCATGACTGGTGTTGTTTTTCATTACCTGTATATGTGGGTTTTATACAGATGTGCATAATATATGTTTGTTCATGTGGTTTACATATTTTGTACATTGTGGGCGAAGACAACAGAGGGAAATAAATTGTTATATACACACCAGTTAATGTGTTTGTTGGATGTTTGCAGTAAAATCATGTCCTGAATATATTCCATTGTGAGGGTCATAGCCTAGACTCAGTTACCTGGTCACTGTTATAGATGGAATATCGCTGACTGGGGCACAACAAGCTTGTCACATGTGACTAAACTGTGGATTCAAGTTGAGACCTGGGTCCTGTTCCTCAAAGCAATCTTTGCGTTAAGGGGGGCAAGGGTGGCCCAGGTGTCTAAGGCGCCGCGATTTGCTGTGCAGAGTTGCGTCCCTTAGGCATGCCAGAAACCTTTGATTGTGGGTTCAAATCCTGGTTCGCCCTGATTATGTTTCTAGGTTTATCAGCACCATACCCGTGCTCGTGGGCTTCACTGAAGTGGTAAATGTCTGATACCCGCATCACTTCAGGCTTTCCTCCCACATTAAGTTGACACGCCGTGATATAACTGGAATACTGTTAAAAGCGGTAATAAATCCAATTCACTCACTCATTTTGGGTTAAGACAATCGTAACTCTTATACTTATACTTTAAAGAAACACCGTAAACCATGTTATATAATTATGAAAGTAGTTATCGAACCTTACAGGTTTGCAGTGGCAATGGAACCTGTGAGATGTGATTCCCAGCTGTAAATATATTAACAAGAAAGTATAAATTTAAATATCTATTTCCCAATACAAAAATCCTTGAAAATAATGTCCAAAATATCTTCTGAAGTTATCTTCCCACTGATTTTCCCAAGTTCCCGAGCTGCCTTTCGAAGCTGGTGAGCAGAAAGAACAACATCTGTGTCCTGCTCCAGATTGAGGTAGGATTCAAGATGGCTGACACACTGAGTGAGATGGTGACGATGGCGGGCGTTGGTCAGACTTGGGTTGCCAGACAGAGGATTCCCACATCTGAGAAAAAACATCTCTTTGCATCACAATCTTAGAAACTACTTTAGCTAACATTATGAACTTAATCATTGGTCTTATTACAGTTTTACCTGATGCAGTGTCTCAAACATGTGCCTGTTCATCATGTCAAGAAATTTTGATGGAGGGACAAATTGAAAATTAGACCAAATGTTGCTGTTCTTTGTTTAAAAGAGAGCCTGGGAACTAAGAATTATACATTTGTTTGCTTAGACAGCACATAATAGCGAAAGATCGGTTCATCTGAATGGAATGAGACGAGAATTGGTCTCAATACACGGTTACCGTGATGCAACACAAACACTCTAGACAACTAGGACGACTCCACAGCTGCAAGCGACATTGCTTATTCTCTGTTTTGTGAACGAGATATTCATGAACGGGAAAATAAGAACAAAACAGTAACTTCACAATCGGTGGCATGTTTCAATGAAAAAGCCTGGTTTTCTTTTTCAACAACAAATATAACCTACTTTGTTATACCTAAAAATGCAGGGATATGTCCCAGATTTCAAACTCAGTGAGTTGATTAGCAATTTATAAACATAAATAGCTTTATTGACAAATCATACGAATTCTCCCTATCCCTGAACTGGAGCACTGAGCTAAGATCTTACACTATGGTATGCAAAGACACCCACCGAGCTAAGATCTTACACTATTGAATGCACAGACACCACTGAGCTAAGATCTTACTCTATGGTATGCACAGACACCCACCTAGCTAAGATCTTACACTATTGAATGCACAGACACCCACTGAGCTAAGATCTTACTCTGTGGTATGCACAGACACCCACTGAGCTAAGATCTTACACTATTGAATGCACAGACACCCACTGAGCTAAGATCCTACACTATGGAATGCACAGACACCCACTGAGCTAAGATCTTCCACTATGGAATGCACAGACACCCACTGAGCTAAGATCCTACACTATGGAATGCACAGACACCCACTGAGCTAAGATCTTACACTATGGAATGCACAGACACCCACTGAACTAAGGTCTTACACTATGGAATGCACAGACACCCACTGAGCTAAGATCTTCCACTATGGAATGCACAGACACCCACTGAGCTAAGATCTTACACTATTGAATGCACAGACACCCACTGAGCTGAGATCTTACTCTATGGAATGCACAGACACCCACTGAGCTTAGATCTTACACTATGGAATGCACAGACACCCACTGAGCTAAGATCTTCCACTATGGAATGCACAGACACCCACTGAGCTGAGATCTTACTCTATGGAATGCACAGACATCCACTGAGCTTAGATCTTACACTATGGAATGCACAGACACCCACTGAGCTAAGATCTTACTCTATGGTATGCACAGACACCCACCTAGCTAAGATCTTACTCTATGGAATGCACAGACACCCACTGAGCTAAGATCTTACACTATGGAATGCACAGACACCCACTGAGCTAAGATCTTACTCTGTGGTATGCACAGACACCCACTGAGCTAAGATCTTACTCTATGGTATGCACAGACACCCACCTAGCTAAGATCTTACTCTGTGGTATGCACAGACACCCACTGATTTATGATTTGCTCCTGTTCCCAGGGTAATGAACGAAAAGTATGTCAGCAGCATCAATATAAAATAATATAAAAAAACTTACGCAAGTTTTACCCTCTCTGCAAGCAGGTTTATAAAGTTTTTCATTCCTGCCCCCGTCGTACAGGACAGAGCTGCTGTGGGAACATCCCCTGCAGGACAGGGTGGGTTCCAGGAGGGCAGCAGATCACACTTGTTGACCACCAGCACTGTGTGTCTGTCCTCACTCTGCTGTACAGCATCTTCAGCAACCGCCATCTGTCTCCCTGCTTCACGGTCTTCTTGCTTAGTTCTGTCAGTCACTCCAAGGTCATGCAAATGGTCACTTACAAATTTGTCCACTTCAAAATTTGTGTGATCCAAAGAAAATGTTGTCGCATCCACAAGAATTATTTTGATATCTGCTTGCTTCGCCCTGAAAAGATAAGGACATAGTTATTCTAACAGCTTTGCCAATAGGCAGCCTTGCCGTTCCAAAGTCCTTAATTTCACCCGACATATAATCTTTCTCATTAGTTTCCATGGAAACGAAAAAAACAAATTTCAAAATGTCTTTTCCAGAACTTCTGTAGAAAGCATTAACAGCATTCCCCCGCAACCCAAAGAGAAGATAAATATGAAGTATTTTGCCTCAGGGTCCTTCACGGGAGACAAGCACTATGTATTGGGAATGTCCCAGAAACCCCAAAGGGGAGACAAGCATAAGGAATAAAAGGAGGAAGCATAAAAAACTCTCCCCATCTAAATTTGTATCGTCGTGTTATGGTTTTCTCATTACGTGTGTAATAATGATCCCAATACACTAAACTTAAGTCTTTCCTTTGAGAAAAATTATTTCTGTTAACACTTGCATGATTAAATGACCATGTCTTGCTAATCTTATGGCAATAATGCTTCGCTGAGCGAGACGAGTAGATGTATTGTTGCATGGGTCGAAAAAAGGTGAGGCTCGAAAACGTGTGACGTGGGGATATATGAAATCATACAGGGATTTATCCTGGATTCCAAACTAAGTGTCCCTGGCAGGCAATTTCGGAAAATAAATAGTTATTTTGCTCAAATTGGTCAGTGAAATACATGTTGCCTGTACAAATCCATAACATTAGTTACTACTATATAACATGAACTGAACAATTTATAATAAATTGTATATTTATATACTTATCCTATCTTACACTATGCATTTCTTTGTTCTTCTTCGATTCTGTGTGGAAACCTGCTTGAACAGCGTTTCCTGCCTCTAAAAGAAATTCACACGAACACATCCAACATCACCAATGTCACCACCCAAACAAATGAGTCACACACTGTAATGCTGTGCATAGTGATCTACGCGACCTGATCATGTGATTTCCCCTGCAACATCAGTCTCTTTCAACAGAGCTAACAGGCTTAGGGTTGAATATCTGTCTCTGAGCAGGTCTAGATAAACCCCTGTCATATGTCCGAAATATTGCAGTTCAAGCAGGGATACGGTTACTGAGGAAAGAAGGGACTCTTTTTGTGATCCCAAGTTAACATACAAGTGTTTGCTATGGACGCTGTATATGTTTACACTTTATCACCTATAAAAATTCGAAATGTAAACCTTTTGAGGGTTTAGTGGGACTCGAGTCCAGTTTAAAAGACTTGAGTACTTGACCAAGGGAGATAACTCTAATTTGATCAACTTTCAATAAGTTAATAGAAACATGTCTTTATGTAACATGAGTAATTAATTAAATCAAATAAAAGAGTCAATAGCTTTTCTTTTAGTTATTTTTCAAAAGAATACACTTATTTACAACCATTTCATAAGAATATGTCCTGGTTTAAAAAAGTACTCTATTTCTTGTTTAAAAGGGATGTTTTACGAAAATATTAAACTGTCGCAAGCAGTGGACCCATACAATCTAAATTAGCGTCGTAACGTTAATCATTATTAATTCAATATTTTCATAAGATATTAATAACTGGACATCACTTTATTGAGTAGTAACATTGTGTTACTGTATCTCATTCTAATTATCTCTTCAAATGTCGGGAAAACTATAAATTTACAAGCCTTGTAATCTTTCAATGTTTTGTTTTCAATTAAGAAAAAAGTAAATACTGACTTGTGAATTTGTGATAACATTGAAAATGTTACTTTTAACTTATTATCTATATTTTGTGATTTATTGACAATTTCCTTCGGCGCTGGCATCAAATGATCTTACTTATCATATAAGGTATACCTAAGAAGCCAGCCCGCCAAATTCCAGCCAATCACCAATCACAACATACATCACGTGAGCAATATTGGCATGTAAACAAGTAAAGCCCTGCACTCTCATATGCAGAAGCAATCATACATATTAATACACTCATTAAAAATAGCTGAGAAAGTCTTACCTCTCTACTGCTCGTCGTACCCCCTCCTTCTCCACAGCATCCCCTGTCTCTCGAAGCCCCGCAGTGTCACTCAGGAGCACCGGGTACCCGCCGATGTTGAGAGCCGTCTCGACCACGTCCCGCGTTGTGCCAGCAATTGGGGAGACAATGGCAGCCGGTCGCTGACCTGTAGTTACAAAATAAAAAATTAAGAAAAAACAAGCAAATGAATAACATGTACAAATGTAGGGTTTTATCATTGATCTAAAAAGCAGACACACATGAAAGTTTTGTTTCTTAAGGGGTCAAGCTAAGAACTCATTCTCAGGTAATGATGGTATAAATGCATTAACCCAGAGTTCGGGGGCATCATAGGTCCCATATAACCTTTCTTGTTGTTAAAGCAACATTAAATACGAATCAAGTGGTTACAATATGGCTGATTTTATTATATAATGGCTAGTGTTATCAATATGATAAACCAATCAGATAAACTTGGTATAATGAACATTCCTAAAATGCTAAAATAGGCTTTTCCCAATATATCTGTATTTTTATAGACAAACATGGCTGGAAGTAATTTGGCACTGGTGATAAATTGAGCAATTCACCCAAACAGGACAATATAAGGTAAAGAGATTATTACTATTGTGTTTTACCTTACCATAAATATAAGGTGAGGTGAGATGAAATGGGGTTTAATCGCGGCCAAGATTATTGCGCTTATATAGCGACGTGCATGCACATGTGCGTTCGGTGGCTGCTTGTACTAGTTCGGACTGATGCCGATTTATAGTGCTAGCACACTGAGATACCATGCCGCAGTTTAACATGAATACCCTACAGAGACACAGTATACTGACTCTGAGCCGACCAGTCCTTGTTTTAGCCCCTTAATGACGAGCGCCAGACAGGGTAACAACAAGTACCATCTTTTAACGTCTTTTGGTATGACTTGGCCGGGGATCAAACCCTGGACCGTCCGCTCTACCACTAGACCACGCAGGCAGTCATAAATATAAGGAACATAATAATACGTAAAATAGTTTTTTCAATATGGCTGCCAGGAAATGGAACCTATCTGACAAACTGGGAAGTCATCATTGGTCAGAAGAGGTATGTGAAGTTTCAACTTCAGTGGTCCAGTGATTTCCGAGGAGAAGGTGTCTACAGTGTGAAAAAGTTAATTTGAAGAGAATTTAGGAGCATGTCCTTGAGTGACAGACAAACAAGCCATGACTAGAGGTTCACTTGGCTTGACAAGAGCAATTATATCCACAATTGATATACTTACTAAGTACATTCAGCAGGCTGCTCTTGCCTACATTTGGTTCTCCAATGATCGCAACACGTACACCAGATCGTAACCGTTCCCCTCTACGGTTGTCATGGAGATGGCTTTTCATTTCGCCGACCATCACTTTTACCTCTGATCTTGCTGAAAATAACACACCAATAACATCTGACAGATCTTTTAATCCTTATTTTCCATGTGGGGGATTCCAGGTTAGACTAAGTCCCCAGAAACCCATGCTGGTTGTAATGGTGACTTAATGGATGGCAGACTCAGTGTCGTGGTTGATACCATGCCAGGGTCCCGTTCCACAAAGCGATCTTAGCGCTAAGACGATCGTAACTCCCATACTTTAACATGGGCTTATGACAATCCCAGTGCTAAGACCGCTTTGTGGAACAGGGTTCAGGTTGATAGGTGTGAATCATTGCTCATAATACATCTATCAGTGGACTGTCTGTTCAAGACTGGATTATTTACAGGCAGTATCATATTGCAAGATTATAAAACAATAAAGAAACAATCCAAACAAACTTAATTCTCAAAAAAGAAAATCGTTATTTTTTTTATGGAAATCAATCATGAATAAGATTAAAATTGCAACCCACAAAATAATTAATTAGAACATTTGCAATAAGACTTACCATGATGTAAAACGCCATCTTCAATATTCTCGTCTTCACTGAAGTCTATATATGCCTCCACATTGGCAAGACACTGAAACGTTATTGAAACTTGTATGAAGTATTTGTGTACAGCTAATAGCAGGTTCACAGCCCAAACAGCATTGTATATGTGAATAGCTGTATGTGATTCTGATTCATACAAAAATATTAAGTGGGAATGGATCACGGAAATCACTTTGACTTTTCACTGACATGGATACTTTTGTCGCACGATATTCTGAAAAGGAGACACAGGCTACCTACCATACAGAGGAAGGCCATGCCTAGAGGAACAACACAAGAGAAGAATGGCTGTGGGTGTGCAGGTGCTTGTGGGCTACTATGATACTACCTTAGAACCAATCACAAAATTCAGTCTCTGACCCTCCTGCTCCTCCTTCTTTTCCCAAGACACTATACCAAAAAATGTAGTTTTTCGACATCCTTCCCCTCTACCAGTAATATATTTTTTACCTTCCTGATCAGGGCTCTGATGGATATTTAAGTACTCAAGCATTGGTTAGATGGACTCCCCGACCAAGGGAGATAACTCACATATTCACTTGTGTTGCAACGTGGGAAAGAACGGTATAGTTTCTTGATGCATTTTGACTGAGTTGATGGTGAGACAAACTGAAAACTGTAGATCGTGCGGCATATTACCGTTGAAATAGACTATTTGAGTCCATCTTTCTCTACTCGTCAGAGCCCTAAGTCCTGATTCACCAGAGAACTACTGAGTCTCTCACCTTGATGATCCTCCTCCTCCAAGCCATGTACATATTGCCCAGGTCGCCCTCCATCTGGCGTAGAGCTTGGCGCCTCTGTGCCTCCGTCTCCGCCGAAATCAGGTCCGACAGACCCTCCACCTCCATCAGGTCCAGCTGACCATTCATATAGGCCCTGTGGACGGGAAAGTCTGAAAGAGGTTAACATCCAATTTTCACAAATAACTACCTAACTAGTTTCTACTAGCTGCAAAGCTGCTGATGCAGGGTTAAGTAACATTCACAAACTCAATCACAAATGAACAAAAGTCACTTGTTGAACTCACAACAAGCTGGGGAAAATATCATAACAGCACAAAGTGTCATAAGAATTCAAATGAATTCTATTTGAATAAATTAGACATACAAATCAGTGATGCTTTGAGATGCTTTGAGATGCTTTGAGATTGGTATAATGATTGTTCCTGTAGCTATGGATCACTGATAGATATAGCGGTGATGATCCAAAATCCCTATAGACGATGATAGTAATTTAGTAATTATTAATTAGTTAGATTATCCTATGTAATGCTGTGACCTGTCTCATAAACCACTCGACAAATGAAGGACACCCACAATTGTTCAAGAGATCTGAATCTTATTTTCAAATTGGCAGCCATAATGAAAAAGCTATTTATGGCCATTCTTACTTAGCCATTCTAGTCTAAAATGTAATGAAATTTGGTATATATATAGTTAGCAATGAGACCCAATATATTCATTCTGTTATTCACAAAATTTTACCTTTGTTTGACCTTCAAAATTTGACCATGCTCTTATATTCTGATAAAATTCACTTCTTCACACTGCTTGTTGCCTGTAGTGATGACATCCCAATCGGATCTGCCACAGCTGTCATATTGCAAAAATGTATAATTCAGCTTTTGCCACTGGAGTATTTCCGTACCTCTTTGTGAACTCTCCAGCTTCAGCATGGCGGAAACCAGGGAGCTCCCCAAGCGCCGTCAGCATCGCTGTCACAACAGCAGCACCGCCGTGCACCTGGAACTCTGCACAGTCCTCACCTGTGAAGCTCCGGGGCCCTGCAACAACAGCATCACTTTAGCACTGTCTACTACCTACAACTGTGAACTTAACCACGTTTACTTCCTAAAACTGTAAACTGTACCACTGTTCTTATTTCTTTTACAGGATTCCTTAGTTACAAAATTAATATTTGTTCTTTCGTTTTGTTAAATATACGATCACATCACATACAAGTAAACTTTTGAAAGGGGTATTTCTAATTTTCAGATTAATTATATACATGTATGGCAAGTTCAGATGCATTTATATATGGTTGAAACATATTTTATTTTGAAATGAAATTCAGAGTAGTAAACAAGCAGAACATTGTTTATATAAATAATAATATCTAATCAGCTCATCTAACGAACATTGCACTGGATAATATTTTCATCGAAGAGTGTGTCAGTTAAATTTAACGTCACATCAACAATATTTCAGCCATATCGTGACGGGTTTTCTTCAAAGAAGTAATCCCAACAATAAGTACCTGGAAACCAGAGCACGAGTCCCTTGTCTATCGCTTCTGTGGATTGTGGATGGTAAATCCTTCGAAGAGCTGCTTTCCGAGGTGGAGGGATTCTTCTCACCATCTGTCGAAGTGATTCTGATGTGGAAGGTCCGGAGACCCTGATAATAGCAACTCCTGCCCTGCCGTGACCGGACGAAAGGGCAAAGATTGTTCCCCGACCATGCAACACTTGGTGGGAGACTCTCCGGCATTGGGTGTGTCCCAGGTGGCAGGCCAGGTGTTTCATCCATGACATCATAGTCAAACTGGGAATAATGCAGCAATGTTTAGACATGGTATCTGCTAGCATCTTTACACATTAAATACAGCTAAATGGGGAAGGCTACTGGTAAAGGGACCACAAGGTCGATCACCGTTCAGGAGGAATCAGCTTAAATGAAGAGTATGTAAAGACATGCATGATTTTTTGGGTATGCTATATGAGTGTTAAAAGACTTAATTGTTATGTATCTACTGTAATAATTATGAAATCTGTCCATTAAAGCCTTTACAATTGAAATTGTTTGGAGGTATCATAAAGATACCACATAGTCAGAAGCACATGTATGCAGCATAAAGCGAGCACAGAGACAATGCAGGGAAAGCAATATTTTACATTCGCTTCATCGGGCGCCTTTCATCATTCCTAACAGATCTGTTTCTTACTGCCCCACACATGCTCTGACAAAACATCTGGTGGAGCTTCATGGGAATCAACATTTGAACATGAATATGTTGACGGCAATGGGACCAGAAAACAGTATCTTTGTGTTTGTATGTTAAGAAATCGCATGTTTGACAACTCAATTATTGTTGATAATGATGACAATTATGTTTTTTTATAATAAACGTTCTTCTAAATATCAAGTACGTATTATGACCAACTGGTCCCTTAAATTAAAAGATGTATTTGTCTCCGTCATCCTTGTCTCTATAAAAAATATACACTTTTGTTGTATAGAAAGCTCCTCTTCAATTAACATTCAAAATAGCACAATTTTTGGATACCAGATATCTGCGGTTTCTGTAAATGATACACGTATGTTGATTCATGTAGTCATCTCTTACGACCATCTTAGGTTGCCAGGGAAGCATATGCCTACCCTTGGAATTCCCACATGTCCGAGTTTGTTATGGGTTAATAAAAGCAAAATGCAATATTTTAACACATCATACTCAAAGAAAGTCGGATCGAAGAGTTTAAGTTGTCATCTTGTAATAGAAACGAACTATCAAATGATAAAACGATGCAATGAGTATGCAGTCGGGGCCTGCCGGGGCTAATACTCACTGTCAACTCAAAGCGCCTTTTTCATTCATCTCTTAAACTGGAGGATATTAACTGATAACTTCTAACGGGAGTCAAATCAAAACATTACAAACCGGAAGCACGTGTACCTTCGCTCGGGAATCCCCTTGAAATTAATGTTACTAAAAATAGCAACACCAGCAATATCGGTATTTAACACGATTGTGAGCCATTTAGGGGAGACGTACATCTTTAAAATATTAACAAGTTATTCTGTTACCTACGGTCTGCGGACCGATCTCTTTGAAGAAAAGTACCAGTGGTTCTGTGTATTACTTCCAAACCAGTTTCTCTTTTTGACGTGACCGGAAGAGGGGGAATCCTGGTCGTCGATCCATTTGAGGCTTTGCTGGGGTTGACCGGTTAATAGAATGTGACACAAATATTGATCGATTAACAAAACAAGCATTAATAACACCTTTGTTCTCATTGACAGGGAGCACAAACTGACCAGTATGAATGCCAAGGTAAAACATCCAAAGTTTATTTAAATTCTAGCAGCTTTAATCTAAGTTTCACGATTTTGTTTGGAAATTGCTGAATCATGTGAACATGAAGTTTTGTATTGCATTCATATTTATGTCAGTATAATAACTTTTGTAACTTCTCCTACTTACTGTATCCTTTCCTTTCATAAAGGTTTGAAGGGAAGTTGTTGAACTATTTCACTCGTACCCGAAAAATTAATTTAGTGGATTAAATCTACACCCTGAATCTGTGGACATCATAATCACAGCGCTTGTGTGTCATCGTTACACATCAATGTGCATCACTACTCATGCATCCCACCACAGGTTTGCATGGATGACATTCCATTAATTACAGGCTGTATTTACTGACATTCAACTGGAATATTGTTGACTGCGGCCTGAAAAACATAAACTCACTCACTAACGTAAATAGTGTCTTTTCCAATCACAATAATCAAGTGCATTGTATGTCAGACGATTCTAAATTTACTACCCGGATACCTAACCTCCTGCTCAGTATCCGTCCTAACCGAGTTGCCCGTCCCAGCCCTAATGTCAGACTCATAATTTGAAATATTTAACCATCATGCAGTTTGATCACGTTTGTCTGGCGGCAAGCCATGAGATGATCTAACAGTGTATAGGCCCCCCTCACGTCTCTTGAAGCCTTTGAAATTCATGCTAGTCTGCTAACCCGAGACAGCTAAATTGTGCTGAGGACAAGTTAAAATCCAGTGAAGGTAGTCCTTATTGACTAATAGCATTTGAGGGTTACAATTCTGAACCAGTTCTAAATGCTTCAATTTGCTACCATTTGGACCTGAATAAGAATGTAATAAAAATGTAATCATATTTAAAAAATTGTCTCGTTAATTCAAGCAGGACTAGCTACAATATAAAGTTTTCACTAGACCTCTGGACGAGTCTAAAAAAATTGAATTTCTAATTCTGCTCATGGCTAATGTTGCTATGTTATGATCCAGAGAGCAGACGAGTTGAAGGAACAGGGCAATGAATGTGTCAAGAAGGAAAACTACATGGAGGCCATTATCCACTACACGCATGCCATCAAGCTGGACCCATCCAATCACCTTATATTCAGCAACCGGTCCTTAGCCTTCCTCAAAGTCCAGCAGTACTATCTAGCACTAGATGATGCAAAACAGGCCATCCAGCTACAGCCTAAGTGGACAAAGGTGTGTTGTTGTCATGTGTGATATTACACTTTACTCAACATGTCGAGATGTCAAGGGTTTACTTGATCTGTAAAATGTTATTACTGTTTTGGCTGGCTATTTCAGAAATTATAGATTCTGATTTGTTGAACTGCTTTTGTTGGATACCATGTCAGACTTTCATTTTGTGGAAGCTTTGTTGGCTTTGTGGGTTAGGTTGCTGACTTTGTTTACTGGTGATTATGTGCCTTAATTACTTTGAGAGTGTGGGTCGAATCCCAGATGGGCCTCCTACCAAAAAAGTACTTAAATTTATACTTTACTTAGAAAATGTAATCCCAAATATAACTTTTGTTGTCTTTTTGCATGGCTTACTTCTGACAAAGTTGACATGATCATTCAGGAATGTCGTGGACAAACACTAGCTTTAGGGTGTGAATCATCTTCCAGTCCAGTTTCCACCCTTGCCGATCTGGGCTGGAATTCCGGAGTTACCTTTTGACGGGATGAATGAGTCAATGCAAAGTCCAATCAAAATCGTGTGAAGAACTTGACATCTGGTTCACAAACAACATAGTTTCAACGTTTGCATTTTGAAGCATGTGTACCGCCAACTTGGTACAGATATTTTGCAAATCTTTTCATGTTTTTAATCAAGGTGCTCAAGTGATTTGATGCACTCCGTGAGGTAAGATCATTTTATTACAATACAGGTCCTGATTATCGATCAAATCGTCTTGACAGGGCGCCACCATTTTGTTTGAAGCAAATGCAAGTGATACAAGATGGGGAATCTGATTGGTCATTTGGTGGGACATAGAAGGGACATAACTTGTAATTAGCAACTGGTGGCGCTATGATCAAGCCCAGAAATTCCAGCCTAGTTCGGCAAGGGTGGAAACTGGACTTTTAAAGTGAGTTCTCGCCCTTGCCTCGGAAAGATGGGTGTCAAGGTGTATAACAGGTTTAAAGTAGTGGTTCATTCTACAAACTCCTGCGTAATCATAGCTATTTGATGTGTCACTGGACACTTGAAAGAATGGATGATGTCATGAACAAGTTAGTTCCTTAGGTATACACTCAAAGGAAGGAATCAGTAATTGTCCGTTGTGCTTGTCACCTCTAAATATGACCACTGACGACCACTGACAGGACATGATATAGGAACAGCCCTAGGTGATGCACACAGGATTCCGACTCTCCTCGAATCAAGTGTGTGATTAACAGAGTGAGAGACTTTTTCCCCAGGTTTACTAAAAGCGCGACGATCCAGGATAGAATAGGTCTTCAGCAACCCATGCTTGCCATAAAAGGCAACTATGCTTATCGTATGAGACCACTAACAGGATTGGGTGGTCAGGCTCTCTGAATTGGTCGATGATGTCAACCACTGGATTGTTTGGTCCAGACTGGATTATTTACAGACCTCCGTCATATAGCTGGAATATTGCTGAGTGTGTCGTTAATCAACATACAATCAAACTAAAAGATAAATTTGACAGATGCAGTGCAGTTGTATAATCTTCTGTTGCAGATCTGTTTCCAGACAATGTAATTAGGTACATTATAATTGGGGTCTTGCCTAAGCTTATCCTAAGGGCAGCAATACTAGCTACTATATGGACAAACAAAGTTCTAGTGTGCCTCATGGCGGCCAATAGTGATAACGCTGTGTTCTTGTTTTATATGCTTTTATGAACACAATGTTGACATCTGAGTTATATCTTATTCATTATCTGCATGATTAAATATTATGTTCTTCTGGTGAAACAGTTCTTGTTGATTTCAGGGCTACTTCAGAAAAGGAGAGGTTGAGTTTGCAGTAGGAAATTATAACGATGCGGTTATGTCATACAATGTAAGTTATTTAAAGGTCATCTTGATGATGATTCAAATGATTCATGTCCATGATGTATGCAACAAAATGAAGTAATCTTTCCTGTGGTTATCTGACAACAGTGCTTTTATCACAGTTTTGATATTGAACATGCTGTCAACTTACTGGTACTAAACAGGGCAGTCGGGTAGCCTAGTGGTTGAAGTGTTCGCTTGCCATGCAGAAGACCCAGGTTCGATTCCCGGCATGGGTACAATGCTTGAAGCTTCTATCTGGTGTCTCCTGCCATGATATTGCTGGAATATAGCTAAAAGCGGCATAAAACTATACTCACTCACTGATGGTACTGTACATACACACCTGGCAAAATGTTATGTCACACTTACTGTATATTTCCAATTAAAAAAGACATTTTTACAAATTGATGTCAGCATGTTAAAATACAGAAACTGAAATTGAATATATTATGACATGTTTTCTAACATTTCCATGGCAATGGTTATTTGACTACCCTTGTGACATGCCTCAGTACTTGCGACCTACCTTTGAAGATCAGGGTTAGAATTGGTCTTCAGCGACTAAAAGGCGACTATGCTTTTTGTAAGAGGCAACTAACAGGATTGGGTGGTCAGGCTCACTGACTTGGTTGAAGCATGTCATTGTATCCCAATTGCGTACAACGATGCTCATTATATCAATCACTGATTTATGCGGTCCACAATTGATTATTTACAGACTGCTGTCATATAGCTGGAATATTGCTGAATGCAGCATTAAACAACAAACAAACAAACTTGTGAGCATTAACATTTCCACAGGTAGTGGTGGTTCTTTAGACTTTCATCAATATGAGATCAAGATCATATGTAGGTGAGGTGAGGTAAAATTGGGTTTAACGTCTCATCCAAGGTTATTGCACTTATATAGCGATGTGCATGTACGTGTGTGTGTTTGTGTGGTTGCTTGTACTAGTCCGGGCTGATGCCGATTTATAGTGCTAGCCCACTGAGATACCATGCCGCAGTTTAACATGAATACCCCTCTCAGACACAGTATACTGACTCCGAGCCGACCAGTCCTTGTTTTAGCCCCTTAATGCCGAGCGCCAGACAGGGTAACAACAAATACCATCTTTTAACGTCTTTTGGTATGATGCGGCCGGGGATCGAACCCGGACCTTCCGCTCTCCGGGCGGACGCTCTACCACTAGACCATGGAGGCGGTGCTAGATCAAACGTAGAGGTTCGGGAAATATGAAGATAATCCTGGACAAGCCAGGTAATAGTTGTGGGTTTCCTTGACAGAAAGCCATGGTCCTGGATGCAACTGATGTGAAAGTGAGAGATGCCATCAGCAAGACAAGGTCAGCCATGAACAAGGAGAGAAAAGGTACGACATTGTACATCGTCATTGGTGGAAAAGTTAGTTTGTGGTATCAGTAGAAGCAGTTATACCATGCACCATATGTGAGATAGTTTGACAAGTAGTATTGTTCAATTTTGTTGTTATAGGATGAGTGAAAAGTTTTCTTGGGTCTAAAATGAAATATACTCTTCAAAAAAAAGAAACTTGACATAGATGTAAAACCACTTTTTGCCAAATACCTAAAATAATTACATTAAATGAGAACCAATTAAGTCAAACAGAAAGATGATGTGGCTATAATTTGCGAAAACACATGCAAAGCACATAAACGTAGCTTTTGGGGATCAATTTTACAGCTTCATCCAAACGCAACCGCCTGTTAAAAAGGTGCAGCACAGGATCCTGCATTTAGGCATGCAGGCCCCCCTGCTGAATGGGTATAAAAATCCACATCAACGGCTGTTCATACATTCCTTATAGAGTAGAGGCGGTGACAGAATGCCAAGACTGAATGCAGCTCAACGGAACAACGCCATTAGGAGATTACAAGCTGGAGCAACTCAGCAACAAGTGGGCAGGCACTTTGGCGTATCCAGACAGAAAATCTCCACACTGTGGACCCGATACAACAACACCAACAGAGTTGACGACAGACCAAGGTCAGGAAGACCAAGGGTGACAACCCAAGCACAAGATCGATACATCTGGCTGCGACACCTCTGAGACCGCACTACCACAACCACGTCTACAACCACACAGATCCCTGGGGTACGCAGAATATCAGATCAAATAGTACGCAACAGACTGAGGGAGGCTGGACTTTTTGCACGAAGACCTGTTCAACGTCATGTATTGACCCCACGCCATCTGGCGGACCGTCTGCTTTGGTGCCAACAGAGGGTTAGATGGGCACGTGCAAGGTGGAGAAATGTACGATTTACTGACGAGTCCCTTTTCCTACTCACACGTGCAGATGGGCCCCCAACTGTGTGCAGCAGGTTGTCCCATTTGGCGGCGGGAGTGTCATGGTATGGGCCGGAATTCATCATGGTGGTAGGACGCCTCTCGTGCATGTGGCAGGTGCATTGACAGGTGTGCGTTGCAGAGATTTGATCCTACAGCCTTACGTTCTTCCTCACGTCAACGTTCATGACGAACAGTTCCAGCAGGACAACGCTCGACCGTATATTGCACGTGTTTGTCAGGACTTCTTACAGCACAACAACATCCAGACATTACCTTGGGCAGCCCGGTCACCAGATTTGTCCCCGATTGAGCATCTGTGGGACGAGTTGGATCGACGCGTTCGCAGAAGGAATCCAACGCCCAAAACACTTCCGGCGCTTCTTGATGCACTTCAGCATGAATGGCAGCACATCCAACAGCATGTTATTGACAACTTGATTGCATCTATGGGTGGTCGATGTCAAGCGGTGATTGATGCACATGGTGGGCACAACCGATACTGACATTTTCTGTACCCCTGTGACATTAACTGTATTGTGTACGTGTGTCTGTCTAGGTGACACGATTAATGTTTTGAACATTGTGTACATTGATCTTCAAACAGTGTTTCAATTATGGTTTCTGTGTCCTATTTTGAAACAATCGCATTATATTACATTTTGAAAGTCAGTGTCAAGTTTCTTTTTTTGAAGAGTATATATACCCACTTGAATGCAGACAGAATACATCCTCACTTTGCTTGTTCAATTTTCTGTATGAAGGTTGATGTATAAGTTCTGAGCCTCAAGTATAATGAATTGCAATAAAGGTATTGGAGTTAGATAGGCATAATCCACTTTGTGCACCTGGGCCCTGGTATTAGTTTGAAAGTCAATGTCAAAAGTATTTGAGTTACATAGGCACAATCCACTTTGTGCACCTGGGCCCTGGTATTAGTTTGAAAGTCAATGTCAAAGGTATTTGAGTTACATAGGCACAATCCACTTTGTGCACCTGGGCCCTGGTATTAGTTTGAAAGTCAATGTCAAAGGTATTGGAGTTACATAGGCACAATCCACTTTGTGCACCTGGGCCCTGGTATTAGTTTGAAAGTCAATGTCAAAGGTATTGGAGTTACATAGGCACAATCCACTTTGTGCACCTGGGCCCTGGTATTAGTTTGAAAGTCAATGTCAAAAGTATTTGAGTTACATAGGCACAATCCACTTTGTGCACCTGGGCCCTGGTATTAGTTTGAAAGTCAATGTCAAAGGTATTTGAGTTACATAGGCACAATCCACTTTGTGCACCTGGGCCCTGGTATTAGTTTGAAAGTCAATGTCAAAGGTATTTGAGTTACATAGGCACAATCCACTTTGTGCACCTGGGCCCTGGTATTAGTTTGAAAGTCAGTGTTAAAGGTATTGGAGTTTGATAGGCACGGTCAACTTTGTGCACCCGGGCCCTGGTTTTCGTTTGTAAGTCACTATTAAAGGTATCGGAGTCAGATATAGGCACAGTCCATTTTGTGCACTTGGACCCTGGTTTTCGTTTTTGCACTTAAAATCAGAGTTGCATGTTATTTCTTTTCACTGGTGTGATCCAAATGCTTTCAAGTCTAAAATTTCAACTTTTGAATATGATGTTTCATATACTTGCTACAGTGTTTTAGTATGTTGTTGTCTGACATTTGTTGTGATAATATAAAGACTGATCCGGCACATGTGATGTCAGATGTAGAGAGTGATGTATTGATTGTTCAGCGAATGCCCGTCTGCCGTGGAAGTTTGCAGCTGCTGGTGGAGGAATGGGCCTTCTCATTGTGATCGCAGATCAGTACCTGGCCAAAGAACCTTCCATCACTGTGAGTAGACAACACAATCATCAAAAATGATTCTGTAGCATTTCATTGGCTAAAATAGCAATTTGGGGCATTTATGTTTCTATAAACCTGAAAAAACATTAGGCCATGTCTGCTAATGGCTACTGTATCTTGATTGGCTGATTATCGAATGGGCGGGGCATGTGTTGCATTATTGCGGTGAACGATATCACTGATTTCGTACTGTTGTCTACATTTTTTTGTACTAATGATTAAATATGCAGCCTGTAACAGTTATTACTGTTGACCTATTTATTTATAAGAATTAACTTCAATATGTTTGTGTTTATGGCGTTTCAAACATAAAATCCATTGGCATATTGTGTACATCTGTGATGCCAAAAATAATGAAGTCAATTCTTAACTTCCCAACTGGGCTCTGTCTCACAGAGTGGTGGTAGAAGTACAACTGTCTCACACAGATAAACATTACTTAACCCTGTAAATATTGTATTATAATAAGTCATTTATGTTGAAGAACCGGGGGCATGGGTGGCCAAGTCGTCTAAGGCACCGTGATTCGCTATGCAGAGTTGCGTCTCTTGGGCACGCCAGAAACCTATGATTATGGGTTCGAATCCCGGTTCGCCCAGATTATGTTTCTAGGTTTGTCAGCACCATACCTGTTTCACCGAAGTGGTAAACGTCTGAGACATGCATCACTTTGGGCTTTCCTCCCACATTAAACTGACACGCCGCGATATAACTGGAATACTGTTAAAAGCAGCGTTAAACCCAACTCACTCACTCACTCACTCACTTGAAGATACGGGGTAGATTAGGTCTTCAGCAACCCATGCTTGCCGTAAAAGGTGACTATGCTTGTTGTAAGAGGCGACTTAACAGGATCGTGTCGTCAGGCTCGCTGACTTGGTTGATGCATGTCATCGTATCCCAATTGTGTGGATCAATGCTAATGATGTCAATCACTGGATTGTGTGGTCCAGACTCGATTATTTACAGACCACCCTCATTTAGCTGGAATATTGTAGAGTGCGGCATTAAACAACAAACATCATCATCATCATTCACTAAGTGGCGCTCTGTGGCGCTCCTACAAATCAAACGTCATAGTTCGCCATATAGAGCGCTAAGATCTCCTTAAGCGTTAATGGATCGCTATATGATCTCTAACTGATCCCCATGATCGTCAAGGTCGCCGCCTCTGGTGTGGCGCTCTGCCCAGAATGCTGTCAGATTGCTAGTTGATCGCCCAGATCACAATCGGAGTGCTACTTGATCACCAAGGTCGTAATCAGAGGGCCATCGTATCACCTTAGAGCGCCACCGATCGCCAGGGAAGACTAGGACCTACCCCTCTGCTACCAAGAACTGATGAGCGCCTCAGAACGCTACGGGTTTATATAGGATCGGACCCAAAATTCAGTGATCGGGTCGCAATAGGATCCCATAGAGCGCTAATTGAGTGCTAATGGATCTCCATAGGTCGCCTAGATCGCTCTCGGATCAGAGTAGAGCACATTAGATCGCAATGATCGCAATCGGAGTGCAAATAGAGCGCCACTGGATGGCAGCCTGATTGCCTTGGATCGCAAAAGGATCGGGAACTGATCGTGCAAGATCGCCACATTTTGGGTTGTTTAGTTACGCAAGGTTCTTCAAGACGCTTTCGGATCACATGGATCGCAACAGGAGCGTTTTCTGATTGTAATCAGATCATAAGTGCCTCTAGATAGCCAAAAAATGAGGAGACCTATGGCGCTCCCTCAGAACTCGTAGAGCGCAGAAGTGCATCGCCTAGTGGAATGGGGGTATATGGGATGTGTGTGAACTCTGAACCCTCTCTGGGACTGTGTGTGGTGTGTCTCCTCAGTTGCCTGTCTCTGGTGTTTCAGTACGTGGTGCTTCAACTGTTGCTGATATCAGTGTTTGCAGCGCTAGGCTATGTCATTGCCCTTGGATACAGGTATGTCACTCTCCTTGCTTCAACTATTGCTGATATCAGTGTTTGCAGCGCTAGGCTATGTCATTGCCCTTGGATACAGATATGTCACTCTCCTTGCTTCAACTATTGCTGATATCAGTGTTTGCAGCTGTAGGCTGTGTCATTGCCCTTGGATACAGGTATGTCACTCTCCTTGCTTCAACTATTGCTGATATCAGTGTTTGCAGCTGTAGGCTGTGTCATTGCCCTTGAATACAGGTATGTTGCTCTCCTTGCTTCAACTATTGCTGATATCAGTGTTTGCAGCTGTAGGCTATGTCATTGCCCTTGGATACAGGTATGTCACTCTCCCTGCTTCAACTGTTGCTGATATCAGTGTTTGCAGCTGTAGGCTATGTCATTGCCCTTGAATACAGGTATGTTGCTCTCCTTGCTTCAACTATTGCTGATATCAGTGTTTGCAGCGCTAGGCTAGATATATATGTGGTTGTGTGATGAATTCCCTTGTGCATTACACTGTAAATCTTGAAATTAATGCATCTCCAAATTAATACGACTGCTGACCCCTAACCAATAATGCAACTCCCCCGATCTCCGCCACATCCCCAGTAGAATGATATATATCCTTACCTTAATCTTAATCCAATCAAACAGCAAATAGCACCGCTTATTAGCGCTGAGTAGAGCACATCTGTAAAAACAATAAACAGTTTTCCTAAAAACAGCACAGGTTATTTGTTTATTTCTTTGACTGGCATTAAGGAAACAATAAAGTAATTGAACCAACAACAGTTCACTGATTGGTATGCGGAGAACAGACTTGAAGGTAGACACGAGTGGGTAGAACTCTTGACCCCAGCAGTGAAAGTGCCCATTGTGTAATTTCTGTTCTTTGGATGACATTGTTATGTACATGTTACAACTGCTGCTCAATAAACCATGATGTGGAATATATAGTTTTTTGTGTTTATATTGAAGTTGGTATTTCAGCCAACCAAAGGGTGCAGTGAGGCCATCTTATTGTTGATAGACATTTTGGAGACATAAATGCAAAGTTTAGTTAATGTGAGCAAAGACCACTCGCATTTGTTCGCAATTAATCACATTAGTTTCAAGATTTACTTTATAACTGGTGCTGATGTATGTGGTTGTCTGATGTATATCTGGTACATTATAGATCTGCTGTCTCATGTATGTGGTGAAATGTTTTCATCACAGTGAAAAGTGTCTGTGGTTCAGTTATAGGATATATAAATTATTGTTTCTGCTGGTTGTTTCAGGTTTTTGCTAAACTCACAGAAATCGTCGTTACTGGAAGCACCAATAGATTTACTGTCCGGTGAGTATCAGAGTAATACAAGCTACGAGGAGCTGGGAATTATGTGGAGTGGATTGTTAACATAAACTTGGGAATTTCACTTTATATCAGAAAAAATGAGTTCACTGTGACCTACTTATCACTGTGAAATTTCTGTGATACGTTCCAAGTACAAGTTCTCTTATCCTTTGATGGGGGGACACTTTTTCAATTTGTAGTTGCAGGTAGGGCAGGATACGCTCACCTTTTTCGCAAACACCTGGTGTCGTCACTATTTGATGGTGATTCATTAACAATTGCTCATGATATAGTCAGAATCGTACATTAGACTCTTTCAGCAATGATTTCTGAACAAACATCAAATATTTTGTTAAACTGAAAAAACACTTGTAAACCAAGAAAAATACATTTTTGGGTCTAGATATACGTTGACAATATGTTGATGTTGAAGTGACACTATGAGGATGTTGTTATTGTAATGCTATTGTAATGACAATGTTTTGATGTTGTATGTCACTTACATTTAAGGATGTTGAAATGACAATGAAAAGATGACAAAGTATACACAATCTATCTTTATTTTACTGTAATGGTGATGTTTTGGTATAGATCCGTATACCGTTGTCAAGCAAGACTGAATAATGAGTATCTTTATTTTACTGTAATGGTGATGTTTCGGTATAGATCCTTATACCGTTGTCAAGCAAGACTGAATAATGAGTATCTTTATTTTACTGTAATGGTGATGTTTTGGTATAGATCCTTATACCGTTGTCAAGCAAGACTGAATAATGAGTATCTTTATTTTACTGTAATGGTGATGTTTCGGTATAGATCCTTATACCGTTGTCAAGCAAGACTGAATAATGAGTATCTTTATTTTACTGTAATGGTGATGTTTCGGTATAGATCCTTATACCGTTGTCAAGCAAGACTGAATAATGAGTATCTTTATTTTACTGTAATGGTGGTGTTTTGGTATAGATCCTTAAACCGTTGTCAAGCAAGACTGAATAATGAGTATCTTTATTTTACTGTAATGGTGGTGTTTCGGTATAGATCCTTATACCGTTGTCAAGCAAGACTGAATAATGAGTATCTTTATTTTACTGTAATGGTGATGTTTCGGTATAGATCCTTATACCGTTGTCAAGCAAGACTGAATAATGAGTATCTTTATTTTACTGTAATGGTGATGTTTCGGTATAGATCCTTATACCGTTGTCAAGCAAGACTGAATAATGAGTATCTTTATTTTACTGTAATGGTGATGTTTTGGTATAGATCCTTATACCGTTGTCAAGCAAGACTGAATAATGAGTATCTTTATTTTACTGTAATGGTGATGTTTCGGTATAGATCCTTATACCGTTGTCAAGCAAGACTGAATAATGAGTATCTTTATTTTACTGTAATGGTGATGTTTCGGTATAGATCCTTATACCGTTGTCAAGCAAGACTGAATAATGAGTATCTTTATTTTACTGTAATGGTGATGTTTCGGTATAGATCCTTATACCGTTGTCAAGCAAGGCTCAATAAGGAACATGGTACAGTATAGAAATGGTGTTGATTGCCATGTCTCCATGTAGACGATGGAAGAATTGTTTGATAGGCATTTATCAAAAATTATATTGAATTGTGTCTTCTTAGGCATTTCTGAGAAGTGGACGGATGACAATCAAACAATTCACTGTAATGACTGTCTTCTGTCAAACAGAGATGGAAGGCAAGCCATCACGCCAGACAAATCCTGAAGAATCCTCCCAAGACACGTCAGAGTCAGGAAAGCGCCATCGTAAAGGAGGCACGGGTGCAGCGAGACAGAGATACAAGCAGGGAAAGACTTGATGACCTCACGACATCGCTGGATACACTGTACATACGTCATACAGCCATCAAGGGTTAACACCCGTGAAACTTTCATTCACAAATTGGTTTTAGGATGTCAATAAAAAGATTAGTCAGCATATAACACAATTTAAAACGAGTTTCGTCGGTTATCCGTCCATCCATCTTGTAATGTTTCCTGGGCCCACTTGTACAAAGTGATCTTAGCGTTAAGACTGTCGTAAGCCTATGTTAAAGTATGGGAGTTATGATCATCTTAGCGCTAAGATCGCTTTGTGCAAGTGCGCCCTGATCATGATACAGAAACTATCCAAGATATCTTCATGGAACTGGGTACACATATCGACCAAGTTAACGTGTAAGGCTTAAAAAAATAAAAGAATTGGTTCTCAGTCAATAAAGTGCGGAAAGGTTGGTGTTTTCAGTTTTTGCTTGTTCAAACTAGTATGTAACCAAATAAACAGTTGTGTACCATCAACCTGAGACATGGTCTCCTCACATAAACAAGCATACAAACTCCTATTGCAGCTATGACCATAACACAAGGTGCGCAGTAAAGCAGTGTGCATGTAAAGGGAAGTAACTGCATGATTTTTTGGATCACATTGTTAAAAAGTATTAAGATTTTAAATTAAGTTTTGGAAAATGGAAATAAAGACGAAACGTGTTGCAGACTTTGTGATGATGTGGGCAGTTCCTGAGAACCAAGACTAAAGGGCTGGGACGAGTCCAAATTTACTACCCGGGTACCCGACACTCTATTACCTGGCCCTACCCGGATACCCGCTATAGGTCTCAAGAGTTGGGTAAAAAATGTCCGAATGGGAATTGTTTTACAGCAGCTCTGGCAAAAACTATTTACATTCATGTTCATGTATACACTGCAATTGATAGACGCTTTACCCTTACTCGAACATATAAAAGTCAGAACGAATGCCTGCATAGTGAGAAAGAAATGTGAACATTATAACTATACTAGCTTGTAGTGTAACCATTGAGTTTTATTGTTAATGTCATGTTATTGTAAACAGTATGTCACGTGACAAATGGGTCCGGGTAGTCATGTGGGTACCCGGGTCCTACTCAGGACCCACCCGACCCGAGTACCTGAGCTACCCGTCTCAGCCCTACAAGACTATAATGATTTTTTAGCCTAACCAAATTGTGCATGCTATCAATTAAGAGAACTGCTGTGGTGGGCACAGCAGGTAATTTTCTGTCCCCAGATTGCAGGTCAGTTTGTGATAGTAGTGATAAAGTGTTCAACATTTGTCACAGATTTGTACTCCGGTCAAAGGTCAAGTTGTTGACACATCAGGGGTTAACACAATGGTAGATGAAGTAAGGCAGTTGTCTTTGAACATGCTATGCAGTACGTGAGAATCCCTATCAAGAGTTGCGTAGTATAACCTGATTAGATAGGAAACAAGGCAAGTTGCTAGGACAGCTGTCATACCTTTCCAAATTGAGAAGAATTAGTAGTATTTCTGAATTTTTTCATTCCCTTAACTTTTAAGTCAGACATTTTTCGGCAGGTAGTCCGAAGTCCGTGTCTAGTAAAATTCTGTTCAGTCTACATAATAAAACTAAATTCCACTGTGTGATGTTGAGAGCCAAGATCGGTCTAGTAGACTCAAAAGTGTTTGGCATTACATTATGATATATATACTACTCAAAAGAAATTAAAGAACGCCTGATTCTTTCATATTACCATAGTTAATCTGTCATGGCAGAACAGAATAACTACAGTAATATGAAAGAATCAGGTGTTCTTTAATTTCTTTTGAGTAGTATACTTGCTGAATGAAATGAAAATGCCTATATTGTGATTTCATCATCTGCACCATCTGTTAGTAATAACTAGACACTGTGGTTACTGTTAATTGGGTTTGATAAAAAAATACAATTACTGGAAATTATTGAAAAGCTTTAATCAATTTATGTGATGTGAAGGGCTCAATATTTCATATACTCTTATTAATCCCACATGCCAGTACAGTGACGAGTTTATATACATATTCAGTTTTGGAGTTGGCAAAAGTTAAAATGAACATAGATATTGAGAGTATATCTTAACCAAACCATTTTGTAGATTTGTAAATTTTACGTGCAAATTATGTTCAGTTTATGTTATGTCTAATAAGATCAGCCTGTTCATGCACTGTACCACTGTATGTGGGATTCAAACCAGGTCGGGGTGACGAGTGGGCACAGTTAACCACAACGCCATCCCCATTGATGCAATGAAAAAACAGAACGCTTTTTGACTAGCTCTATCTATGAATTAGATAGCTGCAGACATATTACTGACTGCTAAAATATAGTGAAAATGGATGGCACAATTGCCCAGTTGTCTAAGGTGCAGCGATTCGCTGTGCAGAGTTGCGTCCCTTTGGCACACCAGAAACCTATGATCGAGGGTTCGAATCAAGGTACGGCCCGATTATAATTCTAGGTTTGTCAACACCATTGTGTGTTTCACCGAAGTGGTAAATGTCTGAGACCTGCATCTCTTCGGGCTTTCCTACATTAAGCTGACACACTGTGATATAACTGGAATACTGTTAAAAGCGGTGTTAGACCTAACTCACTCACTCACTCCAATGACATGGAGTTGTTACCTTCTGATAGGGGTATACAAGAACATGTTCTAGGTTTCATATACCAACCAGTGTTTTGCAGGCCAGTTCGTAGCAAGCCCACCCCTTTTTGCTGGTTGAGACCACCCCTCCCCACCTATTATTCATCATGCTGTGGTTTCTCAGATTATTAAAAGAAATTTTGTATTGAAACTCATAAAAATCAGATCTTCGTGTTGCTACTGCTACACATAAAGGAGCGAGCACCAAGATCTGACTAGACTGAGATTGTCTTGTACCCACATTTTTGTTGTTATTTTGGGTACTGTTTTATATCGTAATGTGATTGCACCTCTAGTATATATTCATTATCAGGGATCATCTCGTATCACATAGTCAGGGCATTCTGAATCGGAAATCTGTAAAAGAATATGACAATACAGTGTGATAAAATCACTCTGTGAAACCCTATTATACTGCCACCATCAGTGAACATGAAATGTCACATAAAAATATCTTACAGTCTCATTAAGGTTAGATCTTCGTGCTCGCTTCCGCTACTTGTATACCCGCTACTTGTGTAGCAGTAGCGAGCAATAAGGTCTAATTTTTTTTTAGATTGAGATTGTATATCACAAGTCTTGACAAAGTATTTTTCTTCTGATTTAAGATCTACCACTAGGGTGGATTCGGCACCCTGGTGTAATGTGGTTCACCCTGTGTCTGAAAAGACCGGTGGCAGCATGATGGGGTTTGACTACAAACTTCTAGTTGTTGTGAAAGGTTTGATGAAGCGGTTTTATAAGAGTGTATGTGAATGTGATAAAAGAATTTTAAAGTTTTTGAAGTGTTGTCATTTCAATTATCTCCTTGACTTGTGCACCACTCATTCACTTGAGACGGATACTCCATGGATGTAAGAGAAGACTGACGGGATCGGGTGCTCGCTGACCTTGTTGATGCATGTCACCGTATCCCAATTGTGGAGATTGATCTCATGATGTCAATCCCCACTTAATTATTTATTGACATTGCTGGAATAATGCTGAGTACGGCGTTAAACAACAAACAAACATATCGTAATCCCTTGCAGCTTGTTGGTTATTCACTAATCATTCTGTCCTCCAGGAAAACATCATCCAGGTTGATGCCTGAAATCCATCTCCCCAAAATCCTAAATGTTTAATAAGGGACCGGTCATAGGCTACTGATGCACTAATGTACTAAAAATATGCTTATAAAATGTCCATTTTGCCATGACCCTCCCTTTCCGCTCCCCCTGCCCCTCTCAATAATGACAGGTTCCTTAGACTGAAACTTTGCTCTTTCCTTCTTTAACACCACACTCCGCAATATTCCAGCTATATGATGGCTGGCTGTAAATAATTGAGTGATTGACCAGACAATCCAGTGACTGACATTATGAGCATCGATCCACGCATTTGGGATACAATGACACGCTTCAACCAAGTCAGCGAGCAGGACCACCCGATCCCATTAGTCACCTCTTACGACAAGCATAGTCACCTTTTACGTCAAGCATAGGTTGCTGAAGACCTATTCTACCCCGGATCTAGACTGGAACTGGACTGTCAACATGCGCAAATGAAAAAAGAACCATCAATGCCTTTGAAGATAAAATCAGCAGTTTATCATACAACAGTCATACTGGCAACATTTATATATTCTTCATATATTACTTTCTGTCAATAAGTGGCATTCCATCCATTTTGATTCATGCACCTGTTCAGATTTCCTTCGATGATGAAGCTAAGTAGTGTAAAATGTAGTCTTAATGTATATGCCTAAAATGAGGTGTGTTAACTATTGGCCACATCCAACTTCTTCTGTACATCGTCAACAATTGTATCTAGACCTGTTTCAAACAGGTTGATATTGCCATTATTCTTGAAGATGTAGTCCCAGTCCAAGACACCGTCTAGTCCACACTCTGATTCCGCATCATCTACACCTGAAGAAGTAACAACATGACAATCAATGACAAAACATCTACACCTGAAGAAGTAACAATGTGACAAACAATGACAAAACATCTACACCTGAAGAAGTAACAACATGACAATCAATGACAAAACATCTACACCTGAAGAAGTAACAATGTGACAATCAATGACAAAACATCTACACCTGAAGAAGTAACAATGTGACAATCAATGACAAAACATCTACACCTGAAGAAGTAACAATGTGACAAACAATGACAAAACATCTACACCTGAAGAAGTAACAACATGACAATCAATGTTGAATTGCACATAACAGTATCATTTATAGTATTTAACGTATCAAAAATTAATTTTCAGTTGAATGCAGTATTTGACAGCATGTAAATATAGCAAATGAATAATACGGTAACTATTACAAATAAATAGAAATAACAAGAATTGTTCACATTCCTTCATCATACATTAGTCAGTCAGTACAATAAGGTCAGATACCTTCCAGTCGAGGCACGATGTGACGTAAAGCATTAACTCACTCACTCACTGCAGTCGAGGCATGGGCCCATGTGATCGATAATGCATGCAACAATTCACACCATTGGGGTTCGATGACACAGAATCAACCAAGTCACTGATCCTGACCACCCCATCCATTAAGTCGCCTCGTAAGGCCAGCATAGCTTGCTGGGGAGCAATTCTAACCCAGCACCCTATTGGAGTAATTAAATTGATAATACACCCTATCCTGTATACTTTAATTTAAAGTAATGTGTACCTGACTGAAAGACAAATCCCCTGGCTTTGCGGACATCTTCATCAGCTTCTACTCTGACAGTTCGTGTGATGCTGGGATAGTTTTGTTGGAAGTATGCAATATCAGTTAATCTTCTGGCATCACTGATGATCCAAACTTTCTTGTCGTTTCCTTCTCCGGATGTCACAATACGGCAGAAATACCCGGGGTCTGCATTCCGCTTCTCTTCCCCCCACCGGATCATGTCTGGTCGATACCGCTCCTTGTATTCAGATGCATCTAGGAGACGTGTGATGTCTAGCTGGTGTTCCTAAATACAGGTATCCAGTTGATTATTGTACAATTTAAGGGATCACGAAAAATGTATCCAGTTGATTCAAGTTACAATTCATGGGATCAAGCAAAACAAATATATATATAATATATAGGGTCAAAGCTGTTTCCAACCTAGAAAATATGTTATTTGTTGTATTCATGTAGTCATACAACCATGTCAGATTTGATTTTTTTGTATGTCTTGATTAACACTATTAATTGCACATACTTTAAAACATGATCCTCTTTTTAATCAGTGAAGATAATATATTGATTATTGCAACTTAAACGAGTAACTGCATAAATAGCAAGAGTGAGTGAGTGAGTTGGGTTTAACGCCGCTTTTAACATTATTCCAGTTATATCACGGCGTGTCAGCTTATTGTGGGAGGAAAGCCCGAAGTGATGCAGGTCTCAGACGTTTACCACTTCGGTGAAACCCACGAGCACGGGTATGGTGCTGACAAACCTAGAAACATAATCGGGGTGAACCGGGATTCGAACCCACAATCATAGGTTTCTGGCGTGCCCAAGGGATGCAACTCTGCACAGAGAATCGCGGCGCCTTAGACGACTGGGCCACCCGTGCCCCCATAAATAGCAAGAAGTATTGACATTGATGGATGATCAATTACAGCCAGTCCGAAGTAATCCAACAGATTAATTATACAAGAGTCTGTCGAGACATGCTAGGCATCAAGAAATGAATCAAGTTTTATCAGGAGTTCCTATTTTACTGATTCTACTTATCAGGAATCCAATGATTATAAACAAAGAAGGATTCATCCAGGACCCAAGACGTATCTAGGGAGGACATTAACATGTAGGGAGAGAAAGCTTCTTTTACAAACTTGGAGGAATGGGTAAACTTGGAATGCCTTTTAATATGTTGTGGTAGGCTGTTGTTAAACTGAAACATCTCAACTATTATTATTGTTTTATTAAGTGTGTGCTCAATTGGTCAAATTCTAAGTATTTGTATACAATTATTGACTGGTTATCACCTTTGCATATTGCCCCTTGAGGGGTGCTGACAAACGCATGATACAACATTTCTCGTTTCCAATCCTGAAAATGAAATATAACAATTAATTACAAAGTCACACAATAATTGCCTTGTGACATCCAATAAAATTAAAGCAACAGTTTTTAATGATTTCCAGCAGAGTACATGAAACTTTAATTTTAGGATTAATGATTACTACAACATGCTCTTGTGTTGAGGATTATGAATTTGATACATTACTGATACATGACTGATATGTGCTCAATTAAAATGTTAATAATCTGTTTTGAGTAAATAGTTTGCTTCCCGTATTTCAATGGTCATTATTTCATTTAGTATGAGTTGATTAATTATCATAACACGAAACAGACATGCGATAAACAGACTGATAAACAGAATGATTACTTGTGAGTAGATATTCAATCATAATCATGATTATTGATAGACTACCCTTAAAACTGCAAACATAATCAAGAATACATATATAAATAAATTTTCAGCAACTGTTTAAAGTTTTTGTGAAAACACATTGACTCCAAAGTCACAAGCAACACATTAAACATGACAAACAAAATATATATAGATGCTTATAGTTGTGTCACCATGGTCAGACAATCACCTGATCTATCATCCTGATCAGCTGATTTGTTGTGGAGAACAGGGCTGTTTGTTTTGACTTACTCGGAACTTGTCATCTCACAAACTATTTTTGATTCAAAGCCACACATAACAAAAAACACGTATTTATAATGTACCGTTGTAGTAACTTCTCAGTAACATAGTCCTTGCCAGATTTTCTCTTTCCACTGAAGACGAGAACTGCTACCGGAACGTGTGCCATTGTTACTCGCGTTATCACGACAGGGCGACGAACGGATTGAAGTGTGTCACTTCCGACAACATAGTTAAAAAACAACAAATTCACTCATTTCTTTAAATCACAAAGCATTGGATATTAATTAACAGTATTTGTTTTAAAGATATAATAACTGCACTGGGATGCAAATACAATTTATAATTGTTAGATATGGAATCGAGTTCTAATTCGTTCCTTTACAGTAACGGATGTAGTTTAACACGCGAGTTGGTGGATTTCGCCATGTGGAACAGGTGTTGCATTGCTCATCAACATGATCAATGAAAAAGTAATCATAAAAGCAACATTCAAAGCTGGCTTTTTCAATTTTTAAAGTGCATGCACGCAAGGCGATTTTGTTCTGATGATAATTTTATTACGATGTCCTTGTTTCTTTACAGATCTCTGAAATGTATGGTTGAGTTCGATGACAGCTCTTTCAGTTTCAAGCAAGAGTTTCCATATAGTACACACTTGCTTAAGGTTTCGTCATTTGATTACTAGGGTTGGGTATATACGGCCGAGAACTGTTGTTGTGCCTAACAGATGCAAGATGTCTGCGACTATAGATGTGACGGTCAATGAAGTGAAGGAGGGTAAAGCAGAAGTTCTAACACCGTCGTCAGTCTTCTACAACCCCGTACAGGAGTTCAACAGAGATCTGACGATTGCAGTCATCTCGGAATTCGTCCATGACCATTTTGATACAGTGAGAGAGCGAGAAGCTAAATCATTGAGAAAGAAATTAAATTCATCAGAACAAAATAATGCGACAACTGGAGAAGACGCGAAAGCCAAACAACAGATATGCGGTGATGAACAAAATTCCGATGTTTCTAAAATTGATGATTCCGAGTTAACAGCTGGTGTCTCCCACCCACATGGAATTAGAATTTTGGAAGGTTTGGCAGCATCTGGGCTTAGATCAGTCCGGTTTGGCTTGGAGATTCCAGGTGTGAAAGAGGTCATTGCAAATGATTTTGATAAAAATGCTGTTGGTTTTATTGACAAAAATATTACAAAGAACACATTGACAGGCCTTGTTCGGTCAAACTGTGGAGATGCTGCAATGGTCATGTACCAAAATAAAGGGCTGAAAGATAGATTTGATGTTATTGACCTTGACCCTTATGGCAGTCCATCTGTATTTCTCGACTCGGCTGTCCAGGCCGTGAGAGATGGAGGCCTTCTCTGTGTCACTTGTACAGACATGGCTGTCATGTGTGGAAACTCATGTGAGACTTGCTACTCTAAATACGGATCTGTGTCATTAAAGGCAAAATTTTGTCATGAAATGGCTTTGAGAATAATCCTCCAGTCGGTTGAATCCGCAGCAAATCGATATTCACGTTACATTCAACCACTTATCTCAGTGAGTGCTGACTTCTACGTGAGAGTATTTGTCAAAGTGTTCACAGGCCAAGTGAAAGTGAAGCAGTCCGTTACAAAATTAGCTTATGTTTATCACTGCACAGGATGTGGATCACATGTTCTGCAAAAACTTGCAAACAAGACCCCAACCAAGGGAGACAACTACAAGTTCACACCAGCAGTGGCACCATCTGCACAACCAGTATGTAATCATTGCGGATTTAAACAACACATCGGTGGCCCAATATGGGCAGACCCCATGCATGATAGAGACTTTCTTACAAAAGTACTACAGAGAGTATCATCCAATCAAGACCTGTTTAATACGTCGGAGAGGATTCTGGGAATGCTGAGTATGATGTCAGAGGAGGTGGAAGATGTGCCGCTGTACTACACACTAGACGAGGTCTGCAATGTTCTTCACTGTACTGCTCCCAGTATAGTTCAGTTCAGGTAGTCTTGATGAAGAGAATTCGTCACCTTGTCTTTTCAGTGTTTGACCCTAACGCTAATCTGTTTGCCTCCATTCATGATTATCTAGCGTATTATATGTCCATTCTAATGTGTAATGATAGGACATTCTTCAGTACGTAAATTTGTAACAAGTCTTCAGGACAATTCCTTTGACAACCAGTCAGTGTCCTAGAAAAAGAACTGATCTGAAAGCCAGTTACCATGATAGACATATACCCTGGACCCAGGTGCTTCACTATAGAAGTGTTAACACTATCTTCATCTCCCTAATCACTATTATAGCTAAAATAGATAGAATTATCATCAAACCGCCCGCATGTTATCAAAAATGAGCGGGCCACTGTAACTTGATAATGCCCTCACATTGCTTGACGACGGGCCATTATCACGCCCGTTGTCAGGTGACGTCATAGGATAGGGATAGGTGACGTCACGTTCAATAGTGACGTCATCTGGTTTGTTCTATGACGTTTCCATTGTAAGTTGGTCAGTGACATTCGTGTTGATTGCAGTAAATGTTTCAAAACCGATATTGTTGTTTCTTTTTATTTGATAACAAATTCCATCCATTTTAGCTATAAAAACGGTAACGCTATTTTTCAGGGCATTATCATTTGAAGAAGCCCTCGGTCTTTTCAACTGCCCTCCTTCGTCGGGCAGTTAATGGAAGACCTCGGGCTTCTGCAAATGATAATGCCCTGAAAAACAGCGTTACCGTTATAACTAAATACAGAATTTCTGGCTCTTGAGCTTGAAATTAATAACCAGTGAAAATGCCTCTTCTGAGTGAGTGAGTGAGTTGGGTTTTACTCCGCTTTTAACAGTATTCCAGTTATATCACGGCGTGTCAGCTTAATGTGGGAGGAAAGCCCGAAGTGATGCAGGTCTCACACGTTTACCACTTCGGTGAAACCCACGAGCACGGGTATGGTGCTGACAAACCTAGAAACATAATCGGGGCGAACCGGGATTCGAACCCACAATCATAGGTTACCGGCATGCCCAAGGGACGCACCTCTGCACAGCAAATCGCGGCGCCTTAGACGACCGTGCCACCAGTGCCCCCCCCCATCTAAAATCCAGTTCATCATATAAATGCATATAAAATCACGACGTTATATATTGCATGATGTGAGCAGGCCCTTCATCATGTTGATATATTTGAAAAAAATAAATGCTATGAAAAAAGGTTTTAGATGTCATGAGCATGATCAGTATCAAGTGAGTGAGTTGGGTTTGACGCCGCTTTTAACAGATCAGTATAAAGACAATGATACGCCTGCTTATTCCAGTCATGAAAGAACAGTATTTTTATTGGATGGAGTCATTGAAACTGGTCTCAATACAAAGCTTTGAACATGTTAAATGTTGTTGAATGGGTCCAGGGCATACTAGTTTGTCATTATTATTATAATAGAATGGAGATATGATACAGTGGATAAGCAAGGATGGTTGGATTTGTACTTGTCCTCATCATTATTGTCTCACATTAGCCATGCTAACAGACTAGAGTGAATTTCAAAGGCTGTGTGAATAGTTCATGTTAATTTGATGTTGTTGATGGATCGGGTCACACATGTTCACTTATGGAATTCTTCGTCATGTATGGTGTGTAAACCTTGAAATAATTGTTACATTTGTGTGGACGAAGGTCTGCTGTGCTGAATGCTGGTTATCGAGCATCACTAACCCACTGTGCCAAGAACGCCCACAAGACTGATGCACCTGGGGAGGTGGTATGGGTACGTAGTACAGATTAATGAAGTTTGTCTGATTAGAAATTTTGTTGAACTTTTCGTTCATGCTAGAATGGAATTATTTTTAATAATTCAACATGTTAAAACCTCAAGAACGTGTGTCTCCAAATAACTTATTTTTTGCTTCTATTCTCAAATTGTGTGCAGGACACAATATTTTGCATCCGGTAAAACCCTGTTATCATGTGTAGAGTGAACATTAAGCCTTGATGATAGTTTGGAACAGGTGGCCCATTCCATAAGACGCTGCAATTCACTGTGCTGAGTTGCGTTCCTTGGACATGCCAGAAACCTGTCATCGTGGGTTCGAATCCCGGATCGCCCAGAGTATATTTCTTGGTTTTTCAGCACCAAATCTGTGCTTATTGGTTTTACCAAAATGGTAAAGGTCTGAGGCCTGTATCACTTCGGGCTTTCCTCCCACATTAAGCTGGCACACCATGACATAACTGGAGTACTGTTCAAAGCAGCATTAAACCCAACTCACTCACTCACTCACTCACTATAATGCAGGCTTGTTTCCTACAGGACATTATGCGGGCTTGGGTGAAGGATCACCCAGTGAAGGCAAGTCGGCTGCAACGTGGGACCCCAGCCAAGGCCATCCTGGACAAGGAGCCTGTGACAGAAGTATCGTTCAGCCTTCACCCAGACGCCAACCCCCAGTCTCGCCAGAAGGGGCTGCTACGATGGCAGATGAACCCTGAGCCAGACTGGGGGCCCAAGCCCCGGGCCAAGAAGTCCAACACAGAGGAGAGTCTCAGTGAGAAGAGAGACAGATGTAGAGGCAAGAGGAAGGACAGAGAGGTGAGGGTTTGGGAGTTAACCTTTGCATACGTCTCATAAACATTGGATGTTCAGGAAGTATGCTTGGAGGATTTGTGTTCAAGTGATGAGCATTAGTGTGCCTCAACACTAAAATTGACTTGGGTGAGTCCTTAACGACAACTTTCAAGTCAAATCCTATCAATGATGGACATAACAGCTGAGGGGGGAACGGGTGGCCCAGTCGTCTAAGGCGCAGTGATTCGCTGTGCAGAGTTGCGTCCCTTGGGCACGACAGAAACCTATGATTGTGGGTTCGCCCCGATTATGTTTCTAGGTTTGTCAGCACCATACCCGTGCTCGTGGGTTTCACCGAAGTGGTTAACGTCTGAGACCTGCATCACTTCGGGCTTTCCTCCCACATTAAGCTGACACGCCGTGATATAACTGGAATACTGTTAAAAGCGGCGTTAAACACAACTCACTCACTCATAACAGCTGAGAATTAACACTCTCCTCTTTCAAATATTATTATTGTCAGCCATTTTGATTTCACAAGTTCTAATATTTCTTTTAGATTCCTTCAGTCAATGGATATTATTAAACAGTAATAAAAAACTCATGAATAGATCTAGAAGTAAAATCTTGTAAAACGATGACATGATCTTTAGCACCAGTGTTGTATTTTGATTCTGTGTATGTGTGTTGGTATTTGTCTTCCAGGGGAACAAAAGCTTCCTGAAGCAGTACCCATGTAAGAAGTACAAGACTGGGGAGTGTGACCTCGGGGACGGCTGTGTCTACAACCATGACATGGAGCAGGAGCAGGAGCAGGCACAGTGATGTACAAACAGTGAAGCTCACCATCTCTCTGTGGGCTTGTTTTGGGTAGAAGATATACTGGTCAACATCAGCTCTTTGTATACATAAGAAGGAAGGTCATTGTGACCTCTTCTGTGTATGACAATAGTTACCATGGTTACACTGCTCTTTGTAACAAAACTGTAAATATGTGAATATAGCACTTTTAATAAAAACCTGATCTTGTGCATTTTTATGTCATCGCTTCTGTGTAAACTTCTGTGTTGTTATCAGCAGTGGTTAATTAATTCATCATGGTGATGATTTCCAAGATTGGTAAATTGTATGAGGCCTATTCTTGGGGTCTACTGATGTGACAATATTGCTAAACTCAGCACAAATCACTCACTCTGTCAGCACCATACCCATGCTTGTGGGTTTCGCTGAAGTGGTAAATGTCTAAGACCTACGTCACTTCAGGCTTTCCTCCTATACCAAGTTCACACGCCGTGAAAACTGGAATATTATTCAAAGCAAACTCACTTACTCACAATCGTGTATATGTTTCTAAGGAGATTACCACAAATAACAAACACTGCAGACAATGCTTCAAGGTTTATATATTGAAGTGGAATGTTCTTGATATTCCTTTAGACAGCAGTTTCAAAAACCTTTGGTATGACATCTCTGCGTTATCAGCACAGATAACATCAGGAGCACGTACTGAGACAACACTGATCCAGTACATTGTTTGGCCATGGGAGCATCGTCCAGCTAGGAACAAGCACTCTGAGCATTGTCACTACCATACATAGTTTCACAAATACAGTTAAAGCTTGTAAGTCCATCATGACTGGAATATATACTACTCAAAAGAAGTTAAAGAACATCCTTTTTCACATGACTGTCATGGCTGACTTTAGTCATAAAAAAAATGTGTGTTCTCTAATTTCTTTTGAGTAGTACATATACACAAGGCAACATTACTTAGCATCAATAATTGTTAATCAATGTTAATATGGACATTTGCTGATCCAGGTAAGTTTTACAATCCGGATTAACGAGGGTTCACTGTACAATGGTCATGCTAGGAATAATTGTGGAAGGGACTTATGCATGTTACGGTTGTGAGATTCAGTGTCTTTATTTTGTAGATCATTCTAACAACAAATTCTTCATCCTTGTGAAATAGATTAAGAGTATTTCATCAACTGAAACTGGAACAACAGTTTACCATCTTAGAAGCGCTGATACATTTTCATGATCAATTAGAAAATATTAAAATCACTGTAATACCCCAAATTTGCAGTGCAATAAACTACCCCGTGACAAGAATACCGTGAACTTAATCCAGAACCATAGCAGTATATATGAACTGTTAGCAGATTACTGGCCCTGCATCCCACCTACATCCACTGAACACGCTGTGATGGAGAAGGCAACGTGTACAGCACTGTCACGGACGGTTCAATGGAAGACAGACACTACTTCTGAAGGCATATGCTGACAGGATACGTGTTGTATTTAGCATATGCTACAACAGTGGAAAAAACCTGTTCAGCGACAATCAATGTACAATGAATAATGCACAACACGTTCATATCACAGTTGTAACCAGACATCTATTTGTGTCTCCAACATTAGCATAACATACAGGAAATTGGAATATTTAATACTTTGGTTATTACAGTGGACGGATAATGATATAAAAAAGAAAAAAAATATTTTAAAATCATCAATACATAATTGCTTTGTAAATATGGGATAAACTGAGAGTATCAGTTTATTGCAAAAAAAGCTTCCCATAGTGCTTATAGATACGATATATCGTGTGCGTACCACTCTGTGGAATGTTGTTTGACATCTACAGGTAAGATACATAGAAAATGATACACGTTAATTTACATAAAACACAAATAATGTATAGTCAAAAATTGCACCCATGGTTAATGATTATATTTGATTAAAATGATGAAAATATGTTATATTATGTACATTGCGTTGATTATATATTTACAGTTATTATTTACAAATAAGAACCTGTTTGAGTAATGATGAAACATCATGGACAGTTACAACCTGCAAATCTTCAATGTTTCCACAATGTCTCTCTGTAAGCCGAACCTGTCGTGATGATCATGATGATTAGGGATTGTACAACGAGATTCGGGTCAATTGTCTTAAAACTTGAAAAACCAAAGCGCCAACCTTTCAGAAAACCAAACCAACCACGCTTTAAGAAACACAACAGCAACAGAATCCATAAACATAGTAGCATCCTTAACACAGCAGGGGTGAAACGATACAGCCAAGTCACGATACAATACGTATCACGATACATGGGCCATGGTACAATACGTATCACGATACATGGGCATGATACAATACTTATCATGATATATGGGCCACGATATGATACATATCACGACACATGGCCATGATACAATACGTATCACCATACATGGGCCACAATACGATACATATCATGATACATGGGCCACAATATGATACGTAGCGTGATACACATATTTACATCAAATCCCATGTAAACTTCATGATGTTCATGAAATAAATATTTCAGAGCAGGATCAAAAGGAAAAGCTAGTTGTAGACACGTTTGCAGCGGCTATTTTGGTAGTGAACTTGAAAAGCTAGTTAAACACATTTTGTGATATTTGACTGACCCAAAAATGTTAGGGGTCATAAATGAGTAGCAAGCAATTTATTTTACGAAGTATAACATCGTGTATCGAGACAGAAAAAAAATGTATCGTATCGTTGCAAGAAAACTCACGATGCACCGATGTATCTTTTCACCCCGACAACACAGCAGCATAGTTCAAACATCTTCAGTTGATGTGAGGAGAGATCAATAACCATATATATACTTTTCATCTTTTGATAGGGATATTATTATTATCTCTTGACTCATCCCACTTATGTGTGTAATTTATAACATGTAATTTTATGAAGAATTTTACGAAGTATCTTAGAATCCTTATCAAAAGTTGAGTGGTATACAACATGAATAACTGAGGTGACTATTGAAGGCATAGTTTCATAACTACCTGTGTCATCCCACAACATAGATTTCCTTGCTTAATTTGACATGATGACACAGCATTAGATGTTCCCGATTCAGCAGAGTGGGAGTAATGGAGATACGTCGGATTATTGTCTGACAGTAACTTATGAAACTTTTTCAAAATGTTATTCACAAGTCTCTTTAAACAAGGTGTATTTTGGATCAAAGTGAATTTAGAAGTAAATAATGAACATTACAAACAGTTGAAATTTTAGCTTATTAATGTATTAGCATCGGGTAGACAAGTGTGATGAAGCAGCAGGTGGACCCATGGTTGCATCCCCAGTAGACAACAGGTGTATATAACATGTTGACATCGTCATTAACCATACTCTGCAATACATCTGTACAGATTCTCATTGTGTGGAAATAATATAAGAAAAAATTAAAATAAACTGATGACAGAAAATGCATCTGGTTTCTTACCCCAACAATATTGCCAGTAACCATGGTAACATGATTATACTAACCAACTCGTAACATTTCAGTCCTGAACTTTCAAGTTGTATGTATTTAATTTACCCGGTGAAATATTAAATATTAGTTTTATTTTCAAACGTAACATATCATATATAGTTAAGTTCAAATGGAAGGGTTTGGGATGGCATTGTGAATGAGTTTTCAAGGGTGTGTTAATACTTTGTAAAATCCATTTGGCTTTGCATGTTCAGCAGTTTTTAGTGTTGATCATGGAGGATATGATCTCCCCCTGTGATGAGGGTAATGCTGGTCCTAGGCCTCGTCCTCGTTCTGCGCCTCCTCCAACTGTTCCTCCGCATTCTGGATTGTTGTTCCCAGAATTCCCTCTATATCCTCTATGGCGCCCTGTAGCAGGAATAATGTGCAAGTCACTTTATTCAATGTCTCAAGTCAAGTACAAGGAATCTATAAATAACATGATTCCTAGTTTCCATGAGGGTTGGACCAATTACTTTACACTCACTAAATCAAGTGAAATATACTACTCAAAAGAAGTTAAGGATCACCTGATTCTTTCATATTACTATACCCCAGTAGCTAATTTCTCATGTCATGACAGATTAACTTTACCATTATGAAAGAATTGGGTGATCCTTAACTTCTTTTGAGTAGTATATATACAGGTACAAGTGTGAAACAGATGCTGTTTACCCGTAATTGAAAAATGCTTATTTTGAACATCTTTTGGTTATTTATTCTATTTCTTTAACTATTGTTAGAAATTTAATATCAACATGATGAAATGTTATAAACCCAAACCACATTTTTATTATAAACCATAAAACAATCAATTGTCAAGCATAAACAAGAGTCATCAGAAGATGACAAATCCTACAAATTCAAAAGCACAAATCATCTGACTGTTACTTTAATTCTAACTAAGTCAGAGAATGTCTATCTGATCTGTCTGTCCGTATACAAGAGTAGTTATTGAGCTATCAAAACAGTACCATAGAATTGGGATTTGGAACTTTGTATTTGTATGTCAAGTACACACCAATATGAACAGAGTCTAATTCAAACTTGTTGCTATGGAAACTAAAAAAGATCTAAAGTCTAAAGTCCCTAAATAGCAAATACAAAATACTTAAAGACAACCTTGTCTTTGTGTGCGCACCATTTCAAGAAAGATTACCTATTAGTTTTAGAGATATGTTCCGAACACACAAATATGAGTCAAAGTGATTAAACATGGAAACTGGAATAAATTTATGACATTTCTAAATAGCAAGAGGCACCACATTAGCCCCTTGTTAATACATGTAGCAAGTTTGGGTGAAGAATCTCGACAGTTTTTACAGTCACACAGTCAACTGATATCCAGTCACACAGTCAACTGATATCCAGTCAGACAATCAACTGAAATCAGCTTCACACATTGTACCCAATCGAAACCAGGCCTTTGCTGTGACGAGTGAATGCCTTAAACAGTAAGCCACCCTACCACCCCAAGATGATTCGGACATACAAAACTTGATCACAACAATTGCAATGCAAGCAAAAGAGGAAAACATTCTCTGAATGAAAAGGTTGATGTCTACCTTGAAGTTAGTCTTGCCCTGCATGTTGGGTGCCGAGATCTCTTGGTGGATGACGGACATGTTGCGAGCAAACGTAGCAAGTCCCCCTTGTAGGTTGTCCCCGATGGTGCTGTCATCAGAAACACATGTTTATTGAAATCGCAAATGTATAATGACATCAGTTATTGACCACAGCATTTTCTGTTGATGTGTACCCGAACAGTTGTGAGACATGAAGGACTTTACTCACTAAATTGAGTACTGACTAAATTCAAGTTGTTTTTTTTAAATAAGAAAGACAATATAAAACAATGGATGCAAAATTTATGTTGCCATGGAGAATGCCTCATTTTTTATCAAATTAGGGAGTTTACTTATCAAGGGGGGTAGAATAGGTCTTCAGCAACCCATGCTTGCCGTAAAAGGTGACTATGCTTGTTGTAAGAAGACTAACGGAATTGGGTGGTCAGGCTCGCTGACTTGGTTGATGCATGTCATCCTATTCCAATTGCGTAGATCGATGCTCATGTTGTCAATCACTGGATTGTCTGCTCCAGACTATGTTATTTACAGGCCACAGTCATATAGCTGGAATATTGCTGAGTGCGGCATTAAACAACAAACAAACAAAACAAACAAAATAAACAAAACAAACAAAACTTATCAAGGAAAGTATTCATACACAGTGATGAAAGTGTGGAAGATTTCAGGGTCTTAAATATTTGTCTTGTTCAAGATAGTTTCACTTCTTTCATGACGTTCATGCATTTGTGCTGCTTACAGGATACTGACTCTGAGAAGCACAGACCTTCATTTATGCTGCAATGCCGAGTGCCAGGCAGGGTAACAACAAGTTCCATCTTTTAACGTATCTGGGTTTGACAACCAGGGGACTGAACTACCAACCTTCCTCTTTCTGGGCCAACATGTTATCCACTAGGTCACAGAGACGTTCAGGTTTGGAAGAACTTTGAAGTTAGATTTATGCGTAAGATATACCAATAAGATACAGAAAACAACTCACAGCATTCCCAGTCTCTCCCTGTTGAAGCTGTCCACTAGGGTGAACACAGTACCCTGCTTCTCCTGTAACCATAGCAACAAAATCTGTGTTCAGGGACGAGGCTTCAAATCAGATAGAGTTATCTCCCCTTGACCATGTCCGGGGCCCACTTGCACAAAATGATCTTAGCGCTAAGACTATTGTAAGCCTATGTTAAAGTATGGTAGTTAAGATCATCTTAGCGCTAAGATCGCTTTGTGCAAGTGGGCCCAGGTTGTGTGTGTATTGTGTACAAGGTTTCACTAAAGTAATCTTTCACAACATGTATCATAAGGTACAGACTGAAACACTTTTATCAAATGAATGAATTATTTTGTGTCTACTGTGTGAAAACAAAGACTTGGAGAGAGATATTGGTGTTTACTTTGTTTTCCTCTGCTGAGTATATTGAAGAATTGACTCCTAATCTTTTTGCATTTATGGAAGTATAAATGTAAAAAATTGGTGTGCACAATGTGTAAATCCGCGTATACCTCAATAAATGCGGGAATATTGAAGTCAATTCATAAACAGACAAAGAAGAGAAAAACAAAGTAAACGCTAATATCTTTCTCCAAGTCTTTGTTTTCACACAGCAGACAAAACAGTTCACAGAATGCTTATATAAGCATTGATACAAAAACCTGTAGAGAACTGTATGAAACCTGGGACATGAATCAGCACAATAATAAACATCATATCTTAGTTCTTGTGATCTCTAAACAAAGAGGACATCCCATTACAGAGTCACGTCAGAACGACTTTTCGTCCGACCAATCAAAGCGTCGCTTACCGGATGATGAAAGTGACAGTCGGAATGTGTTTTCTAATCATGCAACCTCATAAACATTAACACAGGGTATTCCAAACAACAGTTATGGCCCCTACGACTAATTCCATCAAAATTATCGTCTGTCTCTCGCTTCCGTGGGATAGACATTTTAACACAACCATATATTAGACATTCCGGAATGTTCGTTTGTTCAGTTTTCAAAATTTTAATTGAGAACTGTGTCAACATATTTTTCAAGCATAGTCTGAAGGGAAGTCGCCAGGTTGAAATAAGTGCCGTAAAGCTCGAGAAAGCTGCTTTCTAATTGGCTGATATCGACTTCTTGTTAGTTCTTTCAGTGGTCGGTCAAAGTTCGCGAAGGGTCGTTCTGACGTGACCCATAAAGCGATGTCCTCAGATCTTTGTTTAGCAGCAACGAGAACTTAGATCTGATTTTAATGAGATTGTAAACATTATGAAAATCATTTATGCAGTATGGTATTTAATTGCAAAGATATTCAATTGTTATATATATTCGTAGACTGATAAGATTTTTCTTACAATGAAGTAAGTCGGCATACCTTGATGTCATATCCTATGCCATGTGCCCGACACATCTGGAAGAACACGCTATAATGGACGACGGCCAGGTTTGTGTGGAGCAGATGTGTACTCATCACGGCATAGCGAGTGGAACTGGGAGAGTCCTGCACAGAAATACAACGTGGTGAAATCCTGTCATCAGAGTCATATCTAGCAGTTGTAGTCCAGATATACAACAACAGCTACAACCAATACCAAAGTAAAGGAGTATTGAAGGGAATGAAAATGCATGGTTTTGGATGTCACTGTGTCTCTCGAAATTCAGCTCAGAGAACAAACAGAAAGGCAAGTTATCTCCAGAGCATTCATACATCTGGTACATGGTTAGATTGCATCGTGCATATGGGTCCTGAGTAACAGTTTTTCAAATATCGTAGTTGCTACTAGGGCTGGGATGGGTAATTTGGGTAATGGGGGTGGATGGGTTCTGAGCAGGACCTGGGTACCACAGGACTACCCAGGCCCGTGGTTAGTCATGTGGTATATTGTTTAATGGCAAAACTTATCTAGAACTCTATGCTTACACTACAAGTCACAAATGTTCGCATTTCTTTGTGACAATGCATGCATTCCTTCTGACTTCCATATGTTTGAATAAAGATGAAACTTCCATCAATTTCAGTGTATGCATAACCAGGTCGTTTTATACGTGTATCTTAATACATTTTGCCAGGGCTATGGTCAAATCGGACAGTTTGTACCTATCTCTTGAGACCTACAGCAGGTACCCGGGTAGGGTCGGGTAATAGTGGGTGGGTACCCGGGAAGTAAATTTGGACTTGTCCCAGCCCTAGTTGCTATGTACTTAAAAGGATTATCATTTTGACAACAGAAATTACTGAAAAAAACAATGAATTTACATAATGTTGGTAAAACTTTTATAGTCATGTAGAAAATGTAGAACCTAGAATAAGATGGTCAGCAATGATACATGTATGTATAACAATATTGAGTCAAAGTGAGTGAGTGAATATTGTTGCTGGGATACGAATACATGCATCAACCAAGTCAGCAAGCCTGACCACCCAATCCTGTTAGTCACTCTTACAACAAGCATAGTTGCCTCTTTTGACAAGCATAGGCTGCTGAAGACCTATTCTACCCCGGATCTTCACAGGTCAAATCGAATGGAATGGTGAGCATAATACATATGTTTTATTCTTACACAAATAATCAATGTTTTAGACTTATTTTCACACAATCAAGAAACTTAAGAAGCATATGAATGCAATGTTTGAGTGAATCTCTTCACTTATAATATAGTGCCAAATGATTTGCCGCCATGTTTGTCTACAAAAACACCCACACATCAGGAAACACCCAATCTAAACTTATTTGATCAAGAAGACATTGATTATGGGGCTTAAAAGTAGTTCCCGCCAGGCAATTTCGTTTGCATATTTATCGGAGAGTGATACCAAGTTTATGGGAATGGTTTGTTGCATCGATAACACTATACATTGTATGACAAATGTATGTATAAGCAGACCCGTGAAGATCCGGGTAGAATAGGTCTTCAGCAACCAATGCTTGCTGTAAAAGGCAACTAACGGGATCGGGTGGTCAGGCTTGCTGACTTGGTTGATGCATGTCGTATCCCAATTGCATGGATTGATGTTCATGATGTCAGTTACTGGATTGTTTGGTCCAGACTCAACTATTTACAGACCGCCGTCATATAGCTGGAATATTGCTGAGTTCAGTGTTAAACAAACAAACAAACTGAATGTACTTACCTCCTCCTGCCCGTGCAGTCTCCGGCGTTTGGGTTTCTTGTCTGTCTTGCTTGGTGAGACGTTGAGTGTGTGTGTGTCGGTGTCGAGGGAGCCGGCAGTGACGTAGCACACCAGCTGGAACATGGCGAGGGTGTCGCTGTATCGGAGACTCAAGTCCAGGGCCCACAGCCTCTGTTCCATCTGAACCCACAGGACAAGGGACACATCAGTGTTTCACAGACACTACATTGATCATCAAATGAACAAAAGACCCATCTGTTAATCCTGTCAGCTCTTCACTATGGTAGGTCTTTGAAAGGCATTTAGAAGTGATACATATAAGGAAGAGAATATATGGATGTCAACTTTTTTATTATGAGGAACACAATGTTTCGGAGAATATGTTTACTCCTTCATCAGGTGAATGAATGCCATGAGGCAGAGAAGTGCTAATAACACCCACCGCCTATCAGCCCTAATCACCCTTCAGCGCCAATCATCTGTTGGCTTCCCTTGTTAGTTTCTACACTTTGTTATTTTCCACCTTTTGTTATCTTATTAATATTGTTGTCCTTACATGTACATTTATATATTCTCTGCCTCATGGCATTCATTCACCTGATGAAGGAGTAAGCATATACTCCAAAACGATGTGTTCCTCACAATAGGTTAGGTGAAATTGGGTTTAACGTCGCGTCCAAGATTATTGCACTTATATAGCGATGTGCATGCATGTGTGTGTGTTTGTGTGTGCGGCTGCTTGTACTAGTCTGGACTGATGCCGATTTATAGTGTTAGCCTCCTGAGATACCATGTCGCAGTTTAACATGAAAACCCCACTCAGACACAGTATACTGACTTCGAGCCGACCAGTCCTTGTTTTAGCCCCTTAATGATGAGGGCCAGACAGGGTAACAACAAGTACCATCTTTTAACGTCTATTGGTCTGACGCGGCCGGGGATCGAACACCGGACCTTCCGCACTCCGGGCGTTCCTCACAATAAGGAAGTTGACATCCATATATTCTCTTCCTTATGTTCATTATGTTGTTTTGAGGAAAATTATCATGCTGGTGCCATGATGATACGTACATGCAGACAGAATCATCTGCTCTTGACCTTGCTTGTCTAGTGATTTCACCAGGGAGATGTGTTTACAACATTCATGGTTCTGAATATGGCCTACTTGATAACTGATTTACTGAATGAGTTGTTTTATGATTGCTGGAAGAAATTGTGGACTTGAAGAAACTGATGTCCAAGTTTACTTGTCATTGTTAAGTTGAATGTTCAATGACATGCTAGGACAAAAACATATTCCTTGTTCTTCATATTCCTGTTCATAACTACAAATCCTGAACATCAATGATCCTTGTACTTCAATCAGCAGCATGAAAACCATCCTATTCACATTACACTCGTAAATATTCCTCCCCTTGACGTAACGTTACACCGATGCACAGTGAAACCCTGTTAAACTGGACAGTCATTTCCAGTGAAATAATCTGGATAATCAATTATCGATTTACTGAATCAAGGTTGAGGATAATGTCCTTTAATTAGGTACCGTATATGACCGCGTATAAGCCGAATTTTGAGGATCAGAAAAAAGATTCTGTAGAAAGGGGTCGGCTTATCCACGGGATACACTTTCATGATAGTATTTTCACAAGACTCACAAAATGGCGCTTGGTTGTTGATGGCAACATATAACGATCATTATGAGATTAAAAAACCCCATGAGAAACAGCTTCCCACATTATGAAAGTGGATGACTGGTTTGTTAAATCTTTATTAGAAATAATAATGACTTTTTCAATATAATTACAACGTTTTTCATCTTATATTTTTGAATATCTGCGAGTACCGGCACATGTCTTTCAGTCCGCAGTGTTTTTTGTCTTTCAATTCCTGATTCGGCTTATCTGCGGGTCATATCATTTTCTTTCGTATTTCAATGGTCAAATTAACACCTCGGCTTATCTACGGGGTCGGCTTATCCGCGGTCATATACGGTATTGTGTTCTTCAAAAAGATGGTCCAAAGGAGCAGTTTCTGGCAAAAATGTAGTCTGGTTAAACAACCTTCACTATATATGGACTCTGACTGAGATAATTAACCAGATCCTGCTCTAACACTGGAGCATGTCTGAAGAAGGAGCACCTGAAAACTCTCCAACCAGATAAAAAATGCAGAAAGAAAAATTAGTTTCAAAAAGTGCTGGTAAGACCGCAAACTGAATGGGTAAGTAAATGGTCAAGCAATGCCTAAAGTTGGTTGTTTGTAAGAATTCTAAAAAATTGAGAATATAGGCAGAGATTCAAAACATTTAACCTACCGTCTTTCCATCAATAAATGTGACAAAATCTATGGTGTAATATCCCACAATGCCCCTGGACTTGCATGCCTCGGCCACTTTGTAACATGCCGTGTTGAGAGTGTCGGGCTCAATGGAAGACTGAGGGAGGGACAGGCCCCAGCAGGAGAAGGGCGTCTCCGCGTGGATCTGATCTCCGCACGTGAGAATGTTGATGACGCCGCTGGGCTCAATCATCATGTCGACCGTGACACACGTGATGCTCTCAGAAGGTGGACATGCTTCAATCACGCCACCTGGTGATAACAAGGAGGATCTTCTCATTAGCTTGTCAGTGAGCAGGCTGACCTTACATTTGTAAACTAACCAAGTCCAAAATGATAAAAGAAACTTTGATGACATCTGTGATGCTTTTGTGATAAATATTTTATTCTTTACAATAAAACATGTAGAACCTGACCAAAGCCATTGCGGGATGAAAAGACTGAATTATTGTACCTTGACTTAAAAATGCTTCCAGAAATGTGTCCCATGTTTTGTAGATGTCAGTGTTGATGGGTGTCCCATGCTCAGAGAGGACATCTGGGATCTCAGCATGGATCTTGATGTAAGCAGCTTCCTGATACATAGAAACAGACGTGGGAGACGATCATTGACAGACAAATACAGACGTGGGAGACAAACACTGACAGACAAATACAGACGTGGGAGACAAACACGGACAGGCTTAAACAGACGTGGGAGACGAACACTGACAGACAAAAACAGATGTGGGAGACAAACATTGACAGACAAAAACAGACGTGGGAGACAAACACTGACAGACAAAAACAGACGTGTGTGACGATCATTGACAGACAAAAACAGAAGTGTGTGACGATCATTGACAGACAAAAACAGATGTGGGAGACGATCATTGACAGACAAAAACAGACGTTGGAGACGAACATTGACAGACAAAAACAGATGTGGGAGACGATAATAGACAGACAAAAACAGACATGGGAAACGATCATTGACAGACAAAAACAGACGTGTGTGACGATCATTGACAGACAAAAACAGACGTGTGTGACGATCATTGACAGACAAAAACAGACGTGGGAGAAGAACACTGACAGACAAAAACAGACGTGTGTGACGAACATTGACAGACAAAAACAGACATGTGAGACGAACATTGACAGACAAAAACAGACGTGATAGATGAACATTGACAGACAAAAACAGACATGATAGACGAACATTGACAGACAAAAACAGACGTGGGAGAAGAACATTGACAGACAAAAACAGACGTGTGTGACGAACATTGACAGACAAAAACAGACATGTGAGACGAACATTGACAGACAAAAAACAGACATGTGAGACGAACATTGACAGACAAAAACAGACATGTGAGACGAACATTGACAGACAAAAACAGATGTGTGAGACAAACACTGACAGACAAAAACAGATGTGTGAGACGAACATTGACAGACAAAAACAGACGTGGGAGACAAACACTGACAGACAAAAACAGATGTGTGAGACGAACACTGACAGACAAAAACAGACGTGGGAGACAAACACTGACAGACAAAAACAGACGTGGGAGACAAACACTGACAGACAAAAACAGACGTGGGAGACGAACATTGACAGACAAAACAGACGTGGGAGACAAACACTGACAGACAAAAACAGACGTGTGAGAGGAACATTGACAGACAAAAACAGACATGTGAGACGAACACTGACAGACAAAAACAGACATGTGAGACGAACATTGACAGACAAAAATTATGCACTACAGCCTGTAAATAACAGAGTCTGGACTAGACATTCCAGTGATTGATATAATGAGCAATGATCCACAACGTCGGGGTACAATGACACGCAATCAACCCAGTCACTGAGTCTGACAAATCAACCCACTTGGTCATCTCTTACAACCAGCATAGGTTGCTGGGGACCAATTCCAACCTGGACTCTCCACGGGGTAAACAATAGGAAATGTAAGACGACATACCTCTGTGGACCCGGCAGAATCCAACAGTGATGTCTCACACAGACAATTGGTATACATGTATCTCCGATGATCCTGAACACTAGTTTCATCTGTTTGTGTCTGACAAAATTGTAATTTCCAAACCCACAAGTTACAAAGATAACTCCAGTGACAATCTCAGAACATATTATACTCACTGGTTGCCTGTACTTAAAGGGTCCGGAGCCGAGTAAACCTAATTGACAAAATACAAGACATGTTTTTGTACATAAATGACCCCTATATTCCCGTTGTCCGGCTTCTGACTGACCTGTGCCCACTTCTTGCTCCACTTTTCTCCATACCGGTGTGACTCCTTGAGAGCCCAGTTGTGGCACTTGAGGTAGCCGGCGATGTCACAGTAGGCAATACCACGGCCATCAAACTCATCATCTAGCTTGAACAGCCAGCGCTTGACTGTCAGGTTCTCTGTGACCAGCTGGGCAAGGCACTCGTGAAGCTGTGGGAACACACAAGCTGACATTCACCTGGCTTTACCTGGCTGTTAGCTTAATTAGATTTGGATCATTTTCCCTTTGAAGATGACAATTTGAGTTACGTATTTGACGTAATAAGCGCCGAGGGCGCTCTCAAAATTAGAAAAAGGGGCCTCTTATTAGAATAGAATTTTGGTGGAAAAAAGAGAGTTGAAAGATCGTAATTTCGTTGTTTATGCCTACAGCCTGAAATGATACAAAAGAAAAGTCTGTGCGTATTATACACGACAGATATATTTTTCAAGAATTTAATTGCCCATAATTAAGGGTGCATATAACACACGAGTGCGTATTATACACGAATAAATAAGTCTTGTGTACATTGTTCAATCGGAAGGGGTGCTAATTGGGATTGTTCACTTGCCAATATATTAACAACTATCGCCGTGGGCGCTTATTAGAGCTGGGCGCTTATTACGTCGAATACGGTACTTAGAATTGCCAGTCTTATTTACTATTTGATGTCTGAGAGTTTCTTTTGGGGACTACAGCATCAGACACCCATAAGAAATCCATCATTTCTATAAACACATTTAAAATACAAATCACTCATGTTTTATAGAAGTTTCTGTTTATACAGACAGAACAGGGTGTCACTTTTGAATGCAATGGTATCAGCAGACAATGGAGGACATTATGTTTCCATGACAACTGACCTAAGCTCCAGTTAAGTTAGTGACACACTTATCATTATTTTACAATGAACCTTTGTATGGATTGTCACTGCCTCATCCTATACCACACATCCACCTTGCTTCAAATAAAAAACTTAAATCATCCAAACAAGACGATATTGATGGCCTTAACAGTGAATGAAATACATTTGGCCATGCATACAGAGGCTACCTCCTCTAGTCCACCCACCTGACCGAGACTGTAGATATCGTACTCTCCGGGTGGGACGTCCACCCCAGCACTGTTGAAGATCCTCTTACTCCCTGATTTGGTTGAGTACAGGTGAGCTACATCTGGCTCTGGTGACAAGATCGGCACATCCAGGATGTCAGCCACGGCCAGGTCATCCTTGTGGGGGATCCCGGTCACGATGAACGCTTCACGGCCACGGATCAGGTTCTTGATCCTCTTCAGTGTCTCCGGGCTGTATCTGAGCAGCGTGGCAAGACACATCCGATGAGTCTGAAATGGAAGCCGTTCAGGTCAGACTCTCTAAGCTGCAGGGAGGACTTTTTGCAAGCTGTCTGTTTGCTGTTTAAGCACCCAGCAATATTCAAGCAATATGACGACAGCCTGTATATAATCGAGACAGACAATTCAGGGATTGATATTGTGAGCAATGATTCACTCCATCAGTGTACGATGACAGACAATCAACCAACTCCCCGAGCCTCATCTGAGTTGTGAAATATCAGATATCAGCAATTCTTCCTTGATAGATACAAAATGTAAACTAAACGGTGAACAGGCCCTGGCTTAGTCTGCCTCACAGTCCCTGAACCATATTATTTTCCCTCCAGCCCAGCCCCTTACTGTAATGCTTTAGCTCTAAACAAAGCAAGTCTAGATTTTCCACAGGTTCAGGCTCAATCTCCCATTACACTGGGGCTCCTAGAAAAACACCTAGTCTCTGAAATGAACATATCTTACAGAAAAAACCCAGTTGTTTAATTATCTAAATAAAAAAATAATAAAAAGGAGCCCAGAGATGCACGTCTTGTACTGCAGTGATCTAGACTTGCCAAACATTACAGACTTGTATGACAGACTATGAGGCTCCTTTTCAAGTTATTTGTTTCTATCAAAATCACATACAAAGACTAAGTGTTATTCCAGCCCTGGCTGTGAGGACTACAGTTACATGGCATGATGGATGTGGAGACAGGGTCTGCTGGGGGACTTACTGGGAAACTCTTGATGGCCTCGGGAACGATGATCTTGTACCTCTCTGCCATGTCACACTGGTCCTCGACCACACCACTGTCTACGGCCGACTTAAGCCCCAGCAGTTTGAAGTAGTACTGTAGCGTCTCATCACTCAGAGGCACGGGGGACACAAAGATTACATCAACATTGGGATCTGAAGCAGAGACAGCCTATATGTGAGATAATCTCTCACTACATCCCATAGCTTGCTAGGTGTGTTCCAGAGACCCCATGAACTGGCCTTGGGCAGACATTGGTTGAGTGAAGATGCAAGAAAGATATTGAATTAGCGAATGATAATCAATATTTCACCTACTTCAAATACGACTACCTATAGCCATATATGTAACACGTATTAATTTTTAATCAAACTAAAAACTGTCTAGATTGATACAATGTCACATGCTTGAAATTGGAAAAAAACATTCATTCTTTGTAGTTAGAATTACAAATGTCACTCAATGTATAATGTTATCATGTGGACTGGTTGATAACTATACCCCCCCCCCCCCCCCCCCCGTTTTTCAAACTAGGGGGATAAAAAGGAAAGGAGTAAAGGAGGTGCCTAGAAACCACATCTTCCCGAGGCAAGAGAGTTAACTGACTTTAAAACTCCAGTTTCCACCCTTGCTGAACTAGGCTGGAATTCCTGGGCTCGATCGTAGCGCCACCAGTGGCTATTACGAGTTATGTCCTTTCCATACCTCTCCTATTGACCAATCAGATTCCAGCTCTTGTATCACTTGCATTTGCTTCAAACAAAACGGTGGCGCCCAGTCAAGGCGATTTGGTCGATAATCAAGATCTATATTGTGATAAAACGAGTCTTACATCGCGAAGTGCATCAAATCACGTGAGCACCTTGATTAAAAACATGAAAAGATTTAGAAAATATCTGTTGACAACGAGTTAGCGGTGAACATGCTTTGCAAATCCTGCAGTCGACCGAAATCTGCATGACACTTTACGAACCGGATTTCGGTTTCGGTGCGCGATTTTGATTGGACTATGCATAGACTCGTTAGTCCAGCCAAAATGTAACACCATAATACCAGCCTAGTTCGGCAAGGGTGGAAACTGGACTTTTATAGTCAGTTAACTCACTTGCCTCGGGAAGATGAGAAACCAAGGCCAGTACCAGTTTTAATGGACATGAAGACAGACATACTTTCCATCAAAAAGATTTCAATGTTGAATTTCTGCCAACCCAAAATTAACGTTGGTTTGTAACTCGCATTCAAATTGGCTAATGATAATCAAGGGTGGGTAATTTTAGATCGCGAGAACCCTGGGAATGGATCCTGGGGTTTGGACTCTGTTTACCAAGCCCTGGAGATATAGAGGATGAGTAGGATGCAGTGAAGATGTACCAGTTGAAACGTGCCATGATCAGCTTAGCTGAAGGAACCTACGTAACAAGATGATGGACAACCATTGTCACAAAGTTTCACTATACATGTGTTAAGTGAATAGTTGACACTCTTTGTCTGTTGTATAAGATTTTTATTAGAAACAACTGTTTGTTTGTTTAATGCCGCACTTAGCAATATTCCAGCTATATCACAGTGGTCTGTAAATAATCTAGCCTAGACCAGAAAATCCAGTGACTGACATCATGAGCATTGAGCCATGCAATTGGGACACGATCAATTGCAATCAACGAAGTCACTAAGCCTGACCATTCGATCCATTTGCTTGCCTCTTACGACAAAACGTGGGGTTGCTGGGGACTTACATTCTTACCCTGGCTCCCCACCATTTAGAAACAACAGTACTGACAAATACCCACATCTGACTGCATCGGTTAGAAACAACAGTACTGACAAAGACCCACCTCTGACTCCCCATCGGTTAGAAACAACAGTACTGACAAAGACCCACCTCGGACTCCCCACCAGTTAGAAACAACAGTACTGACAAAGACCCACCTCTGACTCCCAACCGGTTAGAAACAACAGTACTGACAAAGACCCACCTCTGACTCCCCACCGGTTAGAAACAACAGTACTGACAAAGACCCACCTCTGACTCCCCACCGGTTAGAAGCAACAGTACTGACAAAGACCCACCTCTGACTCCCCATCGGTTAGAAGCAACAGTACTGACAAAGACCCACCTCTGACTCCCCATCGGTTAGAAACAACAGTACTGACAAAGACCCACCTCTGACTCCCCACCGGTTAGAAACAACAGTACTGACAAAGTCCCACCTCTGACTCCCCATCGGTTAGAAACAACAGTACTGACAAAGTCCCACCTCTGACTCCCCATCAGTTAGAAACAACAGTACTGACAAAGTCCCACCTCTGACTCCCCATCGGTTAGAAACAACAGTACTGACAAAGTCCCACCTCTGACTCCCCATCGGTTAGAAACAACAGTACTGACAAAGACCCACCTCTGACTCCCCACCGGTTAGAAACAACAGTACTGACAAAGACCCACCTCTGACTCCCCACCGGTTAGAAACAACAGTACTGACAAAGTCCCACCTCTGACTCCCCATCGGTTAGAAACAACAGTACTGACAAAGACCCACCTCTGACTGCCCACCGGTTAGAAACAACAGTACTGACGACGACCCACCTCTGACTCCCAACTGGTTAGAAACAACAGTACTGACGACGACCCACCTCTGACTCCCCATCGGTTAGAAGCAACAGTACTGACAAAGACCCACCTCTGACTCCCCATCGGTTAGAAGCAACAGTACTGACAAATACCCACCTCTGACTCCCCACCGGTTAGAAACAACAGTACTGACAAAGTCCTACCTCTGACTCCCCATCGGTTAGAAACAACAGTACTGACAAAGACCCACCTCTGACTCCCAACCGGTTAGAAACAACGGTACTGACAAAGACCCACCTCTGACTCCCCACCGGTTAGAAACATCAGTACTGACAAAGTCCTACCTCTGACTCCCCACCGGTTAGAAACAACAGTACTGACAAAGTCCTACCTCTGACTCCCCACCAGTTAGAAGCAACAGTACGGACGACGACCCACCTCTGATGTCACACAGCCTGGCCATCTGGGTGTTCTGGCGGATCCCAAATTCGTGTATACTGTCCCGGATACTCTGGATCAGTCCAAGAGATGGCAGATGGATGACCACACGCTTGGACATCTTGATCCGATCCCAGGATGAGGCAAATTTCTGAAGACCACAGCAGATTACCTTGTTACACTCTTTCTTCAAAAGATTTTATAGTTATTTCTACATACAATAACAATATCATATCCTGTTACAGATTTCAAGAAAAAATGTTTAAAAGACTTAACATTGTCAGGTAGTGTTCGACACGAACACTGATCCGCTGGTCGTAAGGACAACTAAAATTAGATAAAGGCTGGTCTTGTGTATACTTGTGTATACAAAGGAACCACAGCTTGTGCGACTTTTGAAATCACGTATAATCACGCAAAACCAGCAACTTAGGAACAACCCTGCATGGTACAGTGGTTACTTTCTTGGATGATTTCTCATTCTAATTGCACAAACCCTTTTTGGTCAGGACCATTGTGCCCAGAAGAGATTCAACAGGACCAGTAGATTTTTCAATATGGTTGTCCTTTGGACCACTGACATATTTGGTCAGTGTCAAACACTGGACAGGTGGATCTTTATTTAGTAATGAGATTGGTCTGGCCTGAAGGTTATCTTTGGGCCTTCTTGGTGTCTCCACTCACCTTTGACCTCATCTTGAAGCTCTCCAGCTGGTCTAGTCGGGTCTGTTTCAGCTGCTGCCGGACCTTCACCATCTTGATGTGCATGATCCAGGAGATTGCAATCACACCTGCAGCCCACTTGTGGCGCCGGTAGTCCAGGTACACGGATCTGTCCTTGTACCGGCGCCATGATGCCTGGATATGAGTGGCAGCCACCTGCTGGCCATTGTAACCAAGATAGCGACGACCCTGAAAAATATCTTCCCTCACAAATACTAACATCTTCAAAGGACATTTTTGGAAGCTATCGCTTCATTGGATCAATATTAGGACATTTTCTGTGAAAGTGTAAGCATTGCTATAAATTATCATCAATGAAGAAATGACACTGCTTTATTATCTGTATGTTCAGGATCATGTATGCCTGGCACTAGTGAGAAACAAGATACCACATTCATCATAATAAGTGCCCTGGGTGATGTTTACTATGCCATACACTTGTTAAATTTGTTTTCAGAGATGGAGCAGTAGTGAACAGACTTAGTTCAAACATTGATTTTGAGTTTACTCTTGATGCAGACCACTGAACTTCCTCAAGGTGCGAGAAAACCCCATTCATTGGTCGTTGAAACACACAAACTCGGGTATCGTGTTGACAGTTAAAACAAACATAACTAGGGCAAATCTATGATTTGAACCATGAGAAGCACATCCTGGCACTGCCAAGGGATGCAACTCTGCACAGCAGGTTACCCTCAATGCAAATGAAGATACAATTAGCCTGCTACATACTTCTCACACAGCTGAGAATTTCAGTTACTGCGTTTAAGCTACTACACACCGGCCTACGTATGATGGCCTCCACGTCCTCCCGGTTGACTATCACTGTCAGCAGGTCCTCCACAGTCGGGGGTCGCTCCAGCTCAAACTCCATGGACAGATCGGCCAGTCTGGGGATATAGAGTCACAGCCTACAACATTTTATCTTGCTGGACTGACAGTCCTATTGATGATATTGATGATTATGAGGTGAGTTGAAATGGGGTGTCATACTGCCTTTAAGAGTGCTGCATTAACATAGTGATGTGCATACATGTGTGTGTGTGAGGCTGCCTGCACTGATTCGGACTAATGCCAGTTTTATAGTGCTAGCCCACTAAGATACCATGCCACAATACCCCACTTAGACACAATATACTGACTCTGAGCCAGCCAGACTTGTTTCATCCCCTTGATGCTGAGCACCAGGCAAGGTAACAAGTACCATTTTTAAAAGTCTTTAGGTATGACGGGGCCGTCTGAGCAGACTCTATCCATATAGTCATGCTATTATGACAACAATGTTGTATGAGTGAGTGAGGGACTTGGGTTTAATGCTGCTTTGAAAAGTATTCCAGTTCTATCACAGCGTGAACGTTAGCTTGATGTGGGAAGAAAGCCCTAAGCAATAAAGGTCTCAGACCTTTACCAATTTGGTAAATCCCACGAGCACTGGTTTGGTGCTGACTGACCTAGAAACATAATTGGGGCAAACTGGGATTTGAACCCATGACCATAGATTTCTGGCATGCCCAAGGGAAGCAACTCTGCACAGCAAATTGCAGCGCCTTAGATGACCGAATTAGGGTTCACAGGGCTGAAATACAGAGCTGAAATTAACAAAAGCATGCCAGTCCAACAAAATCCTCGGGAACCGATGTGGTGCTGACATACCAAGGTGCATGATCAGGGCAATAATCAAAGAACCCTTGTACACCTAAGGGAAGCAACTCTGCACAGTCAATTGTAACATCCTATATGAGTGGCCCATGCATGACCCCACTTGACAAACAGGGAATACAACAGATCTTTGTCCTTTTGAATGAACACTGTGACCTTCAAAGCCTCCTCTCTCTTTTGACTCTATAATATTCATAATTTTGCATACAATTTGTTTTCCTGTTTATAGAAATTCCCAGGACAATCAATGTTTGGAACTACATCGAACATATCAGCTTTTTACTCCTTTGGGTCCAGTCAATTGGGTATTTTTAACCAATGAGTGAACCGTCTTCAAACACAATTCTGCTTAAAACCTAATTTGCACATGTGCATGTGATGCCCCAAGTGTCTCACATATGTCATAAGCTCACAACAGCCATACATGTCTATGTAACAATTACAGTCCAAGACGAATTCTGCATAAAATTATCAACATATTGCGATAAAATTACAAAAATTCTGCAGTAAATGCTGTGGTAAAAAACCCATTTCTCCCTAAAATATTTATACAAACTAAATTTTTCGAAAAGAAACCAAGTACCCAGGTTACCCGTCCAAATTCGAAACGAAATAATTTCCCAAACTGCCATAATAAACAGTTATCATTAGATAACACATACAATTATGCAAACAATATGCATAGTGTCACCAATATTTATTTTTGGTTAGATGTAAACATGGTTTATGTAGTCATAATACCACAAGAACTTTAAAAGTGAGAATTATTCATTTCAAATTTCGTTTTATTGCAGGATTCATATTTTGTATGTTTGAATCACATTTGTGCAAAATTCAAAAGAAAAGCTTGAGAAAATTTAAATTAGTGTATTGATTGATAAAACAGGCAAATTCTGTGATTTTTCTGCAATTCTGCATTGAGTTACATTTTCTGCAAATCTTTCTGTGATTGCAGGAGCACAATCTGAATAGGCTACATTGGGTGATAAACCACACTGTCGTTGTATGACTGTCTTTCATAGGTTTCATGCACATTTGTACACAAGCAGCTCAAACTGGGTTATGGTGGTTAATTGTGAGTATTTTATGCAAATACTCAGCTTATCTGGAGCTCTGACATATGGGTAGTACAGAGACGAGAGGAACTCACTTGTCTCCACTGATGAAGGCGACCGGCACAGAGTATTTCGTCATCAGTCTCTCCAGGTGGCGGATCATTGAAACTATGCTGTAAACATAACAGTATGATTCACAACAACTAATGATTATTTAGAAATACTGAACACACTAAACATTTTCCTCTCAAAAGTCTATATTACTGTTATTTGTTTTTCAAAATGAAACAAATATAATTATCTTGAATATTGGAAACTATTTATGTCTTGTTTAAGGTGAGTTAAAACTTCTTAGAAAACAAAAAGGGCATAAAATGTGTAAAAACAGGTATGAAATGCTGTAATTGAATTCCAACACAAAGTTATGGAAATTGACTCCTTGAAAAGCCCCAGAAACAAGAGGTCACCCCGACTGGTTAATGTATGCACAGATGTAAAAACATCTACAAAATGCTCAAATTGAATTCCAACACAAAGTTATGGAAATTGACTCCTAGAAAAGCCCCAGAAACAAGAGGTCACCCCGACTGGTTAATGATGTATGCACAGTTGCTGGACACTGCTAAAGGTGAGTTTTGTGATATAAAACAAAAGTTCAATAATAGAATACACTTGTAATCTGTTAACACTGCTTCACATGGAGAAATGAAAACAAGAAATTGTAATATGTATGTTAATGATTACTCCAGTAACGGATACAAATTAGTTTCATACATCACAATGTCTAGACCTGCAGTGACGCCAGCATGTAGGGCTGGGATGGGTATCTCTGGTACTCGGTTTGGGTGGGTCCTGAGTAGGACCTGGGTACCCACAGGAATCACGCGATATATTGTATAATGACAAAAATGATCTAGAACTGTATGGTTAGACTACAAGTCACTAATGTTTGCATTTCTTTCTGTCATGAATGCATTCAGTCTGGCTTTGATATGTTTGAATAAAGATAAAACCTCAGTCAACTTCAATGTATGCATGACCAGTTCATTTCTACGTGCATCTAAATACACTTTGTCCAGGGCTACGGTCAAACTTTTCCAAATCGGACATTTTGTACCTATCTCTTGAGACCTAAAGCAGGTACCCGGGTAGGGTAGGGTAATAGTGAGTGGGTGAGTGAGTATGGTTTTACGTCACTTTTAGCAATATTCCAGCAATATCATGGCGGGGGACACCAGATATGGCCTTCACTCATTGTACCTATGTCGGGAATCGAACCCGGTTCTTCGGTGTGATGAGCAAATGCTTTAACCACTAGGCCTCCCAACCGCTCTGGTAGGGTAATAGAGGGGTAGTAACATTGGACTCATCCCAGCCCTACCAGCATATATAACCAACCCTCTTTAATGAAGTACGGGTACAGTTTACTGTGTGGCTGTGTACTCCGTGACTCACCTGCCCCAGGTCAGACAGTAGTGCTGTTTGAAGGCCAGAAACTCGGGCTGTGAGTCCCGCACCTTCCCGTTCTGAAGAGCGAACCTGTGGCTGAGGGCCTTAAAGTCCCCGCTGGCTGGCGTCGTCGGGGGAGGCTGAAACAGACATGGGTGGTGGTGCAGGGTACATCCTAAGTCTGCCTCTCGTTTGATAGTTCGCAACTGACTATACTAATACAAAAATTAAAACAAAATTATTAGTTGCTTGGCAAAACTACAACCCTTAATTGTATCTAGAAATTGGAGCGACTAGGCTATAAAGGCATCTTTACTAGTCAACTATAATTAGCTTAAAAAACTATGTTCTTGATACAAAGAAACAAATCTATTCAGTCAGTCTATTCACATAAGTCTATTACATCATTTTATCTAAAATGAAAAGAATAAAAATAGACTATAAATTAGTTTTACAGAACTAGGAAATTACATCAATCCAATTTACTGTCATGAAGTTTCTTCTCCAACTTTAATGACCAGGCTGCCATTCCAAAAAGCTATCTTGCTGCTAGTTGTGTAACTGTTGTAGCTCAATCTTAAAGCATAAGAGCTATGACAACCTTAACGCTAAGATCGCTGTGTGTAATGGCACCCAGGAAGTTGGTACAACTTACAGAGGTCAATAGAATATAGCCTTGAACATAGACTTAAGAAATAGTATGCAGCACAGAGCAGCGATAAAATGAAGCAGTGAAGACTTGGCAACAGGTGAAAATTTAATAAACTAGATTTTAATTTTTTTTAATTTTTAATTTCTGATGCCAAATAAACCATTCAAAATATGTAGTGAAGCGTTGTAATATTATTGGAAAGTGGATATCTTTTAAATTCATTTATAAGATAAATACTTAACAAAATCTCATTTATAAGCAAAGGCCAAGCTCCGAAAGAACACCAGGTCAAACGAAGGTTCAACTGGAAAGGCGATCAGTGACAATAAGAGAGACAGCTCTTGTCATGTACACAGTTGGCAGATAGTCCGTGAGCGTACAGACACAGGACCATACAAAACGTCTACAGTAGACACAGATAGGTATACAACAGTATCTACAATGCTACACGGAACATGAACAGGAGAAATACCCAACATGCATGCATTACCACTATGACTAGGGGCCACTAGGAGAACATATGGAACAACTAAGCTCTAAGGCTAATCCCATGCATAATGTTCTGTACAGTGAGGCTACAGTTAGAAAGAAATGTAGAATCCAGAACTACCCTTTTTCAGTATTTGGGAAATTAACCCTGAAAGTAATGTGGTCCTTGTTATAAAACTGATGTTAAAAAACTAAAAAGATTAGAGGGGCAATAGATTCAAATACTACAGCAGCAACTTCAAGGATCCTGGGGCCCCCCTTTAATTTTGAACATTGCTTTTGATCTTAATTATAACCCAACCCAAATTCCTAGAAGCTCAGGCATGTGCTGACAAGACTTTTATGTCAGATAAGTATTGCTCTAGTTTACATTTATGACATCAAGGTCCTAAAAATATATATGTTGGCATGCCACTTAAGTGTGTGAGAGTTATCCCCCCTTGTTATTTACCTATCCTAAAGAGTCACAGGTTTTCGTAGAAGTCAGCGTTAGAAATTGGCACTTACCTTTACCTTTACCTTTTTTTAGGATACCTTTACCATTTAGTCCTTACCAAATTGCCCAATGGTAAAGGTATCCTAAGGACTAGTAGAAATTGGCCAATTTTAAGGGTTTTGCTGTATGTTATCATTATGAGGACTAGTGGACAAAAACTGTTAGTTTCTACCCCTGGAAGTTTAGTTCTTCTAGTTTAGAGTGACACCATGTTGTAATGAAGTGATAGGGTAGACTAAGGAAGCCCCTCCCCCCATGGCAGACAGTGGCTACAGTGTTGTGCATGCAGTGGCAGACAGCACAGACAGTCAGAGTCAGGTGACAACTTGTGTTTACCAATGGTGGAAGCTGAAATGTGTATAGGCATCACAACATTTAGTCATCTAACGTCTGAGTCCTTATTCACTAGAGTGCCCACTTTGATACCTATGAATTTCAAACAGTTGTAAATTTAATTCCAAGGAGAGTATCTGCAAAATCTGAACTACATTGGATACATCATGAATTTTGGAGATAGTAAACATATTTTGAGCTTTTTAAACAATGTATATAAATTAAATAAAAGAATTTTTAAATTAAAACAAGTGTGTTTTCTGAGTTCTGTTTGTTACATGTCTGTGCATACCTCCAATCTGTAGGCTGTATTCCACATTCAGTTCAATATTAATGTACGATTTTAACAGAATGTAACAGGTACCTTTGTACTTTAACAGATTTCAATAAAAAAAAAATTGAAAAAAAAAAAAAATTAATACAAATGTACAATTAATTTGACAAGTGTCGGACGTAACAATGTCTGTCCTCGATGGGTGGTGAACAAAAACATCATTTTGTAACGAATTGTGAAACCACAGAAAGTTACTTCGGAAGCAGAATGAAAGTTGGTGATCAATGTATGTTAAACCTAAACATGAAATCAAAACAGGTTTGCAACCACAGAAAATAAATGCAAATCATAAACGTCTATAGAAAACTCTGTCCCACTGTTACGGGCGAATTGTTGATCATAATTTAACTTTTCTGATCGCTACACGTCATCTGGTTTATATTCCGTCATCGGATTTGCCAAGTTCCGGTTGGTTTCCACATGATACGAATTACATGATTGCCGAAATTTGGTCAGCAGCAGAGATGGCGCCAAAGAAGAAGGATGCTTCCACGTCTGTCTCGGTAAGTGTAAATGTTACAGGCGACCCAATGTTACGGGCGAACATTGAATTAGTCGATTTATATACGATAGTTCAAGTTTTCACCAGTTCGGCCACAAGTACTTTAGAAAAGTAATTCAAACACACAATTAAACACGACTACTAGAGTTTGCTTCGCACTATGAATAAGAACAAGCTTTGCGCAAAGCCTCGCATAGAAAAAGTTGGACAGACTTACTTCGTTCGGGCATAACATTGAGACAGACATTTTATTGTCGGTCGTAACAAGTGGACATATTATCTGACGGTCGGACAAACTGGTAGACAGACGACTTCGGTCGGGCAAAATAGTATATATTTTTATGGACCTACCTGTAATATCATTCATTTATTTAATCTATCACATTTGACAATGTCGGAAATACGTATTCCTTTTCAATTTATCATTTTACATCGATAAATTAAAAAAGTATTCACTATTTTCCGTGATGTTATTGAAAATAAAATTATCGCACAACGGGTCCACATCGAACATGTCAAAGAGCAAAATATAGACGTTTTAAACAAATCTTTAAATATATTATACAAAGTAATAAATAAAATCAACAAAAATATATATAAAAGTAATCAAACTTACATAGATGGGTTATTATTTCCATATGTTCGTGTATCGCGTGTAATGCAAGTCAAATGACATCTCGGCTTTCATCGCCTTGAATTCTCGGCTCGGACACAATGTTTAATGCCATAATATATGCATGAAAAATCTTTGTCACAGCTCATAACCTAGCACGATGCATTCACGAAGTTCCGTATTTTTAATATATATCATGATTTCCTGCTTAAAACGTTCAGAATAATACGATTTAACGAAAATCTTTCGTCAACTTCTGAAAATTACCAAACACGAACTTGTTATCACAGCTGTAATTTGATTGGCTGCCTTAGGTCACGTGCTCTAATTTGGCTAATCGCGAACCTTGTAGCAGATTTCGGCAAGAAAGCCTCATAAGAAACCAATTTTATTCCAATGACATCGATTGTTATAACTACGGAACAAAAACCAGACCATGTTACGAGCGTGTAGATGGAGGAATAAGCTTTCCAGCGATGTGTCATATGCCATTCTTCAACGAACGTGTTATTCATACGAAGTCTCGAAAACGGGGGTATTTCTTCATGTTACTGAGCGGACAGCCGCTGTTATCGGGAAATGGGTGATGACAGAAACTATTTATAATTCTTTTTAAAATGATTTTCCAATTACGTAAACAATGAAAATAAAACAGAAATGGGTAAGTGGATTTTATGAAATCTTATATTTGCCGAAAATCGTCAAGTTTTCGCTTCCTTGGTCCTTAATCTGGATGTTAACTACGTGTTAGCTTACATTTTATTTATTTACAACAAACTTATGCATTATTTTAAATAATGTGAAAAACATAACTTTCATATTTATAAAATATAGGATTATAGGATCAGACCTTTCAATTGATGTATAACATGTAGCAGCAAATATATTTTACAAGCAGATATCTTCTTTGATGAATGTTGGCTTCATCTATCACACAAGAGTCTCTGGGAACTTGTGAGTGAGTGAGTGAGTTGGGTTTAACGCCGCTTTTAACAGTATTCCAGTTATATCGTGTCCCAGCAGTAAACACTTCTGGTTGACTGGTGTTGAAAGAGTTAATTGACTCATTTATATCTTGGAGCTACTTTAATCTTCCATGGGGCTATGTAAAACATGTTAAACATTTACATACAAGGGTTAAAACAATAAATGACATGAAAAAATGTGAACATGAATTTAGGTTAGGATGGATGACTTTTTGTAAATTAAAACCTGAGAACTGTACTGTTTCAAAGAAAATTATACCTCCATATAAAAATTTCTCATTCAAAACTATATTATAGTTTTTTTAATTTGAATGCTGACATTTTTCAAAGTAGGGCCGAACAAAATTAGTTGTGCGTTTCCTAGATTAGGATTTTAAGTGTGTAGGTCTACATCAAGCTTTATAAAAGTTAGTTTAAATTAAAAAAATAATGATAAAAAAATTCCCTATTCCTTAATCCTGGGAACATTTCATAAAAAATCAAAATATCTCCCCCCTCCCCTTTTCAGTTTTTTTAGCTTGGCGTAACAGAATATAAGTGTTGTCCTAGTTTGTTTATGAATAAAATATAGATCTATATGTTTATTGACAGTGCATTTTGCTTTATTGTAAATTAATGAATGTACTTATTGGTCTCATTAGAATGGTGAGAGGTGTAGGCGATGGGAGGCAGCTGAAAAAAGGTGACCAAGACTACATCGAACAGGAACGAAAGCGAAAAGCTGATTATAGGGGTCGGATGAATCCTGAACAAGTTGACAGGTAACAAACTTCAGAATTAACTTTGTGTTTTCCAATATAAAAACAAGATGGAGTTACTCCAAGTCAACAAGGGAAATATATATAGTCCGATATGTAGTAGATTAATAGATGGGTCCATTTCTCTGTTTATCAGTATGATCACATTGGACTCAACAATATACTTTTGGTTTTTAACAAAATGGAAACTCACATCCTTCAAAGGGAAGTAATTATACACAATATCATTACAAAATCTCATTTATGCTTAATAAATTAATCTTAAAAATAAAATACCACCTGGATATTAAACAAAACTTCAAATTTATATTTACTATATGGATGTGCTTCACTTTGGTAAAAGCATGGTAAATTACAATTATTACTTGTCTTGATACTTCCTAGATCACAATTAAATTCAGTTATACAGTCTATATTTTGCTTATAAGAACCACTGTGGCAAAGTGGTTAAGTCTAGAACTCAAAATCCACAGGAAATTTGGGTCTGGGTTCAAATGAAAAGTTGGCCGAGTTTGTGGCAGCCCCATCTAAAATTAACCTGGTTGTTCATGGGGCAATATTTACATTTTCAGTCTTCTGTCTTCAGTCTGCTTTCGTGAATCCTTCAATAAAATTAAACTGTGCAGCTTGCTTATGAAATCATGTTGAAGTGGCAAATACATATTATATATTATAATTTTGATTTCAACAGGTGGATGATTGGCCATGGGTGACTTTTTTCACTAAAGTGAAACAAAGATGGCTGGCAAAGGACATCCACCACACTGTCATGTTCGAAGACGTCAGAATAGCAATTGATTGGACATTATTTGAGGTAGGACATTTAATAGAACTTTATCTAACTCAAAATATTGCATCATATTTCTGACTGTTGTACTGAAAGAATTCAAGTTTTTGGTCATGAATATAATGTTGTTTAAAGGGACAGTCCCCGAAAACACTGTTTTTATGGTTAGATATGTTAGCATGTGCTGTGCATTGGAGCTGTACAACAATTTCAACAATAATCTTCATCTGCACATAGATAATAACAAAATAGCAAATTAGATTCACTATGAATGGACCGATTTTCACCAAACTTTACCATGTGTTGCACAAGTGTATCTTGCAAAAGTGAAGTGTAGCATACTAAAGTAGGTCACCTTACCTATATATTATTGACTTATTATCTTTCGATGAGGGACTATGAATTGCCTTGCCTTGTATGTTAATGTTCTTCAATTTTTAACATTTTATTGGTGATGCAATTATATATATCTTGTTGATACAGGAGATGACTAACGCCCTGTCCACCTTTAGAATGGACTACGAGATCAAGAACCAAGAGGACACCAATAACCAGTTTCTGAATAAACATAAAAAGGAGTATGGCAAAACTGATATTGGTCATTGAGATAAACAATATTCAAGATACAGGATAGCTAATGTTTAATTGCACAGTGGAAGACTTTCAAAGTTAAATTAAATTAAATTAATTTTTCTAAAATGATTTTTCATGTGGATACAAAATAGCAGCAATTGTACAGCTTTGCCTAGGAATAATTTATTGTGTCGCAGTTTTTTCCTGATTAAGTCTTGCGATAATACTTTGAATTCATCAACAATTTGAAGTGGTTTGTAAAATATTCAGTACAATGAATAATTGTCAAACAGTTACTGAATATATAAATTATAAAGGGTTATTCCTAAATGAATGTTTGAGAGGGCTGGGATGTACATTTAAAAATATTTAATGAGTGGTGGGGATATCAAGATTCCACAATCTGTTATTTTTAATATACAACTTGCATACAGCATTATAGTTTTAAAATTTGATGGGCGTGTGGGGTCCCTGAGTCTTAGAAAATATCTTCCTGCCCTGCCCACATTAATTTCTGGAAAACCCCAAACCACATTCCAGGCTGTTGGGAATCTTGTCTACCGATAAACAATTGTACTTGGAATGAAATTATGTATTAATACAGTAATGGAATGTGTTATCACTATATATTACAACTTCATTACAATGTAATTACCCTGGTGTGTTAATTAGTAACTTAATGTCAAAATAATATCTAGAAACAAAAGAATTTTCTTCTAGAACATATTTCGGGCATACCATGAGGCACAAGCATTTTTTTTTACAAAGTAGACACATTTATAGTTGGTTGTAAAGAAGACATAATTGCATGATACTTCATGAATTTTTATGCTAAATTAGATATTATTGATATGCATATGATTTAATTCAGAAATAATGAACAGCTGTTATTTTCCGGCGATGGGACAGCCTTATTGGGTTGTTTATATTGAAAAATATTCCATGGTTATAGACCAGTTAGAAATTATTTTGAGATACATCGTCATCACCATTGTAGAATTTGTGACTTGTCACACAGTATGATTTGGAATATGAAATAAAAGTGGTTTGCAGACTGTATTTTATCCTGTTTTGCTTTGTATGTCCTTTGTTCGTCCTGACATCACAAATGTCTGTCCTTTGTTCGTCCCGACATCACAAATGTCTGTCCTTTGTTCGTCCCGACACAAAACCCTGATTTTTATTTGTCTTGTGCTGCTTAAATAGTTGTAATTAACCTTTAATTGTTTGATTATATCTTAATGTACTTGTAATGTTTCATTCCATACTTCAGGGAACATTTAATTTTTCTTGTAAATTGCTATTTTAAAGCATCATGTCTGTCTCCGTTTGTCCCAACACTTTTTGATTTTTTTTTAACCTTGAAAGAGTTTCAAGACATTGATATATTCACATGTATTAATCCCATTTTGGGTGGCAAGTTGTACCCACTACCCGAAATGCAAATGAATTAAAACAGATTTATATGAAAAAAACTTAGGTTTTGTCTGTCCTCGTTCGTCCCAACATGTCTGCGTACCATCAGTGTTTTCATGCCAAAATTAAACAAACTGAGCCAGATATTATCTTCCCATGTCCAAAGATGAAAAAAAGAATGTTTAAACTTGTCAAAAATGCCGCCACCTTGTCTTTTCATAAATATCTAAATACTGACTCCAATGTAACACTTCAATGGGCATAAAAGTGAATAAGGACTCGTCTACATGTCTCCAATATCTAGAACATCTTACACAGTAAATCAACCTTTACTTACCTTTCAACATATATACATATTCATATGGAACCATCTTATCAAAACTGATCATATGGTAGAGCTTTACAAAAATATTTATCATTTAGGTCACAACAAATTGAAAACTTGTTCATAACAGTCCACCAGTAGTTATTACTCAAAACAAAGGCCATAGGGGCGGTAGGGTAGCCCAGAGGCTAAAGCATTTACTCATCAAGCTGAAGACCCGGGTTCGATTCCCCTCACGGCTACAATGCGTAAAGCCTATTTCTGGTGTCCCCTGCCGTGATATTGCTAGAATATTGCTAAATGTGGCGTAAAACAATATTCACTCACTGACTTACTAATAAGGCCATAAAAATAATTATTACGTTATTATCTCCAGCCTGCTTCACTATTTTATTGTCTCCTTGTATCTACAGATGAAGAACATCAATGAGTGTAGCAACGTTTCGATGTAGATCTTACACCGTTATTAAGCTGGATAATGGCGTAAGAATCTACATCGAAACGTCGCTATATACAATAAACCAGAAGTTGTTATCCATAAAGTTGTATCTCTTCTTATTTGAGAAAGATGTTCATAAAAACTAAAATGCCTCCACAATTCATTTTCCTAAAATTTGCAAGGAAATCTAATAATTAATTTATTGTGGCCAATGAGATAATATTCAGCTACAGTCTGCAACTTATGACTCTTGTCCAAACCCGTAAAATTCTGTTCGGTCTCGTGAGCTCAGCAAATAATAGTCCACATAATAACACTAAAAGCTCCTGAAAATGATGATGCTAAGAGCCTTGGTCATGCTAGTAGACTCAGAAGTGTCGGGCACAGATTGCAGCTACAGAATCAAGTCCCTGATTGGAAGTACTAACTAGTTCACAGAATAATAGCTCGACTAAGAAGTATAAATGTTGATTCTTAAATCTTGATGTAGATCTATTCTGCACAAGTACATACAACATACTAAAAAGGTATGCGATGAGGAAGAAATCTGAATAACAAATAATCAGTTTGTTGTGACCAAAAACAACACTGGTAAATATTCCTCCAATGCATTTTCTAATGAGAGAGTGAGTTGAAATAACATGTTGCATCCGCAATATCTGAGCCACATAGCGAGGGGTATTTCATCTTGAGTATCAACTTCTATATAAAGTTCAATTAAAAATGATAAAATCAGAACAAAAAATTTGTTTTGAGACAGCAAGAAAATAAAAAGAATATCAAGCTGTGCCAAACTGTGAATACTTGTTAAAAGTGTTTACACCAGAACCAGTGTGTGTTGATATTTACGTGAATCAAATTCACACAAAAACACAATCAAGTGTAGTTATTCCTTACCAAGCACCTACATGTCAATGAGCATTAACATAAAAGTGTAACCTATGAAAGTTTTCCTTTGGGACCATATATGCCTTAAACTATGATAAACAAAGTTCTAACAAGTACATGACATGAGAACATACAAGGCTAAATCATACACATCCGCTACAAACTACAATACAATAACAACATACCACTGCCTAACTATACTACTAGTACTATACTCATTCTGTGGATTGTAAATATATAAACTATCTAAGACACAAAAGCCATGGCAGATCACTGTCACAACTAAGAACTATTTCTATAACTAGAGCAAAAGGAAAATAACTATGAAACTATGCACTGGTACATAAATAATATATGATCTCAATATAATTGATGGTCAAATATAATGAAAAATAAGAAATAACTGAGAATAAGTCTGTTTTCATATATAATCTTTGAAAATAATCTTTTATATTCTGATAAAAATTTTTTTTTTTACACACACTCAAATGTTGTTTAAATTTGAAACAACTGCAAATAATACCGTAAATAGTCCACCCGTCATGCTAATACCAATCGTTTAACAATGTGGATGCTGAATTTGAATGTTGTAAAATATTACATCAGTTTTGCGTTGTAAACGCTCCATTAAAAATAACAAATTAGCTGGCTACTCACCAGGGGCTGAAGGGGCATTTCATATGTCCTGATGGTGGCTGGGGTTTTGGAAAAGCCGGTAGCAGACGACATTCTGGTGCGAGCAGACGTGGAACGGGTTTCAGGCGAGGGGCACACTTTAGATGGCATCGATGGCATCTTGTTAGAAGAAATGTAGGACTCAGACACCCTGTCATACTGGTTGTCAAGGTGGAGCCCTGCATACTGTTTGCCCGAATCTGTAAATACAAGGTGATGGTAGATTGTATTCAAAAAGGTTGAAACGATACAGCAAGGTCACGATACGCAACACAATACATATCACAATGCAAAGGTCACGATATGATACGTATCGCGATATACATATTTAGGTCAAATCGGGTGGAAACTTCTTGACTATTAATATTTCAGAGCTATTTCAAAAGGAAAAAGCCATTACTGTTTAAAGGGGTGAAGGAAGGGTTGGGGAGGCACATGCTCTCCTAGTAGGGCTGGGACGGGTCCAAATTTACTACCTGGGTACCCACCACCCTATTACCCGACCCTACCCGGGTACCCGCTGTAGATATTTAGAGATAGGTACAAACTGTCCGATTTGGAAAGGTTTGAAAATGTTTTCAGATACATGTGTAAGACGATCCGCTCATGCATACACTGAAGTTTAATGTATGAAGTTTTATCTTTATTCAAACATATAAAAGTCAGAAGGAATGGGTGCATTGTCATGTATTTATTATTAGTGACTTATAGTGTAACCATAGAGTTTTAGATATTTTTTGTCATCAAACAATATATATCACTTGACAAACCACGGGTCCGAGTAGTCCTGTGGGTACCCGGGTCCTACTCAGGACCCACCAAATCCGGGTACCCGGGTTACCCGTCCCAGGCCTACCTCCCAGGTTACCTGATATAGCTGGTGGTTTGTTCCGGTCTTGAGGGTCGTGTAAAGGTGCCACCATTTGTTTGACTGGGGAGGGGTCAAGGGTCAGCTGGGCAGCTGGTGGTATCAGACCTCTCTCCAACAGACTCAGGATTCCCATCTGAGCATCATCCTCATTGATCGGGGGAGGAGCAAGCTGCTCACACAAACATTGGGTCACTTAACCATGTCCATTAACATAATTTATGCTTTTCAGAGTTTCTATCACAATATTGGCTCCAATCATTATTATTCACTGGTACAAAATGACAACTTTTTTTTTTTTTTAACAGGATGAAACATGAAATGAAATTGATAATCTTAATCAGCGATATTGTTATTAATTACCCAGGTTGGCATACACGTATTATGCCAGCTGGGGAATCAGAATGTGATATTATTATTTGTTTGTTTAGCATCGCACTCAGCAATATTCCAGCTACATGACAGGGATCTGCAAATAATCAAGTTTGAACCATACATTCCAGTGATTGACATCATGAGCATCTATCTACACAGAGAGCCAGATAAACCGATCTTGTTAGTCACCTCTTACAACAAGCAACGGTTGGTTAAAGACCAAATCTAACCCGGATCTTCATTGTGAGAATGCAATAACAATGAACATTTGCAATGCGCCATATCCACACACCTACGCATGCTCATCGTGCTACATAAGAATAGTAAAAGAAGCACATACAGTAATAAGTAGTGATAGTAAAGTGTGAAAAGATGGATCTCATCTCATTTTGCTCTGATTACATGTTTCCTTGATGAAATGGGGCGGTCGGGTAGCCTAGTGGTTAAAGCGTTCGCTTGTCACGCCGAAGACCCGGGTTCGATTCCCGACATGGGTACAATGTGTGAAGCCCATTTCTGGTGTCCCCCGCCGTGATATTGCTGGAATATTGCTAAAAGCAGCGTTTAACCATACTCACTCACTCACTCACTCCTTGATGAAATACCTGTAATCTGACAGTTATCTATTGTTACACTTGTGTAGAATGTCTCACCTGAGCATCAACCCTGTTGGCTTTGGGCAACACACTCAAGTGTTCTATAGTTGAGCCCATTACTGGCTTTGGTGGGGGCTGAAATTGAAAGCAAGGAATATGAGCAAGACTTCACTTAGGTGCTTAAAGGGGCATCTGCGGTAGGAACTACCGCACTCTAGTGGGCGGAGCTCATTCGAGGGATCTGACAGGTCAATATGACGTCATGATAACACACACATTTCATTGTTTAATGCGTAACGGGTGAGGTCATGTTAACACATTTGACAACAAGGACGTAAGTTTTAATGGTAATAAATATCTATCAAACGATTCCAAGACTTTTCAACAAACACGTAGGTCTTTGGTTTCAAAACCTACCTGCCATGTCGCCAAACACGATCGATTCGATTTTTTATGATAAAACTACAGAAAATTTATTGACTTATATCTAGATATGGAGCCATTTGTTGTATCAATGGTTTGTCATTCAAGTTGATACGAAGTTTGACGGTCAATGGTGATCTTATTTCCGTATGGTTTTCCAAAAGCTTCTCCCGACACTCGGTTGTGTTTACATTGGCAGTCATTGTTCGAAACTGAAACACCGCCACCTTGCGGGCTATTTATAGTCAGGGTGGGGCTTTAAGTGCTTCACAAATATCACACCCATCTGTTGATCCCCAAAACCATGGAGCATCAGGAGGAGATAATTCTGCTGAAAGTCAGTTGAAAGTCTGGGTTGCTTATATTTAGAATGGAAAGTAAAAATAACAAAAACAATTGTGACATTTGATTCAATAATGAAATATGAGCCTACGCTTACCCTTGCCTCTCTCTTGTCTGCAATGAGAGGTAGTTGGATGCCATAATTCTCCTGAAGGACGCTCCGACTCTGTGAGTTGTACGGGTTGTAGACTGCTCGTAGACCCCACTGCTGCTTGTGCTGACAATACAGTCAAACATTCAAACATTCAAACATGCTGTGACAAGAACTACCGGTATACTGCTTTTGCATTTATATGTTTCTGTTAGAGTCTATTTGTTTGTTTGTCTGTTTGTTTTTTGTTAAATGCCGCTCTCAGCAATATTCCATCTATATATAATTTATTGAGTCTGGATCCAGTGATTGACATCATGGGCATCGATCTTCGCAATTGGGATACAATGACATCCATCAATCACGTCAGCGAGCAAGACCACCGGATCAAGTGAGATGCTTCTTACAAGAAGCATGGGCTCCCAAAAACCAATTCCAGATCTTCAAGGGGTGCTTCTGTTAGAACCAGGAAGGGTTTATCAAACAGTTCCACATTTACAATTCCACCGAGCATCTCATCAGACAATTTAACCAGCTATGGCATGAAGAAAGAGACTGGTCCGTCAACTGTTACCTGTTGTCCAGGTGTAAGACCCTGGCTCTGCACCGGTTGTCTGAGGGGTAGTTTTGCCCCAGGGGGTAGTGGCTGGAAGGACGGCCTGCCCCCCAACACTGGATGTGGCTGTTGACTGCAATAACAAAGAACATTTACACATAAAACATAAAGTGAGACAATTCAGCAAAAACTCAACATTCACTGCTGCAGTTTAATATAGGGGACACATATTGTCCAACTGTCACACGTGGTCTAATCAGGTATTTACTGGGTGTATCTAATTGTGAGTCTTTGGGTCCCAGACATAACCCCTTGTACAATCGTGAGATAATTGGATCTACTTCAGAAACTGTCTTGATTAAGGTCAAGGTCGGGATGTGATGTGTCTGGACTGGAAGTTCACGGCCTGTTAAATTTGTGGAGCTTTGAGGAAATGGCTTCTGCTTCTGAGAGTGGCATTATAATTGTTACCCTGGACACAGAACATAATATTAGCTGCATTTTACCAGCAAAATATTGCGTCACACATGGATACAAATAAAAAATGGATGTGAACAATGTGCACTAAGTCTCATTGGACACAACAGTATGGTCGTTTGTGTCATTAAAACTAACTCAACCAAACTTGCACGTAGAAAATATCTGACAATTTGAACATGCGTTATGTAACGACTTAACATATATTATTAGAGTCAACTGTGCCACATTTGGCCAGATTGTAGACATCAAGTGCATCACATTGGTCACTACTGAGATCTCCCCAAATTTAACATGCCATGAACCATTCATCATCACTCGCCCCTTTCTGTAACCTGCAAGAAGACTTGTCCCCACGTGGAAGAACGTTATGTGCGAAAACACGACAAACCAATCAGACTGTGCATATGACTTTAAGTACTTCAGTATTCTGGAATATATATATAAGGGGAAATATACGTGACTCCTAACGTCAATTATTACAAGTGGACAATTCTTTTAGCCGTGCCCGTTTGCGCTTAGAAGTAACCCAGTCGCAATAAAATGGCCATGAGAGGGACACAAGTCGCTATTCAGCTTGTCCCGTAGTAACACAAATTGGTCAGGAATGGCCATGAACTTCCAGTCCAAACACATCACTTTCAGACCTTGACCTTAATCAAGACAATTTCTAAAGCGGATCCAAATATTATCCATGTCTCAAGATTGTACAAGTAAAAGTTCAAAAGTAATTGGCAATGAATGATGTAACAATGTTTTACAATAACTCAAAGATGACCTCGACAGTCGATGGACATACAACCAACATTTCATGTGGAACGATTTGTAATTATACATACATATATAAGGTGAGGTGAAATGGGGTTTAACGTTGCGTCCAAGATTATTGCACTCATATAGCGATGTGTGTGTGTGTGTGTGTGTGTGTGTGTGTGCTTGTAATAGTCCGGACTGATGCCGATTTATAGTGCTAGCTCACTGAGATACCATGCCACAGTTTAACATGAATACAACACTCAGACACAGTATACTGACTCCGAGCAGACCAGTCCTTGTTTTAGCCCCTTAATGCCAAGCGCCAGACAGGGTAACAACAAGTACCATCTTTTAACGTCTTTTGGTATTGCGCGGCCTGGGATCGAACCCCGGGCCTTCCACTCTCCGGGCGGACGCTGTACCACTAGACCACGGAGGCGGTCAATATATATATAAAGTTTCATGCCAGTTAACTGTACTGTTACATCATAACAATCTTAAATGTTGTTTGGAGCTGTCTAGTCTCTTCGGGGAGTTATCTAACCGGAAGTAGAAAGATGTATATGGTTTCAAAACGGCAAATCTGCGGCTAACCACTGTGTGAGTTACCACGAATATATTAGATCATGGGGGAGGTAATTTGAACAGCATCATGTCAGCTCATTATGACGTAACAAAAACATGCAATTTATCGAAGGATAAAGTACTGTCGGTGTCTTTGATCTTTTAGCGAGGCATCTTAGAAAAAGAAATCCAAATAGGGTAACTCACATAGTGACATTTTACCTATAATAACTAGCTTGTTTAGCTGCACCCAACCTTCCATGATGGCGCAAGTCCCACGTTGTGTCCAGCGTAGTGAAGTGGTCATCGTGGGTCCTCGAGTCCGACAATGGCAAAGTTGTTACAGAGTTATTGATTTGGTGGACGACTTCTTCGGTACGACGCTGCACACAACAGAAACATATGGTTGTGTCATCAGATGAAACAGCAAGACATGAGAAAGATGTAATTTATTATTATACAGAATTGTCACTGTAAGACTGGGTAAACATGGTATTTTTAAAAGTCCTGTAGGTAGATATCCGGATGATGAATATTAGCAGGAACTCTCATTTCCTGTACAGTACCCAAATAGTGAAATGTAGAAAGATAATGGTGAAATGTACCCAGAAAATAGTGAAATGTACCCAGATAACAGTGAAATGTAGAAAGATAATAGTGAAATGTACCCAGATAACAGTGAAATGTAGAAAGATAATAGTGAAATGTACCCAGATAACAGTGAAATGTACCCAGATAACAGTGAAATGTACCCAGATAACAGTAAAATGTACCCAGATAATAGTGAAATGTACCCAGATAATAGTGAAATGTACCCAGATAAAAGTAAAATGTACCCAGATAATAGTGAAATGTACCCAGACAATAGTGAAATGTACTCAGATAATGTATATTTCAACTAGATGACAGCGCTCTGTGAATAATTGGGTCTGGGCAAGGCAAACCAGTGGTTGATGGCATGAACAAACAATTTATTTGCACTTATGTATGTATAAGCATCCAATCCTAATTTAAGTTGCCAAGTAGATTTAACATGGGGAACTGGGGACCTACGGAGAGAGATGTCATGTTTGATGAAGAAACAGATCTATGTGATACCTGCAGCCCCTTTTCTGTCTTGGCAAGGGCCGTCTCCAAGTCAGCTACGTTGATGGTGCGTCCATCCCCCTGAGCCAACAATTGTTCTTTCAGCTGTCGTAGGTCATCTTGAACCTAAAAACAAATATAAATACAGTGTATTACTGCCTTGGAACAGCTTGCCCTACCTTATTCATAAAGAGAAAATATTAACTAATCCATTTATCCATGGGTATTTATCATGGAATAATCCAACTGTAAGTAAAGGGATAACTAAATATGGGACCTAGAACTTGGCAATGATAAAGACTGCCCCATGCATAATATATACAATGCAAGATAAAGACCTGTGCAAGTCAGGGAGGCTGTGAAATTGAAATTGGTAAAAAGGGGGGATAAATAAATTGCAAGTGGTTCCATGGTATTTGATTGCCTAACCAAGCACTAGGGCTGCAACGAATACACTGCAACGAATATCACGAATATAGGGTAACAAATACGAATATTTATTCATGAATACAATAACAACCTATCAGTTGATATATTATTTATTTTGTTCAATACTTGTAGAACTGTACAAGGTACAAAAAACATAACAAACATGGGTTTTTTGTTTGGAGTTTGTCCTTAAAAGACAACATTCTTTTTCAGAAAAATCAGCTTGTCCACATTCTCTTGGGCCAATGTTGCCCTCTGGGCTGTCACAATGTCCCCAGCAGTACTGAATACCCTTTCGCTTGGTACAGATGTTGATTATATTGCCAACAAAAACTTTGCTACCTTGCAAAGTAATGGATATTTGTAGGCATGCTCATGCCACCACTTGAGTGGATTGGAATTGATATCAACTGAATCCTCTCCAATGTAGGTTTTAATCTCTCTGGTGACCTGCTCTTTCTTGGTCAGTGTAGCAGGTACATCACCAACCACAAAAACGTCTCCAAATAATGAAGACAATGCTGTCTTCTTGGGTGGGTTGATAATTCCATCCTCCTGCACCACAGCTGTGGGCACCTGTACTGGCAGATCAGGTAGCGGTGGATCACTCTGCGTGTCCTCTTGGCCTGCACCATTTTTTTCCCCATTTATGTTTCATTGTACCATAATATACTAGGCCACGCCCACAAATGGACAGCTGTTTCCTCTTGGCTGACAATAGAATGGATGGGGCTTGTTTTGCAGTATTGCACAGAAAAATGTCCCTGTTTCGTATTGTTGTTTTGTGTTGTTGTTTACAGGTTTTGTGTTGATGATTAAATAGGCATCCTGTGGAGTTATTGTTGTTGGCATATTTATTTATAAAAACTGACTTCAATATGTTTTGTGTGTTTAATATAGAGTCATAAATGTGAAAACTGGTGTGCACACTTTGAGTAAATCCATTGCATGCCACCTTTTACGTTCATATCAGCATAAACGCAGAAAATATTGAAGTCAATTATTCAAATATTTCAATTATTATTTATTTAAATAAACATGCCCATGATATTTTGTAACTGCATTCTGATGGAGCATGTGGACACCGGTGCAAAACCAGCATCAGACTTCAGAAGAACATTATGAGTGAGTGAGTATGGTTTTACGCTGCTTTTAGCAATATTCCAGCAATATCATGGCGGGGGACACCAGAAAATTGGCTTCACACATTGTACCCATGTGGGGAATTGAACCCTGGTCTTCGGCGTGACGAGCATACGCTTTAACCACTAGGCTACCCGACAGCCCAGAAGAATGTTATGAAGGCGTGAATCATAGCTATGTTTTAGCCACCAGTTGATTCAGATAGTAAGAACAGAGGTGTACAATTTCACAGCTACATGCCTGGGTCGTAGGAACAGCTAATTATGTCGTCCAGGATATATAAAGAAATCAATACTATTGACTAAATAGTTGAAGGCGTTTGTACCAGTAGGCATAGCCATGTTGTATAGCCATGATAGCCCTACTGTCTCAACTTTGTCTTAAATAAGAGGTGCAGAAATCTCACGTGTACTTTGGCAAGTCAAAATGTATTTGTCAATAGTTAAGACTTCTTGTCTAGGTTTATAAAGACCTTATCTTTTTCCACGTATGTTATCTGTCATTTGTCATATCTGGGATTCTGGTTGAGGGAGATTAACAAGTGACTGACGAAATACATTAGGTAATAAGCTTGATATGTCATAAGGAAATGTAATTAGTAGAGACTAGGGCTGGGACGGGTAGCTAGGGGTACTCGGGTCGGGTATGACTTCATATGTTTGAATAAAGATAAATCTTTGTCAGCTTCAGTGTATGCATGACCATATCGTTTTATACGGCAGCGTTAGAAACTGGCACCAGTCCTATAGTCCTTGCCAAACTGCCCAATGGTAAAGGTATCATAAGGGCTAGTAGAAATTTGCCATTTTTGAGGGTTTTGCAATATGTTATCATTATCAGGACTAGTGGACAGAAACTGTTAGTTTCTAACCTTGATACAGGTATCTAAATACATTTTTCCAGGGCTATGGTCAAACTATTCCCAATCTGACATTTGGACCCATTTCTTGAGACCTAAAGCGGGTTCCCGGGTAGGGTCGTGTAGTAAATTTGGACTCATCCCAGCCCTAATCTCTTGAGACCTACAGCGGGTCGGGTAGTAAATTTGGACTCATCCCTGCCCTAGTAGGGACTATTTTACTTACCCCAGCCCAATTATTGTTTCATGGCCCTACCCATATAGTAATTTTGGCACACACTCCTCTTTTTTACAATAATATGTTGGATATCAGTGTTTTGCTGGATGTAAAATTTGGTGTACTACAAGCATACAAATTGGGAATGAATGCAAATAATTTAATTGTGAGTCATGTGTAGTGTGTATGGCTGTTTGAATCAGTAAATGTATCAAATTGTATCGATTGAATGTTACATATAAACTGACATTTATATTCTGGTACAGTAAACATTCAGTATGTCGGTGGTTGATTGTCTTCAATCTGACATTGAAACCCTCATCTGTATTTGGCTTAATGCTTCTGAGCATGTGCAAAGATCTATTTTTTAAAAAATATGCAATGCACATATCTACAGCCTGGCCAAACCCAGGTTCATGCCTTGGACCCGTCATATGTACTTATTGGGCTCGAAAATTGATAAGCCCAGGTAAATCCCTGGATGCCAAGAGGGATCTTGTTATCAAGAGGAATTAAGGACCTATACGGTCTGTCATACAGACCCTGAAACATATACATCCAATACAGCCCATGCAAGCAGAGCTCCAGATAAGCTTTTGGTGTTGTGGGTATTTTACCCATGCATTTTAAAATCATTGGGTATCAGTAATTCTATCTGCGTATTCAAATTTCTGTTACCCACTAGTTTTTACACATGTGGGTATTTAAGTTAAATATTTAAAAACACTATTCATCTAGTCCCTGCAAACTGGTGTCGTGTGGGTTTGAGAGCTTTATAGGACTCAAAAATACCACGATACTTCCACACGAAAGTGTGATGGCAAATGATCATGATGTGACTGTCATCGTGGAGTTTGGCAAGGTTGACGGAATGCCCGTTTATAATTTAAAAATAAGTTGCTGATTTGCCAATCGAATACGCAGGGTTACTTCACAATATTTTGATGATACGCACAAATTTTATTTTTGTAGCGTATCTGTAATGTTCGTTGCGTATTTGATACGCTTGGATTATATTTTACTGCGTATTTCTGCATTTCTGACGCGTATTTCACGCAGATACGCAGCTTATCTAGAGCTCTGTGCAAGTCTATAATATTTGGCAAGTCTAGATTACTGCAGTATGAAAATGAAGTGTCTCAGGGCTCCTTTTCATTATATTTCAAAACCAAAAATTTAACAACTGTTTTTATCTGTGAAATATGTTCATTGCAGAGGCTAGATGTAAGCCTAGGACCAACAGTACTCCCAGGTCTGTTTAAAATAATGTCACAGTCGTGCATTCTTATGCCAACTTTATTCAAATGATAGTCAATACGGCGATCTTTCCAATGGTTGAAGGGACCAAAAGGAAATCTTTACTGATTATATGAGCTACCAGAAGGCCAAGTGTGCTCAATTGAATACATTATTTGATTTGACTGTAAATGCCTTAGATTTCGAGCTCGGTCTACGTGAATTTTATACCATATTAAAAGCAGGTTCATACATAGGATATCTTGAACACATTAATGAGTTATTTGTCTTCAGATGTTGGGGCTGTAATGAGATGGCATGGCATGGGGTACATTTACATTGCACGCTTCATTAGCTTGAAAATGGGTGTCACTTTGACACGACCCTTATCAGTGTGTTGAAGGAGACTTACTTTGACAAGGATCTGGCCAACATCTTCAGGTCTGGTATCAATCTCAGTCATGACTGGCATTTTGGAAGCCTCGATGGATATTTACTCCCTGTAATTCACTTAATTAAAGTTTATCATTGATGATTATGGTGGAGGGGCTATCAACAACAATCCTAGGTACGATCCACATGTCAAGCCCCTGACGTTTCGCAGCAACAGATCAAACAGCAGTATGTGATGACGTACTACACAGTCAACAACAAACATGGCGGCGCCCTGTGCATTATTTGCTTCATGTACTGACGCCTTCGATCCAGACGAGTTTATCAAACGTGAGTTGCGTGATCTGTTTGGCATTGTGTATACTTGGTTCTGTCGCCTAAGAATGATAAAAATATGTGCATCTAGTGTTGATGTTATGTCTCAGAATACGATTCTGTTGCTCTTCTCACTGAGAACTTCTGATTCATGTACACACAGTACAGACTCCAAACAGTAAAATATCGGGAAATACTTTGCCACGCCTACTTTTTCAAAACATGTGGCATGTTCATTTAGAAGTTTGAATGGATTAATTGAGTGGTACAGTGATATGTTGTGACGCCTTTGATACCACAGAATGTAGGAAAACTTAATTAAATATTGGTTGGAGCATAGTTCCCCTACAACCTACGCTGATTGTGTGAAGTATAAGTTATGTGGGGACAGATTGATTGCGTGTCATCGTACCATGTAAAGCTTTGCTCATATCAATGAGACTATTATTTATAGGCTACCACCATATAGCTATAAACTTACTGATCGTATCCTTAAACATAAAACAAACAGCATACCAAAGTCTGTCAGTGTATGCGGATACTAGACGTTTTGTACACACCCATACCCAAGATTCGTACTTGCTTTGGAGCATTCATACTAGGGCTGGGACGAGTCCAAATTTACAACCCGGGTACCCGCCCCCTATTACCCTACCCTACCCGGGTACCCACTCTAGGTCCCAGGAGATGTCTCAAAATGTCCGCTTGGGAATATTTTTAGCATAGCCCTGGCAAAACGTATTTGGATACATGTGTCAAACAACCTGGTCATGCATACACTGAAGGTGACTTAAGTTATATCTTTATTCAACCACATGAAAAATCAGAAGGAATGGGTGAGGAGTCAGAACGAAAAGCGAACATTAGGACTAATGTATTCATTATACATGTCAAACATTCATTCAAAGATAACACAGACGGTGACTGGACCACTCCACTCATTAGTTGTCATATGAAACACAAAACAAACAATGTCCTTATTGAAAACCTGTTTAATCATCGTGTTGCGGTAGAGCTCATACTTTTCAGAAGCGATTGGAAGTACCGAACAGATTTTTTCATAATAACATCTTTTAAGTTTTATAAATTTTCATTGTGTACGAATATTCTTTTTGGGTACGAGTCATCCAGTTGATGAGGTACTGGTTATCCAACATTTGTGTACGAGTCTGCCAAAATATACAAGATACAGATCTCTGTGGCTATGGATTGTCCAGTTCCCATCTCTGCTCTTGTTACTAATGTCAGTGAATAAGGTTGTTTATCATTAGATTAACTTTGTGTCTTAGGACAACAATTTAAAAATGAATGAGTATGTACATGGTGAAGGTATTTGTTTCAACAAGCATCGTTGCCTAAAGGAAAAGATGTAGTTCCCAATCAGGGGTTTATCTAAACCTGCTCAATGACTGATATTTGGCCCCAAATCTGCCAGTAAAAATTCCCAAATTGGAATTACAAATTTCCCAATACCTGTAAATAGTTATAACCAATGTTATGGCTTTGTAGAGATGTTACTGACAACAGTGCCCATAAAGTGGAAGAGCCATTAATGCTTAGCTCTACATTATCGAACTGAATGCAATGTTAAAATATCTCCAAATTTAGGAAAACCAAACCGTTTAAAAAAATCCCAATTTTGAACAAAATAATTATTCTTTCCCCAATTTACCAGCTATGGGCATGTAGTTTAGAATCCTAGATAAAGCCCTACTACTACAATTCTGACAGCGTTTAAAAAGAATTTTCATGCATTTCTACTGAATATAGGCTGGAATTATATATGCCATTGATTATAATTTATATGTGGCTGTCTTATATTGTTGATTCAATCCTATGATATGAAAAGTTGTTTCTGACACTTGTCACAGTGAGTATTTTTGTGTGTATTGTTGCAGTGATTTTAGACACAGAGAATCTCCCAGCTGCTCAGCATGTGACAGAGTCTATAAAAGCCTACGACTGGCACATTGATACCAAGTACTACACTGCTGATGTGAGCCTGTGTACATCACTGAAGAGAACCATAGGCAACCAGCAGTTTGCTACAGCAGTGCAGGCCTTCATTGTCTACTTTGACCCAAAACAGGTAGCCTTCTGGTTAAAGCATACGTTCATCACACTGTAGACCAAAGTGATTCCCGACATGGGTACAATGTGTGAAGCTCATTTCTGGTGCCCCCCTCACCAGCTGTGATATTGCTAAAAGCGGCGTAAAACCATACTCACTCACTCACTCACTACAGTTTGTTGTTGAATGCAACACTCAGTAAGATTCCCCATTTCACTATTTCTTACAAGCATCAATCACAGTTGCACACTAAGTAGAAAAACATCGATTCATTCCTTAAATGTTTGCTCTGATAACTGTTACACTAAACACTAATTAGTAGTAAAAGTTAATTGTGAAAACGTAAATATTTTCATCCGTTGTGCCATACTTCACACTGCCGACTGGTAATCGTCAGTGTGCCAGGTATTTGGCCATCCTGTCTTTGAAAAAGATGGCTTAACTGTTAACTGCACGTGCAAGTACCGGTATTGTGATACGTATCGGATCAGGAGTAAGGTATTGTGATACGTATTGGATCAGGAGTAAGGTATCGTTATCTGTACATGTGTATCAGATTGCACTGTTGGTGTGTCGTCCCAGCCCTACTATTTAGCATGTTTAGATTTTCACTTGTCTCAAACTGACAGACTTTTACCGTATCTAACCCTGACATTAATACCTCATTAACAAATAGTTTTCAACATGTTAAAGGTGTTGGAGCCATTCTGTCAGTGTCGGACACAGGGCTCACAAAATGTTTCAAGTCTTCCACAAATTAATCATTAACTGTCAAGGTACAGTAAAGTACATTGTTTATAACATGTATAAGGAACATGCTTATAATGAACTGACGGATATAACAAACTGTTGTTTTTTTTCCCTGCCATCTGCTGTATATATGCTGCATTTATGCTTTTAACAAACTACAGTTATAACAGACTAAAATTGGTGGTCCCTTTGAGTTCGTTGTAACCATAGTTTACTGTATCTGACCAATAGGAATGGAACATGGAATGTTTTGAGTAATATAGATCAGCAAGTCTTGGGGATGCATACTAGATCTACACTGATTAACTTACTTATTGTGAAAATATTCTTTTTTTCTAGGAGTCAACATTTGAGCTGATGAAAGCCTGGATGCCGTATCTAGAACAGATTGAGCCAGAGATTCTTATCCTTGTGTGTAACAACAGTTCTCACACTGATGGTTGGTCAATGTATTTTTGTTAATCTGTGATATATCACTCTTGCCTTCAATTAGTGGCATACGTTATAGAAATTCAGTTCTAGTTAGTTTTTAAGGTGTATATCAAAAATATATTTCTGATGTATGATGCGTTTTTAAATATGTTGGACATGGTGTATTGATTATTTGTAGCAAATGTCACGGTTTGATATCAAGAAATGTCTGCTCGCCGAGACTAGAAGACTTGTATTGTGAATTACAACCTGTACCATTGGGTAAATGATTACTCTGTAGCCATTATTTTCCCAGACGAGGGAAAATACAATATATTTTTTAACCCTGAATATAAATGATATGGTTTGTCCCGCTGAAAGTGATGTGTACATTGTAGCTTTGTTGTGTTGCTACAGCGGTCGGTAGAGTAGCTGCACAACAGTGGTGTATAGACAACTGCTTTGAGCTGGTGGAGCTGAACCCAGTCCAGGATAAGGAGGAGGAAGGTAGGGCCGATAGCCTTGGTGTGATAGCATAGTTGATGACGGACATCAGTGACGCGTAGATGTATCAGGAACTGTGTTTTTTGTGAGTTCTGGCTCATTTTTTAGGTGTATTGCGGTATGAGTGAGTGAGTATGATTTTACGCCGCTTTTAGCAATATTCCAGCAATATCACGGCGGGGAACACCAGAAATGGGCTTCACACATTGTACCCATGTCGGGAATCGAACCCGGGTCTTCGGCGTGACGAGCGAACGCTTCAACCACTAGGCTACCCGACCGCCCCGTATTGCGGTATGAAAGACAGAGAACAGAAACATTGTCTCATGATATAGTTAGTGAGACGAACTTGTGAATAGACTTCTTTTAGCTTACAACTGGTAGACATGTCTGTAGGATCATACTACAGGTAACCTGCTACAGGTAGATATGTCTGTAGGATCAGTCTTGTTCTAGCTTGGTTAAAACATGAAGGGTTGTAAATTTGATTGGTATGATATCATTTTGTAACATTATTGACCTAAGTACACATCAAGAACAAGAGTCCCAGCGTTGAAACTAACAGTTTTCATCCACTCGTCCTTATAATGATAACATGTAGCAAAATCCTTAAAAACAGCAAATTTCTACTAGTCCTAATCATACCTTACCTATTGGGCATCCAGGCAATGGCTACAGGACTAGTACCAATTTCTAACACTGGAACCCACTCATGGTCTTGTGTTTGCAGATCTGGAAGATGACTTTGTGGAGACAACTGGAATTAGGCGGATTATTCAGGCTCTTCATGCCCACACATGGCCGAATCTGGAATTGAAACGTGAGACTATTATCCCTTTAGAGAACAATCTTCAAATGCAGATATGAGAGTTCTACTCACCAGCTCTATTAAATCAAGCTATTTTATGAAGGAGCTAGGCCTGTTTTAGTAGTTTTATGGGGGTAAGAATTTGATATACAGTCAAGTCTCGTTAATCCGACATTCGTTAACAGACAATCGGCTTTATCCGACACTAATGATGGGAACCGATTAAATCAATGCTATTTAGACCTGTTAATCCGACAGTCTCGCACACTGACTCCGACACACCTAATTTGCAACGAATTACCGAAATCACTCAACTCAGTCTAGTTAATCTGACACAGTGATCAGCGTACTCTGTGGTTATCTGCCCGCGAGTACACAGCCAGTGTTTTGATGTGAGACGAGTCAGGTGGTAGCTGCATATTACAAAGTTGCACAGATAAACTTAACTTAACAATAAACAATTAATGCTTTAAATAAAGAAAACAGAATTAATCACATGCTTAGATTACATCAATCTCATTAAAATCAGGTACAAGTTCTCGCTATCGCCGAGGATATCCCATTACAGGTCACATCAGAAGAACCTTTTGCGAACTATGACCGACGAATGTTGGTAATACTTAATTTTGTTTATCTGACATACTCATTTATCCGACATAATCATATGCAACCAGCCATGTCGGATTAAAGGGACTTGACTGTATGCTCATAGAAATAGATTTTCCTGCTCCCTTGAGAAGTAGTAGAAACTAAGGGGTGACTTTGGGTCCTTGTTGTCATCTCCTGTGATAACTGAATCAAGGTGTCCCCTAAATCTGTAACTTGACGTTAGGTTTATGACTAGGACCCTTGATTTCCATTCTTAATTTGAACATCGCTGAGTGTTGCAGAGAGAACCTATTTCCCTCTGTAATGTATTGTCAGTAATATATATATGATTTCTATTTCAGAAAACCCTGTTATTGGTAGTCCTTACTATCGTCAGCTTTTGAAAGAAGAGTCGGAACTTAAAGCTAATGAAGTCAAATCTAATTCCAAGGAGTCCTGTGATAATGAAACCGTGTCAAATGATGACAGTGAGAAGTCCAAGTCAGGGTCCAAGTCAGAGGGAGACTCAGGGCACTCTGCCCTAGAGGAGCCTGTAAGGGGTGGGGAACCCGCTGTGGGCGGGGCACCTGTAGGGGATGGGGTGCCTGGAGGGGGTGAGGAATCTGTGGGCAGTGGAACAGACGAGGCATCTGCACTCACAGCTGAAGGGGGAAAGGCGACAAAAAAGGAGAAGCCTTGTAAGGATGAAATAATAGGTGAGTAGCTGCAGGTTGGATGATCTGGTTGTTCTTCATCTCAAGGGGGTTGGGATGTAGCCTAGTGGTTAAAGCGTTTGCTCATCATACGGAAGACTTAGGTGCAATAGGTACCATGTGTGAAGCCCATTACAGGTGTCCCCCACTGTGATATTGCTGATGTCACTTCATCTCAAGCACTTGTCTGACTAGATGACTAAGACAATATGCATTGCTAGGCAATTTAACACTTGTCAGTGCGATCACTAAAATATTGGCAAATATTGGCATTTAGAAAATCCTAGATAAATTGTCAGGTTTCATTTAAGTTGTATGAGCTTGGTATGCATGGTATGCATGCATTTGATCAGATGGGCCAGATGACACAACAATCATATCTTGAGTCAAAGTTGTTTATTCGGTTACATATTTGATAACAAGATGTACGTGCCCACACAGCACCATCTTTACCAGACTGACGTCTGTTATTCCCCAGCAACCTATCTCCCTTCGTCACATATGCTCTCCCATAGAACATTACTTACCAGTTATATGTTATCCTGCCAACATCAAATGTGATCACTGGCTGGGCGCTGCCATCTTGAATGGAGTCTTGCTCTTGCGAGATCTCGTTACATTTATGAACTACTTTTAACATTTACCGCACTATCTGTTTTTAATTTTTGTCTTTTCATTTCGTGTCTGTAGTTTTTAGACATAGATCAGCTGTTGCTACTAGACAGGAAGACATTTTATCTTCACAAACTGACTTGCACAGGAGAGATCACTAATCTCTCTGCCACTGATGCTGGCCAGATGTATCTTTTACACTCACACTGCTTATTTCTGTTTACAAACTAAACAAGTTGGAAGAAGGATTTTGGATGATAAATAGAATCTCACCCTCATATCTAGTCTGTCATACAGACCCTGATACAAATATATCCAATACAGTCCATGCAAGTCTATGTTTGGCAAGTCTAGATTACTGCAGTATCAGGAAAATGAAGAAAATCTCTGGGCTCCTTTGTATTATATTTTTTTAAAGATAATTTAACAACTGTTTTTTTCTGTAAGATATGTTAATTTCAGAAAATCTTTTGATATCAGTTGATATTGATATAGGCTTTCCGAGGAGTTTTAAACTTTTATTGACTTGTGTTGATATATTTCATATCAAAAGACATGATGGTGAGATTCTTTTTATCATCCAAAGTCTTCCAGACAACTGACTCAAGCTGTACAAGGTCTTGTCTTTCATCCTTTCCTGTGTGAACAGGGGAGGTAACTCTGTGACAACAGCTTTGTACGTGATATGATGACCCCGTGTTCTCTATGACAGACAACCTTCTTCCTGAGGATGACTTAGCTTTGTTGGCCTCCCTGGGGAATGAGGACGCAGGGGAGGAGTCATTTGAGGAAATGTTCGAAAAGCTCAGAGTAATGAAAGGTGATATTTTAAACCATGTTAATTAATAGTTAGTATATATAGCGCCCCCTGGTATAAATAGAATGCTTCTTTTATTACTTGATTTACAGATTATTGTATTTTTCTTAAATCTTTGGATGGATGGTTGAATTTTCTTGAAGTAAAATATAAGACTTACTTTCCAAACATGATCTCTTGAACATGTTAGATCTTGAGGGGGAGATGAACCTGAAAGACATAATTATGGTGTCTAGAGTGCTTCTTTGAATGGCTAGTTGTATGATTACATCTTTTTCTTCCCATTGGGATTTACCTTGAAAATATTTATTCACAAAAATATCACATCCACCCATTGAAACATAAGGACAGGGCACATGGTAATCATCTGTTTTAGATTCCACAAGCTGCTGGTTGTGACCGATATGGAAATACTTTTTTCAATTTTGTTAAAATGGCTAACTTGCGGAAGCATGACAATATATTGTTTGAAAATTTGCATAACTGGCATTGATATCCAATACAGGTTAGTGTAGAGCAATTTTGATAATTTAAAACCATGTTAGTGAAATATGTGTATAACCATGTTGATGAATGTGTTATGTATTTGTAGAGAAAGCTGAAGGTATGCCTTTGGATCAGAGAAAAGCATATGCTGAAAAGGTGAGTTGTCTCCCTTCCTTCCTGGCTTTTCACCATTTCTCTGTTTGGCCTTAAAGCAGCAGTAAAAACACATTTTTGGGCTAGCTTTGTCTGTTTCTTCCTCGAGTACAGGAAGCTAATCACACCAACCCCAGTACCGCACCAATTCACCTGCTTGAAAATATCTGTGGTCACATTCAGCATAGGTAATCATTTTAATCATTGTGTTTTCCTCACATGCTAAGCCTACACTTCATTACATAGTCGTAAAATCCAACTCACTGATATAAGATTTTTGTTGAGTTTAACGTCAGTGCAAATAGTATTTGTCAAGGCTTGTCAGTTTACTATGGAAAGAAATCCCCAAGTTGCCAGTTGAGGTTGACCACATGGGTGTATCCAAAGGGCATGTTTGTTTGTTTGTTTGTTTGTTTTTTAACGCCGTACTCAGCAATATTCCAGCTTATGACGGCGGTCTGCAAATAATCGAATGTGGACCAGACAATCCAGTGATTGACATCATGAGCATTGATCCACACAATTGGGATACGATGACATGCAACAACCAAGACAGAAAGCCTGACCACCGGATCCCGTTAGTCTCCATTTATGGCGAGCATGGGTTGCTGAAGACCTATTCTACCCCGGATCGTCACTGGTCCTAAAGGGCATGGTTATGATGCTGATCATTCCATAAGAGGGAAACTATTTCATTATAAATACTTTATGTTTGCAACGCCATTGCATGTTTGTTTCAGATTGCAGTGTCATTTTGGAAAGCTATCGGTGGCGACGATGATGAAATCAAGGGATTGGATGATCTGGAGGACGAACTAATGCCATCTTGAAAGGAGCATTATGGGATGTGGAAGCTGGTCTTCTGCGAATATTCCACCCATGTAACCATGGAAACCTTGGAATGGCATCAGATGACTCTCAGTGTTGTGCTTATTGTGACAAAGCCAGATGTAATGCTGTTCATTGCAGAAGTGTTTCCTCAGAAAGACAACTAAATAAAGCTTGTCTCCTTGGACATGTGATTGCTGTTAGCAATAAAACTTCAAATACTGTAAATGTCATTTCATACTCGAGTGTACTCAGTTTAACAATAATACAGATTCATGAGAGAAACGCTGTAATAATTTCCTATGATGAACTGCAAACCAGTTGCCATGGTTACAGGAATGCGATGATGCAGTCAACTCATTGATACTGTGTGCAGCAGATGCTTTGATAAATCGAAAACTGCTAAATTAGCAGTTGGCTTATCTCGAAAATATACACTTGATTTTTATCTTCTGAGAGACTGTGCCTGCCAAAATGCTTGACATGTTGCTGAAAGAGGTCCATGGGCTTGAACTTTGTGGCATTATGTTTACAATTACCTGAGAATACATGTATTATACTTTCAAAATATGTGATATTTTGAGTCTTTACAGTTGGAATGGGTTACTCTATTCCCCTGTGTTGTGAGCTACTCACCAAGATGTAAATGTTGTTTATCATATAATGAAATAAAGATGTACGAATATGCAGTTTTTCTTTTCATAGCCCTATATTCACTTTGTGATAATCTTTGTCAAGTGAGCAAACTGGACACAATGTATACCAGCTGGAGCTCCTAGTCTTTATATATATCCAAAATGCACTTTGTGCAATATAGTAGCTCGAACTTTCTCTGGTTACTGTAGGACTGAAAGATATTCACAATACTTTATGTGATACACTAGTACGATGAGGCAGCAATGGAACTTGTCAATGTACTTTGATACCAAGCTTACACACTCTCCAAAATGATTAAACAAAGATATTATGTGTATCACATTATAAAGGGTATATCAGCAAGCATATTATGGTGAATTGTGAATTGACAGTGCATTAAATTTCAAAGTTTAGCTTAAATCAAGCTGAAGTCACAGTCTCGAATATATCTGCTGCCAATCTCCCGAGGCAAGGGAGTAAACTGACAATAAAAGTCCAGTTTCCACCCTTGCTGAACTACGCTGGAATTATGGAGTTTTATTTTGGCTTGACAAACAAGTCTTTGCATAGTCCAATCAAAATTTTGTAACAAAATTGACATCCAGTGCAGATTTCGGTCGACTGTAGTATTTGCAAACATGTACTGCCAACTTTGCATCAACTGATATTTTCCAAAGACCCATTTTATCACAATATAAGTTTTGATTATCGATCAGATCATCTTGACTGGGAGCTGCCATTTTGTCCGAAGCAAATGCAAGTGATATGAGAGGTGGAATCTGATTGGTCAATGGAAGGGCATAGCGGGGACATAACTCTTAATAGCCACTATTGGCTCTATGATCGAGCCCAGAAATTCCAGTCCAGTTCAGCAAGGGTGAAACTGGACTTAGTCAGTTAACTCCCTTACTTCGGAAGATAATCCGCTGCGAGTTCAACATGTTCAGTGAGAACAGTATCGCTGTCTGTGATGAGAGCATCACATCGCAATTTTCCTTCTGTCATGTTGCTAAGAATGGTGGAGTGAAAGCTATGTTAGGGATCATGTGTTGTGTTGCCACAGCTTTGAAGAGTATATTTCTGTTGTCACAGCATGTCAGCTCACAGGAGGAAAGTCCAACGTTCCCAATCTCAGCAGAAACTTGCACAGGCAAGGGGCACAGCTCTACATTGCAAATTGCAATGCCTTAGAACCATGTGCTAACAAATTAATATTTAGTCACTTAATGTTGCATCGACAATATCTTGGCCACATGAACATTATGTAGACATGTCAGATCATGATGAATACTACTGAACAGTATATGTTCATATCTGAACATGCTGAACAGAGAGACAGCATCAGCTACGATCTACATCGATCATGCTGGCATTCTCAGCAAAACCACACATTCTCCCCACCATCTCCTCTAGTCGGCAGTTATGACATGCAATCTACCACCCCCCAAACGTCAACAGGACACATCTGAAGAATTCAAGTACTTCTGACAATGGAGATTCTGAACCGTAAATCTTCTCCAACATCCCTCATGAAAATAAATGAAAACAAAGCCTGTGAATAGATTTAATGATGTCTGTAATTTAATAGTTCATGAAGCATGTTCATATCCTCTGTAAATCCAAGGCAGAGCCTTGGGTATATATTAAATCAAACAAAAACAGCATTGTTGATTGTTGACCATAATTTACAGGATGTCCCTATAGGATGTCCACGATTGGACTACCAATACATTTACTCCAAGTCTTGAGTAGCATCATAGGATGGAAGTATTATTTGTTAAGTAATGATTCATTAATATGTAAAACATTGAGAAAGTTGAGTAACCTGTAGATACACTGTATCCAAGGATGAGGTGAGGTGGACGTTGCATTAAAGATTTTTTCACTTATGTAGCTACGTACATGCATGCGTGTGTTGCACTGTGTGTCTGCTTGTACTTTTATAGTGCTGACCCACTGAGATAACAGGCCACAGTTAAACACGGATTCCCCACCCAGACATAGTATACAGACTCCGAGCTAATGGTAAAAGTATCAAGTCCTATTTTCTTCAATTCAGAGGTATTTTACCAATGTATTCACTGTATACAAAACCTAAATTTTGCATTATAGCATCAGTGAAGTACAAGTCTCTGGTAAGGCCTAGATAAACCCCTGCATATTTAGGTTTCAATTAACATTATGTTCTATCATCGTTGTGTCAAAGAAGAGAAGACATCTGCAGCACTAACATGACTGTAAGATGTGCCCTTGACTTTAATTACTTTGTCCTCCTGTTTTAGAACTTAATCACTGTCTAGACCATCCATAATCTGATCTGCTGTCTGCTGCTCATCAACTTGGGGGTCTTCTGTGGACTGTTCTGCCGACTTAGTGCTGCCTACAATCGGTTCATCTGGTTTTGATAATCCTTGCTTATCAGATTGTTCCTGATGTACATTTGTACCTGATGACTCACAAACTTGATGCAGATTATTTTCCAAACTGTCTTTATGAGAATCATTGGCTGACTCTTCTGTTGTAGCTTCGGGCAACTCAACTTTTGAATTTTCAGAACATAACTTCTTGCCTCCTATTTCCCAAGGGCAACTCGACTCTCCAGAAGGCCCATGGGTTGTTGTTTTGGCTTCATCAGCCTCATCTACCTCCATGTCCGTGGCGTGTTCCGAGAACCTGTTAACAGGCAGTGTGCCCTCGGTGTTGTCAACACTTTCCTTACAAGTTGTAGGACTGCTTATGATCGGGTCCTTGGAAGATGGTTGGCAAGTACTGTCTTGTGTCAGACTATCAACTTGTTCAGTATGTTTAGAAGAATGGTCTGTATCCGACCCCTCCTTTACGCTTGTGTGCTTGGATTCTTCTGTCTGTTCAGCCGGGGTTGACATAACAGCAGGGGAAACATCAGATCCCACAGACTCTTTATTTGTATCTGAAATGAAAGTTTGTGTTAATAAATACTCATCATGGGATTTGACATTCACCATCTTGTAATAGTGAGTGAGTGAGGTTTTACTCCCCTTTTAGCAATATTCCAGCAATATCACGGCGGGGGACACCAGAAATGGGCTTCACACATAGTACCCATGTCGGGAATCGAACCCGGGTCTTCGGCGTGACGAGCTAACGCTTTAACCACTAGGCTACCCGACCGCCCCCCATCTTGTAATAACACATACAAGGCAGCTGAAAAGCTGACGTTATAATATTTGATGTGATGTCACTTCTATGTGACATTTCATTTGACCCTATTCGCATTTCCAGTCACGAACTAACAGTATGATGGCAGTCAAAAGGAAGATGTTAATGTCCCTCATAAACATTTCACAAAAATATGAGTACACTGGCATCTCGACTTGACGGCGTTTAAGTAACTATCAGAATTAACTGATGGAATCCCAATTGGGATTATTATTCAGCGAGTAAACTGGTCCTCTGCCTGGGTTGCGCATGCTTGCTGGTGCTACACAACAGCCAACTAGCAAGCTGAGGCGAAGCATTATAGGGCAGTGAACAAGTTTAATCCAGCAAGGAGTTGTGTAAAAGGAGGTAATTACAAATCATTTTCGAAGAATACAATGCATCCTGCCAACTTTCGCACTTATCCGATGACAACGAAATCATATTTTCCCCACTTGCCAGGCAAGTCGGACATACTTATTGAACACCCCTGCCTATAGGGGTGTCCCAACTAGCACCACTGACCAGTTGTCTTCTGAGCTAGCCTGGCAGCCCTCTTCTCCATGGCCAGTCGTTTGTTTCTCTCCATCCTCTCCTTCTGTTCAGGCGTCATACCCTGCAAGGACAGGATCATCACGAGTGAACAGCATTATATTCCATCATGACCATGACGTGCAGTAATTCAGCTCTCAAGACCACCAGGTGACGTGAAATGGTGTTTGAAGTCATGTTAAACATTATTGCACGCACATAGCAATGTTGCATATGTATTGTGACAAAACTGATTTTGATACCCATCTTACGTTAGGTGTGCTATTGAGGGTGGTGCTGGGCGTGGTGACAGGTGCCCTGGCCTCTGCTGCAGGGGTGGTAGGTGTGGCTAGTAGGGAGGTGAGGGGGGCCTGCTGGGATTGCGACCTCTTCTCCTGTTCTTCTCGCATAATTTCATCGAATGCCTCCTCTGCATCAAAATCTTGTTGACCCTGGAAAAGGGGAGTGAGTGAATTTCTTCGAACAACTTTTTTATTGTTTGTCATGACGTTACAGGGCTATTATATTTCAGCCACATCGCACAGGGGCACAAAGAATGGCTACACATTGCTAATACATCAATTCTAGTTTGGAAAAACACATTCCCAATGTAGTACTTTATTTTTAAAAGAAGCTTACATGCCTGTAGCTTCCTTCATGACAAAGTTATTTAAGCACTTTAAGCTTAATGACACCAGTTCCAGTATGCATTGGTATGTCCAATGCATTACAACTTTGAAACAGAAATTCCTGTCTCTAGCAACCTTGACAAATATGAAAGCGCTTTTGATCTTCACCTTGACCTAGGCATATGACTGGTAGGGTAAGTTATCTTTTATCATAACTGGCTACAAATGGTTTGATTTTTCAAGACTTAAAATGAAATTCCCTGAAATTTGAGCAAAGTGTCATAGAAATGAGACCTCTACTGACCTTGAACTTATACAGATGTCATTCAAAACACCATCCTACACATGCCAGAGATCTTGTATACTAAACTTAGTCAAATTTCATAAACATTCAAGTTACAATTAGACTCGTTGAAGGGGACCGCTTAATCACCAGGATTATTATTCCTGTAGTTTCTACCCTCTACTCACCCGACGAACTGGTCTCTCTGCCTCGGTCTCTTCTTCCTCCTTATCATCTTCGTTGTTATCCTCAAAGTCCTCCTTCAGGATTGGTATGTCAAGGCGCATCTTCTTTATGCACGTCTAGCAAATACAAGAATAAGTACAAATAGATTGAAAGCTGCAATGTAACATGATGTAAAAAAAAAAGTTCATGTACTTGAACATCCGTTCTCCCTTATCCCAATCTATATTCCAATCTTCTCAGCAAAAAGCATGAAAGTACAAGCAACCAGGGTAACCAGTGAGGGAAATTAGGGATGAACTTGAGGTCTTTGAAGTTTGTAGCTAGAGGATTTTGAAAAGGCGTGGAAGTGAGTTTCCTTTTTGTAAATCAACAATTCCTAAATTCAACATGTTCAAGTGTGTTGTCATGAAAATGTTTTATAAGAGTGAGTGAGTGAGGGTGTCATGCTGCTTGTAGGATTATTCCATCAATATCACGGCAGGGGACACCAGAAAGGGGCTTCACACATTGTACCCATGTCGGGAATCGAACCCGGGCCTTCGCCGTGACGAGTGAACAGATTAACCACTAGACTACCCCCCAAGCCCTGTTTTGCAATAAGCCTTTAAAATTATATACTGTAGCAATAAGGAATCACTTGTTGACAAACTGTAAAAGTATGGGGGTGGTCATATTGTTTTGAGTGACAGCGTATATGTTGCATCAGCCATTTTGCTTGTACACCTCCCCCCCCCCCCCCCAAAAAAAATATAATTAAATAAATAAAAAAAATAAAAATATATACATCCCCAAGTTCACAGTTTAGTTAGAAAACGCCTACCTGCACCTCCTTCTTGGTACCCAGCTTTTCAACGCGCTCCAACACCTCGTCAAAGGGCATCATGGGAAACAGACGATGAGCCCAGTGTTCCAGGTACTTCATCATCACCCTCAGGTCTTCAGCCTGGAAATACACAATCGGTTTCTCACTACATCAGCATGACACAGAACAGAACAAAACACCTTATGATTGATGACCTAATATTCAAAATCAAGTACAAACATCTTTCTCCAAGGGTGAACAGACCGTGAAGTATTGTACGACCAAGGTAGACTTCTAAAGTATTTTATCCAAGGCATTATCATAATCTGTTAGGTAATTTGAGGCAAAATCCAAGTAATAAAAAATATATTACATGGATTTGCTGACATGGCAAATCAGGTATTTCATAAAATAATAACCCAAACACTTAGGTTATCAGCTTCACCTGACAGTGTTCCTTTACAATATACTCCAACTCAATACTGTTTTACTGACTGACAAAATATGTCCGATCAACATATGTATGCCAAAATTGAAATGTAACTTCTGTCCTTTGTGCATGTTGTGAGAACTGTTTACCACTGAGTGAGTGAGTATGGTTTTTCAGCTGCTTTAAGCAATATTCCAGCAGTATCACGGCAAGGGACACCAAAAATGGGCTTCACACGTTGTACCCATGTGAGGAATTGAACCAGGGTCTTTGTCTTGACGAGCTAACGCTTTAACCACTAGGCTACCCGACCGTCCCAGAGTATACCACTGACATCTTTAGTTACTAACATTATCCATAATAACCACGGTGCATATACAGTGATTCACCTAAACTTGCTCAGAGACAGGTATTTGGTCCCAAGTCTGCAACAAAAATCAGTTAAAATTTCCAATCTGAATTAAAACTTGATCCTCAGAATTTACATTAAAAACATCCAGCTTTGAAGAACAATATTTTCCCAATTTGCCTGCCAAGGGCACCAAGTCTTTATTCCTAGATAAACCACTGGTTTAATATAGAAGAATGGCCATTGGGCATAGAATGCTAACCTCATGACCTCGACCTTTGAACTTGACATCCTTGAAAACCCGAGGTAGAACAGGAATTCCTCTGTCTCCGCTCAGTCTGCCAGACAGAATACATTCATGCAAATAACATTCAACATGGTATTCATTACATCTTCAATATCGTTTGGTATACACTACGTCCCGCCACCACTTGTGAATATATACAGCTGTAAGGGAGTAAAAGTGACTCAGCACTTCAGTCCGGTAGTGAAATGACGCCATGTACGATTATCACAAGGTCAAACAAGCTCTACTCCAAGCAGGGGAGATCCCTACCTTTGCTCGATAGTGAAGCAATGTGCAGAGTTAATGGCTGCAAGGGCATTGCAAATGTTGCATGAGAAATACTGCCACCATATTAATAAGCACTCACAGGGGTTGAAATTTTAATCAAATGTTACTAGACCAAGGGCAAGTATGACCAACATTCTTACTCGCCTACTTTCAAATGTTCTGGCCAAAAATCAAGCTAATAAATTCAGCAAAATGTTACATCTACAAAACTAAGAATCAGACACACCTATTCTCCATGGATTTCTGAAATAAAAGAGTTAATCTGACCCATTTGTCTTATTTATTCACTCCTTAACTCATGTTCAAAACAGACACAGTGAGTCTTAGATCACATTTGCTGCTGCATGATACAGGCTCTGGTGCAGCCTCTGGTGCAGCCTCTTTTACTACAGGCAAGATATGTCTAAGACATAAGCTTGTCTCCACCACCGAAGAAACTTAAAATAGACCGCTGCGACATGATCTGACATGTATGATACTGGCAATGTAAATCGTTATTGTAGATATCCCTCTGGGTGCTAATGGGGTAAAGGGAGGCTACTCTATCCTTCACTAGCTGGAAGGTTGTGATTTGATGTGTGCTTATATCACATGGAAGCAAAAGACTGCAGCTTCACATACAGTGATCTCTCGCTATTGTGCCCTTCAATATAGTGCTAACTCAGTTATAGCGAGCAGTAACGCATGGCTCCCAAAATTTATGAACATTTTTAATAAACTCAAGTCTTACACTGACACGATGTCTTTTCCCCATCACAACAGGACATTTCCTGCTGATCACACAACACCGGGAATACCAATCAACAAATCCGAACTGAACAATTTAGTCCTATTATAACATTGTCTGGTTATAAAGACATGTTCGTTGTAAATCTGGACTTATGCTTATGCTCAAATATCGTAACATGACATGATTACATACTTGTGAAACTTGACCCAGTTAATTTTGTGTGCTCTACTAATCAACGCCGCAGGAATGTTTTCTTGGTCTGTCAGTGAGATGTCATTTCATCTGTGACACGTTTCCATCATCTTCCTGTGACTTAGCATTGCGTGACTTTATTTGCATGGATCTATCTAGGATTCTCGGAGCTCCTCCTAGGCAAACTAATCAATCTTTATGTTCAAAATTGGCACAGGGCAGGTCTAGATAAATCCATGCCAGACACAGAACAAGATACCAACCTTGTGGCATCTAGTTTAGGCTGTGGTCGCCTCACCACCTTCTTGCCTGCACCTCTCATCCCCTTCAACTTGGCCAGCACTTCAGCATTTTCTGTAGAAGAGAAATCCAGCATGGAAATATGTCATAATAAAAACATACTGTATTCCACGTAATAAGCGCCCAGGGCGCTCTCAAAATTAGAAATAGGGGGCTTTTATTAGAATAATATTTTGGTGGAAAAAACAGCGTTGAAAGATAAATTTTGTGGTTAATGCTGACAGCCTGAAATGTTTAAATATTGCCCATAATTCAGGATGCATAAAACACACGAGTGCGTATTATACGTGAATAAATAAATCTTTTGTACATTGATCAATTGGAAGGGGTGCTGATTATATTCAGAAATATCGCCGTGGGCGCTTATTAGCTGGGGCGCTTATTACGTCGATTACGGTATCAAAATTTATGGGAGAAAACAACCAGTCACTCTGGATTGTTACTAGTCTAAGACTAACGAACTAGTGTCTGTATATACCCTGATATATATACAAAAGACTTTCTTTGACATGACTAGTGTTCATACTTAAGCAGGGTTCTGGTTTTTGTTGCTGTAGTATTTGAATCTACAGAACCCCCAAATCTTTTACTGTTGACATAAGGGTTTGACAAAGAACTCTCGACGTTCATCTTAGTTTCAAAACCTGTGACCATGGTGACATATTGCAAAATATATTCTGTAAACACCCAGCATGAATGTTCAACAATACAACAGCAATCACTGCAATGGTGTAACTGACAGCAACACCAATGTTAATGACCATGTTGACTGATTTCTATCATCGTTAACATCCCACTCATATCTATGTGGCAAACTTCACCTGGGTCCTGACTAAGGGGCACATCATCGTCTTCTTCCCCCAGGGGCTGCAACTCCGCCGGGAGATCCGGCAGTACTGAGGGGAAGTCTCCCTCATTGTCATCTCCGTTTGCGAAGATCCCATCCATATCTAGCGGTACAGACTCCATCTTCAAACGCCTTCTCTGCTGCTGTGATTAAACATAACTACAAACTTTAACCCAGTTTTCTTGTAAAAATATTCTGATTGAAGGTAAAAAAAATTAATTAAATTCTGGAAAAGGTGATCAGCACTGTCAACCATGTTTGTCCAGATGGACTCAGCAATCTTGTACAGTATTACTCAGTATAATGAGTAAGTGAGTTGCACTTTAAACAGTACTTCTTTTATATGAGGTTCATGTGGGAGAAAAGCCGGAAGTGATGCTGGTCTACACCAGCTTTGTTAAATCAACAAGTACTGGCATGGTGCTGACAAACATTGAAACATAATCATGATTATTCCAACCCACATCTGTAGATTTCTGGCATGGTTTCAGATGGGTTGAATATTTTTTTACTGGCAAGCCAGGATAAGTTGAGTTGTGACAATTAACCCTGTATGACTATGTATGAAGTACACTGGCGCGTACCATCGTTATGAAAAGTGTAGTGGGTGGTCCATGACAAGTAGTACGATGGATATGTGCATGACCCATCTCGGCTAACAACAACTTCTAGTGGTGAGTTCAATAGCACATAATAGTATGTGATGATTTGAAAATTTGCATAGATAACAACCATTGAGACGTAGCTGTAACCACGAACTTGTATATATTGTCCGTGCTGTAACAAACCAAATATGGCTGCCGAAATTCTGTGTACCGCCTACTTGTCACAGTTCACAGATTGAGTCATCCAAAATATCCTAAACATCATTTTCAGATTTGACAATGATATAGAAAATGTTGCAACTTAAAAAAATAATGAAATTGACCGTAACTTTAAACACTGCTGTAAGGGTCGCAACTCTATACATTATTTGTGGCACCTAAGAAAAAACAATAATGTCCCATATATATTACAGATGTGCTTCAAAAAGTTCAATTGAATACCCCTGCACACATATATTCGACCTGCGTATGTGTTTATTATGGCTGAATGCTTTTTCTACATAATACATATCTTTCTGTTTCGGTGGTACAATATACAACAGATAGTTTAGGTAAACTGACGGAGAATTAGCCAATTACTAGTATTAGGCCTACTGTTCTAATATCAGCTTTAGATGTCTTAAATTGTTTGATAATTGAGTTAATACACAAGTTTATTAACGAGTGATAACTGTCATTTTCATTTTGTTAACATCGATAAAATAATTAGAGAGATATGTCTTCATGCCCAATGTTGAAATATTGTCGGTGAATGTGATTTTATTTATAAACACTGATAGTTAAACGAAACAGCTGATGACGATGTGTGAGAATGTTGGCCGAGGAAGCGATGAATGCATGATGAATGCCCTCAAATATATATTCAGCGGATCCATGAGCTAATTACAACTTGCCAATCGTGTAAACGTACCTCAATCTCCTATGCAACACAGGGTCTCTGTTATAATGTGAAGAACACCTAGATATCTTAGTTATCGAAGGGTAGCTGTTTCGCGGCAAATCCTTTGAACTTCGGAAGTGAGTATACGCATGCGCTGATTTTCATCGTCTGCAGTACTTCCGCTAGATACCTAAACTTACTGTGCCTCCCATAAAAATAAGTGTAGTGGAAATATTGCCATGAACCTGTTACCGTTAGGTTTTCACGGATTCAGTCTGAATTATTTGAAAACAAATGAGGAAAATCTTTTAATTACAATGGAAATTTTAGAAGCTGTAGATAGACACAGTTTGCATTACAAATGTACACCACGTTTCACAAGTCTAAAAGAAACTAATCATTTGTTCTTCGGCTTTCGGTGAAGATAAGAACGAAATATTTGTTTTGTTGCAGCAAGAATTGTTTCGAAAATTGATACTTCTCTTCAATATCTTAGAATATGACCTCCATAACGAATAGATTGAGTGAGTTTGGTTCAACGCTGATTAGAAAGTTATTTCAGTTATTCAGGTATTTCACGGCGCGTCAGCTTGATATGAGAGGAAAGCCTGAAGTGCTGCCGGTCTTAGACGCTTACCACCATTGAGAAACCCACGAGCACGGGTATGGTGCTGACAAACCTAAAAAACACAATCAGGATTCGTTTTTTCCGGCATGCATATGTGGGACGAAACCTAGTCTTGTTATACGAGCACATATATTTCTAGGTGAGATACACTTACAAAATGTGTGTTACTATGCAATGAAATCTTTCTTAATGTGTTATTTCTTTGAAAACGTCAAAAGTATTCAAGCTTAAAACGTCCACGATATCCAACTGAGATATTACAGTCGTGTGTGTGTGTGTGTGTGTGTGTGTGTGTATGTGTGTTTTAAGTTCTTCATTCCAAACAGACCTTTTTTACACGTTGATGTTATTAGTTTGGCGTGGCGAAAACATGAATACATTTAGCTCACATTAGATTTTGATTTTCACGGAAATCATGAAATTCAGTGAGGGGCGATAACAAGATTGTTTGTTGGATAAACTTGTATTTATTGTTTTATTCCGTGTTACATTTTGTGAATTCACATAACAGGTACTCAGCACGCGCGCAGTTGTGATGGTATCAGGTATTGAGACGGAGTATAGATAATGGACAATCTGTATTAATGTTAGCCATTGTCAAAACCATTACATAAATATATCCTGTGAAATAGACGGTTTAATAAACTTACTTTATTTCTTGAATAAACTTGACTTGAATAGACGGTTTAATAGGACGATTATGTCATATAGTTGTCGTAAGGTGCTAGTCACCTTTATCCGTGAAGATCCGGGTTAGAATAGGTCTTCAGCAAGTCATGCCTGTCGTAAGAGGCGACTAATGGTATCTTTTTCTAATCACGCCACCTGAAGATATTTACATTTGTTCTTTGGACGGCGCTACTCGCGAAAATATAAACTGTCAGGTCACACCAGATAAACATGTTTCTGCATATGCTCGTGACGGTTTCCACCTGTGGGACAGGTTATGCTCACCTGGTGTCATCACTATTTGATAGTGATTTATACACACATATCCATAATACAGTCGAAATCGTACAGTGAACTCTGCTTTTAGCATATATTCTTGGAAAAATGGAAAAGGTGTTATCAAACAATCAATTCTGTCTTCATTTCACCTTTCTATTAAAAACGAGTGTTCCCTGAATGTGAAAATGATGAACCATGCAATTATGACACCTTAATGCCATTGACATTAGTCCTCACCAGATGGCTATGGCCTCATGAAAGACACTTTTGACACTTTGACAAACTCCTCATGGACAAGTAATTATGGGATTATGATAACAATTTTGCATAACGATGAATAATAACCACGGCGGCTGTATGCGTGGTGCTGTTTTTGGTATGAAGCCACGAGAACGGCTCTAATCCATAAAACCGCTAACGAAAGGTGTAAATGAGGGATGTTTGTTCTACATGCATCATAATCTGCAGGGTAATATTCTCAGGTTGTCCTCCCCCTTCACGACCGCCTCCGTGGCCTAGTGGTAGAGCCCGGAGAGCGAAAGGTCCGGGTTTCGATCCCCGGCTGCGTCATGCCGAAAGACGTTACAAGATGGTACTTGTTGTAACCAAGTCTGGCGCTCGGCATTAAGGGGCTAAACTAAGGACTGGCCGTCTCAGAGTCAGTATACTGTGTCCAGAGTGGGGTATTCATGTTAAACTGCGGCATGGTATCTCAGTATAAATCGGCATCAGTGCAGACTAGTACAAGCAGTCACATACACACAGGCATGCACATCGCCATATATGTACAATAATCTTGGACGCGACGTTAAACCCCATTTCACCTCACCTCACCCGGGGGCACGGGTGGCCCAGTCGTCTAAGGCGCCGCGATTCGCTGTGCAGAGTTGCGTCCCTTGGGCACGCCAGAAACCTATGATTGTGGGTTCGAATCCCGGTTCGCCCTGGTTATGTTTCTAGGTTTGTGGGTTTCACCGAAGTGGTAAACGTCTGAGACCTGCATCACTTCGGGCTTTCCTCCCACACCAAGCCCACGCGCCGTGATATAACTGGAATACTGTTAAAAGCGGCGTTAAACCCAACTCACCCACTCACCTCACCTCCCTGTTTACAACTTGGATCTATATAGCAACATGCCAAGCATGTTGGATGGCGTTACCCAACACCGTTGTACGAAACATCAACATCATCGACAATATAGCCTGACTTGTGACAGAAGAAGTTGGGCAGTGATTGGCAGGTGATGAATGGTATTCCAGGTGCACAGGCGTTCAATCCAGCGGGGAGTACCTGAGTCCAGTTGTACAGGTAGCGTTATCGACCGTCTGTCTCACCTGACAGGTTAATAGATGAGTTATAACGTCGGTAACTGCGAACCTCTTCTGTAGCAGCCGCCTGCAATAGAGGAGGACAATGCAAGTGATGGGTGGCGATGTCCCCGTCTTTCCTGTTTGAACAGCCAACGGAGCAGACTCTGTCAGGTACGTTGCTTTGTTTTATGCACAAGAACTTTTCTCAAGGTAGGATATTTATTAGTAGGGTGAATGGTTCATGTATTTGTCAACATTGACACAGGTGAAGTGGTTGTTGTTCCTAATTACCATTTTAATAAGTTATTTGACAAATAACAGGTTGCAGTCGTATGGAAGTGCAGTGTTGTAGCATGGCACTGTTCTGTTCTGTACAACCATAGTGAGTGAGTGAGTATGGTTTTACGCCGCTTTTAGCAATATTCCAGCAATATCACGACGGGGGACACCAGAAATGGGCTTCACACATTGTACCCATGTCGGGAATCGAACCCGGGTCTTCGGCGTGACGAGCGAACGCTTTAACCACTGGGCTACCCGACCGCCCCGTACAACTACACCATTGGCGATGCTGTATTGATAACTAGAACCAATAAACTATTGCTTGTTGATTCTTTCTAAATACATCATCGGATCAAGTCCATATAGATCACCTATAAGGTCAAAGACAGACAGTACCCGTGAAGAAGCGGGGTAGAATAGATTTTCAGCAACCCACGCTTGCCGAAAAAGACGACAATTCTTGTCGCAAGAGGCGACTAGCGGGATCGGGTGGTCAGACTCTCTGACTTGCTTGATGCATGTCATCGTATCCCAATTGCGTGGGTCGATGCTCATAACAGCAATCGCTGGATTGTCTGGTCCAGACTCAGTTATTTACAGACCGCCGGAATATTGCTCAAAGCGGCGTTAAACAACAAAGAAACATAACATGATTGGCGCTGATAGGTTTTCCATTGTTTATTGTTAATCACCAGTCAGCGCCAATCATCTGTTGGCTTCCCTTGTTAGTTTCTACCCTTTGTTTTTTTCCACCTTTTGTTATCTTATTAATTTTGTTGTCCTTACATGTACATATATATGCTTTCATAATAAGAAGTTGACATCCATATATTCTCTAACTTATGTATAAAAACAGTTCAAATATTATTGCAGCTTTTTGATAGATTGTTTTTTTTAGCAAAGTGTCATAAGTGCCCCTATAACCCCTCCCAGGGCCACTCATCTCTCCCCACCTTCCCCCCTCCCAGGGTCACCCATCTCTCCCCAGCCCATCCAATCTCCCCACCCCACATCCCAGGGTCACCCATCTCTCCCTACCCCATCCCCCCTTCCCAGGGTCACCCATATCTCTCCACCCCAACCCCCTCTTTCCACCGCGACCCGTCTCTCCCCACCCCATCCCAACTTCCCACCTCCCAGGGTCACCAATCTCTCCCCACCCAATCCAATCTCCCCACCCCACATTCAAGGGTCACCCGTCTCACCCCACCCCCTCCCACCTTCCCCACTCCCAGGGACACCCGTCTCTCCCCACCCCCTCCCACCTTCCCCCCTCCCAGGGACACCCGTCTCTCCCCACCCCCTCCCACCTTCCCCCCTCCCAGGGACACCCGTCTCTCCCCACCCCCTCCCACCTTCCCCCCTCCCAGGGACACCCGTCTCTCCCCAACCCCTCCCCCCTCCCAGGGTCACCCATCTCTCTCCACGCGAACCCCTCTTTCCACCGCCCAATCAAATTTTAATCAAGGGGTGGATGGTGCACGTAATATACAACATGCGAGATAATGCATGGGAATAAATCGCGAATCAATTTGCGTTTGATAGTCATATGTACAAAAGCATATCACCAAACAAATAATTTAGTTAAATGTTTTTTATACTTTTGCACAAAAAACGTGTTCCCTTCCTGCATCCTCGAAAGACGACCTTGTTGAAACAACTGAATGGGTATATGACATTGCTGTGCTACCCTATATGACTGTAAGAACTCTTGCAGAGCCGACTCCAGGGAGATGCTGTAATTAATGTGCGAGTGGTAGCAGGATTACGTCTCCCGGCCCCAGTGTGTGTTTACTTACAGGCCATGTCAATGTTTGTCCAACCTAACCAGTTGAGTGAAAGGGTAATCAAACTATCCTCAATGTGTCAAACAGAAGGCAACTGGCACATTCATAACAGCAATCGGGCTAAAACGATGACGCGGATCCCAGAACCAGGACTGAGAGAAGCGATCTTGTCTCACCCTGTATGTCCGTGGAATAAATCGATCTTACCAGGTACATATATGCTCGATAGACTATACCCAACAATACCGGGCACATCACATTCGGCACAACCCGTGGGTATTATACGACTGGCTATGTAGACTCACCTTACCGCGATCACCTGGTATCACCACTATGTGGTAGTGATCCCTAAGCACATACTTATGACATATAGCATGATATATGACACAAGCCATAACTAATTGTACACAATAACAAATCTGAAACCATTGTCTCTTACAACCTGTCAAAATCAACCTTTATCTTTGTTCTACAAAATGGCAAACAATTTAGCATCAGCTTATCTCTGCAACCAAACGCTCGCAGTGATTACAGCCTTTAAAAACTCCTCAGACATCCAAATAATTAGATGTAAGACTGAACACTACTCAACATCCTTTATACCTACCTTCACAAAATTATGAAGAAATTAAATCGACTGGCTCTTACTCAAATTTTCGAAATGTATTATGATACAATAACAATTACAAACATTTCTTTAATATAGATTTTGGAACCAGATTCTGTCAAATTATCTACTGCCGCCTCAGACTCGGATGTAGTGACCTAAACGGCCATAAATTCGATAGATGCATAACTGACAGCCCAGGTTGTTCCCGTGGTCACCACTATGAAGACCCGCTACACTACTTCTTTGTTTGCTGCAATACTGAACTAATTAGAAGCAACTTATTATATTATATAAAAGGATATGATATAAATACAGTACTTTACGGATGTGAAGGCCTATCATCTGAAGCAAATCAAGAAATTCTTCTATCTGTCCATACTTTCATCAAAAATTCTGGTAGATATCAACTTAAATAATATACTCTTCAAAAAAAGAAACGCAAAACGGATATTTTTGGCCATAAAAGCAAACTTAGTGGACAAAGAGGTACAAAATGAAAAGGTTTAATGTGTTATACTGTCAATGACAAATTTCCCGGATCAAAATGATCACAACAGGGACATGCAAACCAGAAGACCCGTGAAGATCCGGGGTAGAATAGGTCTTCAGCAACCCACGCTTGCCGAAAAAGACGACAATTCTTGTCGCAAGAGGCGACTAACGGGATCGGGTGGTCAGGCTCGCTGACTTGGTTGATGCATGTCATCGTATCCCAATTGCGTGGATCGATGCTCATAACGTCAATCACTGGATTGTCTGGTCCAGACTCGATTATTTACAGACCGCCGTCATTTAGCTGGAATATTGCTGAGTGCGGCGTTAAACAACAAACAAGCACACATTAGTCGGGAAACACGTACGATTCGGAAAAACGCATCCAGTGCATTAACAAAAGGGCCATGGAGCTACACGAACTGCATGTGCAGCAGCACTATGAACGGTATTAAAGTGCAGGGTTTTTGATTGCCTGGCATCTGCGTCAATCGAACAGTGACAGTTCAACAACATTCCAATATTAACTGCAATTCCCTAGTTTGACTTGTACCATATGTTCCCGTACTTTTTCAAATGAACAATTGACTCTGCCTGTGTTCATGTCGGGTGCCACCGGTGGGGCAGGATACGCTAACCTTACCGCGAACACCTGGTATCATCACTAAGTGGTAGTGATCCATAAGCACATACTTATGACATATAGCATGATATATGACATAAAAGCCGAAATCGATGTTGTTGTCGAAAACCCAGACACAGCAGCCTCAGCGTTAAACAATGATCTGATCGAAATCTCTAACTGGGCTTAAACGTGGCAAGTGCAGTTTAACCCTGAAAAAAAATCCCGAAAGTATTTAATTCTCCCACAAGACGGTACCATTAAATGAACCAAATCTCCTAATGGATGCAATCATTGTAAAAGAAGTTGAAATGCATAATCATTTAGGCGTAGTTCTCCAGTGTGATATCCACTGGCATTCTCATATAGATAGTATAATTGTATTAAAGGTCAGTTCAGTGATAAACTGTTTTAGAATTTTAAAATACCGCCTCTCTAGGAAAAGTCTTGAAATTATGTATAAATAATTCATCTTATCAATATTCGATTATTGTAGTAAAGTAATTGTACTAAAGATCAAGAAGTGACACTGGGATGCTCCAAGAACAATATGTGGTGCCACACGGGACACACACCATAACAAATTGTACACAGAAACAAATCTGAAACCATTGTCACCTACAACCTTTCATAAAAAAATTCTGGTAGATATAAACTTAAATAATATACTCTTCAAAAAAAAGAAACGCAAAACGGATATTTTTGGCCAATAAAGCAAACTTAGTGGACCAAGAGGTGCAAAATGAAAAGGTTTAATGTGTTATACTGTCAATGACAAATTTCCCGGATCAAAATGATCACAACAGGGACATGCAAACCAGAAGACCCGTGAAGACCCGGGGTAGAATAGGTCTTCAGCAACCCATGCTTGCTGTAAAATGCGACTATGCTTGTCGTAAAAGGCGACTAACGGGATCGGGTGGTTAGGCTCGCTGACTTGGTTGATGCATGTCATCGTATCCGAATTGCGTGGATCGATGCTCATAACGTCAATCAATGGATTGTCTGGTCCAGACTCGATTATTTACAGACCGCCGTCATATAGCTGGAATATTGCTGAGTGCGGCGTTAAACACCAAACAAACACACATTAGTCGGGAAACACGTACGATTCGGAAAAACGCATCCAGTGCATTAACAAAAGGGCCATGGAGCTGCACGAACTGCACGTGCAGCAGCACTATGAACGGTATTAAAGTGCAGGGTTTTTGATTGCCTGGCATCTGCGTCAATTGAACAGTGACAGTACAACAACATGCCAAGATTAACAGAAGTGCAAAGAAACAACGCCATAGGCCGCTTGCAGGCAGGGGAATCCCGATCAGCTGTAGTCAGAATTTTCAACGTAGCGCCCAGCACCATCACAAGGCTATGGGATCGGTTTCAACAGCGTGGGTCAACACGTGATCGGCCAAGGTCGGGACGACCAAGAGTAACCACCCCCGCCTAAGATCGCTACATTCGACTGCGCCATCTACGTGAAAAAACGACCACAGACACCTCAACCGCATCTCAAATACCCAGACTGCGCAGAATCTCCGACCAGACCGTACGAAACCGTTTAAGAGCAGCAGGTCTACGAGCAAGACGTCCTGTTCGACGCGTAATATTGAGTCGACAACATCGTCAACAACAACTGCATTGGTGTCGTCAACACATCGTATGGCCTCAACTGCGATCGAGAGATGTCTGGTTCAGCGACGAATCAAGATTTCTCCTCCGTCGAGGGGATGGAAGAGCACGGGTCCAGACGTCGGGGAGAACGTTACACCGGAAACTGCGTACAGAAAGTGGACAGGTTTGGTGAGGGTAGCGTTATGATGTGGGCGGCTATCTCTCTCTCTCTCTTATATATATATATATATATGGTCCATATCCAGGGCAATCTTACGTCTCAACGATACATCAACGAAATTCTCCAACCACACGTCCTCCCAATTGCAGCCAAGAGCAACGGTGTATTCCAGCAGGACAACGCTCGACCGCATACAGCACGGATCACAAGAGCCTGTCTACACAACAACAACGTTGATGTTCCCCCCTGGCCCTCCAGATCCCCAGATTTGAACCCGATAGAGCACCTGTCGGATGAATTTGATAGACGCCTACGCCGACGTCAATCACAACCCCAGACGTTGCAGCAGTTGGCTTTTGCATTGCAGGCCGAGTGGGCTACCATTCTCCAGGATGTGATTCGCATACTCGTCTCTTCCATGGGCAGGAGATGTCAGGCCGCTATCGATTCCAACGGGGGACATACGCGTTATTGATGGTAGCTGATCTTCACCTTGGACTTTTCCTATGTACCGATAACTGAGATTACTACAATCACCAAGTGTTCTCCCACAACATTTTGGCTCAATATTTTGTACGTTTCCTCGTATAAATGTATTTTCCTACCTCACACAAATCTGGCTTTGCGTTTGGTTTTTTTAAGAGTATACACCAAACTCTCACATACAATACATATGTATCTTGTGAACATTATGTAGTACTTTATATTACGAATAACCCCATAATTCTGATTATCAATACCGGACACTGCTGACCATGCTTGATAACTGACCACCAAGGTATTTTTGTGTAAATATACTGAACAACAAAAGTTCCTGTGACATTGAATAAGATTTAATAAAAAGTTATGTTTTTTACCAAATCTGAAACAATTTCGGTTTGCAACAGATAAAAGACTCCTGTAAGTGTTCAAATGGTTTAATTTGCCACACTGACTTCAGAAAATGCGTGATTTCATAAAAAAACAAACCATGAACATGCCAAAATATCAATTTACAAATCAATAGCGTGTGTGTCCGTCCACCTCTGGTTGCGATGCAAGCAACACATCTTCGTCTCATGGAATGGACCAGGCGTCGCACAAAGTCCTGTGGGATATCTGTCCATATCTGCTGTAGCATGTTTCGAAGTTCCTGGAGCGTCTGTGGAACACGTGGTTGACGTCGAAGGCGCCGATCCATCTCATCCCACATGTGCTCGA